AGATGCTTTGCTGTAAACATCAACGGGGAAGTGGAGTGGAATGAGATGAGTTGTAAATGCCATTTTGCAATACTCATGGGCTGGCATATGCTTAGAGAGTTATAATTTAGTAAATGGTGTGACATGTAAAGGATGGGTCCGTACAAGTTCCTTTCCTCGCTCCTTTCCCTCTACTTCGACTAACCAACAATCTGCATCGGGAAACATACCCAATGAAACTCTAACTCTCTCGTGACCAACAGAACCGCTACGTACCATGTTATCACACACCCTCAAACTACAAACCACAACCCCCTAAAACCCCATCCAAACAAGATCACTCCAATACTACACATACTATCAAATGGAAGCTCTGTAAATATCTCCTCTCCATACCCCTCCCTCTTCTCCACAAACGACTTCCACCTCCAACCACCCATCAAACCAATAAACGAATAACAACTAACCTTAGTAATTCCCGATCTCCAACTCCCGCAGTCTATACCCCGCTGATCTAGACACCGACACAGTTAGCACGCGCTGCGGAAATCACAAATGCGAGAAACGCGTCATTTTCACGGGGGTCATATGTGTGTGTAATGTAAATGGCGAGATCTTAGAGAAGAGGAAAGGGTCGGAGGAACGGGAGCGAATGAACATGAGATTCGTTTGTTGATTTGCAGGCAAATGATTTTACGTGGGAGACTTTGATGTTTGGCTTTCTAGGGGGGGAAGTATGCGCGCGCGTGTGTGCCACTTGATATGCTAATAGACAGCTGATTTCATTGATTTGCACAAGATGGGTAGGGCTTTTAAGAATATTCGGCTCTTTTATACCCACAAAACACTATCTTACAGTAAGAACTCGTGTCTTCTGAGAGCAACGCGTAGTCTTTTTCGAAGGTTCATGGTGTAGTAATGCGTATAATCTGTACTTTGTGATTCAAGGGGTGTGGAGAGCAAAGCGACGGTTTACCGAGATCAGCGTGATGGCTGTGGAGTGAACCTTCGAGAAACAACACTATTGTTAAGGATCTTTGTATGTAAGTAATTGTATTGAATTGCTGTAGATTTGATGGAGTAGAGGTGTCGCGAAGGGTGGTTATCTCGACGTCCCAATCAAGTCAGACAGAAAGACACGAGTTCCGAGTCGCGTCTGACGGTTGATTCTCTACACTTGAAGTGGGAAATTCGAATAGAAAAGAAAACTTCCATGGTAAAACCGTAAAAAACATATTGCTCAACTGGAAACTGAGAGCTTGAGATTCGCTTGTATAATGGGGTGGATTTGAGTTGGAATAGTTGGTGAAAATGAACTTACTCTATGACTGAGACCGCGGATATCCATATCCGATCTCAGATAGATGTCATAGAAGCATCTGAAAGGCACAGTTGTCGATGTTACTGTCAGATCGACTCCCAAAGTAGAAGTCCAGCGCTTAACAATACGTAGATCTGTCAGATATGATGCCCCGGATCGGCTTCCGACGTTTTACCTCGTCGATCAAAAAGTCAGATCTGTGCCGAAAGAATGGCATGGAAAGGAAGGAACGCGGAAAACAGGAGACCGGTATTGTCAGGCGGAAGGAAAGCGCCGAAGCCCTAACAGGCATGTGATATTGCTGTAGAATGATGATATATTTATTGACCAGGACTCTAGGAGAGCTTCAGGCGACACCGGCCGGGGACGCAATCTCAACGCAAACACGGCCCATGTCTACCGGTATGTCTCAGATCACACAGATCTTGTTGGCCGGCTCGTGGCCTGTGCAATATGACAGTCCTTCGGTTGGGTGATATGAATCTTGCGCGGTAGTAAATGCTTGACGGAAAGAGCTTGACGGAACGACATGAATATTTCCCAGAACAACGTATAGAGATCAGCAGCTAAGGTGCCAAGACTTTATTCAACAGTCGCTAGCGTCGGTTTGCTGGGATCTAGAGTAGTACTTGCAAATATTTGACGTATACTTACCGCTCCTCAATTAAGTTCAAGAGTGTGGTTCGCAGCGGCGGTCCCGACGCATAGTGGTAGCATGATCATATAAATCAAGCATAATATAGTTTGCGTGTTATTCTTACCGGAACTTCCGGAAGCATCCCATTAAGCTCAAGCAATGCCCAAATCTGATCGAACCATGAGATGTGAGATAAGACTGGTGGGGGCACTGGGGAAAGCTTATTTGTCTTGAAACAATGACACATCTCGAGACTCCAAGGCAGACTCGCCGGATTTCGTTGACGAATTATCAGGACAAATTGATGAGCTGACCTTGATAATGATTGCTTCCAAGTCATTGCGATCTTTATTTCAAATAATATACCAGTCATATCTGTCCTTGGGTATAGTAAGATGATGTCAAGTCAATGTCCCTGTGACACCGACCACCTTGAGAAGAATCATAGACTCATATCTATGCCTGATGACCATAAGCTGGACAACTCGAGACAAGATAGAAATCGCAATATGCACGCAGCAAGCAAAGGTTACAAATCAAGGTGGGTCACGTGTGTCGCAATTGATGTACCCCACGCTGTCTTTTTAGAGGGGGCACTTGAGCCTCATGGCCACGGCCTAAAGAGTCTTGTCGAGACGAGGTTGGCGGGGTATTTTGGGACATGAAACTGCAACACGGACGTATGACGCCTAACTCTGTAGCACACGCTCTAATTAAAGAACCGTTTAAACGCCGAATTTATTACTACCACGGCTGAGCCTTCAACCAGACTGCCATGGTAAACTCCCCTGTATAGAATATACGTATGCGACAGGAGCGCTTCCAGTCTCGAGCGTACTATGCCAAACGAAGTCTTTCGGCCGCAAGAAAGATATGGAAACTTCCTCGGATACTGATGGCTTAGTGAGACAGAAATGCTCCCACCACCACATGTAAGAAATGTCTGATGCAGTCATGATGCAACTCGGTCTCGTTGAATTTGAGGTAATGAAACGAAAGCAGGGGAACATGCAAGAAGACAGGCAGATGATATGTAGCTGGGATTCGAGTTTTCTCCGATATATACGTTAGTCCCCTGATATAAAACCGCGAATGGACGATTCGCAACTCCCCACGGAGTAGGAGGTCAGGCAGCTTTGACAGACAGACAGACAGACAGAGGCATGTGCGTGGGGTATAACGTGGGATGTTTATAAGCACTCTAAGCAGTAATCAAATACGGCAGGTCTTCCTTCGGACAGCCCGCTCCTTGAGGTTTTCCTCCTATCCGCGTTGTCTTGTTTTCTCGTGATTTTCCTGGTAGGTGGGGTGGGGGAAAATGTGTACAGTGCTTTTGTATGCGGCCTCACGTGCGCGGGCTTTAAAACATACAGTAGTGATGCGCGTAAAGCGCCATATGCCGAAATGAGGAAAGAAAAATTTACGCGGCTTGTTTCTTGCATTGATGCCCAAGCTTCTTTCTTCCGACTGGTGGTGCAGGCGACTTCGAGATTCGGTAGTTCGCTGTAGCGTTCCTGGAGGAGAAAAGGATAATAAGAAGCAGGATTATACAGTAAGCTAAGAAAGGTCTACTACTATACCGTACTTTACAGTAATGTGCTTGTGCTACACTAATCAAATAGAGCATACTCCATTTCTTGCTTCTTACCTCTTACTTCTTATTTTTGATTGGGGTTTCCGGCAGGCGCAAAGATAGATAAGGGACAGCCAACCTAGTAGCCATTGTATAAAGTCTGGCCTTCCAGTAGTCTAATATCATAGCATGCTACATAGTTCGCATTACGCCTATATTTATAATATAAGGTACAATGTGGCAATTCTAGCTGCCAAGCAACGAGTCGAGTCGAGGGTATATGATTGAATAAGGCGAAATCTCCTGAATGCACGTTCTGGTAATGTTACTGAAGACTGTCTCGAGTGCGTATGTCTAGGCCGCCGTTGACTGCACTTGGTAACGCCTCCCGGCGGGAAGCCGATTATGATCATGTCGGAAGAAAAGCCACATGTGCAATCGTGGCCTGGAAGGGCAAGCCGCATAGATGAGGCAAGTCATTGCCTGCACCTATCGATGCGGTGCAGCTGTAGGCTGAAGGTGATCTGCGGATGAGAACTATAATATATACCGTATATATAATTGCTTTCTGGCCGAATGGCAGTGGTCGGTGGCAGATGGCATTGAGTTGATGGGACGAGTTTAATATGATATTGTATTGATATGAAGGCGTTTTCAACGTCTGGATTATTGGCGGCAACTGCGATTAAAGAATCTGGCGTGGTGCGGTTATGAACTTTTTTTCGAAGTGCAGTAGACTACAGTCGGCATAAATAGCAATGTGGTGCTTCGTCTTCGTCTCTCATTCTCCGGGAGGCATTCCCTTGGATGACGGGCATACATGGCTACATGGCATGGCATGGTACCGATATACATGGGGCCCTTGGTTGCGGCACCGGCGAAGAACTAAGGGCGATCCTTGATGTAAGGAACTTCAACTTCCTACACCTCGGGTATACTTAATTCTAAGGTTTACATGACATGTATGATGTATACCAAACCAAACCAGGGAGGGATGACCAGGCCAGACAAGGCAACCTATTTCCTGAAAGATGTGGAGAAGACTCACCCAAGGGAAGATCAAGTAAGGCAGGCAAGGAGATTGAAGGGGGGCCAAGGCCAAGCGAGCCAGCAAGCCATAGAAAGTTAGAAACCCACATCCTTTGGAAGGGAGGGGAGGGATCTAAATGAGAGAATTCCGACAGGGCAGCTGCCAGAGACCTGTACCAAGCCCAGACCATGCCCCACTACTGAGTTTGCCGGAAGTACTAGGAATGGCTCCGCGTCCTAACTTTCCTTTCGACCTGAACTACCTACGCCGAGTGGAGTATATAAGCCCTCTGCGTCTTCCCATTCTCCAGCTACTGCCACTCTCTTCGCATACGTATATGAATTCTCTCTCCCACCTCCAGCGTCAACTTCGACTTTCTTCAACAAGACTTGTCAGATTCCCCACTTCCACGCCGTCTTCCAGCTATAGAAGTCGAAACTTTTCAGCTACAACAGCAGCAATGGGTGTCTCAAAGACCGTTCTTTCCGAGGGCAGTGGAGCCGCGCCCAAGGTTGGTGACACAGTTACCATCGAGTACACCGGCTTTATCAAGGACACAAGCAAGCCGGATAACAAGGGAAGCCAGTAAGCTATCATTGATATTTATGCCTCGCAGTCTCAAGACTGACGTAGTTCTTCCCAGATTCGACTCCTCTGTCGGCCGTGGTGCTTTCGTCGTAAAAATTGGTGTCGGAAAGGTCATCAAGGGTATTTACGGCCCCAACCATCTACTACTAGCAAGGGGATAGTCCATTGACTGTTGAACACAGGTTGGGATGAGGGTGTTACCACCATGAAGGTTGGCGAGAAGGCCACACTGGACATCACACCGTAAGTTGCGGAAGCTCTGAGGACATCTAATTGAGTCAGTGCTAACATCTCTTTGCAGTGACTACGGCTATGGTGACCGGTATGTCTATAATTCTCGAGTTTCCCCTTCTACGTTTACTACACGATTGGTCCTTCCCCCGCATCATGTGTAGTCCCCAGGCTAGGCTGGGAAGCCATACCCCCCAGATCTTGATACACCTCTCGAGTACCCAGAGTTCGCAGAGCTAATATACCATGTATAGTGGTTTCCCTGGGGCAATTCCACCCAATTCCTCCCTTATCTTGTAAGTCACCCTACCTATATTCTATAGAGCTTCGAGTAACAATTCTGTAGCGATGTCGAGCTCCAGAAGATCAGTTAGACACTTCATTTGGATACACTCTTCTTTTCTCTAGAAACCAGGTATTAAGGGCGAGGTAGCTCAGGTTAGCACCGAGGATGGGAAAAGCAATAAGCAGTTGAAAAGAATAACGGAAGGATTTTTTGAAGCACACATCTATCTGCATGCTTTATTGTGACTACCTCCTTTTCCTGTGCATGGACCTGACCGACGCCAACCGAATGGAACGTCTTTTCTAACAAACGAAAGCGCCACAACCACGTACAACCACGTGAAAACAGGAACGAGATTGAGGTTGATATGCAGGAGTGATCCGGAAGGTTCCCGAGAGGAGAGAAGCGGGGTATATTCGTGGGTGATATAGATCCCAGCAGCCCGTTTTACTTTCGTCCCATGGCATCCCATCATTGAAGATTTCCCCTCACCTGGAAAACCTTTAAATAGCGGGTCGGACGATTGTGAGCCGAAGGTACCCATGTACTCTTGACACTGTTACTGTACCGCGCCGTTACGAACGGCTGATGCTTATCAAGATGAAAGCTTATAACCCAGATGATGTGAACAATTATCTTATACATCTAATCATCACGATGGTCTGTATTGCGTGATATACGAGAATTTACGACAAACTCTATGCAAAAAGATTAATAAACGAGTAACCTGGACGTGGCTGCCTGATCTTTAAGGCATAACTGTCTTCTCCTGCGGGACGCCGATATGTCATCGGCAAGCTCCTCTAGACGCTTCGATGTTTGAGGCTGAAGAACAACAAAACTGCAGCTGTTGCCTTCACATAAAACCATATTGACACTCTTTCCCATATTGCCCCCTCACACGCAACTACACAACTAAGACTTCATCCATCTGTCTCTCTACGGCCCATCAGAACCCCTAGGTTACGGTCCAGTCCATACTTCCTGGTTCAAGATCTGGTACCCATCAAGGACCCAGAGCTCGAACCTGCCTGGGACATCGAACAAACGTCAAAATTCCCGCCCAGGTATCTTCCAACGGTGAGAGCAAGCTGGGGAAGCGCAAGTTGTCCAACCCGGAAGTATCCCCGCCACATAAGAAGACCATGGCTGTAAGTTGGCCACTTTCTATTCCATACTGCAAACAAGCTATCATGCAAGCATGTACCTCAATATACCTACCTTCGTCCAGTATTTATAGCTGAGCATCACTGATTCTCTTCTTACGCAGGGCACAAAAGACGTCGACATGGATACCAAGATGCAGGTGGACGAGTCGGTGGTAGGCAAGAACGACATCGACGAATCTTTATACAGTAGACAGCTCTACGTTCTTGGACATGAGGCTATGAAGCGCATGAGCGCGTCGAACGTGCTCATCGTCGGACTGAAAGGGCTCGGTGTTGAGATTGCGAAGAATATTGCGCTGGCTGGTGTCAAGAGCCTCACGGTTTACGACCCCGCCCCCGCACTTATTTCAGACCTCTCTTCGCAGTTCTTCCTTCACCCAGAGGATGTTGGAAAGCCTAGAGCCGCTATTACAGCTCCTCGAATCGCGGAGTTGAATGCATACACCCCCGTCACAGTTCATCAATCAGACAGGCAAGTATCCCTCCCGCTGTTTGTTGTCATTATATGCTAACGAGACTTTTACAGCCTGACCTCAAATCTCTCCCAATTCGATCAATACCAAATCGTCGTTCTTACGAATACCCCGATCAAGGACCAAATTATCATCGGCGATTACCTACACTCGAAGGGCATCTACCTCGTGGTAGCGGATACATTTGGGTTGTTTGGGTCAATATTTTGTGACTTCGGTCCCAAGTTCACCGTTCTTGACCCCACAGGAGAGGCACCAATCAGTGGAATCGTTGCTGGAATTGACGAGGAAGGCTTGGTATCTGCCCTGGACGAGACACGACACGGCCTTGAAGATGGGGACTTTGTTACCTTTACTGAGCTGGTGGGTATGGAAGCACTGAACATGTCGGATCCCCGAAAAGTCACGGTCAAGGGCCCGTATACGTTCTCGATCGGAGATGTCAGTGGACTCGGCACATATAAGAAGGGTGGCATGTACCAGCAGGTCAAGATGCCCAAGTTTATCGACTTCCAGCCTATAACTACTGCTCTCAAGTCCCCGGAATTCCTGATTTCTGATTACGCCAAATTCGACCGACCTCAGCAACTTCATATTGGATTTCAAGCATTGCACGCGTTTGCTGAAAAGCATGGCCACTTCCCACGCCCAATGTATCAGGAGGATGCTTTAGTGGTTATTGGTTCTGCTAAAGCATTCGCGGAGAAGGAAAAGCTGGATGTTGATGTAGACGAGAAGTTGCTTACAGAGCTCAGTTATCAGGCCCAAGGTGATCTAAGCCCTATGGCTGCTTTCTTTGGTGGACTTGCTGCCCAAGAAGTCTTGAAGGCCGTTTCGGGGAAATTCCATCCAATCAACCAATGGCTGTACTTTGATTCCTTGGAGTCTTTGCCTTCCAATTCTGCCAGATCGGAGGAATTGTGCAAGCCCCTAAACTCCAGATATGACGGCCAAATTGCGGTATTTGGCCGAGAATTCCAAGAAAAACTTGGCAACATCCAGGAGTTCTTGGTTGGTGCTGGTGCTATTGGTTGTGAGATGCTGAAGAACTGGGCAATGATTGGTCTTGCTGTTGGACCCAAGGGGAAGATCAGTGTCACGGATATGGATTCGATCGAGAAGAGCAATTTGAACCGTCAATTCCTCTTTAGACCCAAGGATGTTGGCAAGTTGAAGAGCGATTGTGCTGCTGAAGCAGTGCAGGCGATGAACCCGGATCTTAAGGGCCATATTGTGACGATGCGAGACCGGGTAGGCCAAGACACCGAACACATCTTCCATGAGGATTTCTGGAACTCCTTAGATGGAGTTACTAATGCTCTGGATAATGTGGACGCGCGTACATATGTTGATCGCAGATGTGTTTACTTCCGGAAGCCACTCCTGGAAAGCGGCACTTTGGGCACCAAGGGTAATACCCAAGTAATTATACCCCATTTAACCGAGTCGTACTCCAGCTCGCAAGATCCTCCTGAGCAGTCGTTCCCGATGTGCACACTCCGGAGTTTCCCGAACAAGATTGAGCATACGATCGCTTGGGCCCGAGAATTGTTCGAGGGGTACTTCGTTAAGCCTGCCGAAACTGTCAATCTATATCTCAGCCAACCAAACTACCTCGAGACCACTCTGAAGCAAGGTGGTAATGAGAAGGCTACTCTTGAGATGATTAGGGATTTCTTGGTTGATGATAAGCCACTGAGTGTTGAGGACTGCATCAAATGGGCTCGTCTGCAATTCGAGAAGCAATACAACAATGCTATTCAGCAATTGTTGTATAACTTCCCCAAGGACTCTACATCGTCAAGTGGTGCTGCATTCTGGTCGGGACCCAAGCGTGCGCCAGATGCATTGAAATTTGACCCCAAGAATGAGTTTCACTGGACATTTATCGTTGCCGGGGCAAATCTCCACGCTTTCAACTATGGAATCAACACTAAGGGCTTGGATGCAAGCACGATCCAAAAGGTTTTAGATAACATGATCATTCCTGACTTCTCGCCAAATTCAGCCGTCAAGATCCAGGCTGATGATAGTGAACCGGTATGTTAACATTTTACGATTTTCAAGATTATGATTGCTAATTTGTATTAGGATCCAAATGCAAACACAGGAGGAGCCTTCGATGACAACGCAGAATTGCAAGATATTACCGATAAGCTTCCAGCACCAAACCAATTGGCAGGCTTCAAGCTTCAACCAGTTGAGTTCGAGAAGGATGATGACACCAACTTCCATATCGATTTTATTACGGCTGCAAGTAACTTGCGTGCTGAGAACTACAAAATCGAGCTTGCCGATAGACACAAGACCAAGTTCATCGCCGGAAAAATCATCCCCGCCATTGCTACAACAACTGCTCTGGTCACTGGATTGGTCATCCTCGAGTTCTACAAAGTCGTTGACGGCGAGACCGACCTCGAGCAATACAAGAACGGCTTTGTAAACCTTGCTCTCCCATTCTTCGGCTTCAGCGAACCAGTTGCAAGCCCGAAGGACAAGTACAAGGGCAAGACCGGCGATGTCTACATTGATAAAATCTGGGACCGTTTCGAGATCAACGATATCACGCTGCAGGAACTGATCGACCATTTCGAGGAAAAGGGACTTGCTATTACTATGCTGAGCTCAGGGGTTAGTCTTTTGTACGCGAGTTTCTTTCAACCCAGCAAGCTCAAGGACAGGTATGCCATGAAATTGAGTGATTTGGTGGCGTTTATCTCGAAGAAGCCGGTGCCGGATCATCAGAAGAATGTTATTTTTGAGGTGTGTGTCGAGGACGTGGATGGTGAGGATGTCGAGGTTCCTTTTATCAATATGAAAATGGGGAAATGAGACAAATGAATGATGGGATTGAGGCGACGTTTATGATAGGAAATGAATGACCTTAGAGAAGTTTTGATGATTGGCTGGCGTGGATGAGATCAAGGTTGATTTGGCAAGACTTTCATAAAATAGAATGCATTCGATACACTGATCCATCACATCAACCATCATGAGCTACAAATTGAGGCGTACTGACTAATATATTTCCTCTTCTTTGGCGTGCCTTAGTCAGACATTTGGGCCCAAGCAACGCTGTACTGTCATCATTACCAACAAGCTAGCCCGAATTACAGCATCAATACCAATCCACTATACAGCTAGCTACCCCTCCTCCGATCGCATGCATATAAACAACCAAGATTCCCCTCCACCTCTACTTATTTAATGCTCTTCAGAACGCTCACACTCTCCATAAAGCTCAATCTCAACCCGAAATCAACCTCCAAAGCATTATTCTCTAGCAGCATTGCGAAAATGGTACGTAGGTCTGAGAAGTGGTACAAGGAGGGGTATGAAGCTGTAGTTGCTAATCATTGAACGAACAATACTGTAGGCCGAAGATAAAATCACGAATTGGGTAGCGCCCAACGATAAGAGCGGGGAGTTCAAGAGAGGGCAATCTCAGTTCCGGAATTTCATTAAGAAGGGAGGGGAGTTCCCGCCGGAGAAAGGACGGTATCATCTCTACGTTTGTCCTCCCCTTCTCTTTTGCTGCAATTGCTTTTACTATAGCACAATACAGTAGGTAGAATACCACTTGATTAATTTGCTAACGCGCATGCTTGTGCACCACAGATCTCCTACGCATGTCCCTGGGCGCACCGCGCGCTCATCGTGCGCCAACTCAAAGGCCTGCAAGACATCATCCCCTACACCGGCGTACACTGGCACATGCAGCAGAAAGGCTGGCGGTTCGCGACAGCAGGGGATAAAGATGCGCCGGGCGAGAATGTGGGCCCGGATCCGGTGAAGGGCTTCGAATACTTGCGGGATTTGTATTTTAGTGTGGATCCGGAATATAAGGGGCGCTTTACGGTGCCGACGCTGTATGATGTGAAGAGCGGGCGGATTGTGAGTAATGAAAGTAGTGAGATTATTCGCATGTTTTATACAGAGGTATGTTCTGTGCTTTCCTCTTCTCCTGCAAGCAAGCATGCCGCAATCTGGGCATGGATATGGATGGGATGGGTATCTTACTGATGTGTGTATTGGTGCACAGTTCGATGATTTGATCGACGAGAAATACAAAAAGGTCGATTTGTATCCCGCGGCGCTACAGAAGGAAATCGAAGAAACGAATGCGTGGACCTACGATACAATCAACAACGGCGTGTACAAATCCGGCTTCGCAACCACAGCGTCCGCGTACGAAGCAGCCTGCACATCACTTTTCACGTCCCTCGACCGCGTTGAGAAACACCTTTCGACCGTCACCGATGGCCCGTATTACTACGGCAAGGAAATCACAGAGGCAGATGTGAGGTTGTATACTACGATTATAAGGTTCGATGCGGTGTATGTGCAGCATTTCAAGACGAATATCAGGGATGTGCGGTCGGGGTATCCGTATATTCATCGTTGGTTGAGGGAGTTGTATTGGAATGTACCGGCTTTTGGGGAGACGACGCAGTGGGACCATATCAAAAAGCATTATACGCAGAGTCATACGAATGTAAGTTTTCTCTTTCTCTTGTTGATTGGTTCTGGGGCATGAGGGGCAGAAGGATGAGGCAGAGGGATGAGGGTAGAAGCTAATGGGATATAGATCAATCCTCACAGTATCACGCCATTGGGTCCCGAGCCACCGATCCTGAAGATCGGGGAAGAGGTCCCGGCTGTTAGGTTTGCGTTGGAGGCTGCGAAGAAGAAGTGAAGTGGAGATATGACATGCTGTTTGGTAGGGAATGAATAGCAGATGGGAATTGTTCAAGTATGCATTCTCCGACATTGCTTTCAACTATCCTGGGCAAACCCTTTCGTCCCATCACTGCTGGTGCTCTTGATGTCTGATTTCGTATAAATTACGTGTGTGAACGATCAGTCTAGTGACAGGACCCTCTCCAACCAACCCCACGTGAATTCATCCCCTACTGCCAATCCCCGACACGGGTATAAACCCCCGTCCCAAACATCTTCCATGAACCTGAAAATGTGAAAAATTACCAAACACACTGGTGCTTCCTAGCCCGAGCTCCAAGCTATCCATTCCACAGTCTTTTCCTTCAAAACCCCTCTCATCTGCATTTTTATTTTCCCTCCAACTAATGGGTGGGCGACTGAAGGTCGATTCTCGTATGCGATGATATTCATTCATTTGCTGTCAATTGTATCTCTGGTGTTAAAATACTCTTCACGCTGAAGTAATAGAGATTTGGGGGGGATTATGCTGATGTGCTTGATCAAGGTTCGAGATTTCGAGGGTAGGGGGTGGTGTGGTGCCAGAAGCTGGAAGTCGAGTTGGATTGAATGTTACTTGGAAAGATGTATATTGTTATCTTGGACTCCTTTCCTCATTGTCGACATTGCGATTTATAGTGTTTTCCCTCTTTTGTTAGGAGGGGATTTTACTGGGAATTCCTTATTTACTTACTTGCTATTCTTTTATGTATAGGTACTTAGCCATCTAGTGCGGTTAAATATTCTTTATTCCAAATACTTGAAGAGAGTAGAGCTGAGCCTGAATCAAAAATGTAGGCTTGTTGGAGTGGGAGGGGTGTGTAGTATATATAAATGGAAATGGAAACCTAGATTAATCTTGTTTCTACACACAAATAAATACTTATTGTTCTCGTCTTATAGTAGACTGATCGAAATTTAAACAATCAATCCTACCCGAGTCGCTGAAACTCTATCAAAAATCCTTCTTGTGCTTATTTCTTAAGTGGGGAGGTTTGGAGGATAATCGTGCTCTTTTGATCTTTTTCCGCATTACTACTTATTGTTCATTCATGTGATTTATCATTTTCTAGTTAGTTAGGAAAATAGGTTGCTGTTAAAAAGGTGTTGCAGTCAAGTAGTTCGTTTATTCATTTGTTGTTTGAACGGCCATCTAGGTTGATGAATATAATAGAATGGTTAAGATTTGTAAATGCGAACTTGGGGAACCTTTACAAGTTCATATTGATCGGAGTTGGCGAGGGCTTTCCAAACAAGATAACGTGTTGCAGTGTTGACTTGAGGATAATCTGTCGCATTACTTGCATACTAACTATACTTAGTGGCTATTAATATATTTATAATAACGAGCTCTATTGCTTATGAATCCGCTTGTTTCGTTCTTGCTTTCTCCAAATCTGGTGAATTCCAGATTCCTTATTATAGATTATCCCCGACATCCTCCGCAAATGGCATTGTCGTTTTTGAGATAGTAGCACAAGGGACTAGAAGCAATCTGCAAGCGAAGTATAAAAGCAAACCAGTTCAAGCGACTGAATGAAGGCCGTTAGAGGATCCAGGCTATCTTGTACCATCAGCCCGCCCAGGATGATGAGCTTCAAGATTCGCGACCGATGCAACTTCGTTTCCCTCTCGCTGAACTGAAATCAGGAGTTGAAGCTAGAAGATGAGATCCTGCGAGAAGGAAAAAAGAGGAGGAAAGAGGGATTTCAAGTGAAGCTTTGCTGTCAAATTCTAGCACACGTTCATTCGATTTGAGTGGGTCGTTTGAACTACTTCGCTGCTTGGATTTGAAAACTTGCGAATACGAGAATCAAGAGTAGTAATAATTTGTTATCTTTCTGTGTATAATAGATCCCATCCGAAGCCCACTCTTGGTAATTCCATTGCACAATCTTTCTATGCCCGAGTCTTCAATTTGAATAATTCTATAGTATTTATACAAAAAGTTTTTTAACGGTTAGGTATTCTTTCACTTTCATTACGGACGGACGCATAGTGAGGTTCCAAGCCCAAGCGTCATATCATATTCACCTCGCCCCTTTTCCAAATTATCAACTCTTTGACTAAGGATTACGAGGTATATAATACTAAATGTGATCTCTTCTTAGGCCCCTCTCTATCTGATTAAACCGTGCTGCTCCACCAATTCCACGATTTAGAAAGCTTTACGACTATCTAAGGTTCTCACTATTTCTAAGGAACCACTTATATAAACTATATTTTGAGAGTTCAAGAGCATTATCTGAAGATGTATACTAAGCTTTATGCTGCAGCTGTCAAGAAAGATTTTCATTCGAGGGTCAGCTATTGCGATGAATTTTCGGTGCGGGGATTGAATTGGGAACTTGATAAGTCTACGGAAAGAGTGAAAATTGTTGTAGCCTGTAAGTGGCAAAGCTTATAAAGCCTGTGGCGAAGCTTAGAAATAGCTATTTCTAAGCAGGTGGCAAAGCTTAGAAATAGGGCTTGAAGAGCCCTATATATACAGCATACTTCCCACTGTAGAACAGCAGTCAATTCAAGTCATTACCCCTAGAAACAACAAAAATGAAGAAAAGCTCTTAGCTCTCGGGTTTACCCCATTTCTTTTGATGTAGTGCTTCTTAGGAGCCGACATCTGCCCTTTCTGTTTATGAGTATGCTTCTACTTGGAGACAATTTTGTGCTTTTTATAGCCATACGCCTTTTCTTGTGAACTTTCTTATCTTGAATCGCATGAAGGTCTTTCCAGCAATGCCATCACCTTCCTTTCTGTTCTTTCAAGCGCTGCTGATATAGAGTGGTGCGGAAAATTACGGTTCCTTCAGGTTCTCTATTTATATATATCCTCCATAGAACAAAGTTCTATCTAGCCAAGGAACGAACTTTCTAGACAGCCAACCCTTTCTTAGAATCATACGTGTGGTTCACGAATTAGAACCAAGCATAATTGCCCCCGTAGTACAAGCAAGCCTTTCCATTACTAGCCTTGCAACTCTACCTTAATTAAGGTGGCCGAGCTATAAATATCTGCGAGTCTGCGAGCGATATGAGAGGTGCGGCTGGTGCTGTTGTTGAGATGCATATGAAGACCGTACATAATACCGCGTACTTGATAAGTAATTGAAGAGAAAGGGAAATATGATTGTGCTGTATAGGAAGGAGAGTAGAGAGTGCATGACTCGAGCTCCTTTACGTAATAATATACAACTTTCTCTAAATATAAACGCCTGCTAATCAAAACCCCTCAAATCTGTATTTATACTCCGCTGCTAGACATAAACTTGTGGCACTTATCATCAATTTCAATATGATAGGAGTAGTAATCGTAGTATTCATCAACGTCTAGCAGGCTATTACAAAAGCTCCCGGGTACGGATACGTGCTAAACCAAGCAGTCAACCACCCCATCAGGGACATCATAAACCAGAACGCGAGCCCGACATCATGGCTAGGTAGAGGTTTCCACACGCTGAGAAGTACCTTTCTCAATCGCATCAATGTCCTCGCGATCAATAGGATCAATACCCATACCCATCGCCTCCCTTCTGTGAATCTTGGCCATCGCCGCCTCGATCGTGTTATGTCCAGCAGCCTCAGCGATATCCGCATCATCTCTGACTTCGAAACTGCGCTTCAGGTATTCGGGTCCAAGGAATGTTAGGATGATGACGTAGGCGAAGACACAGCCCATGAAAATACACATCACGAGACCGTACTTGTAGCGTGGGGTCTTCTTTCCTCCCTTGCCGATCTTGGGCGGCAGAGGGAATTGAGCCCCGATTGTCGATTCGATGGTCGAGGAAGCAGAGGAGACGAGGTTGCCGAGTTGGTAGGATGTTCCGACGACAAATGTGCGGAAGGAGCCGGGGGAGAGTTCCATGAGATGGATTGGGATGACTCCCCATGCACCCTGGACGCAGAATTGCTCAAAAAAGGCAGCGGCGATGACGGCGTGGGACGAGGTAAAAGTGTACGGGTAGAGAAGAGCGCCCCCGATGATGGAGATGAAGATGATGGAGAATCGTCGGCCGAATATTTGGGAACAGTAACCAATCACGGTACCTCCCGACATTGCACCCAGATTAGCAACTACTTGAGTTACGGTAACTGCATTGGGGCTGAAGTTGTACTGGTTTGTCAACATTGTAGGGTACAAGTCTTGTGATCCGTGGGACTAGAAGCGGGTTAATATAAACAACAGGTCTGGAACTCGGTATGGAACTTACCATGAAATTGAATCCGGCCATCAAAAGCACAAGGTAAATCAAAAGCAGCCAATGACGCTTAAGAGCGACCTTTCCTTCAGCAATGAATGTTGCACCAATGTTACCCCTTTCGTTTCGAACCTCTACACGCTCAATGTATGATTCGGTCTCTGGCAAGCAAAGTCGGAAGATAATAATCAGGACTGGGGGGCAAGCACCAAACCAGTACAGTGGACGCCAGCCGTGCGACGTGGTATTCACAAGTCCTCTAGCAAAAGCAGTTGCGAGTAGATATCCGAAAGCATAGCCTTGTTGCAGCATCCCGGACACAAGACCACGAGCTTCCTCGGGGCAGTCTTCAAGAGCCGTGGCAGCTGCATTGCCATAAAGTCCACCCATTGCAATACCGAACAACGCTCTGCAGGCGAGGAATTGCTTGTAAGTCTGGCAAAAACCAGTTCCGAGTTCAAGGATGATGAAAAGGGCATTGTTGACCACGAAAGGCCATTTTCGGCCATATCGATCTGCGGCGAGACCAAAGGCGATTGATCCTACGGACCTGAACATAAGCACCAAAGTGATACCCCATGTGATATCAGTGTTGGTCTTGCCGAATGTCTCGGCAAGGTCAGATACTGTTAAACTGACAGTGAAGAAATCGAATGCATCCCAGGTCTAAACAATATCAGTATAGTAAACATACTTTGGAGGTTGGGTGGGGAATTGGACGCACCCATGCAGTAAAGCCAACGAGGAAAAACATCCATTGTTTGGTACTCAGCATAGCAAGAAGCTTGAAAGGATTGGGAGCCTTGTGCATGGGTGGCTTGAGGGTTGAAAATCGAGTGGTCGCATATTCCTTGGCGGTCATTTCCTTGGGGGCATGGGATTCAGGGAGTGCGGGGTCCCCACCGGAGGGAACATGGTGAATCCCCCCAGTGTTATCGGTGGTGGTGGTGGTTGGCTTTTCCGCCATGTTGTAAATGGTTGTTCGTTGTTTATTTGTAGATAGGTATATTTACAATCTGAAGTCCGTGAAGTCTATAGGGAAATGTTAATGTGTGTTTTAGATGAGATATTATAAGTTGTGTGTAAAGAACTCACTTGCTTGAAAGGCTCCTGCCCCGGATTCCAACAAGTCCTGTGCACTTGATGTGGCAACCGCAACTAACCTCGATATGCGTCCTGTTACTACTGTATCCGTAGACTTGGAAAAATGAGAGATGGTGGGCAGGGCGACTTATATAAAAAGACCAGCCCTGCCCTTAGCTGGAAGCCGTATTCGTGTCGGTGAATCTTTTTTGACCGGGCTGGCTGCAATTGACCATTCAGCATGAGGAAGCTGGCATTCATTGCTAGAATAGGATAGTCCGACATTTTACGCCGCACACTTACATTGGTCAGCTAAGGGGCCCCGCATATCAACCACATGAGACCGACCATAGTCAAGCTTTGGTCCGAAAGCTTGGCTGCTTTCTGACAAGCTCTCCCCGCTGCGATGACTCTCTTCTCCACACTCTCCCAACATGAATCCTTCCTACCAATCATGCTATCGTCTTGCATGGAGATTCTTTTGCGACCGTGAAACCCGTCGAAGACCGAAATAGTCCCATCGTTGGGCAAAGAATTGGCGCTTTCTAAAAGCTACAAAGACACTACGAGGACTTCTATTTCTCTGGTTGAATTACTCTGGCATCAGAGGCTCAGCGGGACGGCACACATATTCAGTTGGTACAGTACATCCAACACGTGACAGCTACAGTACAAAAGACGACATCAGAAAACCTGTACGTATTGCGTCGCTGGACGGGTGGCTGATATGGCATGATGGGCCAGTGCATCTTATCAAGAATGGGGTGGGGTCTCCGCAAGATCAGCAGGTCAGAAAAATCCCCGTGCACAAAACATTACGAACAGTGGATCTCGGGGGCTCTTGAGTCTTGGCGGCCATGCCCTACAGTAATTCCTTACAGTAAACAATGTGTAAACGCTTGGGTGTCAACGCTAGTGTCTATTTCCTCCTCTGTCGCGTGACCTAAAATTTGCCTACTTTACTACCTAAGGTACGGAGTCAAGAAAGAGGAAAAAGAAAGACAAAAAAGACAAAAGTTGCAAAAGAGCACGCTAGGGGCAGGCTGGGCAAAATAGAAGGATATACTCCGTGATTAGCGTAAAACAGTGGTAGAAGCGGTTTTGCGTGTGTTTCTAGTCATCTCTCTCAAGGCGCAATTGTACTTTCTCTTCTCTTTGTTGAAGTGATGGCACCTTCCCCGCAGCCTTGTTTTACTTATGATTAGACTCGCCTAGTAGTAGGCAATCCATGATAGAGCTTGCACAGGGCCGTAGGGGATATGTTCGAGAGAGTGGACTTCTTGACTCCAAGATGAGGCATGGTCTCGGACATTCGGAAGCCGATGCTAAGATGACTCTCGATACCTCCCCTTCGTATTGTCCTTGCGTATTCTTTTCCCACGATTTTGAAGTCGCTGACAGTTCGGTTCCACGTTGGCAGATGGGGGTATTTGTACAAGTAATATACAGTAGATTTGGAGTTGTAGTTGTATGTCTCATTTGGCTTCGTTGGGTGCATATGCTGATTTCGATTATATTACAATTTACCACGGCCGCAACATCTGCTGGCAAGCTGGGCATGCGTCCATCTTGCAGTCCGGACACTGAAGCAGATAGTTGTAGTTTTTGTAGCAATACCCACAAGCTATGCTTCCTTCAATCCTCAGCCAGCAACCAGTATGAACGCAAAGGCCCCTTGCGGATCTTGCAGTTGACGCAGATGCAGCTGCTGCAGCGTGGTTCGGACGTTGACTCCCAGCGCGATTGTTGCGGGGCTTGGACTCCGAGGGGGTTTTCTGCGAGTCTTCTTTTCGCTGTTGTTTCTTAGCTCCTTTGTCCTTTGATCTTTGCTCACTGTTGGATTCAACTCCCTCCCCAGCTTCTTCTTTTTCCCTCGCCCTTTCTTTCTCCTCCCTCTCGCTCCTCTGCTTCATACGCTGTTTCAAGTTCTCATGCTCGGCCCTTTCCTGAGCCTCTGCTACTTTCCTCTCCGTATCCTTTTTCTGCTGCGCGCATACCCGACGTAAACGTATGCGTTCCTCGACCTCACTTGTAAGGTCATCATCATTCGCATTCGCAGCATGAAATCCCACTCGAATTCTCTCTAGGATCTTTTTCTTATCCCGTAAATCCAACTCGGACTTCTGTAATTTCTTTTCCTTAAAGGTCCGCGTATGCAGCCTATCGTTTCTTTCTTTCATCTTCTGCTGTTTCTCCTCTGCGGACTCTGCGCGAGGCTTCTTGCTAAGAGGTGATTGCAACCATGTTGACCAACCATTACCATTCACAGCTGCGTTGAGAGTTTCTGCTTCCTCGGCCTTTCTTCTGAGATCGAGGTCTCGGATTGCTTCTTTTAACTGATGGATACGTGTGGTGATGGCGAGGATACCATCCTCGCATCCCTTTTGTGAGACTGCGAATCGGGAAGCTCGTTCACGCTTTATCATGAAGATTGCCCTGATGGCAGATAGATCTTTCGCTTCGCTTGGTGGCTCATTCTTCGGTTCTGAGGGTTCTGAGGTAAATGGTTTGGGGCTAGGTTTTGGGGGATGCGTAGTAGTTGGACGCGTCTTGGATTCTGAAGATGGTCTTGAGGACGGTTTTGGGGGAGGATTTCGAGGTGTCTGCGGCGTAGTAGTCGGGCGGGTCTTCGATTTTGAAGTAGATGGTGTTTGGGCAGGTTTTCGAGGTGTCTGTTGCGTGGTCGTTCGACTAGTCTTCGCTATTTGTGGGTAGATGCGGTCGTACTCTCTTCGCTTGCTCTCATCTTTGAGGATCTCGTAGCCCATTAACAACTTGGATATCCAAAGTGATCAGCATACCATCTGCATACAGATTCTCAACTTTGCAACATTTGAGACAACGCATTTCACGAGAAAGGGAGACAAGCTACATACCAGCTGGAAAATCTTCGTGGCATCACGACTGGGGTTCTTATCTGGATGGCGCAAGAGGGCCAGTCTTCTATAAGACTTGGTGATTGTCTCTGGACTTGCGGTTGGCGCCACTTCTAGGATTGTATAATAATCATTGGTGATCGTAACAGGCATCATAACACCTTGTGTTCAATGGCAAAGGGCTTGCTCTCAAGTTGCTTTGTAGGGTGATGATATTGATGTTGTATGGAAGTCGTATTTTTTTGGGTTGATTTATTTTGTCTCGCGTGGTTGAGCTTATACCGCCCGACGTTGGTGACTTGTAATAATTCACTTTTTATAGGCAGCTTCTCCCCTTCTGCTTTGACTCCGGACTCCAACTTCCTCTCTTTTAATGCACAGTTTTAAGGCGCTACTTGAGAGAAATGAATTGTCACGCATCTTTTGGTGTTCTCTGCTCCAGTCACACTGCATATATAGAGGTAAGCATGTCTATCTTCTCTGCACTCAATGGGAATACTACGACATGCATTGCTCAGGCTTGTCTTCTCCCCCCAAAAATGCGATAATCTCTAGCCTAAACACCAAGAAATTGCAAACTATTCAAAATATAATATCTGCGAGGGTTTCCCTGCATACCTAGTGCGTGAGCATCAAGTGCAGAAATTACTTGAGAGCTAAGAACAAGAAAGACATGGAAATGTCGAAGAAGGTAGCAATGACTAAAGTATAAACCAACAACTGCATGGGACGTATATAATAAGTCATAGATTAGCACTCGCTTGTATAGGCTGCTAGGAGAGAGCTGTGTGAGTTATTTAACTTGTTCCCCCTCATGTGGAGTCAGTGGCAATGAGCAAGTGAGAATAGATATCCATTGAGATAAAACATTAATGACACAGAGTTGTTGCTGGTGTGAATATTGCAAGGAAATGGGAGTACAGGCTTCTGTCGTCCAACTTTCACTTTGCGGTCCCCCTTTTCAAGGTGACAAGAACACTTATTGTACACCCCCTTGAAAGCTCGTAGAATAATAAGACGGCTAATGGGAACATGTCCTGACTCCTAAGCGTAGGCTCAACTATCGCCCTAGGTGAAGTACTCCTTTTTTATTGAGAAGGAGTCAAATCCGGCGTCTACGATTGAAGGGAGCATGCCAAAATTGCATAGCCTACCTGGGAATTCTTGCCGTCATTGCCGATTTCTACGATGCTGGTAAGTTTATTCCTGGAAAGCCCATTCCTATTGCCCTGGACGCTTCAGCCATCGGGCCAGACCGTCGAGTGAGTCAGTAATGTTGTGGGGTTGATGGTACATATTTTGGCAAGTACCGAGGTCGGCGAGGTGTGTAGTAGCAAACAATGCCGACCTTCCCGCTTGTGGAAGGAATAGTATATCCTCAGGGGGTTGAAATAATGGTGATCGTTTAGGCGACGTGCATGTTTACAGAACTGCAAGACCAAGTCCATCTTGAACTAAGGTGGGACTTCCCAGAAACTTCCCGAAATAGAAATACGAAAGCAACCGTCACCTCCGTACTGTACAGGAAGCAGGAACGCCTTATTCCTACCCCACATAGCCAAGCAACTAAGGAATATGAATTACAAGTGACTAGTACGGAGTAGGTCAAGGTGGCCTTTATACGACTTCCCGGCATCTTAGTTCACGGACTCTTCCGCAGTCTAAAGTCCATCATATCTTCTGGTTATCGTATACTCAGTCATCGCGCGACTCTTCTGCATCTTCTCTTCCAACTCCGGAACAGCCGTCGAACCCTTCATCATCAACCAAGAAACTACCTCTTACGGAGTGCTTCGTAGGTTTAAAAGAACCCACTTCTTTCTTTTCCTTTCCCCACTGATCATCGCATATTCCACCTTCTCCTTATCTTTAAGCACCACGTTCGGTATGCGGTGTTAGCCCTATGCGGTGTACTCCGTACAAATGCAAGGGGCACGAAGTACAACCCACTCATCACTTATCCTTGTAGTACTCCGCAATCTCAAATCCGGCTCTTTAGCCAGCTTGCCCTTGGCTTCCAGTCCGAACAGGCCAAACAAACTCCCTGTAGGGGTAACGGCGGGGGGTTTTAATAGGAGCTCTCCAGGTGAGAAAAAAGTGGCGGAATAGATGCACCAAAACTCGCTTGTCTATTCCGACACTTTTTTCTCACCTGGAGAGTAGGAGTCTCCATCAAAAAACAGCTTAGCATTTTCCGTCTGTGCGTGAGGTTTATTCGGCTTGGGGCGATCTAGATAGGCTTTCGTGCCGTCCTCGAACATATTTAGATCTCGGAGGCTGAGTATGGAGGAATTTACCACATTACTCCGTAGCGACTTGGCCCGTGACTGGGAGAAGAGGGTTTAATTCAGGGTGGCGGCAGATCTGATATCCACTTGGATATCTATACCGTTTCGGGGTGCCTCCGTACCGGTATTTGGAGGGAGAGCCCGGAGAGATTGGAAAACTTTGAGGTTATGCGGACAAGGACGTTATGGGAGTCCGGGCTTCAGTTCCCCTGGTGTGCTAAATATGGTCATTGTCTTTTAGGGTGGATATCACTGTAAGGAACTGTAAAATTAAAGGGAGGTGACGTCTTCTTCTTGCCACAGCAGTAGATTATCCAGTAATTGGACGAGAATGGACAAATTTCGAAGTCTTGGATGGGCCGAATGGATTCAAGGAATAGTTGTAAGGCCGATGAAAATATACGATGTAGGAAACTTGAAACAAAAACGCTTCAATTTAATTTTGAAGTGTAATTGCTGTGATCTGTACCTGAGCTTCTATTGTCGCGCCAGGTTAAAGTCACTTGATGATGTTAAGTCAGACCGGAAATCAGATGAGCTCGGTTGCGGTCAGAATCTGATGTTGCCATGCTGGCGATTCGAAATATGCTAGTGTGCTGCCATGTGAGACCCACGCCTGCAGGGGCAATGCTACAGTACTATACTGTAGGGGTGAAATTGTTGTTCGAACCCCTGGCATTACATGGGGTTTGCTTGCATATGCCCTGGCCTGGGATGAACGTAGCAAATAGCCGACGAGATTTCCTCGTGGGATTCCTATTTTTATGCAGTATCACATTAGTCTGCAACTGTCTTTCCCTACTGTATAGTGTCATGACGCATTGAAAAGTAAGTTGTTCCAACGCTCAGTATGAACTCTCTTCTCTTTCTATTAATAGTGTTTCAAAGCCTCAGGCGCAAGAGTCAACATCCTCCGGTTTCAGCCCGATTACCCCGCCACCCCTCCTTTCCTAAATATTCTCAAAGCTTCATGCGTACATGTATAGTAAGACTAAGTAGGTAAGGTCAGCATCAGTTGTGGGCAGCTAGCCTATCGGAGACACATGCTTGTCGATAAAGATGATGATGATAATAATAATAATAATAAATTAATAATTCCGACATCTGTGGTCATGCTTACATGCATGTGCCAGTCCCTACCCCACACGCTACCTGCATCAGCCTTGCCAACCTTATAAGATAGTATACGAGTATTGCTAAACTTTAAAGGAATGTGGGTGAAACAATAGGATAACGGCCTCGGCTAAAAGTTCAGACATTATATAAAAAATCTGCTTTATAGTATCTTGCTATCTTCTATAAAACGTGTTAGACCGGGAGAACTTTGAGGGGCTGATTGTAATCTGTAATAGTAAAGTATATGCTTTGTAAAGTATGAAATCTTTGAAACGTTTTATTACGTGAACAGTTAAACGTGAAAGCAACCTTATTCGTTGTATATGTAACGGGTCCTCCTGCATAAAACCCTTGCCAATCTACTACGGAGTAAATTGTTTTTTTCGACGCCAGACGGGATGCATGGAGTTACTTCGTAATAGGTAATTTATGTTGGGGTGGCTTTTGACTGCCCTATCTTCGGGAAAACCAGGCCCAAATCTTAGATAGTTGCTCGTAACCTCGTACTGTAGGATCGAAAGTATATCTATCTCCGGAGGGTCTCCGGAGGGTGGAGATGTAAGTACCGGGCATAACAACAGGGAATGTCAAGTCTCCGAACATTCAGCGGGGGTTTCTTAGATGGGTCCTGTAAAGGCTTGCTTCGTTCTTACTATATTAATTATAGAAGAATATCGATATAAGTATATAATGGGGACCGGAAAAAAGTAAGCAGAAAGTAAAATATGAGGTAAAAGCTCTCTAGTGAGGAAATAATAGGGATGGTACGGCTTCTTGAAATCCCCTATTCCAAAATGAATGGCGTTACCTCATATGCAGGTTGATAACTTTAATTGACTGCAGACATGATGGACTAACCTAAGAAGGTGCTATCCCACGTGTCAAGGATTTCCACTGGCTGACCTGCGGCTCTGCGGATCCCGTCAACTTGAAAAAACAATAATGGTTGCAAATTTGGGAAGGAATATTACAAATATACTTATTTTCATCTAGTTTGAAACAAATGCAACTAAGCCTCTAAGATGCGTGAGTGCCGACGTCCCGAAACGGAGTACCGGTACCTTTTCCGTAAGCAAAAGAAGGTTCCCTCGTGGCGTGTTATCAAGGGCTATCGTGGGAACGCCCAGCCGGTGGACCTTGGAGGGGCAGGACTTTCCCGAATACGCAGACGAAAGACTCTATACTTTCGCAAACAATAATACCTTTATAGCCATAAGTAACAGGGGCTTAACCACTCAATATACCGAAGTAGTAGTTTGCAAAGAATCTTCGAATTGACTACCTCGTACCACGTATTCGATCTCGCCGTCACAATACCGTTATTCCCATACTCGATCTTGATGTAGGCCATTAGGTGTGATTAACGACAGTATCTAACCTTAAAAGGATCGTCGACTCTGTTTCGAACGCTCGTCCAAACGCATATCGCAGTGTTATTTCCACGAAGCTCCGTAAGGCTTGAGATAGGGAGCACGCTGGCTTACAGGGGTACTCCGTAAGGCTTCAAGCACTCGAGCCCCTGAAGCGAGGCCCTGGTAGCCGTGCAACACTACGGCTCCCTCCTACTATTACCCTAATGTAGCAAATTCGTGCTAATTCGATGTTAATAATAGGGAATCCTCCACTGACTCCAGTTTGTTTCCTTGTAGATTGGCAAGGCGGGGGCAGGGCTCTGTTTCGAGTTTCAGATATACAGTACAAGCCCTTTAGACTGTTCGAGACAGGCTCCTTCCTGACAGTGCCTGCAGTGGACCCAAGACACCCTAGCTTGTACCCACCCTAGCTAGACGTCAAACCAAGTGGATGGGAATATAATCTACTCGTAAGGAGTTTGCGCTTAGTCTAAGGCTAAGCTGCACTGGCTCACCAGCGCGGTGGCGGTTAAAGAACCCCGCAACTTCGGCGACTCTTGCCAAAAGAAACTACCTTGCTCTTGCCTCTGGCTCCCAATCAACAGACCTCTTTCTTCTCTTCGTACTAAGCAGTTATTTCGATCTTATCCAGACCTGGGTCGTTGGAACTGCGGATCGATTCCGACCATCAATCATATGAAGCTTCCTTGAAAACGTGGGAGGATCCCACCCTCATCTCTCCAAGAAACAACAATTATATAAAGACCCTCAGCGCAACCAGCCGTATCTGCAATCGCCACCAGCTTTCGCAACTAAGCATACATAGGTACCTACACAATTTTCAAAGCCATCTCAAGATCAAAAGCATGGTAGGCGTCGGCGGTCGCTCTGGAGGTACGTTGATAGCTCTCTGTTGTGCCACACCGGTACATGGTTACATCAATTGACAAGATGCCCTGCACTATAGGATGCCACACATGCCGCCGACGACGAGTCAAATGCGACGAGATACACCCAGTATGCGAAAGATGTACCAAAGCCAAGATCAACTGCGAGGGCTATGCGCGCGACCTCAAATTCGTGGACGAGAAAGGGCGCGCCCAAAAGCGCGTGCAGGTGAAACGACAGGCATACTTGGAAGCTGTTCACGCAGAGGAGGCACAACTCGAAGCCGTACGGAAGACAAAGTCAGGCTCGCCCCCGGTAGGTGAGGCCTGGAAAGGAGCGACGCCTTCAATAGGGCCCACACTCGATATAGGCGTGTTCAAGGATGAAGTACAGATATCGTTCATGCTAAAAACCCTATTTGCGGGCTGGAGGCTATTCATGCCATGGGTCATGACGGGATATCGCAACGCCGAGGAATGCACAACCACCCAGACCGTTAAGGCGCTGAGCTGTGTTTTCTTTGGTCGAATGCACAACAATAGGAATATCTTCGATTCTGGCATGGTTGCGTACTGCAATGCTCTCCGCCTGTTAGGGTCAGATTTGAAGGATCCCAAAGCTGCGTATGGGATATCGGCCGTCACCAACGTCTTATCGTTGGTTATATTTGAGGTAAATCCACCGACATTCACCATCAAAAACCACCGCTAATGGATTGACTTTTAGATGATGGCTTCTAAGGGAGGACCCGGCATAATGCAGCACTTGGGTGGAGTCCAAAGACTGATACAAGCTCGTGGACCAGAACGGCATCAGAACCGACCGGATTTGGACGTTTTTGAAAATGCCAGGCTCGGAATGATACATCAATTCATGGAAAAAAGGAAACGGTGTTTTCTGGAGGAGCAACAATGGATGACCATTCCGTGGTTCAAACATCCTGAAGCTAAGACGTTTGTCTCTTCCATTACTGATCGAAAATGTTACCTTCCAGGCCTCTTGGATGACATGGAGGCCATGCGGACCGGCGTACGGGCTTCCCAAGCGGATGTCTCACTCTTATGCGAGAAAATCTATACACAGCTTTATGAGCTCTTCTGCTGGCGAGCTGCCTGGGAGGCAGAATTTCCAAATTGCTGTTGGACTGTCCCAGTACATGAACCAGATAAGCCCTACAGCACGGCAATTTACTTCTCCTCACTGGAACGAGCGGTGGAGATTTGCCATTACGATACAATCTTTTTGATGCTCTATCGAATGGGCTGCATTCTGTTTGGTCCTGATTTCGATACAACTACTATTGCTCTGCCCATCCCCATGATCAGGACAAATCCCGTTCTTCTCCTTCCCACTGATCCCAAGTCTGTCCATGAATTAGGAGTGGAAATTCTTCGCCATATACCCTACTTTTTCAAGGACAATAGCCAACATGGGGCATACTTCCAAGCATTATTCCTGCTAAGATCTACGTTTGAAGTTTTTGTGCCAGGCACCATAGAGTGGGATTATTGCCAAAAAACGTTCAATGAGCTTGCAGACAAGAGTGGCTTTGAGGTGGCCCGAAAAATGATGCCCCATGGCTTGCAAGGGAGAATGTTGCAAGACGAAGGGATGCATGCTCCCATATTTTGATCTGCTTGGAGAGCTGTTAATATGTGCAGGCAAACATATACGGCGGGCGACCGCCATGGAAGGTCTATGGCCCTGGCATGCCCATCTAGCCTTAGACAGCCAAAGATTGTGCCTCGTTACGATCTACCGCCAAGTCACAGAGCATATCTTCTACGAAATTTACGATGCCACGATGTATGCCCTCACAAAATGATGACGCTCCTAAAGACTCAGACAGCCCTTGATCTTCAGGAAAGTATGAAACAATCATCTGTAAATGCTCCTTGCATTGGAAAGTTGTGGTGGGATGAGAAGATGAGACGAAGATCTAGACTTTCCAACTCGTTGTATAGTTTTTAAGCATTAAAATACCCCTTCTAGCATTCTATACAAATTACATTTCTCAATATTACTTTATCCCTGTATTTCTTGAAGACCATAGACTTATCCATCCTTGTTCAATGTTCATCCATCATATTCTCTTCCACGGGTCCATTTGATTGGCTCATTCACAATTCCTATTATTACCATCCGATCCCCAGGTTACCCATGACTAGTTCATTTGTATGACTCAGAAGACTCAAAATGAGCTTCTGGTTCTACTCGTAAAACGGAAACTCTAGACGCGATCTTGTCAGCATCTAATCTACCTAATCCATCGCCTTCCCTTAGCACTGCGGCTACCAACTTCACGCATCCTTATTTCAACGCTACGGCGAAGTCCCCCAGCCTTAAATTCGCACTACGGGATCCACTATTAGGACCCGGCGGCCTGCGGGCTCAAATTAAATAGTAGTCTATGCCTACACGGGCAATGATCCCGAGTCTCACCCTGAACCTGATACCCTTAAAAGGGATGGACGCCTCGATGCGAATCTCCTACATGCAAATCGTACGTTGCTTAATAGTCATTAAGTAGATTTTACTATGTGAAATAGAGGGTTTTAGTTAGGTACTCACGGATTAGGAATCCATGGATATTCTACTCTTTACACTTATAGGAGTCCTCTCTGACGTGTTCACCCTTTTTACTTGCAATATGGGATAACATCACCTTATAAGTACTTCTACAGCATAGGATGTGATAGTAAAGTGTGATAGGATTCTGTACGCGTCCTGATCTGCTACTATTCGCGTGACTAGAGAAATCTAATTTGGTATTATGGTCTATGTTTAGTTGGATGTATAATCTGGATTTAAGATTAGGCATTTAGTAGAAATGAATTTATTATTAGTAGGTAGTAAATACTCCAGATGATGATTATGCCTGGGATTGGAATCGTAAGACTTCGAAGATGCTACCTAATTAGGGAATGGAAGTCTACTTTGTCGTAGGCTAAATGAACCACACCCTACGTATACGCAGAGAGGGAAATGCCAATGGGGTGTTTTCCTATCACAGCTGCTACTATAATAGAACCCTAGCATCACGTCTGCGTAGGGTTTATCTAGCCTAGAAAGAAGTACGATCCCTTCCTTGAGACAAGAGAAACAAAAGTTCCTATTGCTTTACAGAAGATGAGCAGGTTAGGAAAAGCTATGCTGTTCAAAAGTGAAGTGGATTTGCCGTAGCAATATTACAATTGGGAAAACTATTTATCCACCCAGATAAAATAGCAAAGGGTATATATCATCAAATGAGCAGAAATTGTATAACACAACATGCAATCAAGTTACACACCTTTGTGTGTAGAGATAGCCCTCACGCAAGGTTACTGTTGAAACTGCTTCGGCTTCTACCATATGTCCCGTCCGCTCAGTCCCGTCCGCTATTGTAGCTTGATTGCATGTTCCGCGACTTATAGTTGCGGTCTTTTTTCCCTTCCTTTTCCTTTTTGCTTTTCTGCTTGGATCTGTTGGAATTGGATTTTGCATTTTCGAGCTGAGCTTACAAGTAAAGATGATAAATTGAATTTAGTTCAAAAGTCCTGATTATCAGTGTGAACTGTGTGATTTGAATTCTAGTATAGAGATCCGAAAATAGAAAAAAGGATTGATTATTGCACTTAAAACCTGTCGAGAGTAGTGTCAGAACTACTAGAATTGAGCCACTTTCACAAAGGTCGGCCAGTTCGAACTTGGTTTGAACCGAGTTCGAACTCAGTTCATTTGCGCGACGTGCAACAAAACATCGATGACTGCTGCCTAATTTGAACTATTAAGCGAGACTGGAAAAGGGGGGACCGGGGGTTGGTGATACCAGTAGAACACATTGCGAAAACGGAAATAGCGCTCTTCTTACAAGCTGTTAATCATTTGAGGGTTTAATCGCCCTGTAAATTTGATGAAGGCTACTTTTTGTGAAAAGATCCTGGCATTGCAGTTAGATTTGTCCTTTGCCCCTCGGCAAAATGCTATCCTACATCATGCTATCCGAAACCAACAGAGTAAACCACAAATATAATAGTCGAACCCTACGGCAATTAACGAGCAGGCTCTGTAGACACAGCAACTGGCTGAGATGTTTTGTGTAAATGCAATTTGTTGAAAATTCGATGATGAATCTCTCTATTGTGACCCCGATTCTCAAAATCAAACATCTTCGATTTCATCGTTTCCTTTTCATTTAGCATATGTTTAATATCCCGAATTCTCATGCGGTCAGTATGCTTGGATTCAAAAGAATGGTGATGAATCTTGTGGTCGTCCGAGGACCATTTATCATCTCCGGATTTATTTTGCACGGTTATCCAGCGCTCAACGATGTAATATTCGTCTTCGATTTTCATTGCAGCTACTTCGTTGAGAGCCTACGCTACTCTGTTGAGGTTATATGTGTCTGAACGCAAAAGCCGATTGATTTCTGAGTTGCTTGTAGAATCCTTTCCGAGCTCGCCCACTCCATGCCCTCCCCAGCACTTTGAGACGAAGAGTCTTAGTCTGAGGCCCTCACTCTAGCTTTTCGTACTGCCTCGAATGTCTTTTTTGTCATTGTATTAGGTTCATCAACGACAATCGACCCAAATCCAAAATGCACTGGAGTTGGCCCCGCTGCCAGAAACCCCCGGAGTGCTGGCTGGCTGGGGTATGAATGAGGAAGCGACAGAGAAGAAATAGAATCCAGAAATCGAGATATGTAAACCCCAGTCTCGCTGCTTAAGGATGAGAGATGGTGACCCAGATAATTAGTGAAGTCAACTATCTATGCGAAGACTTGCGTTACTAGTAATAAGTGAAGGGGATACGGAGGCGGCTTAACAGACCCGATCCCCACATCAGAGTGGTAGGCTGCAGATTCAAAATTCGATGACGGAGAGTGTTGATATTGTCCTTTAGGCCTTGCCAAGTTATCATTTCTCCTAGAGTATAGCTCATGAAGTTAGTCCGACCGTGATCGGTATTCGTCGACCTCACATGCGCGAGCGGGTGAAGAAAATATTAAGTTGGCAACCAAGACATGGTGAAGTTGAGACGTACTGGAATACCCAAATTCTCCGCACAAGGTAAGCGCGCAAAGCTAGGCGGATTGGCTAATGTAGCATCTGCGATAAAAGGTCTCTGCGTGAAGCTCGAAGACTGGATGACTGGTTCCATCTCCAGCTTCGATGTATGATCTCCAACAGCCCACCAGCATTCCGTACGTTACTTTTCGGCGCTTGCCTATTTCTACGCTCCGCAGTGTCTTGATGTCGGGCACTAATCCTGGATTGTGGATGCCAGGCTTCTCGGGACTTTTCAATTTACTTTCACCCATAAGTGGAATCTATCCCGCCAAATATTCCAGAATTCCTTTTGCGTTTCTATTCGAAAATACCCCTGATCTACTGTTCACTGGTGAGCACGCACTACGGACAACTTACTGGAAGCTCGACTTTATATCTGGTGCTTCGGGAGGAACATCGTACTTCAGATAGTGCTTGACGGCGGTATGTGCGGTTTGAACCGCCGGACTAGACCATGATGGGCAACTGGCATGTTCATCACTGCAGTGTATAGCTGCGGAAGCTAGTGGCCTTGCAGTTCCCAAAGCTGGAAAAGTAGTGAAGGAAGTTTGAAGTTGAAGGGGCCACGTCAATGAAGACCAAACGATTTTGAAGCAGATACAAGACCTAGAAAACAACAACAATTTGCAAATTCAGGAAAGTGGCAATGCAAGGGACGCTTAGAAGATGAGAGAAATCAAGTGATTGAAAGGCATTAATTAGAGCCAGATTGTATATGAATCCTGAAAATGAAAATGAAAGAGCAAGACCTTCGAAAATCTTGAATGCTACAAGGCCTCTGGGTCTCTATTCACAACCTTGTGAAGTGAAAAATAAACTAAAACTTCACGAGGATGCATGAATTTAGGCCTGTGCTGGTGACTATTTTTTAGTAGTGATCATCCCCTTATTTCCAGTGTTTTTTAGCGCTATTTATTTATGCGATTCATGAAAATTCATGAATATAAAGTGAAATCAGGTATAACTTCATGAATCCTTCATTGAGAGCAATAAGACCATGAATATAAAGCGTGAAGGGGGGTTCTTAGTTCATTCTCTTCATTGTAGAGACCTAAAGGCCTCAAATTTAATAGTATGACAAATATTCAACATGTCTGATGTGACGTCTGTGTTTTCTTACCAATCTCCAAAACTTTGTATAGAGCAGGCAACACATAGAGACGAGCAAATATAAATTTGAGACGTTGCTATGATGTGGGACAAAAACAGTTCGTTGTGAGAAAGAGGAAAGGGGAACGCGCTAAAAACCGTAGCGCCAAGGCTGGTTCTCGAAGCCTCCAAAGTGTGTCAGCAATCCTCCAACTTCAGCCTCGCCATCCATTACGACTTTGCCATCTGCCTACACTACACCACACTCGTTCCAACACATATTGATACCTTTGTTGACTCAGCAGATATTACAACATATTTAAGCCATCCTTCTTTCCAAAATGGCGACTCCATCAGCTTCCGCTTCACCAGAAGAGTCGAGTTACACCACCATGGACGAGAAAGACCCAACATTAATCGGCACCCACTGCCAATACACATACTGCAACCAACTCGACTTCCTGCCCTTCCGATGCGAATCATGTCGAGGAACATTCTGCCTCGACCACCGATCCGAATCCGGCCACAAATGTCCCAAAGCTGGAGAATGGGCTGCAAGGAGACGGCGAGCGAATCTGTCAACACCTTCTCTCGGCGCAGGCAAATATATGGGCGAAGTTGAAAAGCCCTGCGCGGATCCTAAATGCAAGACCACTATCGGCACAAGTCTTTCTACCTCGGTACACTGTTCAACGTGCAACAGAGACTACTGCTTGAAACATCGCCTGAAAGAAGATCATGACTGCAAGAACCTCATCCCTATTGGAGCTCGTGTCGGCAGATTCTCAACACAGCCGGATAAAGCGTTAGCAGCGTTTGGAAAGCTGAAGGCATGGGGGGCTTCTCAAAAGGCCAGCATGTCAGAACGAGTGCTGCCGAAGCCCAAGCCAACATCTGCTGCGGCAAGGATGGTGGCTGTCAACAATTTAAAGAAGTCAGCGAAAGGCGATGCCAAACTTGCCCCTGAGAAACGAGTCTATATATTCGTGGACGCGGAGGCAGCCACAACTACTTCGAAGTTCCCTAGTGGCGAGTTTTACTATTCGAAAGATTGGGTTATTGGACGGATTTTGGATGCCGCTGCGAAAGCACTACAAGTGGAGAATATCAACAATCAAGGATTGGATGAGAAGTCGAAGCTAAGGGTCTTTCATGTTGAGGGCGGGAGGCTTCTAGAGTTCAACGAAAAGGCTGGGGATTCTCTTGTCAGTGGCAATAGGATAGTGCTGCTCAGAGGAGTCGGTCCAGCAATTCCTAATCTCATTGAGGCATAATGTTCTATGTTTTACTTTCCTCGGCGGGGGATACAGCGGTAGCCGCTTGAATATAAAGTGGATTTTCCAAGCATAGCGTTGGAGTCAAAGGGACGATTGTATTTACTCAGTTGCAGAGCATAATAAGCGTTATGATCTTATGAATCAAGAATTTACGAAGCATTGCTTCTACAAATCATTATTGCTCCTTGACGAAACGATTTCTTCAAACTTGATTCCAATTTTTATATCTACAAGCTGAACACCAATTTTTCAGTAGGTTCAATTGGCCTCCCCACCAACACTTCTGCCTTTTTCTCCCCCAAATCCATCACAATTCCGAAAAGCGTAGCAAGAGCATTCGGTCCAGCCACTTCTGTCTGTTTCCTACAAATACTCGCGCCATCCTCCTCAACTTCATCCCTAAAAATTTCCCACAGCACATCGTCACTCGGCTGCTTCCCTTTCAATGACTCCCCAGCTTTCCGCAACCTAAAGTTTGTATCAGGCAACCACACCTTCTCCACGACTCCTTTCTTGTGCGGCAAAACATAATGATTAGTATGCGCCACCACACCCACCTCATCCATCACTAACTGCACAATATCTTCGCTGCTACACTCCAGCCCCGTGCCGCCCGTTGTATCAGCTACCAGAATATGGCAAGAGCTCGCCACGCCCCATTTCTCAAGAGTAGCTATCGCCTCTGCCCGGGACGAAGAGTCCAGGACAGAGCGGAGGGCAAGATGACAGGGCAGTTTGGAGAACGAAACTCCTTTCGCAGTCACGGCGTTCAAAGTACATCCCACACCGTGACTATTCATACCTATCTTCCCAATTATCCCCGCTTCGGTAATCATCTGCATCGTCAGACCATCTCCTTTAACAATCTTTAAACAAATCAAATTCTCGGATTGCCTATAAATATCGTCCTCATCAGCACCCCCGCCGGACTTCCCTTCTCTTCACCCCAGAAATCAAGATGAAGGTGGGGCCGGGCCTACTCACACAGTATCCCAATCCCAATTCTGCCCCAAATAAGACTTATCCGTGGATTTCCAAGAAATAGCAGTACACCCATCAGTGTAAGCCCCAAACGCAATCTCAGTCCTCACATTCAGCGCCAGGATATCCGCATATTCCTTCCCGGCACCCTTGGCTACCCCCTCCATCTCCTCGACATATTGCGGGAAATTGGCAGAGAGGAAGGGGTGATATTGCATGGCGAAGCCTTTTACGGCCGGCCAGTCCATGGTGCATTTTTTGAGGAAAAGAGCACTGTAGAATGTGAGGGAGCGGGCGATGTGGGTGGAGGCGAGAGTGCCGTGGGAAAAGCCGATTTGGGAGGGCGTGCCGGAGGCGGATATCTGGAGCATTTTGGAGGGGGGTGGGGTGAGGGATCCCATGTTGTGAGACTTTAACAAGATAAGTTGGAGTGAGATATTAGATGAGTGTAAATAGAGATTGTGAAAGGGTATGCCGTTATCCCACTTCTGAGTGAGTGGCAGGAAGTCACGTGGATCAAGCTATGTAGCTGAGAGTAGGCTTTTAGTTGAAGATAGGCTTAAAAACCTATTAATACGTCCCTATATAATATTATACAAATCACACGGACAGAATTGTAGGTGGTCCTAATTTTTATATACCGTTACAGTGATCACGTGAATAAGTATAGACACATGAAGCACAATACATTTGCCTAGTGCAAGTTTCCCATGTTAGCAAGTCCCAAGCCATAAAGCAGACAAGACAGGTCAAAAGCTGTTATCAGAAGAACAGTCAATGGGAATTATAGGCGACCGCTTGTAAATGCCTAATTAGGGGCTCGTCTCGAGAGAAAGGGGGGAGACTCGCTAATTGAGAGCAGGCGATGAAGTGCTCTCACCAAATCTCGGGTGAGATAGCCCATATATTTTTCGAATAAGGAAAACAGTAAACCGACCTTGTAATCATTATAATCGTCTCGTAGCTAATACTGGAGGGTAAAATTCAGGGTAAAATTGAAGATTATCATGTCGCTCACTCCTGCACATACGTATACCGTGACTCACGGCTTATTATGTATACTACGCCCTCGCCGTCCAACAGGGACCCAAGGAAACTACTCGATAGCAGCTACAAGGTGTTATTCCCTAAGTATATTTCAAATCAGCTTCGTCCCATCTACCGATACGACGTAGGCTGATATCCCACCCACCCTCGTCTTGCAACCTCCACCTCGCCCATTCCTTCACACTTTCAACCGCTCTATCCTAGCTTCACAACAGCCATCATTACCAACCCCCCAAACCTTCCTCGACGCGCTATCCGTCCGCGGGAAAGTCTTCGTCCGCGAGCAAAAAAGCAGTCCCGCTAAAACACCACACCGATACCGACGATGCGCGCTCATGTCAATCTCGGCTGCCCATCCATACTCTCCTCGTCAGATTCAGATTCAGATTCCCAAACCCTCCCACCCCCAAAGCCAATAGGCACAATCCGCCTCATTCCATCTCCACACCCCCCCCACCTAGCTCCAGAGTCCATTTGCGACGCCCCGCCAGGAGAAGAAGCGCCCGCACGCAGTGCAGAAGAAGGGTTCTCCGCCCCAGACCCGATATATGAAACGGACAAGAAGACAACCTTTCACAACGGCGAAGAACCGTACGTTCGTGAAACTCGGCCCGCCTGTGTGTCGGTGCAGAGGCAAGGGGGAGGAGGCTAGCTGGAGTGTTGATTGATCCGTGGAGGCATTTGGGGTTGTGGAAGAGGCTTGAGCTTAATGCGATGTTGGAGCCGAATACGTGATTTAAATATATACTCCCGAGTGATTGGATTGGGGACGCTTGCGTTGACGAGCCATGCGAGGGAACTTTCCTGATGATACTGGTATATATATTTTCGAATCCGAACGTGTTTTTATGGCGAGGTACAGTAACATCAATCGAATCTACCCTTCCTCATTACCCGGCTCACTTTTCGACGAGCAAGAAAGAATTCCCTAAAGCCAAACAGACTATTCCGTGGCATGATTTACGGGCAGTACGCTCGTTCTCAAGCAGATATATGACTAGTACAGGTAGGTAGGTAGTTTAGGATTCTTGAAGTGTGAAACTTTAGGCGCTGTTTATCTCCAAATGTCTCCTTTTTAGTCGAGGAATCGTCTGATATGGAAATGTCAGTATACGCTGAACATCGAAAGGGCCGCGTAACAATTGCGTATGAGTATATAAGCTGTTTTCAAAAACAAGAAAAATTGCATACAGCATTAAAACAACAAAAGGCAGCTGAATCCAGATTTGGTTTCGAGGTTGAAATTTGCAACGAGAATGGAGCGAGCATATAGTAGTATTAGTATGGAAGTATCACTATAGCTCTTCTTATTCCTCTTTGCCTGCCTGTTGTTACTTACCTTGAATAGTATTATAAGTATATCCGTATTTGACTTATCATGGAAATGCAAAACTCCACTTCATTCTTCTTCTGCCACAGTAACTCCACCTCCATATATTCTGCAGCACAAGAACCAACCAATCCAACGCCACTCGGAAACAAAAAACCCCTATACCGCCCGACGCTTTGCCAACCAAACACCTCCCTTTAAGACAAACCCGCTATGGCTATCCAGCCCCACGCGCACACGGTTACGATTCCCTCGGATCACTCCAAGTAGTCGTCCTCGTACTATGATCAACGAAATACTTCCTACCCCCATTATTCATCCTCTCCTCCCATCCAGCAGGCAGTCCCAGCTGCGTCCGCGGATCATACCATGTGTTTGTGCGCGTGGCATGGTTGACGAAGTATACGCGGCCGGCAGGTGAGGTTTTCTGCTCTATGGAATTTGAGGGGAGTGGGTTTGGGTCGGCGGCGGTGGTGGTGGAGTTTGAGGTGGGAGAGGGAGTGGCGTTTGTGCCAGAGGTGTGTATGGGGATCAAGACCGCATTAGGGGGTTCTTGTTGCTGCTCGCTACGGGCGGGACGATGATTTTCAGGGCCGGACATGTTGATCGTCATGGTTGGGGTTGATGTCCAGTTGTGGAGTGTTTCGATACAACTTGCTTGTTGGCAGAATAAGGAAGTGGGCAAGAGTTGCCAGGGATCAAAGATTTCGCTTGTTTCAATGCAGGTGTTTATTTCTGGGGAAGAATGACGTTTCAGGATTTGAGAGCGGGGTTTGTACGAAGTGCAGTACTGTAGTGCAAGTTATGTGGTAGTGCATACATTATGACTACATGAACCAATGAAAAGGGGGGAGTATCCGGCTATTCTTTAGACCAATGTGTACCTGAGAGGCACAGACGTATTAGCGTTACAGTGCATCGACCTTGCATCCAGGAGCAAATTTAACGACAATTCAATGTCAGAAGCAGCAAGAGATGGGTTCAGGAAAAAGATGGGGATCAATAGAAACTTCTTGACCTCCGGCTAGGTTGAGGAAAAGGTACTCATGCTTGTGAGAAGGAGAACCTTTGAATTTGGTATATCGTCCCCCAGTCTAAGGGAGAAAAGTAGTGTATGAAAAAGCAAATACCAGTGCTTTAGCTTCATTGATTGGAGGCTCAGACCTAAAAAGTAGTAAGATGCAGGTACGGCGATCTGGTTATCTAGTCAAAGGAAATACGCACGAAACATTTCAAAACGCAATGTCTCTCGAAAATCTGAAAGATATGGATCCAGAGCTTCCCCTGATTCATTTTAGTATATTACCGAAATACCCAGGAAACGAATGAACTTCGTTCAGCTTGATTATATCCGAAACAAGGCTCGTAAATCGCACATCCCCCAGCTCCACGATCAAGAGATATCGTCAGGATGCAGTGAGATCGTACCGATTTTGCGCATAAGTGGATCAATATTGCTCACATTCAGACCAGTATAAAGCCGCAACTCTCAGGACATAGAAAAAGCACTGTCAGGCTATCCAAAGTTTGGATACTGTAGTGATTATCATAATCTGTGAACAAGCCTCATTTCTCCAGAAAGGCCGAGAAAACATAGCCTGTGGCCTAAACCAACAGTAGTGCTAGTTATTGCGAATACCCTTAGTATTGGGTTGCTGCATGGACTTCCACGTGGACGGGTGTTTGCACAGGCCAGCAGTTCGTTGCTTTCAGCGCAAGTCAGAAGGTTCGCATGCTTAAATGTAAGAAGCCTTTCGGCGTAAGCTCCATGTGTGAAGAGAGTGTGCGAGATGTCTTGCATGTGGGGAGACCAACATCCAGGTACCGAAGCGGCTTGAGGCAGGAACCAAGATGGGAGGTATCCCGCCGTCTTGGTTGAGACGAGATACAGGAACCAAGACACCATTTGTAGCTTGAAAGAAATGTGATAAGAAAGACATGAAAGAGATGATATTTGGGAACAGGCGATTATGCCTCCATGGCGTTCTGCCCAGAATCGGAACCTACCGACTACTCCGGCATCGGGCCGTCAGAGTATCTGCAAGAAGCCTGTTTTATGATAATGTGAGTAAGTATGCCTGCTACTGTACGGACATTGCCCATCGATCAAGACGCTAGTAGTGAAATGAAGGTCGAGAGGGACTTTGGCATACGACTTGTCAGTCCGATCTGAGAAGATGCAGATGCTACTAGCCCAAATCGGGGAGATCCGAGTCTTAGATATACTTGATCCTCACCGCTATAAAATGCAAGCCACTATTTATCGTCGTCCATGGCCATGCTCCAACGTTATCATGATGATGATGATGATGATGATGATGATGATGATGATGTTGATGTTGATGATGATGTTACGCCGTTACTGTACGACCGATGAGGCGACGCCTTACGTACTAACTTGAAATCAACCGAGACTGGACGATCGTAACTTTAAACCGCTGCTTTTGTGATCCCTCACCTGATCCGAAATTCAAGTACTTGGGGATTCGAGAAATTGTTGGTAAAATAAATGGGACCTTGCATTTGTGTAACCAACTGGTGACGCCGTGCACAACCTTACCCGCCGAGCCCGCCCCGCCTAGCTAGCCTCAACAAAAAACGACCGCAACAAGTATATGACCAAAACTTGGAGACCTGTTGAAGCATTTCGAAATTTGTATTCTGCCATCAAAATGATCGCCCTTCATGAGACAGGCTTCTGAGAATATACATAACTAAGATAGATAGATGCAATAGTACCCGTCCTGAGCCGTCCCGTACTTCGTACCTAGGCAGCTCTCGCTTCATTTAAGGTTTCAAGGTTGTTTGTCCTTGTCCTCCTCCCCTCCTCTGCTAGTACCTACAGTAGGCTTAGGGGCTACGAGGCTACCCCCCTGTACGGAGGTACAGTGTACAAACGCGGAGAATAAAACTTTCAAGACGAAAGAAAAAAAAAAAGAAAAGTGAACGTTTGCAAGGAAGAAAGAAAATGCTGTAAAATTAAACAACGAAAGCAAATTAATTTAATAGGAGCCACATCAGTCCCTGTGGCTGAAAACCTTACCATGCAGTACTCCGTATTCAGCTGACAAAGTACAGGGTATTTGCACGATGAGACTGGGGTAAAATTCCAGGGACCTCAGCCACAAGAAACGCGAATATTCTTGAGGAGAACCGCCGTCGAAGCTGCAAAGCAAGATAAAGCCTACTCGTAGAATATTCCCTATCGATCGCCTCTGGTTCAGCTCTCGCATGATCGTCTGTCTTGCGCCTCTCCCAGTGGCTATACATAGCTCACATGACGACCGCATCCCCACGATGAGGGGGTGTGCTGCCAATGAGAGGCAAGTTCATTACGAAGTCTATAGGCGGCGGTGACCCCTTCGCCTCCGGTGACACGTCTGGATGCGCCATAACGGGATAATGCGATGCGATGCAAGATGAAGAATGCAACCTTCAAGGAAGTGTACGGCAGCGGTGAGCAACCCTTCTGGAAACATGAGTAAGTTCTCTGAGAGCGGTGGTACGGAGGGAGGTACACCTCGCAGCTATGAGAAAGGCGGGATCTTGTGTATAGTGTACCCTACACGGTATAGTAGGTAGACAAAGCGACACCTCTAGGCTCTCGGGAGACTGGCCGAAGATGCCTGTCGTTGTGGCGCCTCAGCGGTACAAGGAGTCCCTGGTCTTTGCATCTGTCCAGTAATCTGAGCATGACCCGACATACCCGCGAGGGCATCCAGGCGTCGATCTTTCCCTGCACCTCTGCTGTCGTGATTCGTCGTGCTGCACCACCTCTCGCAGTTCGCAACCACTATCAAAAGGCGTCAGATATATTCGAATATTGGTGGACAGCTGCTCTACCCGCTACCTCTTCCGGACACTTTTGGCTGCTCTAGTTGATGCGATCAGCAAGGCAGAAGACCCTGATTGGAGATATTGACTTTTTCGCGCTTCCGCCAACCGTACACGGTGCCCTTTCTGGCCCAGCCCAGCCTGAGAATCGTGCAAAATAAAGAAAGCCTACCCTGCGCGGGAACGAAGACTTGAACTAGTGGAAGAAAGAATGTATCTTTGCGCAAGTTGTTAGTGAGCCTACCCTGCCTGCCGTCCATTCCCCGTAGCCGCCAGAATGGAGGGAGCAGCCGCGACGGCTGGGCTAAAGCACTGCTGCACTCCAAGGTTTGGGATGTGGTAGATTGATTGAGCGCAGAATCTCGATATTCCGTACATCCATGCCCGTTGGCTTCGTCTGGTTGTGTGGGACTCAAGTGCCGGGGCGATCGTCTCACTTTACCGGCGCCAGAAGGGGTGACAGGCACAGGGTGACGTTGAGGTAACATGGGCTCCGAGAGCCTGGATGAAAAGATACGGAGAGGCATCGCATCGATTTGTGCAGCAGCATGTATGCGCATGGTTTGGAAGTGGGATTCCTGGAGCATGTTGTTGTTGGTGGTGCTGCTTGCTGCATGCCATCTGATTAACCTCTGATTAATCTGCTTAATAATTAATATCAAAGGTACCTACCTACCTACCTACCTTACTCGGTATAAACAAATGATTGCTATTATTACTGTGCTAAAAGCCGTGGGACTTTGAAAATAAAAAGAAAGTTCGCAGGCCCGCCGGGAAGTATAGCATACTCGTACTGTACGGAGATACTCGTACTGTACTGTACGGAGATACACGTAGGTACTGTAGGTACGGAGGTACGGAGTGATGCATTGTGGAGCCCGTTGGACTGCTTTATTGGGGAGCTCTAGCAATGTTGGGCCACCATGCAGGGACTTCTATAGCGAGCCATGCCTGTTTCGATAGCTTGGGCGTGCATCCATCCATGAGCCACCAAAAAGCTCCGATCCCTTTTCTCTCTCTCAACCTTCGTATGGACTGGACGGTACAGATCTCCCATTCCATGCTTCCCAGCCTTCCCCCCATGTCCTTGCCTTCCCTTTCCCTTCCCCTTCCCTCCACCCCTGGATAAGTGGACATCATAACCCTTGTAACATCACTAACAATTAGCCTCCTTGTACCCTGGAAGAACTTTGGGTGAGAGAAGTCATGTCGCGCCACGGAAATGCTCCAAAAGACCACCCCTTTTGGTCCAGTGCCAGGAATATTCCCGTTGGCTCAAGCAAGTTACCTACCTACCTTACCTCACAAACTGACAGCTTCTTCTCTTTTGTTGTTGTGTGCCATGCCTTGCCAGACTGACGCCGGCCACGGGACTCGATAGCCTGTCCATCAACGAGCATCGTTGTGGCTTTGCATACTCGAGGACGACCATCACTACACCACACCACACCAGGAAGACAGCCACCACCCACCCACTCACTGCGCGCTTAACTGCCCTCCAGTTCCTCCTTGAGCCTGCTTGGCCTAGCTCTAGATCGCCGAGTAATCGGCCTCGAACAACCATCTTACATACACAGACATACTTGACTTGTAAACTCGATGCTTCAGTCGACTTTACTTCTTGGCAAGAAAGGGATACACCTCCATCGCCCGCTTCCACCTTCAAGAACACGCCTCTTTTTATTTCTTTTGGACGGAAAACTCTGATCTTTATGATACCCTCGAATAACATTAATCACTGATTAGCTCGTCGTTGCGTATACTCGTTACCTTAACTGCATCGTCCTATTAAACTTCCGCCACGCCAGTCTTCGCATTCTCGAGTCGAGGCTTACGACTGCCTCACAGCCTCCAACCTCAAAGGACTGCCCCTCTTCACCCCAGCTCGATACAGGAATAAATCCGAAAATCCCAGAAGAAAGGGAAGCAACAAGTGAGGCAAACCCGCTAGCAACTGCCTTGGACCTTCTGTTTGGACCAGACTAGTCAGACGTATATCCACATTCGACATGAGTTTGATGGTATAGAAGTCGTAATCATTTCAGATAGAGTACTTGGGATCTCTGTGAGAATTGACAGCAGGGCATTTATTTCCCCCAGCCTTCCAGAGACGCGGCAAGCCTCGCCCACTCGCTTGGTGTGACCATATTCAGATCCATCAGCCGCCCTTTACGCGATCGCGAGACTTGAGTGGGAAGTTCAGTTCTCATCTACTCGACCCTTCCAGCCCTCCAGCCCTCCAGCTTCCCTGTCGTTGCCTGGCCTAGCGCTACTTGCCATTTTAGCACTACTACTGGAGCCGGAAGTAGGCCATACCACATTTGAACTGGACCCCACCTATTCTACTAGCAGTACGTGCACTTTGCCCTCCCTCTCTCTCATTGCCATTCATCCCTTGCATCCCTGTACATCAAAGTCATCTGTCACTGTAGGAGCACTTGCTCCAACCTTCAACACGATGAAGGCATGTGTACATATGCCTGCCTGCCCTCTACACACCCCCCACCGGCCCCCAGCAGCATTTCTTTGAAAGTCATCGGCACTTGCGAGCATGAACATGAACATACACGAGTTGGACCGTAATGACATGAACTGACTCTCAGATCCCATGCGAACAGGTTCATCTTCAACGGGAGGCTGCATATGCTCTAGGGACCCGGTCAATCTAGCGAACGTCAAAAGCTTCAACTCTTTGTCTGCATCCAGTACTGTACGTGCATTCTTTCAGTCCTGGTGGCGCGCGGGCAACTCGCATCGCGTCCTCATCGATTCAAGACTGCCTGTCTGCTTTTAGCGATTTCAAGAGCACTCCGCGCGCACACCCACACCTACACCTACACATACATACACATCTCGCACGTCCCGACTGACTTACTTTGATGACTTAGAAAATCCATCCGCTGGGAATACTTTATTCTCTAGTTTCAGCTTCCCGAGACTCGCTCGACATTACAAGACGGCAGCCAGTGACAACTTTAATCAACAACTCTAACGTTAATCGCTAGTTGGGGATCCAAGCTCTTCGACTAACGCCATCTACTCCAACTCTCGCTTTAAGTTCTCGGCATCGCTCGTTAGCTGCTCGGCCGTCGAAACCTGAGAGTACTTCACTGGTAGTATCGAGAGGTAGAGAAAGTGTTATTGACCAATAATTGACATTGATATCAATATCGACTTCGGCAGCGGTAACCTCGTCAGCTACCTTAACTATTTGGACTTTGGATGAAAGCCGTTCGAATTCACACACCGCATATCCCGGGCCATTCTTGTGCCTTCAACCGCTTTCTCCCCACTTAAACCCATCCCTTCCTCATACACCTTACCTTGAGGCATAGCAGCTTCTTGATCTCCGAGTTATACAGCTTCTGCTCTACCTGCCCACCTTTCATGGACCAGAAACGTCGGATTTGCTACTCCACCACTCGATTTGAACGGCTGGCACTTGCACGATTTGAGATCTGCTTGAGCCCCTACTGCTATCGTTTGTTTTCCAAGAATCAATATCTATCCCTCTCCCAACCGTCAAGCTGGCATACTCTACGTACAGTTTGTTCGACGTAAGTAGAAATCATTGCATTGTTGCCTACATTTTGTCGTTCTTTCGCCTCTTTCGCCTTTTTACTGACTGACTCATTTGTTGCAGCCTGAGCCTCTCTCGTCTCATAGACCTATAATCCTGGACGAATCCTACGCCTCGCCCGAGAGTGCAGCCTTCCACGAAGCAGGGTACGAGGGAGCCCTTGTGGCTAGGGTGGATTCTCCCAACGATCTCCTTTCCATGTCTGCCTACGGGAAACCAGCAAATACCCAATCTCATGGTGAGTGAATGTCCGCATTTGGTCACCTTGTAGCAATTCTTGATTTTTCAAATCCAAAAGTCCTATCTGAAATCGCATCGCATCTACTGTACTGACCGCTCCAGGCTATAATACTGGCCGGACATATACTGAAGGCCCATTTCCCTACGCATCGCCGGTGTATGAGGCCCAGTCCCTGTCCGTCCCTGCATCGACTGCGCCGGGCTTCCAAAGTACAACACAGTTGACGCCAATGGCCTACCCTGCCAATTCTGTCCATGCCCACACCCACGCCCATGTGCCCTACGATGACCAGTCTGGACCTTATCTCAATGTCGGATCTACGCCAGTTCCAGAGGTCAAGTCATTTTCTCCTCATTCGGGATCTGAGGATACCAAAATCTATGTTTCTATCACTTCTCTCTACGAGCTTATGACAAGCAGTACGCCGGAATTCTTCTTAATGTTTGGTCACCGGAAATGCCAGGCTTCGCTGGCGAAAGCCAGTCAGCAGGGAGGCGTGTGTCAGTACACTGTCACAACCGAGGTTCCACATTTCTCGGCCACAAACTGGGGAAGCGCACAAGTGCCAATAGATATGTTTATGGAAAGCGGAGATGGAGATGTGATGGGAAAAGTCGCTGTGGGCAAATTCACATATCTGTCCGGTTCGACACAAGGCGGCAGCGAAACGCCTCAAGATCTATCAAGGAAGAGGAAGATCTCTTCAGAGTCTGCAGAGCTCCAGAGTCCCATCAAACGGGCTTCAATACAAGTACTGCGACCGAAAGAGGAGTTTAGCACCTATGGATACTCCGCAGCAGATGGTGGCTCCTATGCCCCGTATCTGCAACCGAGTGCTTCGTATGGCAATCTTCTACCACAATACAACCGGTCTGTAGGTGGGTACCAGACGCAACCGTCAACAAGGCATCTTGCATATAGTTACTCGAATTCTGCCACGGCTTCTCCCCCGACAATGAAGGCGCAATCACCACAAGTGGGGAGCTGGAGCCCTGCATACGGAGCAGTTAGTTCGAACATGGTGCGTAGCCCAGGTATACCCTCAAGTGGAGGTGTCACTCGACCATCCTTATCTGCTCTGCCTTCACCAGCAGCTTCTGCAAATCCACGGTTGATTAGAACATCAACACTGCAGCAAACCCCAATTCCTGCATCGACTCCACATGCGGCCCACCCTGGTCAACAATTCAATGCATATGCACTTTACCCGCACAAAGCTAAACTTGAGATCAACGGTGATTTGGACGCTATGGCCCAGAGCTGGTCGGAAGAAGAGTGGGACTTGAAAAGACGACTAGTACATTTTCGGAGGTCACAAGCTGGAAGTACCATCACCACAACGTTTCAACCGGTCTCTGTAGACGAGCGACCGCAGGACAGCGTCTGCATCAGTTGCATCTATTGGGAAGAGAAGCAAGATTGCTTTGTCACCAGTGTTGATACGATATATCTTTTGGAAAGACTTGTTGCGGTCCAATTTACGGTGGAGGAGAAGAATAGGATACGGAGAAACTTGGAGGGATTCCATCCGGTTACTGTCTCCAAGGGAAAGTCAGACAGCGAGGAGTTTTTCAAAGTCATCATGGCCTTCCCAACCCCTAAGCCACGCAATATTGAAAAGGATGTCAAGGTCTTCCACTGGAAAGACTTGGCCTCTGCTCTGAAAAAGATCTTTGGCAAATACGTAAGTTATTCCCTTCTATGGTGCTAACATGGTACTGACATGGTACCAGTCTGCAGGCCCGGCGTCAACATTACCTCCAGCGCCCGCGCTTCTCACACCAGTCAGCTCGACCGGTTATGCGACTGAAGGCTCATCTGCCGGCCTCTCTTATGCCAGTGATCATCATGGGGCGATTTCGCCCCGCTCGATAACAGGTTCAACATCTTCAACGGCATACGCGGGTAACATGCCCACGCGAGTGCTTTCTCCACATAGCCAGAAGTCGATGGCCCTTCAAGGCGGCCCTCCCGATCTTCGCGTTTCACTTCCCCAGAACCCCCACGAAACACCTGGGCACTGGCCAGGGGGCCATCATCACATGCAGGCTTCGCAGCAACAGTACCAGCAGCATCTAGGCAGTCAGAGCGGTCGAGCCTCGTGGGACATATCTTCAGTAGGGGTAGCATATCTCGACAACGGCCCCGCGACTACCGCCGGTAGTTCTGCAGGATCCCAGTCACTGAACTATTCTCGCAGTGTTAACGTTGGGGAGCAAACCAGCGATAACAGGATCGCGAGAAGTCTATCTGTTCAACAGCAGAGTCACCAGATGCCGCGTACGTGAGATACGTGCGATACGTGAGTCAGGAAAGCGGGGTGATTGGCTGCAGCGGAAGTTTTCTCCAGGTGAGGGTGTCCTAGCAGATCATTGGGTCATGCGCAACGACTAGCGCAGCCTGACCCTGCAAGCCTTCACCACATCCTCGTATTTCCTCACATGCGCAGTCCTACCGGGCCTAATCAATATCGCCCACTCTGGCTCTACTCAAATGCTCACTTCTCCACCATCTCGAGGCCTGCATAACATCAGACACCCACTCAAACCCCCAGTACAGTCTGTTGACGTCGTTTCGAATAAGTCAAACGGCACTACTACCACCCTCCTGACCTATCGTGTCGCGATGCAACAGTGCCTCGTCCTCGCCATCCGATTCGCTGCCACTGACAACACCGCCTCTCCTCCGCAACCTCTTCGAGGACTTCTTGGCCATTTTTCTTCCCTTTCGACACCATCTTTCCGAAACTCGCTCTCCTTTTCAGCCGAGTCCGGAGTCCCTGTCGGCATCACTCCCCATGTTCAGCGACTGTATCGCCGCCACACCTTATTGCTTTACTTGATTTGCTTGCTGCCTATTGACTTTTTGCCGTCGATACTTGCCTGTTCTAGATATCCTTCATAGCATTTTGATCTTGTGTTTTTGTTTTTGTTTCTCAAGGTCCGGGGGACCAGGGTACCCTTAACGTATTCGGATGGAATGGAGTCCCGGTGGCGTCTTGTATGAGCGGGCTGCATTTCACGGAGTGTAGTGTGTGTATTGTAGCATATACCATTGTCGTTTTTCTTTTTTTATATTGGATACACATCACGAGTCTTGTCTCTTTTCCTCTTCGCAGAATATACCACTCTGATCTGCATCTTGGGCGGTATGCGTATGGAGATCTCGCTTTACAAGGACAATATGTATTTGAATACAAAGAGTCTGTTCTTTTACTTCTAACTGGTTGGCTGTCTGCTATAAAAAAGAAGAGAAGACAAGAGAAGAGATATACGAAAGATACGGGAAAGAGGTTTTCTGCTTTGTGGTTGATTATATTATCATCAGACTAAAGTAACGGCGGTCGCTGTTTAGCGTTTGATGGAGACCTTATTTTTTGTTTTATTCATAGTGCGTTTTTAATCATTATTTAGGGCTAGTATTTCTTGTTATCTCTTGCACGGGATGGGGCGCTGCAGGCAAAGGAACATGGGGGCTGGAGTTGAGGGTGGTATCGGTGCTGCTGCATTTGGGGGGTGTTGAGTCGAGGTTGCTTTGATTTGATTTGATTTGATTGATTGATTGATTGATACCATGTTTTCCTGCCATGCCAACAAAAAATATCTTGTGGGGCTTTGACCGGATTGGATTGCGCATACGGACGGATACGGGACGGGGACTTATATCTATACTTAATATTTAATCTATAAATTGATCTTACACCTACCTAACTTACACATGCTTCCTCCTCATTCAATCTACTAGTAACTAACTAACTTACCAACCCCCCTCCTACCCCTCCCTTCTTACCTTACCTTATCTTGCTTACTCAGTATAATAATCTAGCTGCAGCAAGCAAGAAAGACGCGCCCGGCCAACCCACCACCCCCATTCTTTGTACATCGTATCGTATATGAAAACCCATCTTTTGCAAACCTTAGGTACATAGGTAGTCAGTCAGCAGCTAGATAAACAATGCAAATAATGCATCATCAGACAAGACAAAAAGTCCTACCTTGCCTGCCCTGCTCTTACTCCTTCCTTACTTTAGTATGAGCAAGCAAGCAAGCCTACCTAGGTGGAGATCAGATCATTCATTCATTCATTCGTTTGTTTACACACGCACTTATGCACGCGTACTTATGCATGTCATCAACCTTACCTGACTCTAATTAAGTCATGCGCTTAACTACGCAGTCCTGCGGAATCGGATTCGGGTTCCGGTCATACAGTACAGTAGGAGAAGAATAGACTGCAGATCGATATCGAGATCGATGTCGCGCTAGAGATAGACAAGACAAGTCCTACTCGTATACTGTACAGTACCTTCTCCACAAGAACCTTTCTTGACAGTCACGTGTCTATATAACACAACCCAAACCCCCACCCATGCCGGTCTCCATCCATCCTTATCCTCATCATCTCGCAAATGATACAGAACAGGTAGTTTATCTTTATATCCCCTCTTTTTTCTTCTTCTTGTAATTCCCCTTCTGTCATTCGTTAATTAAGTCACAACCTCTCATTCGCTCCCAGCTAAAATTTTAAAGTTGCTTTTATTGCAATAGCCGGCGATCATATTGACGGGGGAAGGAAATGCTAAGTATTACTGCAGCTTCATTGGATGCCACGCCGTGTTGTGGTGTGTCTCTCTTTTGAGGGGGGAAGCCTTCGAATTCAAATTCGTCGTTTGTAACTGAAAAGAATAACGTTTAGTAACCTGAGTAGTTCTCAATCGTCTTGGATTCGTGCATAAACTGCTTGAATTTTTTTAATTTTTTTTGGTAATCAGTTTAACCTGACCTAACCTGACCACGCCAAATTGAAGCAATTGGCCGTGGGTCTTTGGCCGGGAATGCAGCAGCCGATGGCTAGACAGGACAGGATTACCAACTCTATATCCTACTTATAGGTGTTCGTTCTATATCAATCGATGAATGAAAGCACGTTGATATTAGAGCAGCCAAGATAAACTGAGCTGAGTGGAGTATCTCGAAGGAAGGAAAGCAGATCGGGTGCCCGTTCCCAGGAGATGTGCCCGAACTGTGTCTGATTAAGAGATCTGGAGGAGGCTGAGATGCCTAGTCCATGGCATTGTGAATTGGCTGTTCCCCCTTCCCTTACAGGCTACTTCGACCTATTGCTATGCTAGCCTAGACAGGCGTATTATTAATGGGAATAAGGTATACGTATCCTAAGTAGGATGATGTTCGGGCATATATTACTTACCTGCTACTAGCTGTACTTTACTTTAACCAATTGCTTGAAGATCGGAGAAAGCTTGCGCGGTTGAGGGGCAGAGGCTTGTGACTGCCAGTCGGTATAATGGGGGGTTTTGGAAAATGTATGGCGATAGATAGATAGACATGGCAAGATTTGGTAGATTTGATATCCTGTGTGAGCGAGTGACTGTTGTAATTCTAGGCGTAGTTTGTCCTTCTCGGTGGATTTGCAATTTTCCGCTCTTGAGTTCGAGTGGATCGGGAGACGGACAGGTATTGTTTTGGAAGAATGTAGGGGGAAATACATCAAATATGTTATTGCACTTCCAGTTGCAGTCGCTTGGGACGTGTTACTCTGCTCTGCCAGTGGGTGTGCTATATACGCTAGAAGGAGGGCAGTGTTCGTAGATACGATTGAGACGGAAAGCTATATTCTTGGTGTTATGTTAGATATCCTTAGTTTGTTTGTCAAAAGTGCTTATGGAGGTGGAGGTAGAAGGAGTCGGGGTTTACGTCTTATGTTTTCATCTGAACTGAAAAGGGGGGGGGGGGGGCAAGCTAGTGGTTTTGGGTTCCGGTTTATTTTTGAGGAGAGTAGTTCTTTAACCCCTATTTGCAATTATTCCCTATAAATCTGTAAGCTGCCAATCTATTCTCATGACCGGATTTCAGTCGAGGATATGTCCTCTCTCATATATATCTTGAAAGCACCTTACTAGTACTATCTCCTACTAGCTCGTTGATTCTAAGTCCGAGTCTTCCCACTACTTCCTCTGTAGGTAGTGCAGAGGGAGAAGAACTCGGACAGATATTTCGGACTCGGCTTCCTTTACCTTTATGACATTCAGAGATGAGCCAGTAGCCTGAACCAAAGTATAGATACCTCTTTCGATCTTCTTGCACCTTAGATATCTCTCTGCCATTCTGAAAAGCCTTCCTCTTAAAAGGGATAATTATCCTAAAAAATATTCTTCGAAACTTATTAATTTGGCTTTTACGAAAAATACAACATCATTTGTAAATGGAAAAATACATATAGACGTCTTAGGGAACCGTGCATCTGTGAAAGATGATGCTGCCAGACTTGCTGCGACCTTATTTCTCCCACACGACGTGTCAACATCTATATTTCTTGGTATTTTCGACTACTGTTGGCACAATATATGCATGTAAGTGATATCAAGACCTTGAAATTTAGCTTTGAACAATGCTCCTTTACATTTATGGTTTAATTAGTAGCCGGCATCAATCCGGCAGACTTTGCTTTCAAAAAGAACATGGGCGGGACTTACTCTCTCGATTTGGCCAGAATGAATTGAATACTTGGAGTGTTAGATAAATAGCAAAAGCTAAGGCGAGTATTTGAGGTGTAGGTTTGAACCTCGCTCCATTTCCAATGTGTCTCAGCTAAGATTCGTAGTGTCTCATATGATAGATGTGTTCTGGTTCATTCGTGAATATAATAGATTCATGAATCTGGCCAGTTCATTCGAGAATCTACGCTAAGATTCACGAATGAACTGGATTCACGAATGAACTAATTTATTCATGAATATGGCCAGTTTATTCATAAATGCGCTAAGATTCATGAATGAACCGGAACAGATGAGGAAACTTGAGGTTATCCCCACTCGATAATGCGCTAGTCCCGATATGATCACCGGCTGCGCCTCAGTAATACGCTTTGCCTTTCATCGTGAACGTGTTCTCTCTCCGTTTCTGTTTGCATCTTGAATCCTCAACACATCCGTATAGAGTCAACTGGCCATGCTTGGAGCACTTCTAGCGCCCCAAGGCTACAGTACTTGATTCCGTCATGCAGCTGTCAGGCTGAGCTTGAACTATGTCTGGCCTCGAGATTGTGGGCAGCATCGCAAGCGTCGCCCAGTTAGCTGGCACCGTTTACGCGATTTCCAAGACACTCTATGAAGTGGGAAATGCTCTATCCAATGCTCCCTCCGATATCAAAGACCTAGCAGGTGACCTCGAGAACTTTTCCGAAGAGCTTCACCTGTACGCCCGGCTCCTGGACAAGAAGCACTACGACGATCAGTTCCACAGGCTCACAGCTAGAATCATTGGGGAATGTGCAACAATATGTACCAAAATTGACCGTGTCCTACGGAAGCTACGGAGTGGGAGTGTTTGGGCGAGAGTAAAATGGCTTTACAAAGAGAAGGAAATTGTCAAACTACTCACGAGGTTGAGAGATCTTAAATTCAGCTTGTTGAGCATTCTACAGCTGATGAAGTATTTGAAAGCCGACCACGAAATTGATGCTATCGGAGGCCCTAACCGTAGTTTGATTGAAGGGTCCAAAGAGGAAGGACTATCACAGGAAACCGTCGCTCAGGTGGAAGCAACGAGGAAGAAATTGGCTGGAATCTCAATTGCTCAGGAACATGATTCGGGCGAATCCAGATCAGAGGAGAAGCCAGGGACCCACACGAATGAGAGACTGCCACAGCCCGTGGAAGATGCAAAGCCGCGGAGCGCACAGTCAATAGAAACTCTATCGGGGCAAACGCTCATCAAAACTCCCAGCCAAACTTCTGGAACAGAAGCAAAAGCTACCGCTGTGCCTTCAGAAGCAATCGGTTCGTCTCATATTTCAGCATTTACTTTACCAACTAATGGCATCATGCAAAATCCAAACGTATCAGTCCAGTCCTTCCATAGTGCAGTCTCTCACTTGGACCCGGATCATGGCGATGAGAGAATTACTTCTGTTTACAATCCAGAGCTTGGAATGCGTGCGGATGATGGACATGTTCGATCAAAAGGCATCATTGACAATGAAAAGGCCAACAACCTGAAGGCGGATTTTGTCTCATCAGCAATGAAACACTTCCAGATGAGTAAGGAGGAAGCTGAGGCCTGGGCCGTCGCGTCAGTAGCCCGAGTCGAACTGCCACCGATGGGCATGGCGTCTCTGAGGGAGGCGAAGGAACGCCCTGATCACCTCGAAAGAAAAGAACAACCAGCCGTATATAATGACCTACCATTAGCCTATCTACCCGCTCAGCAGTCTATGCAGCCCAGTATGTCCGGCCCTCAGCCAGGTGCTCAGGAAAGTGCACCCGTACTAGAGCTGGGCCTCGAAATGGGAAATAGCGTAAGTCTAAATCACCTCAACTTACTTTTGTAAACTGCTAAACACCTTATAGTTCAATACTTCGCCGCCATTTCATGATTTTTCTCACCTAGAAAACGGTTCCATGGACGTACTCCAGGATTTCGATTTCGGTCCCTTCCTCCATCAGGACAACGGTCAATCGGCTGCCCCGGCACCGTTAACACCAACGGAGACTTACGAAAATGATTATACTCCCAATGATTCATACGCACATTTCGACTCTCCTTGGGTTTTCTCGCCACCCGACAATAATCTCTCCATGGGTAGCGATAACAGCCTGCCGATTGAGCAGGGGTTTGAGACGACGAACTGGAATGAGCAAAATGCTCAGCAGATGGTTCCTCTCGAGATCAATATCGAGTTCGCCCCGGCTTCTAGGACGAATAGCTTTGAGCCCCCGAAAACTTCCTTGGATAAAGATGACTTGACTGTTTCAGCCCCACGATCCCGTAGTCGAGCATTGTCAGATCCCGACAGTAGTAGCTCTACTAATTCAGGCACATTGTGCAAGTCCTCAGAAGTTCCCTCAAATGATCCCTCTGAGGCCCTTTCATTGCCTTTGACAAACCGGCGCCGGCAGTCAACATCTTCACTTCCAGAACGTGAACACGTAATAAGCCTCGTACATTCACAGTATCAAAATGCTGCTCCCGAAGACGGGAATCTTGAACGTGTCCAAAAACCCCCTCAAACCTTTCAGTGCCCTCTTTGCCATCGAGCTTTTACTCGGTCTTACAACCTCCGAAGTCATGTTAGGACACATTATGGCGGCGCCCATGATGGCAGAGCTACCGCCTCATCTTCGCAGAAAACGGAATTCACGCCACCTGCTCCGCAATCATTCATCCTTTGGTATCCCGAATTGCCCAGAAGACTTTGGCCAGGGGTCTTTAAACTACTTGCTCGCAAAAATCCTAGCCCTTCACCTCAGCAGCTCAAAGAACTTTGGTGGCGTGCTTTTGCGAAATCATCGTTGGAGGATGAGAGCAACTGCAAGTACATCCACGGCGCATGGCTCGCAGCGCGTCGTTACCACGATAATGTGACCGCCTTGGAAGCTATAGTTCCCACGAATACTGATGGTGACATCGCGCGCACATTAGCAGGTGTGCTTGAGGATTGTCTAGACAGGTTGAGCGACGGCGGTGCCCGGACTTCGCTGCACCGTATAGGAGAGATTCTAAAGGTAATGAGAAGTAGTCTGGACTTCCATATTGGAGGATTCGTGTGGACCTGCTTCTGCCAGGTTACAGTCGTAAGTCTTGCCCACGCCTCTTCGATCTTGCGACTCTCATATTAACTGAAATTACAAGTGGTTAATCCACCGACATCTTGGAGAATTTCCAGATCAGTCCAGCACATTTGCAACACTAGCTGATCTCGCAACCCTCATTGCGCGGTACAATGTAATGGAAAGCATGTACCACGAATGGCCCGGCATGACCCTCGAAGAGAAGTATGAAGACTCACTGATGAACCTCTGCACAAACGTACTGCAGTATTTGGACAAAGTAATGCAAGCACAGCCGTGGCTCTCCTCAGATCCAACAGAAAATCTGGCAAGCTATGCAGTTAAAATCGCGGAAGCAGACAGTGCCTGTCGAGGTTTCACAGTCACGATTGTGCCAGACGTCCTGCAAAGAGATGCCCTTCATGGGACCAAGAGAGCAATCGAGATTGTGGAGGATGACGAGGATTCTGATTCTGATTCTACTTTGGTAGAAAAAGGATCGGAATCGATTCCTACTCCCAAACGAGTCAAGGTATAGAAGCTTGTATATACAGCACATGTTAAACAAATACGACAATAACTAGACGAGGCTATGAATTTTCGGGTAAATGTAATATTTTCGGGCTATTTCACTAAAGGGGATAGAATGGGGTCACTTGTTTGAAACGAACCTTCCCAGGTGGGCACTGAAACACTGAAACGTTGTTTCTTCCCAGGATTCGGGGTATTACCCAAGAGGCGAAGGCGGAGGATGAGGAATGATAAGCATATTGGGGTTGATTGTGATTAAGCAGTCCCGAGCTTTGAGCGTCTATTCGTCACTTGGTGGACATACCGAAAAGGGACAATGCTAGAATCCCATCCCGGATTTTAAACTCTAGATCTGGCAACCTTACAGCCGTGCATGCAGGCCAAGAAGCATCCTTTACTTGGAGTATGAGGCTGTATATTGTCGAGCATCATCTGAAAACAAATCTCACAATAGTCAAAAAATTTGTCTTGGCGTTGCTCAACTCAAATATCGTAAAATGGAGTTCCGATAATTTATACCAACCAAGAATACAGTTTTGGTCAAATCTAGTCTTCCGGCACACCAGAAACCGTGATACTCGGCTTTACCACGAATAAGCTTACTCGCCATGCGGTACTTCGGAAGGATTTTCTGTACCTAAATATTCAACCAAATACGAGTACTACCATTATCATTATTGTCATGATGCATCCCATGGCACGATGACATGACAGAACAGAACAGCACGCACTGTAGCGGCGTATGCTCCAAATCCTTCATCTGCAGCTTATCACTGGTAGGATTGAGCAGCAGTCGTCTCGCAGGCTCGGCCTATTACAAAGTAGAAGGGCAAAAAAAAACATTCGTATAGTTTGCGCATCCAAGAGGGGCGGTGGCTCAGGGGCTCAGGGGTCTACCTCCCGCAAGCGGATTTACGGGCGGGCCAATAGGCGTTTCGGAGAGCGATGTCGTTCGTCACGCACCCGCCCAGCGCCTGAAACTTGAAACGCGTGGGGATCGCCCGGGCTGGCGGGGCCTAAAGTAGGCGCGCTTTGTTGCCAGCTTGTGGAGGGCCCCTTCATTCCAGCGCTTGAGTGGAATGGAATCAGGCGGAATTTTCACGCTTCGAACCAAAAGAAAGGGGGGAAGTCAGACGTAGATTGAAGGGTATAGTACTAATGTTTTGTCTAAGAACCTTCTTCTTTTCATGACGCAAAGTTGCTAAAATTGTAGCTACAGCGGAGGGATGATTTAGGGCTCCCACACGTGATTGTATTCGTGTTACTCGTGGTGGGTTATGTTGGGTTGAGTTGACATAAGGATTGCGGGGCAGATGCAGAACCAAACGCCAGAAAGAGGCCAGAAGTGTGAATAACAGCTTTTCGTACGCGTGGTGGAGTTTCTCATGCTCCTCTTATGCCCCGCTGCATTCCCCGATTTCGCCACACTTGCTGATTATGCTTGCACACCGATGTGATCGCTGCTTTGGATCTCTCCAGTGAGAATGTGGAGCCAGCCTATGGTGCTACACGCTCAGACCAGGCTCAGCGGGGCCAAAAAGCAGCACCAAGGAAGAGGCTCACCGTCCGATGGGGAGAGCCTTGTCATACGCCCGCCACACATCACAGCTGAAGCTGTGAACCCTTGTACTTCGTACGGAGGTACGAGGGTGAGGGTACAGTAGCGCCGGCTGAGAAAAGTGATCCACGCAGATCTACCTTGCCTCTAAGCTTCCCTATTCGTGTGAATTGTGTACGGTGCCTGAATGAATTAGCCAATGGGGGGTGGTATCATGCAGGGGAAGTTCAAGCAGGAAGAATGGCGAGATCCGGAGGGCAAATATAAAAGCACTCTCATGCCTCCAAAGAGTGACTTTTCTCTTCAGTTAGTTTTAGGTTGCCTTCTTTTATACCTTTGCTTTACTACACGCTTGACGCGAGACATCATGTTCTTCCTTCCTTTGGTAAGTGATCCCCTCTTGGTATCAGGTGATTCTTTGCTCATGAGAACTACAGATTTTGGCTGCCGGCAGCTTTTCCACACTCATTTCAGGGGCTCCTGTCCTGTCCTTTCTCTCCAATGGTGTCTCACAAAAAGCCTCTCCTTCCTTAAAAGAGCGCGGTGGATACGTAGTCTATGGCGGCACTGGAGATATTTCCAGTGGCTGGCCAGCTTCCCGTTCATGGTTAAGTTTTGATACCCTGTGAGCAATGTCCATCCTTATTTCTCCCAAGACACCTTCTAATACCCCACACTAGATTTACCGCCAACACGGACAACATCCAAAACAGCTGTTCCCAATGGAATGTTGCCAACCCCTCTACCGACGAAATCAGCGACATCAAGAGCGCCATCACATCCGTCGCCGCATCCACCGGCGTCGACTCTCGTTTCATTCTCGCAATTATCATCCAAGAATCCAACGGATGCGTTCGAGCCCCCACCACCAACTACGGTGTGAGCAACCCAGGTCTCATGCAAAGCCACGACGGCACAGGAACTTGCCATGACCCCTCTGTCCAGAACCCATGTCCTCAATCCGAGATTACTCAAATGATCCAAGATGGTGCGGGAGGAACTAGTGCCGGGGATGGCCTGAAGCAATGCATCGCAAGCTCTGGAGCTACCGATGACAGCAAGTACTTCAAAGCCGCCCGCATCTACAACTCCGGCTCCATCGATTCAAGCGGAAACCTCGGCGCGGGTATTGCTACTCACTGCTATTCTTCCGATCTCGCCAACAGACTTACTGGCTGGACCGGAACCTCAAGCGGCTGCTCTGAAGGCACAATCGGCACCATCACCGGCGTATCTGGTGGAGGAGCCAGCAGTGGCTCTTCATCTTCCGCAGCAGTATCAGTAGCAGTCCCAACCTCTTCCACCGCATCATCCGCAGCAAAGTCATCGACCGTCCCCAGCTCTACAGCCTCGGCCACCAAACCCACAACATCTGCCGGGGGTATCTTCCAACAGGAGCCTTCCACCACTTTATCTTCTGTAGCGACTTCCGCCGCTTCTTCCATTCCAGCTTCGACCGCAACCACAACAGCAACCACGACCGCTGCGACCGTTTCCTCGGCAGCTACAGTTACGGCTACAGCTACAGCTACATCTACTACGCCCGCAGCTGCAACCGCAACTTCAAGCACCCCCGTCTCGTCGACAGCCGACAAGTACCCATACGCAACATCCTCCTGCAAGAGCTGGTACACGGTCGTCGCGAACGATTACTGCGAGCTCGTTGAGCAGAAATTCGGCATCACGGCCGCCGAGTTGCAGCAGTGGAATGCGCAGCTTGAGGACGATTGCTCGAATCTCTGGTTGGGATACCAGTACTGTGTTAGCGCTTAAGAGAGAAATGAAAAGGCATTTGGTTTTTTAGGGGGCGTTTTGGGGATATATCCATCGATTGGCATTTGGGTTCACGGGCATGGCATGGCACGACATAACTTTCTTGTACAACAAAACCTTTTCGGAAAACTTTTAGAACTGCATGAACAGTTGACAAATAAATGCAAGATCATTGATTGAAACTTCAAATTTATTATCCCTCCTTCCTCTCCCATTTGAAGATTACCTTCCAAGTCATTAGATCATATTTTGGTTGAACGGTTGAAGGGTACAGAAACGATCATCCGGTTGTTATTGAAGTGAGGTTAGAGTTGAAGGAATAAGATAAGTATCTTGAAGGATTCGATGAGCCGTTTGAGATAACAGGACATGCACGCCATCCATGCACTGAGATTACAAGTACCGTAATTGCTATTTACCTGTCCCGACTCCTACGGAAGTTTGGAGCGTAGGGTATGTAACGTTAACTTTGAGTCTGTGTGCTTAGAAGGATCAAAATCCTTGGGGTTTTAGGTTGGTGGATACGGACATGGATCTCTTGGCATAACTCAATCGCCAATTCGGGGCTTGTGGCGCAGCCCAGGGACAAGCCCCAAATGGAGAAGCCTCCAAAATGAAGACATCATGGCATGATCATGCAACCGGGGCTTTCGTCCGAACACAGCAAGCAAATCGCAGCAATGCGGTACAGTAGGTAAGAAAGTGGTTTGTTATTTATCCTTCCTTCCTAGACTCATTTGAGTCCAAAAGCTGAGAGCCGCGCTTCCTTAACGCCATGCATGTTTCCTCGTAAATGTTCTGCGTTGTGACCCCATCCCATATGCTTGTCGTATAATCTTACAATTCCTTCTCTCCTTTACTAACCTTCTTATTGTACTCATTCAGCTCCTTCTCTCGTCCTACAGTATGCGCATCCCCGACTGCTTCCTTGCCTCCAACGAGCTTGAAGCCCTCGTGGAATATATATTCAACCGCGGTCTCGACCGGCTTGTCGAAAAGGTAAGGCAGCGCCGGTACGGCCGCAAGACCGAGACCTATGGGCCCGAAACGGCGGATCGGGACGTTCTTTATGTCCATCTTCTTGATCGCCACGCCCGAGTACCGGACTATACTGTGAATAGTAAATGCAGGCTATTCTCCCAGTCAGTATCAAGTCCTCGAAAACTCGGGTTTGGAGTAAGAGTAGCATACCAATCCCATACTAGCAATACTCTGAAAAACCGCTCTCTGCGCCATGACGGCTCTATAATCTTCTAACGGCGCCACCTTCCCGGGCACTACCTCCGTACTTACTACGGCCACTGCACCGCTCTTCGCATCGTGCGACCTTTCCTGAGACGCCTCTCTTGGTAGTTCTGGATGTAGTATGCGTTGGTTACTGCAATATGCCTTGTAGCCTTCGTGAGCCACGTCGCCTGCTATGTATGCCCAAGATATGCCGTACGCGGCGCGAACGAGATTCGGGTGTGCGACGGGCCGGAATGACTCTCCGATATCTGAGGTGTAGGCTACGTATCGTTGGGCGGAGAGGAGGGCTGTTCGGATTCGCGTGGCGTAGGCTGCGTATCTCAGGTTACTGTCTGTTGATTGAGGGGCACTGGCAGAAGTAAGTATTTGCTTGTAGTGAAGCCTGCGCAGTTATGATTCTAGAATTGGTACTTACGTTCCCTCGTAGAGTTCATCGTATAAAGTTTCATCTTTGTCAGCTCTGTCGACGATTCTCTGTAGTCCAGGTGGGAGCTTCTCTGGCTTGGGGAGACCGGTTGGTAGCGGGCCTCGGGGTTTGTCGGTTTCGGAATCTTTTCCTGCCATTGTAAGAAACCTTTGACAAGATGTTTTATGAATTTCTAGATTCTCTTGCTCTGATACTACTTAATATGTGTGGGAGGACTTGCTGTGAGGTGTTTTCAAGCAGTGAGTCTCCAATATCGGGATGCGGTAAAACTAAGTCGGCTTAAATCGGATAACTGTACAAGCAAGTACCGACTGCTTACGTAATAATTTTGCCAAGCTTTGAAGCTTGACTTTGAACGACGAGATGAACAACCTCACGAAGCTCAATCCACCCATAAAAAACCACTCCATACCTCTCCCAAACCCCGAACCTTTCACTCCGTCAAGATGACTGTATTCTACAACATCGCTGGTCGCCAAATTGGCTCTCACTACGTACGTTACGTTCCCTACTCCCGCAACACAACACAGAAGCTCCGGAAAATTTGGGCCGGAAGCAATTGGGCAGGCATATGAAGGCATTGGAGGAAAATGCTAATACATTGGGAATCTGCAGCTTGCCATTGCAACTCTCTCGACTGTCTTTGGCGGTGCGTACTATGCGTTGTCCGGCGGATCCTCAGCTGCGAAGAAGTCACAAGGGCCACCTCTTAATGCACAAAGCCCGGATGAGGAGAAGTTCATCAAGTACGTCTATACCTCTGGGGCTCTCCATCTCCGTCCGATTCTGCGGAGTCAATTGGAGGAATGGATTGTAGCTAATGCCTTTTTAGGGATTTCCTAGCATCGGCCGATAAGAAGGACAACAGTGCGGATGCTACCAAGAAGGATGCTGCTCATTAAAAGAGCCGTGAGATGAAGGTTGGGGGCGGCATAGTTTCTAGAGCAGAAAGCCTTGCGAGATGTACATATATTCTGGTGCAATAGAGGCATGAGATGCTGCCATCGAGACCCGACACCAATTTTCCTGTTTTATCCGAGTTCAAGAACCTCCGGTCGCCGCTCTGGTATTCAGACAGTTGCTGGAATATACTTCAAGCGGGATGCACGTGTACTAGAGAGCTGGTGTGGTTTACATGTATGAATGCAATGTCTTGCTGGGAAAAAATACTCCTGTTTATCTTCGCAACTTCCTCAATCTTCTTCCATGAGATACTTCATATGTTGTTTAAAAGATGACAAAAACTCTCATATTTTGCAAAATTTGCAGCTCAACAACTCCCAGCCGTATTGAGCATCTGTCGTCTGCTTCTCTCAGCCGGCCAAGGCAAAGTTGTTCAAATACCTCTCAGTCAGCCGAATTGACATTTTCTAGCTCAATGTCCAGTGATCCGGTTTTCCCAAAGAAGAAATAGCTATTCTCTACGAAGTAATCAGATTACCATACTTCTCATTATACTATTCACTCAGCACATCTTGCTCCGTGGCAGCAAGGCTCCAAAGTCTCTCAGTTGAAGCCCAATCGACGGAATGTATCCTTCACTTAAATGTGACCAAGCCGCTTTTTTTAATATACATGGATATATAAAGAAAGTATACTGTAGAGAAACAAACAATCTTCACTAGTAATATTCAATCGATATTTATGACCTTCCAAGATACTTTATATTCATATACCACATTGCTTTCGCACTCTGCTTGCAGTCCCGCTGCTCTAAAATCAACTTGAAGTCTTTCTAAGTCCGGTACCACTGTACAGACAGCCCCATCTTTGCCGTCTGCCGTCTGCCATCTGCCCACAGAGTCACGGACCTAAAATTCGGTTTGCCTCTTGCTAGCGAGCTAGCGAGCATCAAAGCTCGCATTGTTGTGGCGAATGCTGCATATGTTATACGGTTACCTGCCTTTTTTATTAGCATCCCTAGCTGATTTTTGTTCGGGGTTGATCTGCAGGTTGCTAATTATGCCTATAACGGTGTGTTGTAAGCGTTGTGCTTCTATGAGCAGTATCTCGAGTTTGGACATTGTTGCTTGGAGCTCTTGTTCTTGTTCGATGGCTGGTGGGGATGGTAGTGTAGCTCGGTAACGCAAGAAATCCCCTAGCTGCTCTTTTCGATAGAATAGCAACTGCTTTAAGTAAAGGAAAGCTAAAAGCGAAACAGGCTGGTGACGGATGGAAGGGATGGGCATCTGCTGACGAAGCTGGATATGAAGAATTTAGTGGCGAATACGGCCCTGGACGTAGCCCTTTAATGAGGGACCAATACTTCGCAAAATTCAGCTTTGAAGTAGAATCTAGTTTGTCCATGTTAGTCAGTAACAGGTATTTCGCAGAATAATGCCCAGTCTTTCTTAGCAAATTCACAAAATGCAAATCCATATCACATGTAAGACTCTTTCGCAGATGCATAACATTCTGATACTCAATGTCTACAGGCGATCAGGATGTAGTTTTGACTACAAGTGGCACAATGTTATCCACCAAGGCAGATAAAACCAGACAGTATGAAGCTCTTAACAGCAGAACTTCAAAGAGACCCCGAAATACATCTGCTTGTATAAATGCACAACATACACAGAGAGGTTGACCCTCCTGTTACCAATAAGTCGAAACTTCCTCCACCAAGGAAAATTGCTTTTTTGCTCGTTTCCGGTCCTGAAACTGCGGAAGTCGTTTTCCCGTTGTCTGATACAGCAACCACACTCGTGGCTGGATAGATTGATGATAGCGTGATAGGCAGGAAGAACCAACTAGTTGGTGCGCTTCAAAAAAAAAAAAAACTTCAAGACGAGCTCCCCCTACCAGGCTCATTCTTCACTTCTTCGAATTCATCTGTGTCCAAGTAGACCTTCCTCCTCAAGTTCATACAAAATCTCCCAGCCCAAGTCTTGACAAACCCAGTGTTTGTCTTCGTAGTTGCTTTACGATAAAGGATTGCTCCTACCTTTGTAGTTGTCACGTGGGAAAACCATGGGAACAAACTGGAGGTGACTTCTTGCTACCTCATCTTGACTCCTTTCACCAACCCCATCAAATCATATCTTTTTATTCAAGAACGTGTTGCCAAGATACACCAGCTGGTCTCATAAAACAGAAGGTGACACACCCTGTTTGCTGGCACAATCTCATCAAATTACTCAATACAGAGTCCGGACCAAGAGGTTTGCGTAGCTTTCGTCTAAATATGACTCCGAGAATACTTCTCAACACCTTTACAGGCATCAGTCTGATTCGATGTCAAGGGCTTGGCCCGGCTCCTCCTTTAGATGAGGCTCTTGTGCTTCGAAACTCGAGTCAAGTGCCTCTCGGTACCACGCAAACAACTGTCCCTCGCACATGTATCCCCAACAAACGACGGACTCGCTCGATATTCCCCACCGAGAAAAGTCTTACCATGTCTCAAGTCGCACATGCTCAGTTCTGTGGCGAGATCCTCGTATCAAATTGCTCCGGGATAACGGCTTCAACGGAAGGCTGCAGATGTTCGAGGGAGAGGCAGAAGTTGGATGCAGCCTTACCAATCCTGCTGTTTGTGTCAGCGCGGTTTGTGTTATGAGATATGTATGCACTTTACTTGCTGCTTCTATATGTGTCGGGTCCAGCACATTTGTGTGACTCAAGGCTGATATAAAGTGCTTGTTCTTCTCCTCTAGGACTAACCTGCGATTTCTATCTCGGTACAACCAACGACTGGCAAACTTCTTCACGTGCCTTCTTTGAGAACTTACACGCGGATATTTGAACCATCTCTCTTTCACCTCCTCGGCTACTCACCTCGTGGCATACCAAAAAATTCAAATGTCTTTGGTACTTGCCAGACGCAACGGCATGCTGATGGATCCCCGACGACAGTATCATCAACAGCAACTAGTCAAACGGCGGCCGGGCTCCAATATTCGTATGATCGTCAGCCTACCAACCAGTATTGGCCACTTCCCTCAACGAGACCTCCAGCGACATGTGCCAAAGTTTATGTACGACTTAAGAGAATCCGGAAATCGGGTATCGATGCCACTTGAGCACTTCAGACCAAGTTTCCGAAATATCAACGACGAGCCAGCATATGCCTTTGCGTTGGAATGGGTGTTTGCTCGGGTGGAGGAGTATGCAACCCGCTTCGGAGCGGCCCCTGATGCCAATTCGATGCAGGATCTCTTACAGCAGATTGACACCGCTTATCAGATGGGGGATGGGAATGCGGTGATGTCTGGAGTGGAAGATGCACAGCACATATTTGATGCCATTAGCAACGTTATTAGGCCAGACAAAGGCTTCGATTACAGTAACGAACTGTTCATTGACTTTCTCGAAACGGCGAGAGACTTCATCCCGTACTTCTCGGTCGTTGACCCGGGAATGGGAGAAACGTTTATGCTTCTACTTTCTGTTTACACTGCCAGCGCTCAAAACTTAGGGCCAATTGAGCTGTTGACAAGATCGATTCAAGGAAATCAGCGGCAGCTGCTCCAGGGCCTTGTGCAGGGCATGGCCAATAATGGAGATATCCTGGCGAGGGAAATATGGGCCAACGGGTTTCTTTGAATCGAGATAAGTGTCACGGAGGGCTAGTCCTTGGAGCTGTATGTAATACTGTAACGTTGGTGTTGAGGTTCTGGATTGCATTGATCATAGGTCCCGATCATTATTCATACAGTACCTTCCTTCGTATATCGTCGATTTCTGTGTCCACCTTTCAGGGATCTCCACATTCCTTAGCGTTCCACGGTCCCATTAGTCTATTTTGGTTTAGAGTTCAGGTTATCTCCACACTTTTGAAGTTTTCCTAGAACAGACACGTTTACGGAGGGATGAGGATCACGAGGGGAGCAAGGGGAGGTAGGCGCGATCTCCTTCTAGCTTCTTACTATCACCCCAATTTCAGGGGCTTAGCTTTGCTTGGTAAATACCCACATCCAGTTTGGAAACCCGGGGGGACGAGTCAGTCCCCTCTCCTGTCTTCAATTGTCATTAAGACGCCTGTCTCTCCAACCGCCATAAATGTTGATCCATCCATCCGAAATTGCGACTTTGTACATCATCGTGCATCCGTGCCCAGAGTGCACCTTCTCAAAAATGACAACTCACGCAGACAGTGACTGAAGATGATAGACACAACCGGCAAGCAGCAAACATGGCAGAAAAGACACCAGAGACCCAGGACACTGAACTGATGGAGGTCTTGGAGCTGGACAGCGATGAGGGAACTTCAGTGGCAGTGGAGGAGCAGCATTCAATATGGCAGATGCTCCGCAGATACAGAGGCGCCATAATATGGTCTGCTTTTATTGGACTGGCTGGTATCAATTGGGGAATGGATGTTCTTGTAAGGACTCTCGCTCGAATATAAATACTCAATCTAACTTATCAACAGCTTTCCACCGGCGTCATTTCTGTTCCCTCATTCAAGAAGAAATTCGGATACAGCTTTGAGAGCGAATACATTATCAGTGCTTCTTGGCAGATCGCTTTCAACACCGCTTCGTCCATTGGTGGATTCTTCGGTGCTATTGGAAGCGGATATCTTGCAGACAAGCTGGGAAGGAGGCCGACGTTGGCGATTGCATGTGTAGTCAGTATTGGCGCCGTCTTCATGCAAGTCTTCGCGGGGTCGTCGGGTCTCTTATTGACGGGCAAGGTAAGTCGCGACATCAGGCTTAATCGGCCCTTACTAACCAAAGCAGCTCATCAATGGTCTTTCTCTCGGTTCCTTTCTCACTATAACCTCCTCATATTCTTCAGAAGTATGCCCCGTCGAAGTCCGCGGTCTCACAACATCCGGTGTTCAACTCTTTGTAAGCTTCGGTCAACTCATGGCGAACCTGATTCTCAAAGGCACCGGCACATTATCCTCATCATTCGCTTATAAGATCCCTTTCATGCTACAATTCATATTTCCTACCATTCTCCTCCTGGGCCTGCCATTCTGCCCCGAATCGCCTTGGTACCTCGCCCGCACCCACAACACCCCTCTCGCCCTCTCTACCCTTTCTCGTCTTGGCTACCCTGACCCAGTCACTGCCCTCTTAAAAATTTCAAACACAATTACCGCGGAGGAAATGAAAACATCGAGTACGACTTACCTAGACTGTTTCCGCGGTTCCGATGCGAGGAGAACGGAAATAGCCATGGGTATCTTCTCCGTTCAACAACTCACAGGCGTAGTATTCACCATCGGCTACAGTTCTTACTTTTTCGAACTTGCAGGCCTCTCAGCATCTTCATCCTTTTCCCTCTCGATCGGTGTCTCGGTCCTTGGTCTCATCGGCGTCGTGTGTTCCTGGTTCCTCATCAACCGCACAGGTCGTCGCTCTACCTCCCTCGTTGGAACTGCTATCCTCACCGGTCTACTATTCCTCATTGGCATTTTGGATGTGATACCAGCGAGTAACACAGGACCCGTGTACGGACAAGTAACATGTGTTATCGCGTTTGCATTCATGTATTTACTCACAATCGGCCCTACCGGCTGGACTCTGTTCGCAGAAATCTCATCCTCGCGCCTCCGCTCCCGAACCGTTGGTTTAGGAATCGTGGTACAGAATACCTTTGGCGTACTGATGAATATCGTCGTCCCGCTTCTCATCAATCCCGATGCTGCAGATCTAGGAGGCAAGATCGGCTTTATCTTTGGAGGAACGGCGTTTATGGGTGTTCTGTGGGTATATTTGAGGGTGCCGGAGACGGCGCATAGGAGCTTTGAACAGCTTGATTGGTTGTTTGAGAATGGAGTGCCGGCGAGGAGGTTTAAGGGCTATCATGTACCGTTGCTTGCTGTGACTTGATAGACATGGTTGCTCTTTCATCATATACTTGTTTTGCTTAATAAGATTCCTTGGTTTTGCTGGACACTTCGAACGTTCCTTGTGCATTCTTGAGTTCCTGCCTGCTCAACTATCAAACCCTCAAAAAGGGACTCGGTAGCGACTTTCCAGGACCGACTCCTGAACTAAAACGCTGTCAGGAGCCATTCCATGTAGGAAAGGTAAAATCCAGTGTGCATGATAACTGGTAGGCATACTCAATTATTAATACCTACCCGCTCATTTCCTCCAAAAAAGTTCATTCATCTCCATCATCCATCGCAACCTTCATAATACCATGCTCTTTCCACTCGCTCAAGAAAGACTATAACAAACTATAGAAGCTAAATAGCCTCACCTCCGCCTCCACCACTACTGTTGGTATCACAGGTTGATAATCCGTGATCACTTCTATACTACGTAGTAGACTTGATACTGGTTGATGCTGCTTAGCATTCATAATGGTGTAGACGCGAAGAGGTTATGCCTCTTTGCTGACTAAGCTACGCTAGGTCACATGAATAGAAAGGTCGTGATGCGGTTCGCGATGCGGTTCAAGTATCGCAACTACAAAGGAGAAAAGAAAAGAAAAGAAAAGAAAAACACGACGATGTATATATATATATATATATACACAGCCTATCTGTGGTCTGGAAGTTCAGTGTCATTGGTTAGTCAGCGCATGAAGTCCTGCTATGTTTGGTTGTGGAGTGAGCGAAGAGAAGAGTAGAGTAGAGTAGAGGAATAACGCTGGCTTGTTATGAGAAGGAGAATTCATGGAGTTTTATAGAGTAGAGGAAGAAGGTTGGTTTTCTGTTCTGTGGTGATGTCGAATAGATGATAGATATATTTGTACGTAATGTTGTTTGAAGAGGCTAGGTGGGCGTATGTAGAATTGGGCCTCGTACGTTACGGAGTAGACATTGGAAGCACAAGGCGCTTGCCCTGAGCTCTTTCAACACCGACTGCCAATGAAAGCTGAAACCCATAACCATATAAACTAGATCACTAGGTAGATAGATGTATGGATTCCAAATTACACCCTTGTGCATAAATTTATGAGATGTAGCGACGCGAACTTGTTATTGCCACGCCATATAGTCTTAAGAATCACTTTTCAGCAAAGCAAACCCTTTCCAGTAACATTCATCCTAACATTGTCTCGTCAAATTTTTACAACATAAGCAAATCCCCATTCGCCCCCCCACCTGTCGTAGGGTGATACGCCTGCTCCGGTGCATTTTGATTAACCACATACTGCATCTCGCCCATCCCCACAGTTGGGCTCCCTCCAAATCCATCCTCTTGTCCATTAATATGCATCTGCGCCATCTGCTGATTCCCTACACCCGCGAAGAATTCATCCGCTGCATCGACCGCCGCGGCAAGGTCGCCGTTTTGCGTGGGTCTGATAGCGGGTTGATTGTCCATACCAAAGGTCGAAAGTGATTTTTGCCCATCGAGGCCTTTGGCTGTTGGAAGGGTATGCTTTTGTAGAGCGGGACTATCGGCTAATTTTCGAGGCCGTGCAGAGCGGAAGACTTGCTGGACTGGCTTGAGGTAGACAGTTGCAAGTGTGCCGACGTTGAGACACATTTCTTCCAGCGTTGCTGGGTCTAGCTTTTCGGTTTCGGCGGTGATTGCTGGCTTCTCGCCCATTACTACTGCCTTGGCGGTTTCCATGTCTGATGATAGTAGACGCCAGTACATGTAGCCTCTATCTCTTAAATCCGGGTTATCCGTGTCCTCGGTTGCCCATTTGAGGACTTTCGGGACGAGTTCTTGCCCCTTTGTTGGCCGTTGAATGAACAGCTTGACTGTTGCGGTAAGAAGCGCTAATTGCACCTCGACTGGCTCGTCTGCGAAAGTGTAAAGGAAATCGTCCAGCAGCACATCCGAGTTTTCAATTCGAGCTGCATATTGGCCAATGACCCAGATCATAGCCGACTTCGCCTCAGGTTCATCTAGTGAGTCCAGGTTCTCGCAAAGGGTGGAGATAATGGATTCGTATTGGTTGGGGTATTTTCGGAAGATGTTCCGGATCACCACTGTCGCTTCTTGAACGATGTAGGTGACCTTTGTAGCCACGAGCTCTAGTAACGTGTTTATACATCGCCTTGCTGCTGGCTCGATCTTGATGGCCAGCTTGCCAATTGCTCGGACAGATTTGCGTACGAAATGAACGTCGATCTCTGTTGCATATTCTCGTAACTCGGTCAAAACTTCCTCGATATTTTTCTCCGTAGCCAGCATAAATATTAACTCCAATTTCGTGACTTTTACGTAAATTGGATCGTTGTATTTGCAGAAAAATACCCGTATATCGTTTCGAAGCACCTCTGGCCGCCTCTGCAAGATTAACAAAGCGTTTCTTAGAGCCAAATACTGCACTTCGGGCCCTTTTGCCAGTAATGTCACTAAAGGCGGTGACAATTTCCGACATAAAAGCGATATTTGCCTCTGATCTGCAATGTAATTCATCAGATAGAGTATTACTCTTATGCAAGTAAGAACCACTGCTGAGTTTGTGTGTGAGAGTCGTGGAGATATTCTCTCAGCTAAGAGTAAGGCTTCGGATGTCTCCTGGGGGATGTATGACATTAGAGCCTCGAGGATGTATGTTTGACCCCATCTGTAGATACATTAGTTACAATTTCAGACAAGAAATCAAGGCTGTGCATACTCTGAGCAGTCTGGTAAGATTTGCACCATTTTTGAAGCATTGCCATAATCAATGGTGAGCTTGATTGCATCACTCCTTTCCCAGATGTCCATCAGACTTGCAAGAGCGCTTGCAACCACGGTGGGATTGTCGTCCCTGAGCATCGAATTCAGCCTATCAATTAGATCAGAACTCTCAACTAGATTTCTGTCATGATCATATAGTTTTGCAACGCAGAACGCGGCCGTTTTTCGAACATATGGATCTGCGTCTCGGAGAAGGTTCTTGGTAAGAGAAAGGGTAGCATGGACAAATTCTTTAACGTATATGTATGACATTGTTCGCAGTGCCAATGCTCTCACGAGAGGATTCGAGTCGTGCATATCCTGTATAGAGTTAGAATTGACGTGACACAGTGGCATTTATTGAAACATACCTCTTCTAATGTTGGAAGTGCTTTCAAAGCAACCTCGGGCTTCATTCGAGCGTAGTTGACTAGAAATAAGAAGCACCTATATACTGTCAGCACCTCCCTCCCACTTCGCATTCCCAGAAAATCTTACATTTTCTTGATCTCTAGACTCGGTATTTGCATGCAACCCACGATATCCGGAAACAGGGCCACCATATCATTGTTGCTCATGGTCATATTGGCGACAATCTTCTTGAGGGCAATCTTCTTCGCCGCATGGTTCTTGTCCTTCTTCCCTCCACTATTCAACTCCAACCGTAATTCCGCGACTTTGCCCTGTGGAGTGCGAAGATATGGTGAGCGAAAGCTTCCATAGCCCGAAGGTGGAATGTAGTGGGGAATAAACATCATGGACATATCCTAGCAGTAACCTCTTTCGTGCGCCCTCCACGGGCAGAATCACTCAAAGCGCAACCCAGTCCAAAGCTGCATTCAAGCCGCACAGTAACAATACATGCAGATGACAACACCTTGTGTTGTGTCGCAAGGAGCTGAAGAAACAGGAGGAGAAGGAAGGCACGTACTCTCGCAAAGAGCTTCGCATCTCCCGCGCCTGAACTCATGATGGGGATGGGCGGGCGAGCCTCAATGCGTCTTTATGCGTCTGCGTACACTATCTGACTTGCAGTATAATAGGAAGTGGTGTGTCTGCGGTCGGTAGGTACCCCTCCACCCAATCTTTGACCAACGAAAGCGATTCTTGTCAAGCCAGGAAACGTGGGATCTTTTTCCTGCGCGCCGCCGTCACCGCCGGTAATCTGTTCCTTGTCGCAGAGAGTATTCCATGAATCCGCGGATCGATATTTTGGCGTTGAAGGTATCCCGAGTCGCACTTGTTGTTTAGTACCTGTAGTTCAGAGCTTGGTGAGATTCAATAGGGGGGAGGAGGCGCTACAAAGGGCAAGTCCGGGGTTGGCTGACAACTGAGATCTCGCCAAGAAGACGCGCTACAGTACGACCTCGCGCTTCTATCTGCGAATACGTATCCTAGAAACCGACAATAAGACACCACATCTATTTATTGCCATACAAATAAATTGGCGATGGCTTCTGTACCCCCACCACCGCAATGGGTCATTGACTTGAATTCCCCTCCAGCAGGGAAGCCAAAATCCGCAGGAATCCCCGATCCGCCGGGATACACCTCAACAGCTACAGGAGGAAAGGTAGATACCCCAAGTCCTGCGCAGTTCATTATACTAACACAGTTCTCCAGAAACACCAATCCTCCTCCAAGACCGCCGTTCGCGCACCTCCCACAACCGAAGAAATGGACGTGCTCAAGCTCAAGAAGGCCTGGGAAGTAGCCCTCGCACCCGTCAAGCAGCTCCCCATGACCGCAATCATGATGTACATGTCAGGCAACTCTCTTCAAATTTTCAGCATCATGATGGTTGGCATGGCATTCAAGAATCCTATTATGGGACTTATGGCTACAAATCAGGCTTTTGAGAAGTTTGAGACACCGGGGACGAAGGGGAATCTTTTGATGGTCAAGGCGGTTTATGTGGCGATGCAGATATTGGCGTTGGCGTTGGGGGTGTGGAAGGTTAATGGGATGGGGCTTTTACCGTGAGTGTTGCTATGATAGGCAGGGGAGATATAGATGGCATGCTAATTTCAAATAGGACTACGAGGTCGGATTGGTTGGCTTGGGAGACGGCGAGAGATCCTTTGGAGGTGGCGATACCCGCGTTTTGACGCATCGTATAATCGGAGTTCGATCGGCGTTGACGGATAAGAAGGATGGGGATCTATGGAACTGGCCTCGAATATTCTTCCAGAGCAAGGCTACGAAGAAAGATGCCTTCACGGTACACATGTAGAAGTATGTCAAGAGTAAGAGGGGTTGTAGAAGCAGAGAGTCACACTGGAGCAGTTTCTCCAAATATGGAAGGATTTTTTGCTCAGCAGGAGCAATTCTCAAGTCTTAGATTATTGCGGTGCGGAACGTGTCCAAAACAGGCATGACATCAATGAAATAATACATTGCTCCAATCCTTCCTCGTCATCCTCTTCCTTCTTGCTCCAGTACTCTCTCTTGTCTCCTCAAACTAATAATCATATTCCTTTGGCAAATCGCATAACGGGTTTACAGCTCTGGCTCGACTTCAATCTCTTGCTCAGTTAAGCACTATGGCTACTAAAGCCTATTTCTCTTATACCAATCTCTATCTTTGCTCTCATAACCAAGAATTCAAAGTTTAGAAGGTTCAAGCAATCATATCCGATTTTACTGTCATTCTCATTCTCATTCTCATTGGAGGTATTCTATCACTCCTTAAATTGGTGAAAGTTGCCACATGGCGAACTACAGAGCAAAAATACCTACTGCTTTCACTACCTACATCCCCAGCTACACAAGACATTCTACCGAAATCGACTACAAAGAGTATTAGACATACGAGAAGGTTTTGAGTACTCAAGCGGTTACGTTTATCGTCGATTGGGTAATGAGAAGAGGGGCTCTGTTTAGGTATGATTGCTTGCTCCTGAAGGCCCAAAATCTGTGAATAGTGCTGTCTTTGCCGACAACATCCAGCATCGACTACTTGACATCTCCCACGATCTATAAATCTGCTTAGGGAAATGGTCACATATGAGGTATTGGATTCGCTTGATGAAGAAAGCACGTTCAAACCATTCTGGGTCCTAAGACTAGGTACCTTACAACTGCGAAGCCCTTGATCAATTTCCTGTTGGCTCAATTTTCTTTTCCACCAATACCCCTTAAACTCCCATGCATACGGCTACTCTAAAATCTTCACGGTCAACGGACTGATTGTTTTCAAAACAGATTTCTACTGTCAAGGCGTCTTGAAAGCCAAGTCTGCTTGAAAGCCAACTATTTTCGAGCAAATAATATTTTTCCCTTATATGTTTTGTGCCGTTTAACCAGAAGCTCGTTCAGTGATTAGTGCAGCAAAGATGACTTTCAGCTGCCCTGGATACTGTCCCCCTTTTGCAAACCAGACTTGCTAAGCCACGTCCAGGAACCTCAAGACTAATTCATGTATACCTAGGTATGTTACGTGCGTCCACGAATGTTTGTCCGATAAAGGAATGGACCCAAAAATGCAGTGTCGGGTGGAGTATCCTGCAAAATCTATCGCAAGGAGTGAGAACAGACGAGGACATGCGACGAATTGTCCAACTCACTCAAAACCTCTACAATATATGGTCGCTGCGCAGGTTGGTTCACTTTTAGAGGAATGAATTATATAAGAACTCGCTGCTAAGTGATCATATAGTACAGAACAACCAAGCGGGGGAGTGCTCTTCTGCATAATACCGATCTATAGAGATTCGTGAACTGCTCTCCGACCTAAAGGTATAGACAGGAAGATCGAGGAAGCTCTAATCTATTCTGCCTACCAGAGAAAGCCGCTCGGGAAGTGAATTGCCGCCAAGTGAAAAGTCTGTCAAACCTTTAAATGGTGTCATTCACAACGATCGTTCACTGTAGCTTGCGATGAAAGACTTTCAAGATCTTCTTTGGCACCACACTGAAAATAATATAAGAGTCAAGGATTGCATTGTGTGTTGGAAGATGAGCGGCAATGGATCTCCAGCCGATGGTCTTGGTGTTGGATTTGTAACGTGATACGCCCCTATGAAATATCAAGCCCAGGTAGTAGGGTAGGGTAGATGAGTTGTGCACGAGGAGATTCCCGATGATTGTGATTCATTGAATGAATGAGAAATAATGAATGACAGCATGTTACTGCTTGACAGCAAAATAATACTGGGCTGGTGATTGAGAGAGAAGCTGTGCAGGTGGCTGCTGGCTTTGCTTGCGTCGCGAGTCAGAACCGGGCTGGTGATTGTGAGGAGACACGACACGATAGGGGTTCAGGGAAAGGTCTCTGAGACTGGGGAATTGGGACTGTGATGAAAGGTTTGGAACTTTTCCTTCTTGAACGTACAGTACGGTAAAGCATCCCCACCATTGCGTATCGAGACCATGGTCCTTTGAGTTGAGAGAGCACTCGCTCGTTTTATATAGATAGAAAACCGGAGAATCTATCTACTTGGGAGCGGTGCGCTGAGAAAGTACGCATGTAGAGAAACGTACACATAACAAATTGCGTAACCTAGAATGACATCCATACCTATCATTAAAACAAAGCAAAGTAGAAAACGGCACTTGCCTTACTTTATTACCCAGCCACTATCATTATCATTCTCAAATCCAAATTCAAACAAGGAACTGAATTGGACTTGGAGAGGAGACGTTTCTATATTTATTTCATATCTTCATCTACTTCAGCCCCAACACCCTTCCATTCCCTTCCGGATTATCAACCAAGCACATTTCCGCTCGCTGTGTCTTGCCCGTCCACTTCGCTTTTATACACGTTTCTATGGTACAATTGTCGTTGCGTTGCTTGCATTTATTCCTTGATCTTAGCAAGAAGCCTACACGCCACGCCACCGCATTAGCACACGAACCCAACAAAAATATATCTAGGAAGACGGAAAAAACATACTCGTAATCCCTAAACAGCGAATACTCCTCATCGCCCACCTTGACCGGCGACCCGCCATACGACGGAATCAGCACGCGGTCCCCCGCCTTCACCTCCGGCGTAATGCGCTTCCCATCTTTATCCAGCCCCCCGGGACCTACAGCCAGCACTTTCGCCTCGTTCAGTTCCTTGACGCTGGATTCCGGGAGGAAGATGCCGGATGCGGTTTTGGTCTCTGCTTTGATGCGTTGCACCAGCACGCGGTCCAGGAGCGGCGCGAGGGATTTGATGGATTTAAGGGCGGTGGCCTGTATCGTGAGAAGAAAAGACGGTTAGTAAATGTATGACTTGTATTCTGGCCGGGTGTTGGGGATGGATGAGTGAGGGAGTGGAGTTGGGTTATAAAGCAGCTCTGGCTCTGAATCTAGCTCTATATGTGAAGAGAAGAGAAGGAGAAGATGTACGTACCATTTTGAGAGATGTAGATATCTGTTTGGAGATCGACTGAACTGGAGTGTAGAAAGATTCGGAAATGCAATTGAGAGATTATGCAGCGTAAGATGTTGGAGAGAGTGTTTGTTGGTCCCGAGAGCTTCGAAGAGATTCTGGAGAATAAATTACTAGCGTCGGCACAATTAAAATCCGTTCCGTCCCCTGAATCTACATTAGCTTAGTCATGCCACCAAACCCCGGCACATCAAGAACATCAACAGCCTCATTTCCCATTCCTGCGCAGTTCATGCTCACCTTACCTCAAAGACCAACTCAACAGCAACCCACTTGCACTTTATAATTGATATTCTTAAATGTATAATTGATAATGCATTATGTAAATCTCGTTCAGTATAAACTCATACCCAGTCTCGTTATCCTATGCAGAGCGAACTCCCACCACTTCCCCTCTCATTATACAATCTATGTAGTTTCTTCCTCCTCTATCTACAAATAAGTACAGAATGACGCTGCTGTGCAAAAACAAAAAGATATATAACTGACGCAATCCACACTCCAATCACTCCCGCCCATCCCAAATCTACAAATCCATAACTCCACCAACACCACGATTATTCAGCTCCAGATTTCGCCTCCCGGTATTGTCGAAAGTTCACTGTCCCGAATTCTATCTCGTAGCACCAACATCACCACAACTAACAACCCCGGCGTTGCTATGCCTGTTTCTATTTAGTCGGCGCTGTAGGAGCAGAAGGCGGTTCAAGTGTATGCGTATGGCCTTCCGCTTTGAAAACCGTACCTCCTTCTTCTTGCCTACAGATGACTGTGCCCGAGACCCATGGGTCGGCGAGGACTTCTTCAAGAGGGGTGCGCTTTCTGGGATCGATTTCCAGCATGCGAGATATTATGTGTCTGCTTTCTCTCGGCAACAAGCGCAAGAGCCGCCACGGGCCTTTGATGACTTCTGGCTTCTTCTCTACTATTGCGGGTGCGGCGCCGTTGCCGTTGCCGTTTGCTTTGGTAGATGGAGTGGAGGCGGGGTTAGTGTCTTTTGCGGAAGTTTCGAGATCCTTAGTTGGTTTAGAAGGTGCTGGGGTATCGGATAGTCTGCGCATATCTGTTCCGGGGGTTGGAACAGAGGCGAAGAGTTTGTAGGAATTGTCTGTCAGGCGAGGCATTTTCCAGGGAAAGCGGCGAAGAGACATGCAACAGAAGATGATGGCAAGGGACCAGATATCTGCAGGCTGGGGATCATATTTTCTCTCGTCGTACACTTCAGGTGCGAGATATGGATCTGACCCAACAATACCTAATCACATGTTATTACTATGCTCATGAAAGAAGCTAGAGAGGAGGCTTACCAGAAGATAGCGTGATATTGCTTTCAAATGGATACTTGAAAACGCTCGCACTTCCAAAATCGATAATCTTCATAATCCCGTGCTCGTTCACTACCACGTTATCGAGCTTTAGATCTCGATGCGCCAGACCCATACTGTGCAAGTACGAGACACCACTCAAGATCTGCAAGAATGAGCAGCTGACCTCAGCCTTTGACATCTTCCCAGTCATGACTATGGCGAAAAGATCGAATGGTGCGTATTCCATGACTTCATACCATTTTCCCTTTTCATGTATGATATCCAGAGTTTCAATAATGTTGCCATGATGTAATGTCGAACCCACGCAAAACTCCGCGGTAACTTTCTTGGCATATTCTTTTTCGGATTCATACGAATGTTTGGCTCTGAACTCCTTCACAGCAAAAGTGGTTCCATCACTACTCCTCTTCATCAATCGAACCGAACCTCCCGCTCCCGCTCCCAAAACCTTTCCGAACTTTCCGTACTTCGAGGTCAATCCATGATTGTCGTCAAACGGTAACTGCTGAGGTATTCTATGATGAGGTGGGGTCTTAGTCCCTGATCTGGTTGATGTACTTGGTGAAGCGTTCCGTTTTGATTTACTGTGACTCCCAATTTTTAGGAATCGCTTGAGCTCTGACATCGACCCTTGCTTTCCTGCTATTGTCGCTGAGCTTTCGTCGTGTACATGGGAAAGATGATCCTTCACTCCCCCAAGAAGTTGAGAGTGTCTCTTGTCTCCACCCTTCATATCAACTTGGCTTCGTGAAGATCGAGGAAGGGACACCGAAGAAGAGCTTGCCTTTGCTCGGTGCTTCGAATTCAAGGCAGTAAATTTGAACCTGGAATCGATTGCATCCAGATTTCTCGACTGAGGTTGTCGTTTTGACGAAGCATAGGGATCATTTGGATCTCCCGCGGGTGTAAAGGGTCTACTATAAGTATGTGTGGAAGCTCGGCTTGGACTCGATTCTCGCGAAATTGGAGCAGATGCGGTGGTGCTGGGTCCAATGGAGAAAGTGCTGTGGTGTTTTGGGGCAGGAGCGGCATCCGCTGTGGTTGGTTGACTACCAGTACCAGATGACCCAGGTCTCGAATCATCAACGTTCGATGTAGAGGGGGAGGTTCCGGAGGTTCCGGGAGGTGATAGTTGCGGGGTTACAACAGTGGGATCTTCGTTGGATTTCACTTTTTGAAGAGGCGCGCCCTCCTTTACAGTTGCTTCTACAGCATCTCGCGATCTAGTTGCCGCCGGGGTGATAGGTGGTGAGTGCATCGAAGTTGGCCGACTTTCGTGGGGTGAGGGGCGTACTGATGAGGTATATGTGCTTTGTCGACTTGCCTCGCGAGAACTGTCATCGTTTGACACAACCTGCAACGCCAAAGAGTTAGTCGATGGTCGAAAAGGCAAAACAGAGGCCAAGAACGAAGATAGAGCTATCGCATAACGCAAGAAAGTGTGAATTTCTTCACGGCGGGGTGACATTAGCATATTTGCATTGCAGTCCACCGCAATTCCCAATGCGTATAATTAGTAGATAGTCCTCCAGGGACTATCCGGTACGATTGTATTATATGTCAAGAAAGTGTTGCTGGATAACGAGTTCCAGCACAATCCAAGCCACATAGATCCTTTATTCGTTTCCATTCTTATATTTGTAAACCCCGAAATGAAAATAGCAGCAAACGTACCCTTGAGACTGGAAGAGACACAGGTTCAAAATCGTAGTGGCCCATGCGGTGTTTTTGCAGATGTGTGGATTGTAGTGTTTTCGATAGCTCCTTGAACTGCTCTTGGTCGTTGCCGGATATAAATTGAGCACGTTGGTTGGAGTCGAGAGTTTCGACGTTTTGGGGTTCAATTTCCTGGTCTACGGACGCGAACCGGACAGTAGGGGAACCTTCGACCTTCTTGGTATCCAAGCCGGGTTGAGAATTAAGATCGGACCCTAGGAGCAGAATGTTTGTCAGTAAAAAGCTTATGCGGAAAAGACGTAATGGCGATGAGGAAGGGCGGAATAGTAAGCGTATATACTTACCAATCGGACCTCCTGGGACATTGTTTTCTTGTGTAGGCATATTTGGCGGTGGGGGTCAGAGATGACCCGGGATAAGACACTAAGAGACGAGAAGATGCTCGTGAGTGAGATGGCACTTGTAGATGGAGGATTGGAGATGCTCTGGAGAAGAAATCGTGGTTGGAAGGTGGGGCTAAACGTTGAAGGCTTCTTGGGGGCGGGTAACTAGAGATGGTGGGTTGCCCGATCAAGCAAGCCGCGTATCAACTCAGGACAGTAGAGTCAACGTTGAATACTAAGATACCGGATGGAGGTTCTGTATGAGTCGTAGATGGCTGTTATGGATGGAAGGATGATTTTTTGTGATTCGATCGGATGCAATGCAGTGCAGTGCAGTGCAAACGACTCAAGTGCGCCCGTGTCAGCAGCGCCGCAAAAGAAGAACCAATTCTTAGGTGGAAGATTCTCTGATGTATCAATGACGGATTCGGTCGGAGAGACGGATGACGGAGGAAGCAGAGTGCCGTAGATCCAAGCGAGAGAGTACAGTAACAACTCAAGAGTCATCGACAATTGCTTGATACAACAGCACTATGAAGAATGAAAAGAAATAAAAGCCTCATATTATTATATCAATTTAACGAATAAAAGAACCGATTCTAGATGCGATGAAAAAGATATCTGCAGGGATTTTACAGAGACTTTTCTCTCATCTTCTTTACAAAGAGCCCTAAAACGGACCGGTTACACATGCACGAGCAGGTAGAGTACAGTAACACGGTAATAATAAGGCCGATTTGATACAAAAGACTTATCGTACCCTGAAAGCTTAACAGTATTCGTACAGCATGACGGTTTGGCTTACGGAGTTGTTCATCATTCGTCGTCCGTCCGTCCGTTCTCATAGTACTTCCTTCGTAACATCACATTCATACAGTCATACAGTGCAATTGATACTCCTAAAACCTACCCTACCCTACCCTACCCTACCGGTACCTAGGTACATACGAGTATCACGCCCCACCCCCTCCAGATTTACTATCTGCATCCAGTCCAGTCCAGCCAAGTCCAGTCTATTTTCAATTCCTCGGGACCCAATTCAACAAGGAATCCCGCCCGCAGCGGACCAGTGATAAATCCGAGTACGTATACTACTTACTATACGTAGGTGCGCGTGTAGATCTCGTTTGCCAGTTACTTGTTCTTGTTCCTCTCTTCCCTTCCAGACTTCTAGAACTGCCTGCTTCTACTCTACTGCACTGTCCTGTACTGCTGCATGTGCTTCGGGAAATCGGAACCCGGCAAGTCACGTCAGGTGTGTCTCGCTGTCAATCAATCAAGGGCCAAGGGGTGCAAGTGTGCCGAGGCGAGCGCTGTTCGCCAGCCTAGCCAGCGCAACCAGCGGATCCGATCCCGGCCATAGATCAAAGAATCGGTCTGGAAGCTTGGAAGAATGTTACATGTGCGTGCCGAAGGATACCCGGAGTCTTGCTACAACCACCGTATTATATATATCTTTTCTTGGCGGTTTGATTGATTAATCTCCAAATAAGTGTTAATGATAGTCTCAAACTTCATAACAGCATCCTGTGTGAAGCTAACTGTGGTGGTTTTATTCAAATGTACATAGGGGTTAAAAGCTCCTATTGTACAATGACTGTCTCCATTCCTCTGATATACTGTACAATCCAATCCCAAACGCCATCGCCATGTTGATATAGACAATTCGAAATAATAATACCACAAGCGCTTCATCGAAGACTCGACCAGTTCCACCACCACACACTCAATGGGGACATCTCATCTAGCAGCTTTGGAGCTGACTTATGGCTTCAGCCGCCTTCTCAGAGCCCAGGCTAATAAAGCAGCATCTCTAACTCCCTGCACTCATCTGTGCCGTCTATGCCCCAGCCTTGCGCCCCTCGTTCGTCATCTCAAGCTCTAGCTGCCGTTCCCTCTCTCCTCCCCAATCTCACTCCCGCCCCCACACCCTACGGTTTAACAACAACCCCCACACTCTTCGCCTGCCCAATAACACTCCTACAAATGCCCTCCAAACTCAACCCACTCAGCCTCAACTCCGTCTGCTTAATCTTCGCGATCTCATAAACATGCTTCAAGCTAATCTCCCCCACAGTCTCATTCGCATTCCTGCCCTTCAGCCGCCCCTTAACCGGCTCCACCTGCGCGGCACTCAGTAACAGGTACGACGTCGCAGGCGTGCGGACCTCGAAGTGGAAACTGCGGTCTGGACGGACGGTAACGCGGACGGGCGTCGGTGTCCCGGCAATGATGTGCGCGGTGCGGGCGTTGAATTCCTGGGGGGAGAGCGTTAGTTGGTCAAGGTCATATCAATTGGTCTTGGAATTGGGCTTGGGCTTGTGCTTGGGCTAGGCAGATTGGGAGGCTTAGGCAGGGAGGGGATACTTACTTTGCAGAAATCCATACTCTTCACACCCTTACTACCAAGCGCTGGACCGACCGGCGGACTGGGACTTGCCTGCCCGGCGCCGACGATCAGCTTTACGATCTGGTCTGCTGTGGCGCGTGCTTTCGACATTGTTGGGAGAGGTTGTGGTTCGTTTCGTTTGGGCTGGTGGTTGAATGAGCTGTTTGCGGATTTCGAAAACGCGGATGCGGAGGGAAATTTTAGAGCGCGGTTGCGGTACGGCTGTCGCAAGCTAGTGCAAGCCAAGTGATGGAGCACCAGTGGAGCAGCCTTGCTGATTAGTAATCAAGACGTCACGTGATTGGGAGCGGGAGAATAATTTACGAAATTGTGGGAGGCTTCTCTTGATTCAAATTAGTTTGGCAATGAATGCAATCTAGAAATCTAGTGCTTTGAGCCAGATTTCTATGGTGTTTTGAGGACGGGGGGTTGCGGTATAATGGGAAGGGCGGTAACTAACAGCATAGGGGCAGCATGACAAGAGCACGAGAAGTTGGAATAGATGTCGACGGAGCTAAATATGGAAGAAGACGCAGAGGGGGAGACTTAATAGGTAACAAATGCATAATATTTGCCGGAAAGCCTCCTACTAACATCAGCTACAAAAGTCAAGGGGGCTTCGAACCTGCCCGAACAAAAGCTAGGGATCAGAGGGCCGGGACAAAAAGCAAATCTCACTCACTACCTACTTATAACCATAGGGAAAATTGAAGGAAACCCATGATACAGTACCCCTTCCTAGACCTCCGCATAAACATCCGTCCTCCTCCTCAGCGGAACCTGCTCCCGAATCCCCTTCACAAGCGCAAGATCAACAACAGCAGTCGCGATCTCCGGGCCCTCAAACTCCCCTCCCAGCTCCGCAACAACCGCACCCCAAGGACTGATAATCATGGAGTGCCCATACGTAACCCGAGTCCCATTATGCTGCCCTGCTTGCGCGGCAGCTATCACGTACGCTTGTGTCTCGATCGCTCGCGCGCGCAGTAGGATCTCCCAGTGCGCTTTCCCGGTCGGGACAGTGAAGGCGGAGGAGTAGGTTATGAGTTGCGCTCCTTGCCTTTTGAGCGCGAGGCCTACTTCGGGGAAGCGTAGCTAGGGAGTGTTCAGCAGATCAATTTTCAGTTAGCTGTTTCTTGCATATATATACGAAAGAGGAGACAACTCACATCAAAGCAAATCAACAGCCCGACTAGTCCGACGGGTGTCGGAAACGGTTTGGGAATTTCCATCCCTTCTTCAAACGTACTGTACGTGTGGCTTTGATTAGTTCGATTCTATGTAAGTTTTGATGATTGAGAGACTTACTCGCTTTCTCTTGCCTTTGGCCCCCGTTTCAAATCCATGTCAAAGAGATGCAATTTCTGATACCTCTCCACAATCACGCCTTCCTCATCAATCCAAATCGACGTATTCTTAATCTTACCCTCCTTGCCATCACCCGGCTCATGGATACCTGCATTAATTGCTAGTCTGTGTTTCTTGGATAGGGCTTGCAAGCCGAGGACGTAAGGTGAGGTGGAGACGGAGCGAACGAGGGTGAGGGCTTCAGAGGCGGTGTGTGAAATATAGTCTGAGGCTTCGGGGAGGAAGAGCGCCTAGAGGTGGGAATGAGATGGGATGGGAAGAGAGGGGGGATGAGGGGTACTTTTGCACCTGCTGCTACGGCCTTTTTAACGAGGGTTTGGGCTTGAGTGAGGTTGTCATTCATGTCTGATGTTGAGCACATCTGGCCCACGGCCTAGAATAAATCAGATTCTGGCTTTTTCTGGGGATATAGTATTTGCTTACAATGATTGTTTGTCCTCCCATTTTGAAATATCTATTTTCAAAATGGTTATGGTGTTTCCGAGAAGTATTCTCGTGACGAGTCCGGGGGAATATATCAGTGGATCTTGTGGTCTTGAAATGCCTTTTAAGAGACCAGTTGCTTGTTTGAGAGATCACTAGCCGGTGCGAACTTTCAATTTGAGTCAAACTTTGACAACTTGAGCGTGTTTGCAGTGGTTGGGTTGTTTGAGGGGTTGATGGATGCATGATTCGTGAAGTGCTTTCAAATCAGCATCCGTGAGTCAGTGAGCCCCACCTGAATATATCCAACAGAGACACCACAACTCTTCGTCCTTCATCCTGAACAAACTTCCAGGAGGTGCTAGTTAGCCTAGAAAAATACAGTACACGCATTGCACGGCCAAGAACGGCTTTGGCTCCATTTTAGAGCAAAGAGCGCACCCGACGATTACTGCGACACAATTGTTGTCATCATCACCTGGGAAAAGATCAACCTGTGTCTGCAACAGACCTTGGGTTCGTGATTCCCGCTTAACACCGGTAAGGACTAAGCGGATGTTACATTTACGAAGACAATGTTGGAGAGGATTTTGATACCCATTGAGCATCCTTCCCAACATTCTCGTGGCCTTCTACGACCCTGCATTAAACTTCACAGAACACGAAAAGTCTCACTGCTGAGAAGTTGTGCAAAGCGTTTGATATTCAGAACTTAAAGGAGAGAGCACCACTCCCCCTCACTCAATCCAAAAGCCTATCCGGCTCGACTTCCTGTCCCTCAACATTTCGGTTCGAAGCTGCATCAGTGAGCCTTCGATGCTCAGCATCCCAAGAGTAGAGAAGACCGATGACAACAGCTATATCAGACGGTCTCCTTCATCAAAGAGCGTCAAGTCAGCGGTGTGATTGGTGTCAAATCCCCAAGTGCTGGATGTCCCTTGTACTGGAATGGTGTTCGTGAGACCTGACCAGCTTGGGTAGGTATACCAATCACTAGGCCGATTAAACGAAAGGTCATATCTCCACTCATCAATGCCGTATTGCCCCGTTACCATGGACATTTCGGGGTACATAGTGAACGGGTTGATTGGACCTGAAAGGTGAACAGCGTTAAAGACGTTGAAGTCGGGTAGATTGATCGGATTTGAGAAGAGATTGAAGCTTGAAGCGTCAACGCTTGAGGTGCCATTAGACTCTGCATTGTTGGAGCTCATGCAGTCGCACGTGCCATTCTTCCTGCCATCGACAATACTCGGACTTCCCTGAGTAGGTCTGCCTGTGAATAGATGTCTCAGCATTACGCAGTATCCATCGGGTATCATACTGACTTTGGGTTTTATGCTTTTTCTGAACGTGTTCCTTCATTTTGTCTGCTCTTCCAGTCGCGTATTCACAATTTCTTTGTGGGCAAGGAGTCTTTGGACCATGTATAGATTTCATATGTCGAGCAAGATCAGGTTGACGACGGAAAGTACTAGTGCAACCTGCAAGACTACAGAAATAACGAGTTGAACCATGCTGAGCCAGCATCTTGCTTTCCTGTGTAGTAGTAAGAGCTGTTGTTGAGGCTTCTAATTTCAGGCGTCTTCCATGTATTTGGACTTGGAAATATGATTGAGAATTTGCTCCACCAGCTCCAAAAGGATTGATAATGTTGGAACATGCTTGCTATAGAGCAGAGCGAGGTAATTTATCATCATTTTGATATGACAATGATATCTTTTTCTGCGAACTTCGCAACGGCGGTTCGCTAGCTTAGGCCATAAATTATAGGCGGTCTTGAAAAATGGTTGTGGCTCATGGCGGGCGTCCAGTAACATTCTACAAAAACAACCCTGCTATTCCAACACATTTGCAGGTCCGCCAGTGTGATGCTATGAAAAGCTGCTGTGGGAATAGTAAAGTGCCCAGGTTGTCCATACTTGATTGGGTGGCTGCAGCTGACCTCCCAAAGAGGAACGACCGCTTTCTCTCTGCGACACAACAATCTCAGCTCCGCCTCCTGTAATGGGTATCGCCCCAACACTGGAGCTCGGCCAGCAATTCTATGGCCTATGCCTTGCTTCCATGTTAACAACGTACAATGTTTCCATCGGTGTCATTGTTTTCATTTTCCGATTATCTAGAGGTTGAAGACACGAATTCAGATCAAGAGCCATCGAGAAGATTGGCTTGTTTCGCACCGCTTGTTCGCCACACTCTCGAGCCTCAGCCTCGTCACTTATCTTCATAGAGCCGCAACCACCCCTATTAATTGTCGAGCGCCATCTGTTCGGATAAGAGATACTTGTCGTGCGTTCATCGCACCAGATAAGTTCAGCCGCAGGATCTTGTCAGCAACCCGATGATGTTGAGCAAGCTCGGTGGGTTGACGATATCCAAATAGTAGACAAAACACAACCACTTCTTCCGCCTTTGTTGATAATTCGATGGCGTCTTCATCTGCTCCAATGGGAGTAGGCAAGTTCTCCATCTGAACATGAAAAACTACAGCTAATACAAGAAGATTTAAACAACGATGAAAATCTCAACTTATATTTTCGTATCAACACTTTCAAGAATGATTTCTCGCAAGCTGATATCACTTTTGAGCATCGCTCGCGCTCAGAGCAGATGGTTCTTCAATCCTTAGCTTTCAAGTTAGGATTAGACTACGAGTATTCGAAAGCCTCGCGAATTGTGCGGATTAGTCGCCCTGATAGTCTTGAATTCCCTGGTTCAATAGAATATTTCGACAGTGACCTAGCCGGTCTAAACGGTTTTAATTCAGGAGAAGCTTTCGACCTAGAGGGCCTTTTCAACCACCCTAGTAAGCAGAATCTCAACTCAACTGAAGATCTCTGCCCACCAGAAGTCTTCAACCCTCCAGGAGCTTTAAGTAGTTTGTTAGGCCCGGAAAACGATGTCTTCTTTGACTCCGAGCAGTTACATTATGGAATAGGCCCAGATTATTATTTCACACCTTCAATTGGAAACCGACATAACAATGAACCTCCCACTACCTTGCCGCCCACTTCCGATGTCGATATCCCTTGCGGTGTCGAACAACCCGAACGTGCCGGAGGTATTTTAATTGGCAATGAGCGAATCGTCTTGGATGACCCAAAAGTCCAAACGGCCTCTCATTCCCCTGAAATTAACTCTTCTCAAGACCCTGTACAAGAGCAACAGGGCGGAGACGTTTCGCCTTCTGTTGGTCTGCTAGATGCAACGTTTGATCACGAATGCACCAGTCAAGAAAGTCAATTTCGTGAAGGCTCAAATATTACCACCATGAAGCGAATCAAGTCCTCAGTGGCCAAGGCTAGTCGCTATTTGAATAGGGAGCATACTCACCGTCAAGAGTCAACGACTACAAAAAGAAAGAGGTCTATAAGCAGTGGGCAGAGCAACCAAGGTGGTGGGTCCAGTGGCAACTACTTGAGAAGAAATTCGCAGCAGTCGAGCGTACAGAGTGCATCAGGATCTGGTTATCGAGAGATTGTCTTTGATTCAAATTCAGTACATTCTGGTGGAAGCCAGGCATCTTCTTGTTCTGGCCGCCGGGGTCCTTTGAGTGAAACGGCTAAGGCCGGAATGAAAGCACTAAAGCAAGTGGGAAATGCTTGTTGGAGATGCAAATTTCTCAAAAAGACAGTAAGTTTAGGTCAAGGTCCCCTCCTCTACATGGACTAAAGTTCTTGCAGTGCAGCACTAAGGAACCTTGTGGTATGTGCCCGAAGAGGCCTATTTCTAAATGGGGAATTCTCAAGTGTAGAAGAGGTGATTTCCAATCTGAAACGCCTTTGGATAAACTGTGCGAGCAGTTTGAACGTGTAGGAGTGTCCGATTATGAGAATACCGAGGTGGATACATCTACTTCATCTATATCAACATATCATTTCGCTACTGTTCAACGCGACGAATGGGTCCACAGCAGTGGAGGCTTTGAATCATTCGAGGAACAGACTCGTCCGAATGAACAACCGCTTCAAATGCCACGAAATGAGAACGGAATCTCGGAAAAATCCTTTGTATCTGCATCTGATACGATGGGAACAGATGAAACGGGTGGTTTGGATGCTAACATGCAAGAGCCCGAAGTAGCCTGCATTGGTAATATACGTCAACTGCTTTCGATGGCTTATGATGCATTTCCCAAACCCAAACATTCCATCATGGCAGCATTAAACCCACTAGAGGAATGTATACTTGCAATTTTTTGGGAGCTTCGCAAATGCTCGTCTTCAAGATCGATCCTCGCTATCTTAGCCGAATGCGATGAATATAAAGGCTTCGGCTGTCTTCTTTCCGAAGCGGCAATTTACCAAGCAGTGTATGAAGATGTAAGAATCTGGTTTCGCATTGCAAATGCAACCCCAACTAGTTCCTTCCTCTACAAGAAGTTTATCGCTTTCCTTGGCGAGCAAGTCTACGGGGAACACTCACTCCAGAAGCACAAGGATCCTTCTAACTCGTTCTTAGAACCAACTGATTGCTCAGTCACTCATTTGCTTGCGTAGTTGCTTAGAAGTGATGCGGATGGAAGGCGATATTTCACTCCTACCCGACTGTCATCAGCGAAACGACTTTGATTGCATAAAAACTTTGAATATGCACATTTCGATATACTACAAAGAACTATCGAGGGTGTTTTTTAAGAAAGACAGTATGTTGAGAAACGAACACTGGTGTCTATCTGCGTTTTATAGCTTTTGTATCCAGGCGTTTGTTAGGAAAGGGTTGATTCAGATGTCGCATCTATTCGCCAAGTTCGACCCTCAGATCTTATACTCTAGCCGAAGCTACCTCTACATACCATTGAGGTTATTTGTTGCCATCTTTGACCTTAACTGTTGTAAGAGCAAATATCCCTACCGTCATGAGGGCTTTGATACTCTCATGGAGCAGTTTTCAAGAAGGATAATCAAGTATGGCAGCAATGAAGATGGCGGAGCTTTGTCTATATTGTGCATATATCTCAAGGAAATTTTTGAAGATGATGGGAGAATGCTAGAGGAAGACCAGCTTGATCCTGAAGTGCAAAGAACGACACGAGCGACTCCCAGGCTCGGGGGTTGGGTTTCAGAATGATCATCTCACAACTAAGCACTCTCAAGGAACGGGAAATGGTCCCTACATCTACGGATACATAATACCAAAATATCAAGGGCTATTTACTCCTTACTGTTCACGGCTATGACAACGACTGTCATCTGAATATCTGGATGCCTCCTGAGACTTGCCTAAGCCCCTGAATGCATCTGATCCAAGCTAATAACTTTATCACACCCATCTAAATATTTTATTTTTCATACCTAAAACTTCTCCCTCAAGCTCCCTTGGGTTATATCCTTCATAAAGTTAACCAAATACCACGAAGCATTTTTCTAAGCCTGAAATGCAATTATAATGACATACAACTTTATGACAACTCCAACCTGGTTTAATGAGATATATGCATTGGAAGCACATAAACGATCTGTAGTTCCTAGAAGCGATCTCGCTCTTGTAATAATAAAGTTCTATATATATTATAGAAGAAGCGCGACGCAGCCCCATTTCTTTCTTTTGGATTGACCTCTCAACAACTCAGCTGAGGAGATTAGCAAGTCAAACATCCATAATAACCCCCAGAACGTATAGCAATATCAAGCCATTATCAAACCCGCAAATACCTCACTCACAAGATCCATCAAGCTTGCCCAAATTTACTACACAGCGGAAACTTGTAATCTGTTTTTATCTATTAGCTCATCATCCTTCCTTCAATCCAACGAAAAAGAAAACTTACAATCACCCTCTGGGCTCTCCCAGAAATCCACACTCCTCACATAGCAGAAATCAGTCGTCAACTCCCACCACGTATCATCCGTAACCGGATCCAGAGGATCTGGATCCAGCGACGTCAGACACTGCAGAAAGACCTGCTCCATCCAAGGATACTGTTTTATCACCGGTGCGGTGATGCGCGGCTGTTCGTGGCAGGATGCGTAGTCCTCGCCGACTGTTACGCTGATTAGGTAGCGGGGTTGCAGGGGTAGCGTTGGGTTTGGCTTTCGCTTTGACTTCGATAGTTGTGCACGATCTGGGAGAGGTTCGGCGCGACGAGGTTTCGAGAAGGGGGTTGTGCGGTTGACTTCTAGGCTCGGAAGGGGCCCGCAGTTGTCAAGGGAGGTTTTATCGATATTGTGATGGAGGCCTTTCTGGGCCGCGTAGCAGAGAGAGGTGCTTCGGATCCAGATGCTGGGTATTGTTAGTTGGCTGTTTTATTGTAGTATATTCTCATGCTCGGTTAATTAATCAAGGGGTAAATAAGGGGCACTTGCTCGTCATCAATGATCAAATCTCCATCCGTCCAACACGTTGCCGTTAGATCTTTATCCGGGACTAGGTATTCTAGTGTGTCTGAGTCGATTGCCGGGTTGATGTTGCATTCCGTATCGTATTTCGTAGATGCGTCTTGCGTGGTGTAGAATTCCTCTTCTGAATCCCTTCCACAGTATTTTAGTTCACTTTGGTCTAGCCATCCATACATATATTAGCAAGACACCGGCGGTCCTCTCTCCGGTAATGTCAAACTTACAAGTCCCATTATAATCGACCAGATCATACTGGTTCACATAGCAATTATCTACCGTCCCAAGCCAAATACTACATACACCAAACACATCAGTCTACATACCCTTATCCTCATCCCACTCGAAGCTTCTGGGAGCACACTCACTTATTTCCGTCAGCCCCTCCAACGTTCTCCCCGCGCGTCCAACACACCAACGTCACGTTATCATAGTCCTGCTCCGTTGCGTCATCGAAGTACGGATATACCTTGGTGTTTATACACTTCTGCCACGGACATACTTTACAAGCTGTCTCGATGCCCAGTTCGACTGTGCTGTTGATATTAGCGGCGACGACGTCGAGGGCGAGAGCCAGTGTTGCCAGGAAGAGGTGCATTGTTTCCTCTCTTAACCGATCTGGAGGTTTTAATGACAATAGGAAAGCAAATGACTAATTATTGAGAACGCGACGCGTGTAAAAGTCAGGGCCAGCTCATCATTATATATCCACCGCCAAGCTCACACTAACATACGAATCGCAAAATCAATGTTCCATATATGTAGTGTACAGTAATTCTATTACACAGCATATACCTCGTGCCTACCTTGGACAAGTCTCAGATTTATGTAGTAGGAAGCGAAGTTCAGCTGACCGCAGCGTGGTTCGTATATGCGCACATCTTGTGCTACAGTAGAGTAGCTGGACCCCTGGGATGATCTGCAGCCGCCATCAAGCGAAGTGTGGGGTTGGGGTCCGTCCCGTCATTGCAGGATCGTGCACTACGGTAATAAGGTTATTTGCTCGTCTATAGGATTCAAACCGAAATTATGGGTCAATATGAAGTGATATGTATAAGAACTCGAACCTTCCAGAATTTGAGTAGAATGAAAACTTGCTAGAAGGGATCACACTTAAGGATAGGGGGCGAACCTTGAGCCGATATATGTCTTATACCTGCATTGCATCTCTACTAAGATCTGATAATAGAAAAAGGGGGAGGGAGGTATAGACTGAAAAGTACACCAGCCGTATATTTTTCAAGGTAGAGGTAAATAATCTTCGACCTCAAACTTGGCGTGTTCACTGACTTCGACCCGTTTGCACATAGGTATACATGGAAGGCCTCGGTCTCGTAAGAGGCAGTCTTTGCAGCAGAAATACAGTACTAATGCCATAGTTGACCTAATACTCATGCCGAATGAAAGCCAAAGATACGCTCTCTTTCGATGTGGGCGATTGGGTGAAGAGTGCCCAACCCAAGACAGCCACAGCATCTGATGTATCAAAGGTTATCCCATCATCCAGGATTCAGTATTTGCAGAGGAATGTGTCCGTAGGTGTTATGCGTAAGTGTAAAGTATCGGTGTAATGTGTAGCGTTTGCATAGTTGTCGTTCATGAATGGCATCATGGAGTATGACCTGGGCGCAACAGGTAACTTATTGTAGCTCCTGTAGATGGCAGGTCAGTCTTTCCGAGGCTTACTAGATAGGTAAATGACTTCAGGCACTTGTCGGCAGGAAGACGGTACAGAATCAACATTATTCATGCCGCCAGGAATCATGAACCCCAAAAGGAGCAGCAGTCACGCATTCCTGTATGCATTTCTAGGGACAGAGTTTACTTTTTCCTGCCTGAATTGGTCTAGGTGAACTTGGTCTAAGGAAATGTTACCGAAAACAAAGAGAATACCAAGTACATCTAGAGAAGGATTCTTCCTACCTGATATGCTGACATGAGATCTCGTCTCCCGAACCCAACAGAGCAAATGTCGCCAGAGACCTGTCAGAGACGAGCGAGAAGCGAAGTCATGGTCGTCGCCACTCCAGATATTTGATTTGAATAAAAATGGTTTCACAGGCGTGAACACTTCTCCTGCCAAATAATATGCGCAACGATCTGTCTAAAATCGAGGGCATTCAGGCTACACTTGTAGCCAAGCTATTTGTAGCTTGACACATAGCTAGTCTTAAAATCCGGACCGTCGACAGTCCTACTCTCCATTTGACAAAAAAGACCAGAGAAATGTACTTGACGTTGAAGGGAGGAGGATTTCGACGATATGCAATGTTACTCCTATAGCGAAATTTCCGACAACAACGATGAAGGCAGAGCGGACCCACACACCTTCCCAGGCTTGAAGGTTACATAGAGCGGCAGTGTTATATCAGCGCTGTGGTTCATACATAGGCATGATAAGGCGGATATGGGCTATTCAGCTAGCTCTCCGAAGGGGTGATCGCATATCTGAGCTGCAGCATGCTCCCAAAAGGGATTCTGGCTCTGTTTTGGATACTGCCGTGAAAGTGTAGATATATCGATATAAGCTGCAATTGAGTTTGTGGTGACATCATGTAGGTTTCCGAGCATCACTCTCGTTTGTGACACCAATTTCGTTGCGTCTCGTCCCCTGTCTTTCTTTCACACACCACCTCGCAGCTTCTTCCTTCAACAAATTCCGTCGAAACCCAATTCTTCCAAGGTAGGAAAGCAGTCACCATGGCAGGGTAAGGACTCCCTCGGTCTGTTTGCGCGACCTCCAGTATTGACTTCCAGACAGCATTCAACTCCACCCCGCGAGCGTTCATTTCCCCATCACCTTCATCGCTTTGACCGGCTTCCTCGATTTGCTTTACTCCGCTGCAAGTTTCCCTCCCACAGGTTCCTTCATTCTCTCTACCTTGAAATATCTGGACGTGCCATCGGCCCTTGTGGAGCTCTTGCCTCAGCTGTCCTTCTACACCACCATTCTCGCTCTCGTCACAACCGTTCCCGCCATTGTCACCGGATTCTCGGATCTGCTCCCATTGATTCTACGCGATGGATTCGGTACGCCAAAGGTCCGAACTGGTCTGCTACACGCTGGGCTCAACGATGTTGCGACTGCGATGATGGCGTTCAATTGGTGGACGAGGAGACACGTGGAGGATTTTGCGCCTACAGCTGTCAATACGATGCTGAGCGGTTTATTGGCTATGCCGGTGATGTTCTACGCGGCTTCGTTAGGTGGACATCTTGTTTATGGATATGGGATGGGGGTTGGCAAGTCGAGCAATAAGCAGAAGAAGACTCAATAAATAAATGTTGGGGGCTTGAAGGGATCTGGGAGCTATGGCCATGGTCATGGTTCAAGGGTCTTTTCAGGAGAGCGAGGGGAGGAATAGCACGATTGAAGCAAACGAAACCAAATGTACGATTTGCAGAACAATGCAGTAAATATTTGCACAGCAAGAGCTTTATAAATGTCTGCCTATTATTGACCCAAATTTGCGTCGCAAGAAGGTGTGGCTTTGATACAATACCTTGATGCACTGTTGTGCAGAGGAACCCCTGACGTACCAAGAGGTTAGTTGAGGCGGTGGGGGAAGAGGGGCTAGTTATTCATTCCAGTTCTCAATTTTATTCGACATACGACTTTATTTACCATCTGCTTTACAATCTGCCCAGTCCTAACAACACCTTCCTACAAACCTCCCTGATACACTCCTTCAAGATGATGAACTGGGCGAAACAAACGTTTGTTCCCTCATGCCTGCATAATGTGCATAACAGCTAAAGATTTTGCCACATAGGTTGGCCAATGTGGCTGGCACTCAAGAACCTATCTACGGACCCTCCGCCATACAGACTGTAACCAAGCAGGCCGAAACCACTCCCTACACCGAGCTCACACAGGACGATCTGAAATGGGACAACCTGCCCTCGACGAGCGTGGAGACGCAGGGCTTTTACTTCTTTGCGAAAAGTGGGCACATCGCGATGGCGCAGATCATCCACAGCAATGTCGCGTATGGAATGCCTGGGTCCAGCAGATACATATTTGATTGCTGATTAGGACACAGCGGCATAAAGAGAACGAGTCAATTCAACACCAAAATTTTTTACCCCAAGAAGGAGAACAAAGCCCATCTCTGGTCCTCGGACCCGCTATCTGATGTCGACTTCAGTGACGACGGACACAACTTCTACGCTAGGGACGTCGCTGTTGAACTGGTAGAGGATGGGAAAACATACACGATCAAGTCCCTATCGAATGAGAAATCCATTGTAAATCTTACGGTCACTCAAGAAGCGCCTGGTTTTAAGATTGGCAAAGATGGAAAGACATACTATGGCACAGACCCTGAAGCACCATGGGGATTCATGAGACACGAGTTCTGGCCGAGAGCCAAGTCCTCAGGAACGATAGTTACGGATGATGGAACGCTTGATCTCGAGGGCCAGGCCATGTTCATCCATGCCAATCAGGGCATGAAACCACATCACGCAGCTGGAAAGTGGAAGTTTATTAACTTCCAGGGCCCAACCTACTCTGCTGTCTTCATGCAGTTCACCACTCCTCCATCTTACGGGTCAACAGTTGTCAACATGGGTGGCGTGGTCAAGGGATCCGAGATCCTTACAGCGGGCACGTCTATATCCGCAGAATTCACCAAAGTCAAGCCAGATACAGAGAACGACTGGCCAGAGCCAGAGGCAATCAGGGTCCAGTGGACTGGCAAGACGAAAGACGGAAAATCGGTTGAGGCGGTACTCGACGGTCCACTCGATGAGAGACTCGACAGAATCGATGTCATGGCAGAAGTTCCCGGATTCGTGAAAGCCATTGTAGCTTCAGCTGCTGGCACGAGGCCATATATTTACCAGGTTTGTGAATAACTTCCGTAAAGTGGTATAATGCTGATAAACATATAGTACTCCCCCCACGAGCACCCAGTCTCGGTGAAAGTCAAGGTAGGTGACGAGGAAGTAATTGAGGAAGGCATTCTTTTTTCCGAGGCCACATTTATCAGCGCATAATCGGGTGGCGAATTTGATTTATCATTTGCATTGCATCGTTGGCCTACTATGCCATGGCGTTGAGAAAGGCACCACACTCGTTGGGAAATAACGCGTGACTTTGAAGCAAGGGAAGCAGCGAATAATAGAGTCCATTGTTTAAGAGACTTGAATCCAGATATATTTTACTGCCTCGATTGCCATCGCTTGACTTCTATAAAGTGAATAGGTACTAGGAAAAACCTCGACTTTGGCGGTGTATATTGTGAACCTGACCCCTCAACGCGCTAAAGATACAGCTCGGCCCAACGCGTCTCTAATCGCTTGATTGCACCACCACAACTCCTCCCATCAGAACAACGTCTCTATCTCACCACCACCCAGCTGATTCTCTGGAAATCTTGTCCTCAGTACATTCCATCACAATCAAATTCGATCTGCTACGACATCTTACAATGCCTTTGTTCAGCAGTCCCGCCATGCGTGGTCCTCGTCCAGCCGGACGTCCTCAAGGCTCTGTGGGAGGGAAGACAGTAGCTGGGTCTGGCGTTGCCAGCTCATCTGGTCCTCAAGGCCGAGGAAAAGGAACCAGAGGCTTGGGTCTCGGGAAATCGAATCTCAAGCGTCACAGGTACGTCTCCGATCTATCGCCTGCGATAGTACCTTTCTTCGTATCACTTGCATTGCAGTGAATCTGATCTGCGTTCTTCACATCACAGGAAGATATTGAAGGATAATATCATGGCAGTCAGTAAGTTCTTTTCTTTTCTATTCTTTCGATCTACGGCGTATGCATCCCGCTGTTGCATATGAAATCAAGTGGAGCGAATGCTAATTGTGGTCGTTTGATAAATAGCCAAGAGCGATATCCGGTATGCATGCGTTCCTCGAAGCATTGTGATTGCTTCATCCTTCGAAAACCGCACAAGTAATTGACAATATGCCTCCAGACGATTGGCGCGACGTGGAGGCGTGAAGCGTATCTCAGGAATGATCTATCAGGAAACCCGCGATGTTCTCCGGAAATACCTCTCCTCGGTATGGCATTCAAGCCTGCCTCCCTCTCCTTCCTATACTAAGAAGTCCTAGATATTGAACGACTGCGTCCTGATCTGCGAACATTCGAAGCGGAAAACTGTCACAGTCACAGATGTATGAAGCCCCACCTCCTTACGATAGGAATGATATGATGTGAATCTTGGCTAACATATGTGATTGCTTTACTAGGTCATCTGGTCGCTCAAAAGACAAGGCCGGCCGATCTATGGATTCGATCAAAATGCCTTGAGCAAGAAACCGGACACGAAGAAGCGATACTGATTCCCTCACGCACGGTCTTTCGACCTCAGGCGTTTTCTCTATTTACTGTACTGTGTATTGGTAATTTCAACGGCTGATGGGGCATGGTGTTATGATATCAAATTTGGGCGTTTGGGCGGAAACAACATATGGTTATGTTATGATTATAATGATACGAAGAGGCATAGACATGCAAAAAGGCTTTTGTATTTGGTGGTTGCATGATACAGCGCGGGTGCATCAAGGATACTTCTGAAATGCTGCTGGCGGATAGATGTAATAGAGGAAGAACTTGAAGACATTCATCTATTCGGCGTACAGTTAAGCTGCAAGGCTGAGTAATGATAAAAGACATGGAGCGGAGTTTGAAAACAAATGGACGGCTTTCAGTCAATTACATGTTTAGCGACTATTAATCCCCCCCTCTTTCTCCTCTTAGGCGTTTTCCTTTTAGTGCTATCTATTACTTCTGGACCCAGCTTGTATTTCTATCTTGTCTGTTCATGCCGTCAGTCTTGCGTTCAAGGGTCATTCATTATGACCATAAATCCACAACAGCCATTATATTATATCCTCAGCAGCGTTAATTCCCTAAGTCCTCCCAACTCCTCCATCCCCTCCCTTTCCAACTTCCCGCTTCCCTACCCCCCTTATACCTACCTATCCTTCACTCCCCTTCCACGTCCACGTCCACGTCCACTTCCACTCTCAATTTTTCTATCCCAACAAATCCAGTGACTATGTACTAGCGGTGGATACACTGCACTAGTGTAACATTAAGAGCGGGGTGATACTCGTAAGGGATATACGTGACAGGATGAATGGGTTTTGGGTATTGGATTTGGGTATTATATTATATTATAATCTATTGTATTGTATTGTATTGTATTGTACTTGATCATCTTTGTTCAGACAGATACAGATGAATGAGCTTGCATATAATCCAAGTAAGCAAATCCAAGCAACAACTAGCAAATACATACTCTGTATGTGTTCTTCTACTTACAGTGCAAAAGTAGACAGAAGCTTTCTCTATACAAGCCGCATGGCTTCGGATCAGCAACGCGGGCAAGCGTGCTTATTTTCCTTTCCTTTTTTGTTTTTTTCTTTGCGCGTTTTTTTTTCCCAGACAGGTATGGTCAACACGTAGAAGCTTTCACCACATCACCGATCTTAACAAAAACCCTATCCCTACTTCCCCACATAAGCGACATGTGCTCCCCGAAATACACCTTGTTGTCGAAGCGCCTCGTCTTGGCCAGCGTCACGAACGGCTCCTCGCTCTTCGCGCCCGTCTCTTGGTTTACGCAGACCATTGAGCAGCGTTGGCATTTGCCCAGCATTTGGAAGAGCGCTGGCGTTGCCGAGTCGCCGATTTCGAGGTGCGTCCAGGAGTCTTCTAGGTAGGCGGGCGTGGGTGTGAGGGAGGAGGCGATGACGATGTTTGAGCGGAAGACGGAGTAGTGGATTGGAGGTTTTCCTCGTGCGAGTAGTTCTGAGTTGAGGGCATCGAGGGAGGGGCGTGTGGTGCATAGGATGGGACTTTCGTTGGAGAAGAGCAGGGATTGAGATGTGGAGGACGTTGGGCTTTGTGGAGGCGTGGGGAAGGGAGTCTGGACTGTAGCTGGAGCTATGCTTTCCTCCATTGGTCGCTTGCGCGGGACTTGAGTCTTCTGGAGATGAGGCTTTGAATGGCGCGTACTGGGTCCTGCAGCAGAAGCTGGGAAGCGTGCTAGGTTGCAAGGTACGCCGAGCGCCGAGGTGAAGAAGTCGCTGATTTGTGGCGAGTTGTAAGGCGTTATGTTCGCGGCTGTGCCGCTGGAATTCGATGGCGGGGTCTTGAAATCTGCAGAGCGGAAATCTAAAGGGACGGAAACTTGCTCGGGGGCTTCTTCACTCTTCTCCCCCTTCACTCTGACTCGCAACATGCCTTGCTTTAGGTCAATCTCGGGTTTTAGGAGTGCCATCCTGGGATACCGCTTCTGGCTTAATATTCTACCTGTTCCGGAGTGCACCAAACACCATTCTCTATCAAATGATAATCCTTCTTTCTTGATCTCCCATGGAGTATTCGCGGGGACTGGCCAGCCAGAACAACTCTTGATGGGATATACCGTGAGGCTTTCGACAAAGAGCGAAGGCGTCTCTACTTTCTCGGAGTCTAAATCGTCGACTTGTTGGCTTTCTTCCTCGACGAAAAATTGACTCACGAAGTCTATGAATGTCGTAACGTCCGTCATATTGCTCATTGCGCCGAGACTGACACGTATGATGCCTGTTGGCTTTCCTCCAACGCCTAAACTATTAATACCGCAGCGCTGACCAAGAGCAAGGTTTTCTCGCATCTCGGAAGGTGAGATATCTAGGTAATGAGCTATTCCGCCAGAATTGCAAACACCTCCAATTCGTAAGTGTATGTTTCTGATGGAAGCAATTTTTTCAATTTCCGAGTTATCAACCCATTGTCCATTGCTATCTTTGATGTTTAAAGCAACTGTAGGACCCTGTTCTTTGCCGCCATAAGATGATGGTGAGTCTGTATATATTATGCAGACTGGTTGGCCGTTGAAGTGCTTCAAAGTGGATAGACCTTGGTACAGGTTCCGTGCCAGCGTGGAAGTGTGCTTTGATATTTGATCCATAGATCCGTACAGACGTGTATGCACATCAAACGCGCTATTTAGAGCGAGAATATTGTGTATGGGCAGAGTTCCATCCTCCAATTGCTGATGGATAGTTTCCTTTTTTGGAATATAACATTGCTCTTTGAGACAAGTGACCAGGTCTACAGTACCACCACCAAAGTATTTCCGTTGGCTTAACATGTGACCAGCAGGCTTCCGCACAATAAGTGCACCCAAATCTGGAAAGCCGAAGATTTTATAGAAGCTCATCGAAAGGAAATCAGGAGCTTCGTCGAGGTTGCTCAGATCTAGTTTAGCTGACGAAACGAATGCCGCAACGTCGAGTAATGTATATGTGTTGCTTTTAGTCTTTCGAACTTGACCTGGCCACGTCAGTGGTAGTCGACGTCCGTTCATGTTTGATTGTGCCGGGTAGGCAAATAATGTTGGCATTTCGCCACTCTCCTCACGAGCTTCATCGCCAGATTCGATCCAATGCTCGACCGCCTCATCTGACGTAAAACAATGACCCCGTGAAGCACTTTCTCGAACACCTATAAGACTCGTATGCGCGTCTCGGTGATATAGGTAAGAAAAGCCCTTGTCCCTGGATCTGAACCCCTCGGTCACGATTTTGATTGCAGCGGTTGCATTTGCAGTAAATACCACATCGAACTCTTCTGGGTCGGCTTTGACGAATTGCAAGACCCGGAGACGGACATTGTCAATATTTTTGGTGGATAGAATGGATGATGCGGAACCAGAGTGAGGGTTGCCATACAGTCCATCTATCATAGACGTGGCAAAACTCTCAACAAGCGACTTGGCGTATAGAGTTGTTCCAGAATGATCCAGATATGTCGCTTCTGTAATTGATTTTAGCACTATTAGAATAAGTAATTGCAAAGGTGATAGACCTTTGAGCATGGGATACTCTCGTTGCCGGATGGTGTCAATGTCCTCATTGTAGAAGCTGTCTGTAGGAGACATTTCGAGTTGTGTGAAGCAATCCAATGCAATCCAGGCTCGATGGCCAGCCAGGAGTGGAGGGCACAGTCAGCTTCTATTTATTCCACTATCGGCATTGGGGGCGGGCAGTAGTGGAAATGCAAGTAATCCGGGAGTTGTGTCACCGCTGTCTGTCATGGAAAGTGGAGGCGTGGAGTTGTGGAGTTACAGATTATATCAAAGAGGAGTGAAATACAATCAATGTTTTCCTGTCTTTCCGTAGACGGCCGTAGCGTGAACTGTTTGTTTCGTGTTCGTGGGTGGGTGAGTGGGTGAGAGCTCTAGCGTACAGGACGCCGAAAATCATCCAAACATTGCTACAGATTAGCGGCTCAAACGCTATATTTAAGTTCTTATCGACGAACACGTCGGAGGGCTCCGAAGACCGACCAACCAGTCTTGAAACTTTAGCAATACCTACCTGCATTAGGTAAGAACCTACCTACGGAGTAGATAAATGAATCTCAGGGGCTAAGCTAGACTCAATCGAACATTCCGATCTGGAAGGCACATTCTTATTACAAAGTCTCATCACATTCATGGTTTGAATTATCTAGGTAGCTGTTGGTATCACAAGTATCATATTAAGCAATGCTAGCCACTCTCACTATCCAGTAGCTACGAAGACTTAATCTATGTGTTGCATTCGTGTTGTCTAAGTCTATAAGTCTAAGTGTAGATGATGAGGCGAAAAGGTTATGCCTCTGCGTCGCTTACTCGTACTCGTAGTCATCGGACATAGAGTAACGTGACCAAATCCCGACCGTAGCTATGATAGATGCATTGTCAAACCCTCTCTCATTTAATTCACTTCAGCTGTAATTTTTTTTTTTAGCTGGCTATGATATATGCTTTTTCAAAACCTCTTCTGCAGATGCCGGCATCAAAGCGCCCTCTGGTGCGGTATTCTTGCTTTTGAAATCATCACACATCTGCTCCATGGTCACCCATTCCACCCCTTCATGCTTGTTAATATGCTCAATGATTCTATACGCCGTCAGTTTGAGATCTTTGTGTTTGGGAAAGGATTAAGAGAGACTTACCGCTCGTGCATCAACAAAACATGCGGGCGTCCAGATACGTCGGGATGAATAGTCATTGGGAATATAAATTCGTCGTACTCCCTATAGAAGTAATCGAAATGGTCCTGGATTTCCAAGGTATTTAGCATTTGTTCGATATGGGAACTGAGAGACTTCTCCTACCTTCCAGATATCCTCCACATCCCTAGGATTCACCCAACCATGGGAATTCGCTGAGTTCTTGATGAACCTTTTTATGTTAACATTTTAAAGATTTTATTTGTCGGACACGTGACCGCCCCCCCCTTACCAGGCTTTACCCCCTCCCTCTCCACTCCCCGCCCGACTCCCAGGCTCGCTCCGAAGAGTAGAAAGAAACTTGGACTTACATCATTGGAGGTAAATCGTCTATGTACCAGCTTCCAGGAATCTCAACTAACCCCGTAGTCTTGCCCTTTATCAGCGGCTTCATCCATTCCTCGGCCTTTTTCGTATAGTCGATCTTGGTCCACGAATCACCCGTCCTCAAAAAGTACGCCTGGCAATCCTCGTGGCTCATCGAGTGATCATACTCAATGCCATAGCTGAGCAAAAGTTCGGTTCCAGCTTCGCTAGTCTCCCACCAAGGGGCCACGCTTCCTCGAGGAGGCTTGCCGCAAAAGTCTGTGAGCATCTTGAAGGTTTTGGCGAGCACGTCTTTTTGTTGCTCAAAGGTCATATCGGACGGATTCTCGTGCGAATAGCCATGAAGTCCAATCTCATGACCAGCGTCGCGCACCATAGCACATTCTTCTGGGAAGGTCTCCAGAGAATGCCCTGGGATGAACCAGCTGGCTTTGATGTTGTACTTCTCGAAAAGCTTCAATAGACGCCGTGTCCCAATGGTTCCAGCCCAAAGACCTATGAGCGTAGGATGTTAGAATAATACTACAAAATTCAATCTCCACTGCTCACCTCGTGATATGTCACTGGTCGAGTCCTCGCCGCCGTAAGATCCCAGCCAGCCGGCCACAGCATCGATATCGACACCATAGGTACAGAGAACGCGTTTCTTTCCCATCTTGAATTCTGGATTTGATTTTGGTTTCAGGGTACGTATGAAAGCGAATGAGAGCGGAAACGTGTTACGGGGTATAAAATGTTGATAGGTTAGTCCCTTATCTTTCCGTCGCTTCACCCCTCCTTTGATAAGTGGGGAGACACAACTGGACCCTCAACACCAGAAGTGGGGTGGTAACCACGAACCATGGACCCAGATACCCGTGTTAATAAGCTGTGGAGCAATTGTTGGGGCTTTCCTCTTCGACCGAAGTCATGCCTCAGAATATGTTCATTTGTCCTCTTACTTCGAGATCACTCCCTCCCAGACACTTTAATCACTTTAACCTCAGCTTTCTTTCACCTTTCCCACCTTTAAACAGCACCCGTGGATTCCAGCTAGTAAAATCATGAGCAGAGTAAGTCATTATCCCAAGCAATCAACAAACAATAATTAACAGCCTCAAAGTTCTCCCTAAAAGGCCGAACAGCCCTCGTGACCGGAGGTGCTCGAGGCTGCGGTCTCGCTTTCGCCCAAGGACTTGCGGAAGCCGGAGCCGACGTAGCCATCTTTGATGTAATCGCACCAGTCGAGGCATTCTTCGCCATCGAGAAAGACTACGGAGTGAAAACCGGCCATTACATCGTGGACGTGTCCAGCATCACGAGTCTCGAGGAGGGATTCGCAGCCTTCAAGGCCGATTTCGGCGGCAAACTGGACATTTGCGTCCCGTGTGCTGGCATCAACCGGAATGTGTCGTTCTTGGATACCACTTTTGAGGAGTTCCAGAAGCTGTTGGGTGTTAATGTCACGGGCGTCTATCATACGGCCCAGCTGGCTGCTAAGCAGATGATTGGGAATGGGACCAAGAAGGGGAGCATTGTGTTGGTGGCTAGTATTGCGAGTTATATGGCGATTCGGAGTCAAATGAGCAGTGCATACTGCGGCACCAAAGGAGCAGTGAGGGCCATGGTACCAGCGATCGCTGCGGAGTTGAACCAATACGTAAGTTACTGTTGAAATTGTGGTTGAGAATAGCCTAAGTGAAGCACGCGAGCTAAATAGAGATGACTAGGGAATCCGTGTGAACTCAATATCCCCTGGGTATGTACGGACTGAGATGACAGCGCCTTTCCCGCATCTGTTGGAGAGCTGGAAGGACGAGATTATGAATGGACGGGTTGCTGAGCCGGAAGATATTCGAGGTGGATGTGTGTTTTTAGCAAGTGATGCAAGTTCTTATATGACGGGACAAGATTTATGTGTCGATGGAGGAGTAACAAAGTGGTAGTTGGGAGCAGTAAAATAATCTATTCTAATTTCTGATGTCTATGCTGCAAATTAAACTGCTACAGTAACTTCTACGCTTGAACTCTCAACAAACCAGCCAGAGAGAACTACTATAGTCGCAAACAAATACGACCAAAGACTCTCTAAAGCACCAGAAACAACGTCTCAATCATGCCGAGATACAAGTGTTTCATCTTCCCATCACCTTCTCGATGACCTTGGCAGCTCCCAGGACCCTTTCCTCCTCAAATCTTCTCCCCACAATCTGAAGGCCTACAGAATGCCCATCCATAGTCACAGGGTCATACAAATTCCAATTCCAGGCATCTGGCTCACTCCTCGGCTCATATAGAGTCGAAGGAACGGGATCTTTCTCCGCTGAAACCGTGCTGACAGGAAAAGCAAGCGCTGTATAGTCCAGCACGTTCCAGATCTTCGTATATCCAACCCAACTAAAAGTCCTTTGTCAGTATTGGTCCCTTTTTATTATGTGATAGATTTGAGGATTTACCGGCATGTTCGATGGGGCACAGCTGAATGAGGCATCGTGGGGGTTAACAGAATATCCACAACCTGTCCAGAAATAGGGCCTTTGACCGAATTCCACTTATCCAGATATGCCTTTTGGGCCGTAATCTTCTCCTTGTTCAACTGCCAGTATTCGTACACTGATATCGGTTTTCCTCTATTTATCAGGCCTTCAACGTGGGGTAAAAATGGCTCTCCAGCAGCTTCAACAGCGCGGCGAATATCTTCACCTCCATCAGCTGTGTAGAATCGGTCCTGTTATAATGGATTCAGTATACTATAAACATTGGGTAGAAAAAGTCGTCATACCATGATATCTATACACTCTTTGTGCAGTGACGGTTCCCAAGTGACAAGTTCGTGGCCCGCTTCCTCCAGTTTCGCAGCAAGCTCTTTCAAAGCTCGCTCGATAGGAGGATGGACTTTAACCACGCCATCATCAAGCAGGATACCAATGACAAGCGGTCTACTTTGAATTTCCTCGTACATCGAATCACGCCACGGTATAGGCACGACTTTTGGATCAAGAAACCATGGCTGTCCATTGATAACAGCTTTGGTAATTGTGGTCATCGAAGACAGACTTCTAGTCATGGGTCCAATGGCTGATGGGATATGCTCTTGGCCTTCCGTGGAAACAGGTACTCCCTGATATGGCATACGAGCACTCTTAAACGCAAATCAGCAGGCAGATGACACTGCGGAGCAAACAAGATATACTTACACTAGGTTTCAATCCGTATAACCCGTTAATAGAACTTGGTATTCTGATCGAGCCTCCGATATCAGTACCCCAGCCTACAATAGAACCACGTAATGCCAAAAGTGCACCTTCTCCTCCTGTAGATCCACCGGGAGTAAATGCCGGATTGAGTGGATGAGTTGTGAGGCCCCATAACGGATTCTCCGTCTCGCACCACTTTAATACACGTAAGCATATTCCGTACCATTGGAAAAAAAGAGCTCGGTCTTGTGGCACACTTACCATTATACTCTGCGGCAGATTCGTTTTCGCAATAACTATCGCTCCTAAACCTTGCAGAACTTTGAGCACCGCTGCATCATCCGTAGCTGGCTTCCCAGCCATTCCGACATAGCCTATGGTTGTGTCTACCCCTTTGACGTTAAACTGATCTTTGAAAGTGATGGGGATCCCATGAAGCGGACCTATCGTCTTGCCATTAAGTTCGTAGTACTTGTCTAAACTGCGAGCTCTTTGAATCGCGGCCTCGAATACTATCTCGGTCAGACAGTTTGTCTGTGCTGAGTTAGTGTTCAATTATGCTGCATAGCGTGGGTGCATATATAGTATAGTAGGTCTACACTCACGGCTTTGTGGGCAGCGGAAGCTCTATATATATTCAATCAGGGTCAGCAATTGATTATGCAATGGATGGAAAGTGAAATGAATGCGTTAACCTTTTTATATATGCTAGTATAATATCTTCAGCAGAAACCTTTCGATCACTTATGAGCTTTGCAAGTTCGTCCACGTCGCTGAGGTCGGTGATAGGGTCGGTAGGCGCGATCTCCAGCTCAAGGTATGGCTCTACAGCGGCGAGCCGTGCAGCGCGTTTGAGATTCACAACATCTTTCCAAGACGATGATTGCTTTTGCTCTTTCAGTTCCGCCATCTTGCACTAGATGATAACTTAAACTCAAGGACTTGGAGGGTTTGTGTAGATTTATATAGATCCAATGCTGTGGGAAATTGGAGAAGGGTGGGATGGAGCAGTTCGCTTGACTTCCAGCGCGCTAATTAATCTTCGGGCTTGTTTGGGCGCTGTGATCTAGAGTTTCAGTGGTACGAGCGCTGGAGTTTTAACGATGATGCGCTAGAAACAGCTGCTGCAGGGTAGATTTCAGGGGCGCAACATTCTGCTAACAGAGATTGACACATAATGACAGGCATCTTATTTACTTTAGACACAACAATAGATTCATGATATCCTTATTGCACTAGTCGATATTCTTATCCTTATAACGACTCTCTAGCCTCTCAAGAAACCTCCATAGTAAGCGTCCAGCCACTGGCAAGCCAACCCTCCCTGGCTATTTTCCCATCTCCCTATCGAGCCGACATAGCCATCGGGCCTAACATTAACAATTGCCACCTGCCCTTCCTCCACGCTTCCCAACCATTTCTCACTACATGTCTGCTTCTCCCCAGCAACGTCACCATCAAGATAAAACGTCCAGCGGCTGGCTTGCAACATAGCCGGCAGATGTGCGATCTCTAGCGCATCCTTCTTCATCGTTGTTACTAGAGCTGGGGTGAAAATTTTACTCATCGCAGTATACCTTTGAGGCTGTTCAAACTCCTCTGATTCCGGAGCTGGGGTATTAAGAACACCATACGAGGTTCCAGCTGTAGCTGTAGCCCTGCCCAAAACCGAATTTACCGAAGAGATATGAGAGGAAACGGAAGACAGAAAGTCGGCTGAAGAATGCGGGTTTGCAGTGAAGAAAAATACTCGGAATTGCCCAAGCATTGGGATATCGAGCTGAAGGTCGACGGGGTTGGCATCGACATACCGCGTGACTTTCGCGGGGAGTAAGAGGGCGCCCGCTCGAAGACAGCCTCCGGGATTTGCTGACTCGATATTCAGAACATTCGGAGAGTAGGTAGCCCCTAGCCCAGAGATGAAAGCGATGTTTGCAGCAAAGTTGGCTGCTAAAGCTTTAGGGTCACCGTCGGCAAAGGCATTTGCATGCTCAAAGTCGAAATTAATGAGATCTTGAGCAATCTTCCGTCGTTCGGGGCTGTAGGTGGACAGGAGCGATGGGAGTGCTAAGCCTCGGACTGCGAGGTTGAGTTTCCAGGACAGGTTGAAGGCGTCGTGCATGCTGACGTTCATGCCTTGTGCAGCTTTCGGCGAGTGGGTGTGGGCAGCCTAAAATACGGGTCAGCGCTCCTCCAGAAGAGAGGTTGATAAGTGGACGTACGTCTCCGGTGATGAACACGTTTTCCATCTCGTTAGTAAATTTATTGGAGACCCTCTGGCCGACTTTATATACACTGAACCATTCTGTGAGGCATTAGTAAAGTATTTTCGATATATTCTGAGTGGCAGCTTTGAGACTTACCGACACTTGTCCAGGTCAATGTAAAAGGGGCTATGATTTCTTGTGCTCGCTTCATTACAAACTCTTGGCTTGACGCTTCTGACGAAAGAACATCATGCATTCCAGGGTTGAGTTCAATGTACAATCTGACCATGTTTCTCTCTCTTGGAATGCATAGAATTGTTCCTTTTTCGTCGGAATGAATTACAACTTTGCTCCAGAGATCAGGAAAGTTGGTCTCAACGACACCTATCATATGTCAGAATGTATACTCGCGGGAACGTGGTACAGGAAATTACCATCAAGCACACCCCAAGGGGCTCTGCTACTATCTCCTATCATCTCAGCGCCGGGAATGCTGTTTCTGACATTCGATCTAGCTCCATCACAACCAACCAGGTATTTTGCCTTTAAAACCTTCTCTGAGTTTTGACTGTTGTCATTGCAGACAATCTCAAGCGGAGCTTTCAAGTCTTGAGTATCGGAATATCGAAGAAAAGGGCTGCTCCTCGTGACCTCTATTCCTCTTTCTCTCAAATCTCCTATGAACAGATCCTCAATCATGCCCTGGTGAACCAGCAAAATAAACGGCTCCTTGACATCAACCTCTGGTGGATAATGGACTTCCCTTCGAGTCCGATGCAAAGGCTCTGCTGGGGTAGAATTCTATGGTGAGAGGTTCAGCTTGTAATAAATATGAAAACCAAGTTATAAGCTAGGTATGGCTTACCCAAAAACATATATCGTAGATCTTGACGCCCTTTTGTAAAAGCGAATCAGCCAAACGTAATTGTTTCAACGTCTCAATAGTCTTGGGCTGAAGTCCATCGGCCCTCCCAGTAGAGGTCTTATCAGCCCGGTCATCAACTATAATCGGTTTGATGCCGTATCGTGCCAGGTTTGAGCTATCATTCCAGAATTCAGTCACATGCGCACCTGATTTAATTTCAGAACTCTCAACCAGAGAGTACTTACGCTAGCATAAGACCAGCAGGACCCGCGCCTGCAATCACGACGTTTTCCACCGCGTCGCCATCCAACACGCCAGCTCCATTGGAATGGTCGAGCCCGAAACCTTCGTTATTTGCACCTGGAGACATTGTTGGGGATACCTGGGTTCTGGTTCGCTTCATCACAGTACCGTTTAAAGACGCTGAATTTTTAGTTTCTTATGGGTGGTGATCGAAGGAGCTGGGGCCTGGATTTGCGTGATCCGTGACCCGAAAGGGATAAGAAGATAAATCGACGTGCTTAAGGGTGACATCGATCGCATCGCACCGGGTTAACGAGTAATAAGGCCCACTGCATTACGCTGTAGAATATACATTAGTGGATAGTGGCGTGGTGAAAGCTGATGGGCTGTTGGAAGTGGACACCACGGAGGCAGAAGATACCTAGGGTGGGGGAAGACACTTGGCTGGAACTTGGCGAAACCAGATTGCCCCTCCTCCACTTTTGCAGATCGGGTCAGTCGGGCTAGGCATGCATCCCGCATCCCTAGGTGCAGCAGTCTAGCAGCAGGGTCATTGGCGCCCGATAAAGCTAAAACTTTACGAGTAATTCACTAGATCCCACTCATGGGACTTTTCCTTAACTAGCCGAGGTATAGAGAGAAAGTATGAGTGAGCTATGGATTGACTGAAGGATATTACTTGTGATGGTCGGCTTAGCTTACTGTACGAGTAGCGAGGTCTCGCTAAACCTTCATCAAGAATCAAATTTAAAGGGGCACCAGGGGGAAGGAGGGAGTGTGAATGCATACCTACTTTGCAGAAAATAATACAATTTTGGTTCATCAAGGTCAATTCGTTCAATTCATACTATTTAAATATATCGGTCAAACAAACTATGCCACTGCAACTAAAAAGTTCTGTTCCCCTTTTTGTTCCACAGTCCCAAGCTTCAAAATATCATCCCCAACGGCTAGACGTAGTCTCTCTGCCGTTGCGGGACTATCCAGAGTCAAGTATTCCGTAACACCATTATCTTTCCTAGCGCTCCTCAAAGCTTCCCTCAAAGCAAATAAAACACTGGCCCCCAAAAACAGTGGGGGTTCTCCTGTTCCTTTGCTGCTTTGAATGCTCCTCAAATGCTTCCAGCCCCCTTCCACATCTTGTAAGAACGATACATTGAACTCCTGGGGTATATCAGAAAACCCCGGTATTTTGTATGTGCCAGGTCCACGAGTGAACAATTCGCCTTTCCGAGTCCACAGCGATTCTTCCATGGTGAACAGTCCCTGGCCTTGGATAAACGCCCCCTCGATCTGGCCGTAGTCGATAGCTGGGTTGATCGAACGACCGACATCCATTTTGATATCGGTGCGGAGAACCGTATGGTCGCCTGTAAGAAGATCTACCTCTACTTCAGATGCGCCCACACCCTGCGTAAAATAGTAGTACATCGGCTTTACGGTTTCCTGGTCATAATTTCCCCATTCATAGCCAATCTTGGGCATTTTCCAGAAGCCGTTAGCAGCGAGATTGACTCTGTCAAAATACGCTGCGTGAGCAATAGTTTTCATGCTGGCTTCGGGACCAAACTTCGCCCAGTATGGCGCGAGACGCTGATTCAGCTGGTCACAGGCGTCTTTGACGGCCATACCGTTCAAATCGCTTCCGGATGATGCAGCCGTCGGAGATGCATTAGCAGTGTGGTATGAGGCTGTTTCTTGAGTATAAATTGCATCGATAGGGACATGGAGCTCTTGAGCTGCAACTTGGCACATCTTTGTGTATAGACCTATTGCAAAGTGTTAGTGCGTGTTTTGCATTTTTGAACTATCAAAGCTCACCCTGGCCCATCTCGGTACCGCCATGATGCAGCAGAATGCTTCCATCCGCGAATATCTTGACACTTGCAGCTCCTTGGTTCAAATGAAGCGCCGTGGCAAAACTGAGTCCAAACTTCACAGGAATCATTGCAATACCTCTCTTCTTCCATTTGCTTTTTTTATTGAAGGCCTCGATTGAGACTTTGCGTTCGTCGAAGTTACAGTCTTCCTTAAGATCTTTGAAAAGTTTTGGAATGTGCCAGTCGACGTCAATCTTCTGGAGGAACGGGGTTAACTCCCCCTGCTTGTATAGGTTCATAATCCTGAGGTCGTCCACGGAAATACCGAGACCTTCTGCCACTGCTGTCATATAGCATTCGGCGATGAACATAGCTTGAGGGCCCCCAAAGCCCCTGAAGGCTGTGTTGCTGTGAGTGTTGGTTTTGCAAACATGGCCGCGTATATGAACGTTGGGAATCTCGTAGCAGTTGTCCATATGGGTGCAGCAGCGATCCATGACAGCCCCACTCATATCATACGAAAACCCGGCGTTATTGTAGACGTCGGCATCAAGTGCTACCAATTTGCCATTGTTCATAACACCGACCTTCCATCGAGCTTGGAAAGGATGTCTCTGTCCTGATGTCATCATATCCTCGTCCCTGTTAAGCATGCATCGAACGGGTCGCTTGGTTTTCTTCGCGGCAATGGCGACTATCGAGGCAATTGGCACACCTCTTGACTCCTTCCCACCAAAAGCCCCGCCCATTCTCTTCACTTTCGCATTGATCCGATTGCTTGGGACTCCTGTGACATGGCTTACGAATTCTTGTGTTTCCATCGTATTTTGAGTAGACGACCAAACCTCCATGGATCCATCTTCAATGTGAGGGATTGCCAAGGCAGCGTTTGTTTCGAGGTAGAAATGCTCTTGGCCACCCATTCTTGTCGTACCTTCGAATATCCTATCGCACTTTTTGAAAGCATCATCGATCGGACCGTCAACAGCAACACCCTTCCTCAACATACGCCCGTGTTGAAAAAAACTGTTCGCTTCGATCGCTTCATCGATTGTAAGAATTGCTGGCAAGTCTTCGTATGTGATTCTTACAGCCCGTGCCGCAGCTTGGGCCTGGAGAGCTGTTTCTGCATAGACCATACCAATTGTCTGGCCATGAGAGGATACTTCACCATCTGCAAAGAATGGCTCATCTTTCCGAACCGAGCCCCACGTGTTCTTCTCACTTGGTAAGCTATGCTTGTCGACGTAGCCTACGGCAAGGCCTGGCCCGATTGCTGGCGTCCAGTCAATTTCGAATTTGGCATGAGCTCTTGAGGAGAGAATCTGAGTATTAGAGTGTCAGCAAGTAGTTTCCGTAAGGCAGAAAATCAGACTTACGAAAGCTCCGTAGAGTTCTTGATCTTGGTGGGGGATATCGTCTAGATATTCTGCTTCTCCCGTGTTTTGCTTTAACGCGGATAGATGCGGAACCTGTTTCCCCACTACTCTTTGCTCGTGTGGATTGATATTGTCTCTGGCGCCGAAGGAGATGCCTCGGTGAATCTCCTTGATCAAATCCTCGTCCACCTTCCCTAATCCAAGCTCTTTCACAACCTCATGCCAGAATCGGAAAAAGAAAGACAGAGCCAGTGTTTTTCGGTATGTAGCCATTCCACCAGGGACTCCAAAGTTCAAGTCGAAATCATCGCACAGCGATTTTAATCCTTTCTCCAGTGTCCTTGGATCATACCATTTTAAGCCTTGAAGCAATCGGATCGTTTTCTTTGCCTGTGTCGTCCACGGGGCCATTCCCCCATATGCAAGAGTGATGGAAGTCACTTTGCCGTCATCATCTAATCGAACTCGGAATGCTGCTGTGACAATGGCAATATCATCATCTTTCCTTTTAGCTTGCTTGTATGCCTTTACAACTTCAAGGGCATCTTGTGCTGGTATGGGGATGCGGATCTTAGTTATTATAGCGTCCACAGGGAGACTTGTCTTCCTATATGCAGTGAAAAAAGACTCGATTGGTAGAGGGATCTCTCCACCAGAAATACTGCGTGCCATAATCGTAGCGCCTGCAGCAAGCAGCACAGGGTTCATGTCTGATATTGGGGATGCTGTGGCCAAGTTGCCGGCAAGCGATCCAGCATTCCGAATCTGTCGGCCGGCGAAGTATCGAAGTTGTTTCCGGCATGCCTCGAGAACCAGTCCTCTCCTTCCTAACTTCGTTGATAGTGATTTGCAGGCATATTCCAAGTTGGTCAGCGAAGTGTTGGCTCCCACCACAAGCTCATCCATAGATGCGAGCTCTTTTTCGGATTCTGGGATTGGCATTTTTGAAAGCTCTGCGATATCTGAAACGTAGACGGAGACCGAGAAGTGCGAGTTCTTGAACCTAACTTCAATTTGAACTTCACTAGCACCACCTACAAGCTTGACAGTTGGATCCAAATCCTTGATTGCAAGAACCTGGTCCACCGTGGTTGGGCTGAGCCATATTTTCTTCGAGTTTCCGTAGCATATGGGACTTCTTTCGAATTTCCACAGCGCTGGTGGGAATATTAGTTCGGTGGAAGGAACGTACGGAATGAAATTTATCTTCAATGTCCCTTCTTCACGAGTAGGTGGAGGCGTATCAAGCATCGTAGTTGTCTTGGTCCCTTCTCCTTCTTCATTTTTGGGTGGGTTTCTCGCTCTTAATTTTATGGGCTTTCCGTACTCTGCTCCAGTGATTTCTGTTTCCGCCTCGATACTCTGGCTGCTCAGAGAAGACTCATCATCAGAATTAGAGCCTGCAGAGTCTGCAGAGGTTTCTTGAGAAGAGTCTCCGCTTGTGCAGATAGATTTCGCACCCGGGCCATCTTTGCAGCACCCCCCTGGTCGCCCACAAGAAACCGCAGACTTCTGTAAGAGATCTTTGGGGATGGCCTCAGATCGGTATTGAGTATCCAATCCACCCACATCAGTATCTACGCCGGTTTTCTTTTGAATAGAAGGTTCTAGCAGCTTTCCTTTCAGGTCTTCCAGTACAAAAGTCTTAGCTGCCTGCAGAATTGGCTTGTAGCCTGTGCACCGGCAAAGGTTTCCATCCAAGTGACCTTCTAGTTCAACATCGCTTGCTGAAAGATTGAACACATCGGAAACTGGGTTATAAGAATTCCTGATCAGGGCATATAGGCTCATGACGATACCGGGAGTGCAAAAGCCACATCTACAATGCTCCTTTATTAGAAAGTGGCTCAGTAAACCGTTTAAAAAACCAAATGGGGGAAAAGTATTGTAAATGTGGAAAAGAAGCTTACTGTGACCCGTGTAGCTTGGCAATTCTTTCTTGCAGCGGGTGAGGGTTGTCTACGTTGCCTAGACCCTCGATGGTGATTAGGTGTTTTCCAACAACTGGAGCTGTATCAATTCAAGACCCTTAAGACGGTGTATAAACTTGCATACCTCCCACCAATGGAAATAAGCACGCATTAACAGCAATATGATTTATTCGTTTCTCGTTCCCATGGTGAGCAGTCTGCAGAACCACAGTGCATGCTCCACAACCCCCCTCGCCACAACCTAGCTTTGTGCCTTTGAATCCATGTTGGGATCGGATGAAGTCTAAAAGCGTCCATTCTGGGTTTGGGTTTGGCAGTTCAACTTTGGTGCCATTCATATAAAAGTGAAGTGTCGACTCGGTGAACTCGGACTCGATCAAGGATTTGAGCTTCTCGAATGCGGGAGGGACTGCAGGCCGTTGAACGGCGAAAGGTAAGGCCATGGTTACAGAGTTCTGAGGGGAACGGAGAATCAGACTTTGGCCAGCGTGACTTGTATCAGACAGAGGTCGATCTGATCAGATCAGATCAGATGCCAAGTAAAAGACAGAGATCATCAACGTAGATGGAGCGCTTGCACAGTCGTTTCAGTCGTTTGTTGAGAACTTGCCACTGCACGGGTCGGTGCCTTGATGCTACCTACCGGTAAATAGGTACCTACTGTAGGTAGGTAGGTATGTGTTTAGAAGCTGACACACATAGATCGATTCATGTACCTCGTCGAATGCGCTATACTCAATACGGATTAGATGATAGTACTCGGCTTCGATAGTGGAGTGGCCAAGAGGGGTAGTATTCAGGGGCGCACTACGCTTATCGCACGATCCCCCACCCTCGGCGCGAGATGGAACGTCCTCCTCAACCAGCTTCCCCCCACTACTCGGTATTGTCTCATTTTAAGCACAGCACAAGGATGAACCTTTTTCTTGCCGGAAGCTACCGTACCTAGGTACTCGTACCTAATGAAAATGCAAACTTCAATGCGCGTTGGCGTGGTGGGGCAAAGTTGACCTCCACCTACCTCCGCGTCCTCCTCAATTCTACTTTGCTTCGTTACTTACATTTCTCTTCCTTTGTAAATTCACTCCAAGTACAATACCTCTTACACCCTGTCCTTCCACCCATCCTCACTTCCCACTATGCCTTCCAAAACCTCGCCATCAGGCTTCAAGGAGCTGGCCGACACAGCGCTCTTCAAACCTCTCCAACTCGGAGCTCTTGGTTTGGCACACAGAGTGGTGATGGCGCCTTTGACTCGCATGAGGTCTCCTAAAGAGTCTGAGGGTGTTTATGCACCGGGTGATCTGAATGTGGAATACTACTCGCAAAGAGCTTCCAAGGGAGGACTTCTATTAACAGAAGCATGTCCCATTAGCCGTTTGGTGGGTAAACCCCTAAAATACCTGCTTATAAAAGATTGTTCCGGGCTGATAGTGGATTGCAGGCGTGTGGTTATCCTGGATGCCCAGGAATCTTTACCGCCGGTCAGATTGCGGGCTGGAAACGAGTCACTGATGCAGTCCACGCCAAGGGGGGATTCATCTACTGCCAGCTTTGGCATGTTGGGCGCGCCACAGTACCCTCCCTCATTGATGGCCATGACTCCGTAAGCTCTAGCAACATCCCCATTGGAGGAAATGCGTTAGACGGAAGTTCCTTTGCCGCTACGCCTCCTCATTCCTTGAGCGTTAGCGAGATTGGTGATGTGGTAAAGGAGTTTGCCGCTGCTGCAAAGAGAGCACTGGAGGCAGGATTTGACGGAGTTGAAATCCACGGGTATGTATAAATATTCCCAGCATGAACACAAAATTCTAACTTTGGACCAGTGCCAACGGTTACCTCCTCGACCAGTTCCTTCACGACAATGTCAATGTTCGCACGGATGCTTATGGAGGATCTGTTGAGAACAGGTCCCGCTTCCCGTTAGAGGTCATTAAGGCTGTCACAGAGGTTGTTGGCGCAGACAAGGTTGGAATTCGGTTGTCTCCTTTCAACTACTTCCAAGATACCAAAGACTCCGATCCCACCGGGCATTGGTCATACCTCTGCGAGCAAATAGCCGCGCTTCCCAAAGAGCAGAGACTATCGTATGTACACATGGTTGAACCGAGGTTCGATGAGGTGCTCGATGAACAAGCGAAGCTCGACGCGCTCGCGAGCACAACCAAGTCTGCGCAGAAGGTCAAGTCCCTTGCCCCATTCCAGCAAATCCTCAAGGCTGGGGGCGTCAAGTTCCTCGCAGCAGGGGCCTTCAACCGAGACAATGCGGCGCCAAAGGTTGATACCGATGCTGCTGATGCCGTTGTCTTTGGTCGGTGGTTCATTTCAAACCCAGATTTACCTAAAAGACTCGCCGAAGGTCTTCCCCTGAACGCTTACGACCGAAACAGCTTTTACGGTGCTGACCCTCCCCAGAAGGGATATGTCGATTACCCTGTCTATGTGGCCACTGCATGAAACACAACCTTTCTTATTTTGGGGGAAAAGAGGGCGAAGGTATACGGAGTATCAATCCTTTTGACAAGACAGCATCCAAATCTTTCTTAGATCAATAGACAAAACATGAAATTAAACTTGCTTGTAACACAGATCTGGTGACCACCATGTCCCCACAACCTGTCTCGGAGCGCATTTGTCTCTCGCGTGAGTTGAGGTGAAGTTATGTGTTCAATGAAGGTGGTATTCATAGTTTTGGCAAAAAGCAAATATTCAGAAATACCTTAGAATATTTTGAAACTATTGGCTTCCTTATCTGCATGGCCGGGATAATGCCTTCAAGTGCGACAGTACAGTAGTAGTATATATACGCCCGGGTTGAGGGCCCCACAAATTACCCCACTCTTCCTTTATCTTGATTCCAACTTTCTCACTTCAACCTGACTCCTGCATAATTTGTGCATCTATCCTCAAGTTTCGGATTGTTTGATTTCGCGTTTAGACACTCCAACGTAGGATTATCTGCTTGTAAGATATTGATTGAGCAATTCGACTTCAAAAGTTCACCTTGGCGGCGACATTGAGCCCCAATGGACAGCAGGCAAGGCGACAGCACGGCCCACGGCCAGCGGGAGGGATCGCATATCTTAAACTCTTTAGCAGTACGGAAAAGCCATCGGGAGAACCAGAAGCAATATGTTTGTACTTATGAGAATTGCAATAAGTCTTTCACGCGATCAGATCACTTGCAAAGACATCGCTTGAATCACGGCACCGGAAAGGCCTGCCCTCGATGTTCGGTTCACTTCAATCGACCAGATCTACTGGAACGACACTTGGCTCGCCATAGACAAAAGGACGAGGAGGCTGGTGGATATGGATTAGGAGTAGTGGAGACAAGGAAGAGAATGTGGCGTGATGCAGATGGAAACATAGTTACCAAAAGGCCGACTCTGCCCAGCAACAATCCAGCAGCCACTTCGCAACAAAACATTGCCAATTTTGAGAATGAACGCCAAACAGATACTAACGATTCACCAGCCGCCTCGCAACAAGATATGGCGAGTTTTGAGAATGAACACCAAACAGCTAGCGACAGTTACGCAGATATGGCGCAGAATCAAGAGCCCCCGCTGACGCCTAGATCTATGGGATCGTATTCGAGTGGCAATGACCAACGTCGAACGTCTATCAGAGGTGCTGTATCAGAAGGCCAGTGGGCTCTCGACGTAGCGGCAAACTGTAACGGCGATGATCCAGAGATGTGTGATTTTCTAACAAACTCTTCTTGGGGCGCACAGCAACCACAATCGCTTTCAGATATCGCACCGAACCCATTCGATGACATGTTTAATCCAGACACAGGTTTGACTTATAATCTTTCTATTCCAGATAATCCTTGCTAACTAAAATGCAGCAAGTTCTTTCAATATGCCTTTTACTACCATGAACAACTACAATTGGTTATTCAATGGGAGCGGCCTTGAATCGGACATGCAAATGCACGCTGTGACAGGTCCAATCCAAAATCAAACATATCAGCCCACGTCGAGTTTGTTTTACTCCCGTAACGCAAGCAGCAATTTCAATAGCACCCAATCAAATGGACCCATGGTGCAAAATATGATGGCAGGCACCTCATGTTGCACGCCAGCTCAAATCGGTGGCTTCGCCGATCAGTCTGAGGCCGTTCGGATGCAAATAGCTTCTGAGAGACCAAGCAAGAGGTCAAATTCTGCCATAGAGACTCCCACAACAGCTAGCTCTTCCAAACACTCTAGAGCTGATGAATCTTCACTGGGAAACTTCTCCAATCAACACACTCCGCGAAGTGATTCTCAATCTTCAGTATCCGAGAATGAACCACCAGTTGGGCAGGAGAATGCCTCTCGATCAGAGGCAACGATTTTGGACCCTTTTCCAACGTTCAGTCCCAACTCTCGCAAAACGCTGCCTCTTATTGACGAGGTCACCCGAAACCGGGTTTTGGACTTCATTATTCAAGCCAATCCCAAGACGCCAGAAGGGGCTCCAATCTCTCGTGGCAATAGTCTTTTATCACTTTCTGCAATGCAAAAGTACTGTGATCTATTCTTCTCCAGATTCAACGTTACATATCCCCTTCTTCACCAGCCGACCTTTGAGCCTTCCCGGGTGGAAACTCTTCTGATGGTGTCCGTCTTGTTGCTTGGAGCAACCTATGGCGACAAAGCTGAACACCGTTTGGCTGTTTGTATCCATGACGTTCTGCGGTCACAAATATTCTCAAATGCGGCCTTTCAGGCACAGCCCGAATTGTGGGTTTTGCAAACTATTCTATTAGTTGAATGTTTTGGAAAGTCAAGGGCTGGGCAAACTCAGCATGACATGGCACATTTATTTCACGGCCTGCTTATCAAGTAAGTGCACCTTTGAAACACTCTCATTCGACTCTAGCTCTGTTTCTTCATACTGACTATGTGCAGCTTGATACGCAGAAGTGATTGCCAAGTAGTCTGCCATCCTAGGTACGATAGAACTAAGAACTTAGAGTCGAATTGGAGGTTCTTCGTCGACGTTGAGCAACGCAAAAGGTGGAGTCACTCGAGTATTTTGCAAAGCTATAACTTACATAAACATAGGCTTGCTTATCTTTGCTTCCTATGGGATACACAACATGCAGTACTCTTCTCACAATCATTATGCATGTCTGCATTTGAACTTCGCAGCTCTCTACCTTGTAACTCGGCAAGTTGGGAAGCCGAATGCGCCGAAGACTGGCATAGAAGTTATTCGAGAGAGACAGAGACTTGGTTTTTGTCCGTTCTAAAGCTTTACGTGAATCCGAGCTCTGGTACTTTGCCGCCTCATTTGAACGACCTTTCTCGCCTTCTTATGCTTCATGGATTGATGTCACTATCATGGGATATGAAACGACGGGACCAAACAGCCCTTGGTGAGTTACTCCCGTCCTCTTCGATACGATGACAATGCTAAGAAAATAAGGTTTTGTTGGCACCTCGGCACAGGAAAAGCAAAACCGCCTCGCCGAGTCATACGACGCCTGGAAAACGGATTTCGATACCTATTGTATGAGTATGTCATTCTCTCTAAAGGACAATACTGCCGCGAAAAAAGACTTCACACGTTTCAGCACGGCAAGCATTGCTATTTACCATGCAGCTCACATAATTCTCAATGTCGAGATCATAGACCTCCAGATCTACGCAGGCGCGAGTCACATCATCGGCCGGCCCGTAACTTCTGGGGATTACGATCGTTCGCGTAGCATTGTCAAGGACTGGGTTCGGAAAGATGACTCGCAGGCAGCGGCAAAGGCGGCATGGCATGCGGCTCACCTTCTCCGAGACGGCATTATGAATCTTGACAGTTGGGACGTGAACGAAGTGTTTCATTATCCTTGGTGTTTATATCTCGCCACTCTTACTTGCTGGGCTTTCCATTTCGCTGCTAGTAACAAAGATATTCATGATAGCGGAAATTATCGTTCGAGGGATGTTATGAGGCATGATAGTGCTGGAGGGAACTCCCAGGCAGAGATGAGTGCACTTGTCAGCGGAATGACGAGTGTAGCTCCCGATGGCCTGTGGAAAACTGTGGGGAAATTCTCGACGAGTGGGTTGACTGCAACGATTGCACGCCATCTGAGTACCATCAGGTGGGCAGTTGTGCACGAAGGCTTGAAAATATTGAGGGGTTTAGTGGCCGAGGAGGATTGAATCTAAAACTGTATATGCCAGTCCCAATTAGTTCCACTAGAGTTCGAGTTGACGACTACAATCGCTAACATTTCTTGCATTGGCACGATTTGGCAAGCTGTAAATAATGTATGTAACTTCTTCCGCGAGGCTAAGGACTTTCAAGCTTCTGCCGCTCTTTTCTAAACTTCTCGAAATCCAAGGATCACGGTCTTTTTAAACAATAAAGGCTACAATCGATGAGCCGACTGAGCGGGAGCCAAGCCATTAATTCAATTAAGCAAGTACATCGAACCCGAAAAGATAATGCTTATCGGAAATCCATTTTACTAGATAGAAGATAGGTCGAAATCCAAATTATCCAACCTCCCCACCCTTGTCCCACCCATGCAATCAAACTCATGGTAATGCCGTATCAGTAATACCAGTCGTAGTGATCGACCGTGTCCGAGATAATGTCTCCTGCATGATTATTGGGGGAAAGCTTATACTATGTTCCAGGCCCTCGTACGACACGGATGTTAAAAGCATCCATTTATCAAGTCGATCCCCAGGTCGCCAATTCGATACTCCTCATCTCTCTCCTTCAGCTTCAACTTCAACAATTACTATATTAATTGCCAAAATGAGTTCAGGAAGCGTTGACAAAGACAAAAGTCTAACAGAGCCTGTTGATATTGATGTTGCGAAGGTCGAAGAAGGTCGGAACTATGCTGCTATCGACAAGCAGTCCGAGCGGTCATATGGTAAGTTCACTCCCTACCCTATCAAGAGAAATATGAGGACGACAAAAAACTTATTCAGATGTCTTTCTTGCAGTTCGGAAGCTAGACTTTTATCTTCTACCTTTTCTATCCCTAGTATGTTTGTGGTGGGGTCCTCCATGACCAAAACACTAGCAGAGCTGACAGAATTGCCCGCTAGATGTATTTCTTCAACTCAGTCGATCGGGTACGTGCAGCTATTCATCCTATTTTGAACATCTTCTATACAAAAGATACTAATAATACACAGAGTAACCTAGGAAACGCAAAAACAGATAAAATAGACAAGGACCTTCACTTCAAGGGCAATGAATATTCATTGCTGATTCTCTTGTTCTACGTCCCATTCGGTCTTTGCGACTTGCCTCTAAACCTTCTTACTAAGCTTTGGTCTGGAAGGCTTATGCTACCTACTCGTGAGTAGTAGATTACACAGCAGCGAGCGGGATGGTTGTTAATGCGAAATAGTAATGGTTACTTGGGGAAGTCTTGCACTTGTGCAGTGCGCTGCAAAGAACTTCGGTGGCCTCTTAGCAATCCGTCTCCTGCTCGGGTATGTGACTGCTTGCTTGATCCCATGCAGATAAAGTGTCCTGACCAACTGTTTGGAATAGCGTCTGCGAGGCCGGATTCTTTGCTGGTGTGGTGTTCTACCTGACGTTGTTCTACACGCGCGGTGAACTTGGCTTTCGCCTCGCTATATTCTTTGGCTCCGCACTCCTGGCAGCTGCTTTCAGCGGTCTGATCTCATATGGAGTTTTCCGGATCAAAGACCATGCCGTTAAAGGTTGGATGTGGCTTTTCATCATCGAAGGTGGATTGACCGTTATCGTGGGCACTGTTGCCTTCTTTTGGCTCCCCAGCGCTGCTGAGAATGCTTGGTTTCTGACTGAGAAGGAGAAAGTCGCTGCGAGGGCGAGGAGTCTGAGGGATGGGAGTAGAAGTGTGGGGAGTGAGTTCAGTCTGAAGCAGGCATTTGCGACTTGGAGGGGATGGAGATTCGCTGGGGTATGGGAGTTCGATTTCCTCATACGAACAGGATGACTGACATTTTGTATCTGTAGTGGTGTGTCATCTGCTTCACTTATCCAGTAGCGTTTTCCACCACTTCCAACTTCCTGCCGCAGGTATGTTTTTCTTCCCCTGCCCTTAACATTAGCATGACCAGCCCTCATGTACTTACTACATCTATACAGATTGTGGCACGTCTGGGCTACTCAACTGTCAAGACCAACCTTTGGACCGTTGCCCCAAATGCGGTAGGATTTGTCTTCCTGCTCACCGTAGCCAAATCCTCAGACTACTTCCGCGAACGCACGTACCACATTGTATTTTCCCTCTGTGTCTCTCTCATCGGGATGATAATCCTCGCCAGCATCGACGTGCTCGGAAACAAAGGCGTCGCGTACTTTGCCTGTTTCCTTATGGCCGCCGGCTCCTACATCCCTTCCGTCCTCGTGCACTCCTGGCACAACAACAACAACCTGGAGGAGAATTCCCGTTCAGCTACGACTGGTCTACTGGTAGGGTTGGGAAACCTGGCGGGGATCCTCAGTGCGGGGACTTTTAGGGTTGAGTATGCGCCTGAGTATCGGCCTACGCTGATTGCCACCTGTTGTTGCAACGTGACCTCTATTTCTTTTACATTATGGATGGGCATTTGGATGAAGAGGCAAAATGCGAAGAGAAACGCGGAACAGGGAGTTGTGATCAGAGCTGAGGATGTGGATACGTCTTCTTTGGTTGATGGGGAGAAGAGCGCCAACTGGAGATTCTTCACGTAAGGGTTACCCGAGGCGGAGGAAGGGGAAGGGGAAGTGCGACACAAACTATACGGGTGAGCCGCTTCTCTAATGGCAAACTTCTAAGACGTGCAAGGGCCTACTTGTAACTCTCAAATAAAAGGAGACGTAAATGTAATAACGTTCCGAGACCATGTTTCCCTCTCCGATCTCAACAGAAATTCTCGAATTTAACCCTAAAAGAATCTGCTCCTAGCAGGGAAATTAACCTGTACAAGATAAAGTCGCTAGATAAAAAAACTACGCAGTGAAACTAACCAATTACTTATATCTCAAAGCGGCACTATTTATCATGTGCTAGGCAGCGTGGGACATTAAAAGTCAACCAGGTAAGTGCTGCTTTTGTCTATTAAACCCTGAGGAGCCTTGGGATTCTTGTGGAGAAGGCCGTAAAACACTATAGAAGTTTAAAGGCCCCATAGCATCAATAATACAAACATTATAAGCTATCCCTTCAAACATCGGCGAAGATAAGCATTCGAATACTTTTTGAATACATTACAGCCGTGACCTTTCATTCTCTGTAGCCGCTTCCAGCGGTGGCAAGTAACGGTCGACCTCCTCCTCACACACCCATCCTAGCAACCCAGGAGCAAACGCGCTGTCTTTCCACGCTAAAGCATCACCAGGAGCTTCTGCTCTCATAATTTCATCTCTTTTCTCCTGTTCTGGTCCATCATGCAAGTGATATAAATACTGCTGTGTGTTCCCTCTCTCGACCACCATTACTGTCCGAGGTTTTCTGATTTTCTCGTAGATATCGAGAAGTTGGATTTTCTTTTGCGCTGAAAATGGACCGGCGGTATGACGCGAGAAGACTTCCCCCAGAACAGCAGCATCTTCCAAAGACATACCCGCTCCGGAAGCCAAGTAGGGGAGTGTGGCGTGCACAGCATCACCCAGCATGGTGAAAGCTCCCGAAGGATGCGACCAGGTCTCCATGCCCGTGCGGATGCACAATCGCCACTTGGAGACCGACTCGCAAAGACTTAGCAGCTTCGGTATTCTTGGGTCCCAGTCTTTGTAGAGAGCTCGCATTTCTTCAACGCTTCCCTCGGTGACATTTTGCCCTTCGGGGAGGTCGTCTGGTACGAGTAAAACCATATTGAAGAGCTCGCCGCCACGCAGAACATAGTTGACTGCTTTTGTCAGAACTGGTGTTCATGCAATCGGTTGGGACGGAGCAGCTTACCAGCATGTGCATCTGGACCCATCCAGTAGTTCACCTGGGGATTCGTCACAAAAGTAGCTAGCTCGGGATCTTTCAGCATCTCTTTCGTCGATAGGAGAAGCCTATACGCCAGATCCCCAGTAAGAGTCGGTGGATCTACTTTTCCCATCATGATCTCTCTCAGATGGCTGTTAATGCCATCAGCTCCCACGACCAGATCTGCAGTATGCCTTTGTCCATCCCGAAGCACTACAGTTGCCGTTTCCCCATCGGCGCTCACCTGCACGTCTGAAACTCTAGCATTGACTATTGTCCTAGCACCGAGCTCGACTGCTCTCTGAAGGAGACACTTGTGCAGATTTGCGCGGTGGAAATCCCAGTAAAAAGTTCCTGGATAGAGAGCTGCTGAAGCAGCAAAATCCAGCGAGGATATGATCTCGCCTTTCCAGTGTCTCATGTTGACTTGTGATGGTTTAGTCGCGTACTTGCTCAACTCGTCAAGCATTCCCCAGGTTTGCAAGACTCGACTGCTATTTGGAAGTATTTGGATACCAGCTCCAACCTATAATCTAATGAGCACCTCCCTGTCAAAGCATTTCAGGCGCATCAAAGTACACACCTCAGAAATCTCGGAAGCTGCCTCAAATACGTCTACATCATGTCCTGCCAACAGAAGAGCTATGGCAGCACCAAGTCCTCCAAGACCGGCACCAACGATAATAACCTGGCTTCCGTTAGTTATCGGTTAAGGAAGCCAGGGAATCCTTCCTCTCCATATTACTGACTTTTAATTTGGAAGCCGCATCTCGCTGTATCTTCTCCTTTGGAACTATTGGAGTGACCGTCATACTGTATTGCAAATAACGTTTAAACAAAAGGATTCAAGGAAAATGCAGAGTCTCTCAAGCTGTCTGTTAATACGGCACGCGGGTTCTAGAGCATATAGAGAGAGTGAGTAGGTAGTTCAAGGAGTCACGTCCGTCCATTTCTAGACTCAAGCTGAAGAGTGGAAGAACGAAAGTGGGAAGCATCTGGAACCTCCCCACATCCACACACAAGGAGGCTTTCGAGAACGGATGAGGTCTCATCTCATCCCCGTGGAACTCGACGTTCCAACCTATCAGTTCCGTGTGTCAGTGGCAAAGATAAGATGGCAGTACAGAGTGGACACGAATCGTACTAGAAGTGGGGTGCGATAAGGAAAGCAGCAGCCACCCTCCACTCTTGGAAGTCTGGGGTTGTTTGCCAGGGGTGGGGTGGGGTGGGGTGGGGCTGGCCGGTTGGTCACGCTTTCTGGGCGCCCGCTGTCCTTGTCGTAAATCTTATCACTAACTAAGGTACTGTACGTTCAAGTTGGTATATCGTACTACTTTGATTGATTAATGGATCGTCTGCATTTCATTGCCCATTGATAGAATCTCTACAAGTGTCTACTCCGTGCATCGTACACGCCCGCCTACCAATTTCGCCTAAAATGCCTGCCGACGCTCCCCCTATCTTGGACTTCTCAGGTGAGAAATAAGCAAACTTCATATCAGAGCATCTATTCACGTTTTCATCAGTATTTTATGGAAATGACGAGAAAGCCAAAGCGCGTCTAGTTCAGGAAGTGAAGGACTGTTGCTTGCACAATGGATTCTTCCAGATTGTCGGTCACAAGGTTCCGGCTGAGTTGCAAGAGAGAACACTGAAATGTGTCAAAGAGCTGTTTTCTTTACCCCAAGAAGAAAAGAACAAAGTGCACAAGGGTTGGTAAAATTCTCCTAGTTCAACAGCAGCAATACTGACTCTTAAAACAAGACAAAACCACGTGGAATAGGGGGTACGAGAATCTAGGTTCTCAAATCTTAGAAGCTGGTACTCGGCCAGATATGAAAGAAGGTTTTTATATCGGCGAGGAAATCTCAAAAGACCACCCGTACTTTGTCCAAAAGAAGCTCAACAGTGGTCCCAACCAATGGCCAACAGGGTTGCAAAACCGGGAAAACTTCGAGACTACGTCAATGGAATACTACAATGCCATGCATGGCCTTGCTAAAGATGTCCTTGCCGTTTTAGCCCAGACGCTAGATTTGAAGGAGGATTACTTTCAAGCCTTTGCCACCGATGCAGTTGCGACCTTGAGATATCTGCATTACCCTCCCCAGCCTAAAGACTCAGATGAGAAGCTGTCGAGAGGGATTGGCGCGCATACGGATTTTGGATCTGTGACATTGCTGATGCAAGATGAAGCTGCCGGGCTCCAGGTATGGGAGAAAGCTACAAACGAATGGCTAGACGTAGCTCCTACGAAAGGCGCTTATGTCGTGAACTTGGGCAATATGTTCATGCGCTGGTAAGTTTTGATTGACCTATTATGAATTGACTGCAAGGGGAGAAGGAAAAGAAGCTAAGAAGTGACTTATTAGGTCCAACGATCGATACATCTCAAACTTGCACAGGGTTATCAACAAGTCTGGCCAGGAGCGTTACTCGGTGCCCTTTTTCTTCAGCGGGAACCCAGATTATGTGATCAGCTGCTTACCGAATTGTCGGAAGGAGGGCGAGGCTGCTAAATACCCACCGACGACTGTTGAAGAAGCTGTCGGAGGAAGTTATTCGGCCAGTTATGGGGCTGCGAAAACTTTCAAGGAACAGAAAGCCATGCCTGTTACCGCGCAGCCCGTTGCGGTTTGAGACATCTGTAAATTTAGGAATGTATTCAAGCAAAATTCATAAACTGCATCGAGTCAGTGTACCAGTATATCACTAAATATTTAAACTTGACCTGAATACGTACCCGCACCCGCACCCGGCAGGTCTCTACGGTTGGAAATACGGGTACCGTCAGGTTTCCGTGCAAAGCAATATTACAACATATAAGAGAAGTCAAACCCTTCTAGTTATCTATCCGCCCAAACGCCTAAACTATTTCCCACAAGCCAATCGAACTATAACTCCAAGTCCAACTCCCGAACTCTAGATCTGAAGACACAGTCTCAAAGTCTTATCCTCGTAAACTGTAATAACATAAGGCGGATAAGAACCTTTTGATACTGTATACAATAATCCAAGGCCCCTCCAGCTGAGCTTTGACCTTGATCTAGAACCTAGAAAGAGATCCCCCACCCTTCAAATTCAAAAACCCCATCCCCATCCCCATTTCCAGCGGCCTTCCCGCCCGCCAAGATCTGCAGCGCTGTCTCCTAGTCGCGTCGCGCTGTCTAATCTTGGGACAGAGATACGATACAGATACAGGTACAGATACGGTAAATGTTTCTTTGGGGTAACTCTAATACTGTACTCCGTATCGCCCTAGATTCGAATCGAGTCAGCAATTTGGGGGAAGATACACAGAGATACCTACGATAAGAGGTTCTGGACTAGGCTAAGGCCAAGGGGTCCGTTGAATAAATGGACCCGAGCAGAACCGAGCTTGTGATGGGAAATCAGACGATAATATAAGCTGTAGAAATCATCCGTTTTTTTCTTTCTTTCTGATACTATCGCATACCATTGGGGTTTATTCTTTTTTTTATCTCGTCTTGTTCTTATTTTATTCTCCGAGGCCAATTTCTGATTGGCTGGCTGGCTGTTTTCAATTGCCTTGGCATCATGTCAGCTAAAGAAGAAAAGACAGGGGATGATATAAGTCCTGCGGTTGAGAGGACACAGTCATATGGCGAGGGCATCACGCTGAAACTCGACGACAAGGAGAATAGAGAGTTTTATGGAAATTCGATTACCGATTCGTATCGACTCAAGTCGGAACTTGTAGGGAAATGTCTTCAGGAAATTGGGATGGGAAGGTTAGTTTAAAAATGAAGACTAGGATTTGGGATGCTTTGACTCATAATGCTGACTTTCGTGTTGGAAAGATATCAGTGGGAGCTATTCGTAGTCACGGGCTTCGGATGGATCACGGATAACTTGTAAGGCGTCCTTGGAAAGGGAGGCATTGCTCACTCAAGCTAACAACAAACGCAGCTGGTCCCAAGGCATTGGCACAATCCAACCTTCCATTAAGCTCGAATTCGCCGACGTATCAAAGGTTGGGTTCAGCTCCATCTCGTACTACTGCGGTCTCATCGTCGGCGCCTCCTTCTGGGGTATCTCGGCCGATTTCATCGGCCGCAAGCCAGCTTTCAACCTGACTCTCTTGATCGGTGGTATCTTCGGAGCAGCTGTTGCCGGACTCAGCCATTTCCCTAGCTTCTGCGGCATGTGGGCAATCATTGGTTTTGCAGCTGGTGGAAATGTGCCCGTCGATTCCATGATCTTCTTGGAATTCGTTCCGGGATCTCATCAGTATCTGCTCACTGCCTTGTCCGCATGGTGGAATTTTGGACAAGTCATTGTCGCGCTCATCGGATGGGTCTTTTTGGCAAACTTCACCTGTCCCACGGATTCCACGCCTGAGACTTGCAAGAGATCTGATAACATGGGCTGGAGATATGTGATGATCACCCTTGGTGGTTTGGCACTTGTTTTTGCCCTTATTCGAATGTTTATCTTCAAGATGCCAGAATCGCCGCGGTACCTGCTCTCCAAGGGCCGTGATGCCGAAGCTGTCGAAGCCATCAACTACGTCGCCCGTCGGAACGGAAAGCCTGAACCCCTTCACCTCAGTATGCTGCAAGAAATTGACCGAGATCTCGGAGTGGTTGTGAACTCGGATGAGGGCAGAAAGGGACTTACACACAAGGAAATTATCAAGGAGAATCTATCAGACTTCAAGTCAGCCAACTTCAAGGACCTTTTTGCTACTCGCAAGCTTGGCCAGCACACTACTATTATCTGGTTTATCTGGCTTACCGTTGGTAAGTTTTCTCACTTCCGCTGATAACAGATAATCTTGGCTAACCAACAGAACAGGTATCGCCTACCCCCTCTTCTTCAACTTCCTGCCCACGTACCTGGCGCAAAAATTTACTGAAAAGTCATCCCTCTACTTGACATACAGGAACTACTGCATCGAGTCTTCAGTAGGTGTCGTGGGACCCGTCGCAGCAGCCTTCGCAGTCAACACCAGACTCGGTCGTCGCTGGATGATGGGAGGGTCCGCCATCGTGACAGGAATATTCCTCTTCGCCTACACCGGTGCTAGTAACACTGCGGGTGACTTGGCCTTCTCCTGTGTGACGGGGCTGCTGGGGAACTTCATGTACGCCATCATGTATGCGTTCACACCCGAATCGTTCCCTGGTCCTCATCGTGGAACTGGTTCGGGGACTGCGGCGACGCTCCTCCGTTTTGGTGGGCTGTGCGCTTCTCTCATTGGGACGTTCACGAACTTCACGGTTGTGCCTATCTATGTCAGTGCTGCGCTGTGGATCGTAGTGGGAGTTATCAGTTTCGGATTGCCGTTTGAGACTCATGGACGTGCAGCTATCTAGGGGAAGCGATTGAAATTAGGAAAACGAAAGGGTTCGTTGTATATATGACAGTTATTAAGTACTAGAATAGACCTTTAAGTGTGCAAGAAGGAAACGAAACAGACATACGCATTAGACGAAGACAGATGTGGTGAGACTTCTAGCAATGCCGTTATAGCAAAATGTTTTCAACTTGGTCAAGTTAGAGATGAGCTAGCAAATTAGAACTCGATTGCTCCTCATAGGATTTCTTTGATGCCAATCCTTTAGCTTATACCACATCGACTCTCACCTTGCCCATCAACAATGCCTCGATCTTGTCTCCTTTCTTTAGAGGTTCGTTCCCTGTGGGCAAACACAACAGTGCATTCGCACTCTTCAAACTCCCTACCCTAGAGCTTCGTTGGCCACCAGTGCTACTAGCATGCAGGAGCCCATCCTTGCCCATGACAACAATAGCGCGATGATATTCTGCTCTCTGGGGGTCAAGCCGGAATTCATGATCAAGCGTGGCCAGTACTTTCGGCAAGCCTGGAGGAGAGACACCAGAGAGGTGATGCAGAGATGGTAGGACAAAGAGGTGGAGCGTTACTACTGCGGAGACTGGATTCCCGGGTAGTGAGAAGATGACTTTTGAGACTCGTTCTCCGGCGTTGTTCTTTACTGGTACGGTAGCGAAGGTAGTAGGCTTCCCGGGTTTCATAGACACCCGGCCAAAATGTATAGTGCCGCCTAGCGATCGCTCAATAGTTGGTTTCAATAGGTCGAGCTCACCCATTGACACGCCTCCTGAGGTAATGATCACATCGACCTTGCGGAGAGCGTCTCGCAAGTGCTCTTCCAGCGCTCCTGGTTTATCCTTTGCAATTCCAAGATCGATGGCTTCGAACCCCCAACCTCGCACCGCAGACAGGATTGTTGGCCTGTTACAATCCCGGACTTCTCCCAGTCGTAAGTCTCCCAGTCTGCTGTGCTCGACAATTTCATCGCCTGTTGATAAAACTCCGATAATCGGCTTCTTGTAGACCGTGACTTCTGCTTTGCCTACAGAAGCCAGCAGGCCTAATTCTCCACCTATGGCCGAGATTTCTTCTCCTTTCCGGAGGATGACTTCTCCTATTTTGATGTCACTACCCACTTCACGAACATTTTCACCATCCTTGACGCCCTCTGCCAGTATTTCAACTTCTTTCTCTTCTTTGCCATCATCAGTCATGGTTTTCAGGACAGTATCCTCAACCATGACTACTGAAGTAGCACCAGGTGGAAGTGGAGCTCCAGTTGTAATGCGAGCAATTTGGCCAGTTTTCAGTTCAGGGATATCACCCGGTGTGGCGTGAGATATTGATGCCACTGGGAATGTGCCTTGACTGGAGCTTCCATCTTCAGAGGCAATAACAGCGTAGCCATCCACGATGCTAGCTCGATATGCTGGTACTGCTTCTGTCGCTGTGACATCTGCTGATAGAACAGATCCGACGAGTGTTCCATCGACCTTTGCACTTGTTACCTGTGGAGGTGGTGTATGCAACTGTATGAGGTTTAGTGCTTCGTCTACTGCTAACATGGGATATGGAGATGAACGATTCCGCCTCGTTGGACCGAGCGCTGGGTCATTTGAGCGTGGGTTGTCATTGGGGGCTGTGTGCCGAACAGGCATTGCGTGTCCGTGGCTGTGTCCATGCCCATGAGAGTGACCATGCGAATGATCGGGGGCATGAGAATGTGGTTGATGGCCAGGGCTAACACCTGCTTCCTTCTCTAACTTCTTCACACCTCCGGCGTGAAGGGTCCTTGAGTCTGCTCCTGCTGCTTGTTGACATGCATGGGGGAGAAGTTTCAGGATTGATTGAAGGTTCTCTTTAGCTCCTTTAGGAGAGCCAGGGAGTGTAATGATGAGGGTCTTGTTCCTGACACCAGCAACTGGTCTTGACATGAGAGCAACTATTCCATGTCAGCTGACCACATCTTCCATTGTTTCTTTAGAAACTCACAAGGAGTAACAGCTAATGAAGCAGTCAGCATGCCATGGACGAGACCTGGTGCTTGCTTATGTAGTAGCGGGGTAACTGCCTTCAAGATCTTAGTATTTTTGTCATAGATCAGAGCGGATGCATACCTCTGGCGTAGTATCATGTACTGCAAAACCCGTCCCTCCAGTTGTGATGATTACATTCAGACTATTTTCCCGGTCCGTCCATGCGGTGATAGCTCTTTGAATATCCAGTACCTCATCCCCCACAATCTTCACCTCACTAACCTCCCATTTCCCAACCCCTTCTTCTTCGAAGACCTGACTTAAAACCCCACCTGAGCTGTCAGCCGAGGGGTCCTTGGAGGCTGTCGTTGATACTACAAGAATTGCCGCCTTCAAAAGTGCTGGTTTTGACATTTTGTGTTTATATGTAGGTGGTTGACATCAGCAGCTTGGGCCAGTCACTCTTGGCACGACCCGTTCCATCGCGTCTTCCCAATTTTTTCCTGCGACCCGCGTCTGCTCTCGACAAAACCATTGCCAACAATCATGGTCCGAATTAAGAATCGGTACCTACTGGTCAATATTCTCTATCCAGAATTGGAGAAAGGCGCATCAAAGAGCGAAATCCCCGACGTCATCTCCTTCAATCAGCCTACAACGAACGCTCTGAATGCGCCAACCTTGCTGAGGGGCATACGGGCAGGAGTTGCGGATTTATTCGGTGATTATGGATCCGGTGCCATCGCAAGTAGTCTTGCAAGTAGGTGCATCTATTTTCAAGGATAGTGAAGCTTCTAATCGGTCTCCAGTCAAATATCTTTCTCCTGCGACTTCAACATTCATACTACGAGTTTCGCGCGACCATTATCGCATTGCGTGGGCGGCATTGTCATTCATGAACAGTGTGCCGATCAAGAATGGCAAAAACTGTGTGTTTAGGGTTGTGAGAGTTAGTGGGACGATCAGGAAGGCGGAGGAGGAAGCTATTCGCAGGGCGAAGGAAATTATTGTCAAAGCACGAAGGGAGGCGGGCGAGAAGGGCGAATCGACACTCGACAACATATTTGGGAAGACTAAAGATGGCACTACGGAGTCTACGAAAGATGTGCTTATGGTGGATGGAAGTGACAGCGAGGAAGAGGGATATATGAGTGATGGCGATGGATGAGGGTGTCATTGGTTTTTTCTAACAACTTTTACGCCACTATCTGGAGGCATCGACATATTCTCCAGATCATCCTCATCCACGTCCATCTGGTCCTGTTTCGCCTTTTCAGCCTCATCTCGAATCTTGGCCTGTTCCGCCCACTCTCTCCTCTCCTTGTCATCATACTCGTCCCTGGCATCCAGCCATCGCTCTTGGACATCCTTGACATCCATAGTGGTCACACCCTCTCTCATGGCAACCTGCCATACGGTATCATTTGCTCCTTCAGCACCGCCAAATGCATACCCGCCTGCTCGGTCTATGACTTGGAGAAGATGCATCATGCTCTTTTTATCCTCTACCGCCAATGTCTCAAACCCTACTAAACCAAAACTCTCAACCAGTTCCACTATCGCCGTGTTCAGCCCCTGGAACTTCGCACCCACCGCTGATTCTTCTTCGAGTTTTGGCAGGAGGTAGGATAGGTCTTGGACCTCAGTGTAATAATCGAGGTTGAAGGGCAGGGGCGCATATGAAGAGAGTTTATCGATTTTCGTCAGGACATTAAGGTGTGGGAGGTCCATCTGGAGCATAGCCCGCAGAGATAGTATTAAGTTGGAGATGTAAAGTGAGGGGAGCGTCAGGCAATACGAATCGGAAAGATGCAGGACTACAAGCTAGCAAAGAGTCAGCATATGCCAACCAATACTCGAACTGAGACGAAATGCGTACTCTGTAACCAAGCTTCTGCAACTTGAAGAAAATATTCCGTAATGACGAGTGGTGTGTATAGAGCTCCACCTGCCCCGGACAATCAAAAAGCACATAGTCCTCCCCCAGTTCACTCAGCCCCTTCTCCAGCCAATCCATATTCTGCTCTAGTTCCTCCAAAGCATATAGTACCCCTCCATTCGGCCCCAAATCATCTTCCTCCATAATATCCTCTAATTTAACGAGATCTCGTACGTCTATTGCGCAAGGGTAGTTTGCGTGATCGTTCGCCGGGTCGAGGTTTACTACGGAGCATTTCCGTCCTATGGCTGACATGAATTGGTGCACTGGAGAGGCTGTTAGATGGAGCTGGGGATGGAGGGGTAATTACGCACTTCCGTCGCAATAGGTACTTTTGCCAGCTCCGGGGCTGCCGAGAACGAGTTGTGCGAATGGCATATTGATAGGTAAGATTTTGGAGAAATAAAAAAAGAGGGAAGGTGATGGAGGTATTCAGAACGAGGCAAGAGCTATTGATGTGGGGTACTTAAGTCTGTTTCTTCAAGTTTGAAGGCGGTGGCGCCGAGTCGCGATGGCAGAATTCTGGTGTGTCTCGCGATAGATACAAAAAGCGGCACTCAACATAACAGCTTTTTGCCCGCTTTTTAAATGCTCCACTCGGACTAAAACATTAAAAGTCGGTGCCGCTTTTTTTTAATCCGCACGGCGCGCCTCGAAATCAACAAGACCTTTTCTATAGAAACTACAATCTATCTTAACATGGCGCCCAGTAAGTTTCTACATACACGTTCTAATGCTAAACAGAAGTCAAACTAATTCGTCACCAGCAATTCAGTACGAGATCTCGGAACCGCCTACGGATGCGGTATCTGCCCTCAAATTTGCGCCGGACGCCCCCACACGATTTTTGGTCTCTTCTTGGGATAAACACGTCTATCTGTATGAATTAGCTGGCTCTGGTGAAGAGGGTGGAAAGCTGATCGAGAAGTATGAGCACCGGGCGCCAGTACTGGATGTCTGCTTCGGAGCAGACGACAATGAAGCTTTTACTGCGGGGATGGATTGGCAGGTCAAGAGGTAGGAAGAAGCTCCGGAAAATAGGCGCCAATATCCAGCTGATTGTTGGCATTAGGATAAATCTTGAGTCGGGAGAGCAAACTATCATGAGCGCTCATGCTGCGCCAGTCAAGTCTGTAGTATACAGTAAAGAGCATTGTAAGTTTCCATTCCTGGACATGGAAGCACAACTCTAACTGATATTACAGCATTACTCATCTCAGCATCATGGGACTCGACACTTCATTTCCACGACCTCAAGCACCCAGAAAAAGAACCAGCAACCATCAAACTCCCCGCGAAACCGCACTCCCTCTCGATCACAGCCTCCAAACTAGTCGTCGCCATGGCCTCCCGTCTAGTCTACATCTACGAACTGCAAAGCACGCTCATGCTGGCATCCCAAGCAAACGGCGCCACGACCGAGCTGCAGCCCTGGCAGCAGCGAGAGTCGTCGCTGAAATTCATGACTAGAGCTGTGGCTTGCATGCCAAACGATGACGGATATGCTAGTAGCAGTATTGAGGGTCGTGTGGCTGTCGAGTGGTTCGACCCCTCCCCGGAGTCGCAAGCACGCAAATACGCTTTTAAATGTCATAGGCAACCGGATCCGTCAGGTGATGGAACGGATATCGTCTATCCTGTCAATGCACTGGCTTTCCACCCGGTCCATGGGACGTTCGCTTCTGGAGGAGGAGATGGTGTAGTTGCGCTTTGGGACGCTAATGCGAAGAGGAGGATTCGTCAGTATCAGAAATATCCGACGAGTGTTGCGGCGTTGTGTTTTTCCAATGATGGGAAGTACCTTGCTGTGGGTGTTTGTCCTGGGTTTGAGAATGATCAGGAGGACTATAGTGGGGAGGGAGTCACGAAGATCTATATCAGGGAATTAGGTGAGACGGAGGCAAAGGGCAAGGGACCCAAGTAAGTGGGTTTGTATATTCTCTGTGTCATATAATCCATTAGCAAGGCGTTTGCGGAAAAGAAAATTGCTTTATTTTTCCACCTCTTCGAGACATCTATAATCTGTATGGTTTAGTCTCGACCATTCCTCTCTGCTTCGCTTTTTCATAACTGCTCCTCCCATCTACCCATACTCCCGTGCATCAAGTAGAGGCCCCATAAATCTCACCCACAAGCAAGCGAGCAAGTGCTCAGCACACTCGAACCTCTTTATATTCAATACAACAACCTCCTGTGCAACCACCCCTCCCGTCCAAGCCTCACCACTTCCACTTCCACAGCAAAACCGCTCCCACCACATCTGCAAACTATTACCAGGACTTAAATCAAACTATACGATGAATCCCAAACCATCCCAAAATTATTTCAAGAGAGAGAGAGAGAGTTTTATTTGGGATGATCTCTTGTATCTGATCTATCTTGCTGGAAGCAACAATACGTTACTCAAGCTACCTACTCACCTCCCTCCCTACCTAGTCAAGCCAGCGAGAAAATCATAACCCAATGCCCTGCCCCCCGACCTCATTTCCAACCCACACCCTCCTCCCCCTTTGTCTTCCTACTCCTCCTCCCGCTCTCCTCATCCCTCCTCCTCCCCCTCTCATACAACTCCCTCACCCGCGCATCGCTCGCCCCGCCATTCCACACCGCACGGCTATAGATGCCCGCTTTCCGGCCCCCGGGCCACCGCCCCTTGCGCACTTTGCGCTTGCGGTGGAAGTACGTGCACGAGATGTAGAAGCCGTGTATGTGCCCGGGGATCACGCCGGCGATGAAGAGTAGCGTGTTGATTAGGCAGTCTGTGTTGGGACCGGCGATCTGGGGGTTGTTAAAGAAGAAAAGGAGAGGGAGGGGGGGAGATTGACCAGCATTACTGAGAGCGGCGGAACTGGGGCGGTTAGTGATAGTGATAGTGGGAGGGATGGAATGTTTGGGGGCAGGGAGGCCGGGGTGAGACGTACAGAACATGTTGATGAAGCAGATCGTGAGTCGTTCTAGCATCTTGCTGAAGAATATTTTCGTAATGCTCGATCTGTTTTGATTTCGAGATTCATATGGTTCGGCTTTTTGCTTAAAGGACAGTTAAAGTTACATAAGAAGTAAAGAAGAATTAAAGCGCATCAGCCACAATTATATCGGAAATCCAGGCCTTGTTCCTGTTATTGTGGCAGGTAACCCTGTTCTGTACCGAACTTCGTCTGATGACGCTGCATTGCAGATTTTAGGGGTTTCGGCGTGCATACCTAGCCTAGGCTAGAGCGAAGAGGCTGTGCGAGCGTTATGACTAGGAAGGTTGAAAGACAAAACAGAATGCGAATGGAAGAGAAAGAAGACAAGAAATAGTGTTTCTTGGTGTAAAGGGATCTTGGATGCTGAGTTCAGAATCGTCTTTCATCGACTGCTTGTCCACTCCACTACTTGTGAAATTCAACCGAAAAGTAATTGCGTGAACACGGCTCTAGCCCCCAAACAAGAAAATCTGGAGTTAGAGTCCTCGCAAAAACTATTTCATCTGCCCATAATGATTCTCTAGATATTAAGTATCTCGGTTGTTGAGTCTTTCTTCGCCATGTACCTAGATAAGTAAGGTAAGTGTAAGATATCTCACTGCTTAGTAATATTCTGTACAACCCCAGAAGTCCATGCCTTTCCGTTCCCGGTAAAGCGTCATGCACCCCGCTCCAAGCTCCAACGCCAACGCCATCCCCCCCCCCCTAGGTATCGGTTGTCCGTTTGTCGCCAGCATTAATTGTCTTTTCTAACAAAAAATGTATTTCAATTCCGAACTTTAACACCAAAATGTCAGCATACTGTGCACCGTGTCAAAGGCCCTTCAAGGGTCAGAGAGAGCTAGATCAGCATATACGAGATTGCTCGGTACACAAGCAACCTACTACGAGACCTTCCCAGCAGGAAACTCCGATCAAGCCATATACAACAAAAAAGGCAGCCTACTGTGGACCGTGTGGAAGGCCGTTCAAGGAACAGCGATATCTAGATCAGCATATACAAACATCTTCGGCACACAGGAAACCTTCCCCTTCTGAAGTCAAACCGGCAAAGCCACATCCTCTTACAGCGACTGAACGCAAACGCGCACAGCCGCCAAATGCAATTGCTCCTGGTTCCGGCGCTCCTCAGATAACGATACCTTCCACCAAGAGCGTTCCTCAAAATGTTGATTCGCGCTGGTCAGTTACTCCTGGATCTGAATCCAGGGCGGTGCTCGATGCATTATCGGCACATTGCCATTCGCCTAGGGAACTCGAAGAGAACAACTTTATCGTCAAACCGTACGATCCTCTAGATTGTGTCAATTTACGGAAATGCAAACGGTGTAAAAGTAAGTTGTTCCCAATGATTTTAGTGGAGCTAAATTAGTATAGGTGCAGAATCGAAAGCCAATGGTCGAGAATGTATCTTCCATTCAGCCAAACGAAACAAATGGGTACGTTTTTGCATTCGAATTTTATGCGTAGAAGCTCACTGTTCAAACACCTGCAGAACCAAAACAGGCCATACAAATGTTGCAATTCAAAGAACAGAGGCTGTCTGACCCTACCAACACACGATTTCCAACTGTCTCTTCGCGCGATTAAACACATAGACTACCGGAAAACACCAGCTCCTTCTGCGGTGGCGAAGTTTCGTGCAGTGGTACTCGACTGTGAAATGGCAGGGGTTGCTAGCGGTGCGGGTGAAGTGATTATGCTCTATGTTACCGAATACGTTACTAGCGCAGTACTTCTCAACCGATATGTGAACCCGAGTGAGAAGATAACCCAAATGCGGTCTTCTATACATGGTATATCCAAATCCACGCTCAATAATGCTATTTCGCAAGGACAGACGTTGTCTGGTTGGGAGGGAGCTCGATCAGAGCTGTGGAAATATATTGACGACAAAACTATCCTTGTTGGCCATGCATTGGAGAACGATTTGGATGGTTTGAGGATGATCCATCCACGTGTGGTAGATTCTGGGATCTTGTCGAGAAAGGAAGTTGGCGTTCATTTTCTTGGGGGGAGTTTGGCAGCACTTTGCTCTGAACTTCTCAATGTTGAAATCAGGAAGAATAAGGGGGCCACCCACGACTGTTTGGAAGATGTTCTAGCCACGCGAGAGGTTGTGTTATTCTGTACGCAAAACAAGGAAGCGTTTCGTAGTTGGGGTGAAGCTAAGAAAAGCGAAGCCATGCGCTTGAAAAAAGAACGGGACATTGCGCGGAAAGAGCAGGAAAGTAAGAAAGCTGAGGCAGACAAAGCGAAGGCCCAGGAAACAAGCTACGACGAGGACGATGAAATTTTGCATTGGTCAGATATCGCAGAGGATATGGGATGGCCACATCCTGATACTGGATATGACCCTTGGTCAGACTAGCTTTGAGGATAATAGGGGGTTTGTTTCTATATGAATTGTTGGTAGAAGGTGGAGAGATGCGAGGGGAGAGAGGAAGAGAGGGACAAGCCTGATGACTAATCCGCCCGGCGCGACCTCCAGGGGGCTAGTTTACAACTAGCACTTTCTACAATTTTAAGTATATCCTTGATTTAAGCTTTGTCCAATATGTTGTACTCGATTGTAAGCATTCATGTATCATTGTTAACGTTTCCAAGAAGATCCAAGAACATACTACATATGACCCTGTCCACGTGACAGCGCGAACCCCTTCAATAAACAACTCGTCCACAACCTTTGACCTCCCCGATCCATCAACCTGCAGCAACATTTTCCCAAAATAACACGCGAGAAGGAGACTGATCCATTTACCCAGGCTCGTTATGTCGAACTTGGGAAAACGCAACGCAGGCTTCATCGACCTCACTAGCGACGATGAGAACCCCACACCCCACCGCAAACAAGCGCGTGCATCGATCAACCAGCCTTCGGGCTCTCAACCTCGTTCAAGTCAGTCTTTGAATGGACGTGGGTCCTGGGCCGATCCTGATGAAGAGGATGAAGTTCTTGACCTTAGTCAAGATGCTGATGAAGGATCCGGATGGACCTGTGTTGGAGCTATCGATGGCAAGATTGTTGGAGTCCGGTACTACAATGGTTATGCGACGCCTGGAGAGCAAGTAATGATCAGGAGAGAGCCGTCAAACCCCTATGATTCGAATGCCATCCGAGTGAACAACGTTCATGACACTCAAATCGGCCATTTACCCCGAAACATTGCCTCCAAACTTGCACCATACATGGTCAGTTATTCCATCTTGTCTATTGTTTATACTAACACGTGATATAGGACTCTAGGACGATTGTTATGGAAGGCGTCATCGCAGGAGAGAAGGCAACATTTGATTGCCCAATCCTCTTAAAGGTCTTCGGGCCAGCTGAGCCCATTGCAAGAGCACAGTTGGAGGCTCGGATGAAGGCTGACAAAGTGCCTCTCAAAAAACGAAACATTGCCGCTCCTAAAAAGCCTGTTCAATATCAACCACCCCCAAAGAAGCAGACTGGTTATTCTGGCAGCTCACAACCATCAAACAGTCAAACAAGCAGCCAGCCCATGAGCCAGCCCGAACCTCCTATTGAGCTCAGTATTCGAGATTTGGCGGACAACAGTGAGCGTTTCAACCCTCGAGAAGCTGCGAAGATTGTTGAGGCCTGGGGAGCTGGTGAAAGTGCTCTTGCAAAAATGCCCAGGGCTAACCAGCCCATCGGCTTGAAGTCCATCCTTCTTCCGTATCAAAGACAAGGTCTGGCTTGGATGCTAGAGAAGGAGAACCCCGTCCTTCCTGCAGTAAGTTAAATACCCCATCTGTACTCGTGAACCTATTCAAGATATCCATGCTGACTACCTAACTCTTAAAGGTTGGTTCAAAAGACATCGTTCAACTCTGGAAGAGAGTAGATAAAAATAATTTCCAAAACATTGCTACCAACTACAAGACTCCCATCGCGCCTACTTTATCCAGGGGTGGTATTCTTGCAGACGACATGGGACTTGGAAAAACTCTTCAAGTTATTAGCACCATCCTTGAGGGTGGCCCAGGAACTACTTTGATCGTAGCGCCTGTAGGCGTGATGAGTAATTGGTCTTCGCAGATTGAGAGGCACGTCAAGAAAGAGAATGCATTGAAGGTCTTGATGTATCATGGTAAGCAACCCAAATTTCCTTCTTATTTTAAGGCTTCTATTCCAAGGGTATCTCAAAAACTCCAAAATGTACCTTCTGTCTCATTTTTGATTTCCTAAGCCTTTATCAACTGATACTAACCTCGCCTTCTCTACAGGCAGTAGTCGCAAGCGCCTGACACAGCAGGAATTTGCAGAATACGATGTTGTTGTCACAAGTTACGGGTTAGTAGGTTCTGAGTGTATGCCCAAGGGATCCAAATCGTCTCCAGTCAAAACCCCAACGAAAGATGGATTGTTCTCCATAAACTGGCGTCGAGTCGTCCTTGATGAAGGCCATCAAATCCGAAATGCTGCTACTAGATATGCTGTTGCAACTACTAATCTCTTGGCAACATCAAAATGGATCCTCACAGGTACTCCGATTGTCAACACCATCAAGGATCTTCACTCCATGATCAAGTACATGGGGATCACCGGAGGTTTAGAACGCATGGAGCTTTTCAACTCGATTCTCACTCGCCCTCTGGCTGCTGAAGATCCGAATGCAGAACTCATCTTACAGTCTTTTATGAGAACCATGTGCCTACGACGAAGGAAGGACATGGCATTCGTCGACCTGAAGTTGCCCGAGAAGTCAGAGTATGTCCATCATATTGCCTTCCGCAATGACGAGAGAGAGAAATACGAAGCTATCGAGTAAGTCTCTTCTCCAAGAGCAGAGGCATCACTGACAGTTCGTAGATCTGAGGCAAAGGGCATGGTGAAGATATTCAACGAACAGCCCTACAAGAAAGGACTGAATGTCTATCGCCATTTGCTTGAGATCCTACTTCGGCTCCGCCAGGTATGCAATCATTGGAAGCTCTGCGAAAAGCGAGTTACCGACTTGATGGCCTTTTTGGAAAGTGACGGAGCCGTAGCGCTCACCAAAGAGAACCGCGCTGCCCTCCAAGCAGTTCTACAACTCAGTATCGACAGCCAGGAGGAATGTTCTATCTGTCTCGAGGACTTGCACAATCCAGTCATCACAGCGTGCAAGCATGCGTTCGGTCAAGAATGTATTGAGCGTACTATCGAGCTCCAGCACAAGTGTCCAATGTGTCGTGCTGAATTGGTAGACAAAGACTGCCTCGTGCACGCTGCAGTTGAAGAGAAAGTCGCGGAAGATCCAGAGATCGATGTCAACACCAAGAGCAGCAAAACCGAGGCATTGATGAGTATCCTGACCGCCAGTCGTCGGGACTCGAAATCGAAAGTCGTCATTTTCTCCCAATGGACCAGCTTCCTAAACATCATCCAGCATCAACTCAACGAGGCTAACATGAAGTTCGCCCGCATCGACGGGACTATGCCTGCTCACGTACGTGATGCTGGTATGTCCGCTCTCGAGAACGATCCCAATTGCCGTATCCTGCTTGCCAGTTTGTCCGCCTGCAGCGTCGGTCTCAACCTCGTCGCCGCAGACACCGTCATCCTCGCAGACTCCTGGTGGGCTCCTGCCATCGAAGACCAGGCTGTCGATCGTGTGCATAGATTGGGCCAGACCCGTCCTTGCACTGTATGGAGATTGGTCATGGAAGATAGTATCGAGGAGCGGGTGCTGGCGATCCAGGCTGAGAAGCGGAAGCTGGTTGGCAAGGCGTTCCAGGAGAAGGCCAAGGGTGGCAAGGCCAAGACTACCGGGATGAGTGATATCATGAAGCTGCTGGCCTGAGCTGCTTGTCTTGTTGCGGTCTCCAAGAGGTCCCGATATTCGCTGGAGAAAAGTACGATATTAGCGGCGTGGAACTTCATAGCTTGTACTATCAAGAGGGGTGTGTAAATCTTCGGCGGTTGCACTTGTATTCCTGCACCGAACTTTTTCTATATTGTACGAATACTTTTTAGAACCATAGATAGTGCGCGGGCGCCTTGATTTTCCTATCTCAAGGGGATGAATATATGGGAATTGTAACAATATGGATCACTTTTTACAACTACAGCCCACGTTCCGTTTCTCATTTTCGTCTTCATTTATCGCTTTAACGGGAGCGGGGCTAGGGATGCCGCAAGATTTCGATTTATAAACCACATAAGCGTCGGTGGGTTCGCCAGCAGTGACTTTAAAGATGCGATCGAAGCCAAGATATCACCGTGAGGATATATGGCTGGCGTTATCTTTATATTAGCTGAGCGTCGAGTGGCCATGGTCTCTGATATGAGAAAGAATGGCAAGTGTCTGCTGACATCCCATCATACTTAGATATCCGATCTCTAATATCATTTTAGCATTTATAGTCAAGTTCTCAATACCCGTCTCATCCTACCCCGTTCCCCGTCCTCAGCCTCTCATTTATTCTTCTCCTCTCTCCTTCAACATAGGCCGTACATAGCAAGTTCAGGACATAAGTCACAGCGAAACTCCCTCTCTTTCCCGGATCTTCAATCAACCCATCCAATCCAATCGATTGATTAACAAAACCTAGGTACGGGTATAAGAGGGAGGTCAGGATTCGAAGTATGGGGCGGTGGCGATGCATATGCTGGGAATAGAATATACTTCGTAGGACCTACTCATACATACAGACTTACTATTACGGTATCATGGCCGTTGTTGGGTTAAAAAGTTTATAAGCCATGGCATGGCTAGCCAAATTAACAAACTGAATAATTCAGAGTATCTAATCGGTCGGTCAGTCAGTCAGTCAGTCAGTCAGCCATCAGTTAGTTGAGATACAATCTGTGTGTAGCTAACTAAGTGAAGGGTAACCCCTCAACCGACTGACTGAAAGGAAAAGAAAGGCTCAACTAAAGAATCGACTTATCAGTCGCTGACTGAATGTAATCTATTCCCAACACTAGCAAAAAGAAGCAGGAAGCAAGGAAGCAAGACATCTCATGCCCTGCCTTGCCCTGCCTTGCCTTGCCCTACATTACACGACCCGATATTTCCCGGCCCCAAAAGAAATTCCCCACCACGTCCAAGACAGGACAGGTTCTTGCTTGCTCAAGCCTCGCACTATATGGGTCTCGGAAATTTGTAACATAGCAAGCACGTCGCATGAGGGAAAAAAAAAAATTGAGCCTCTCCGTATAGTAATATTAATCTCGGACTTTTCGGATCAGGTAAAGGGGGTTTTCGATCTTCAGGGGCTTGGATTTCTTTCTTTCTTTCTTGGGGTTAGCGTGCATGTGATGTGATGCGTGGTGTCAGGAGGTGCTGAGTCAGATGAGATGGATGTATTTTTAGGGGCCGGGGTCATGAGAACAGTCGAGGTCAGGAGGACATAAGACAAGGGCATACATAGTTACGAAGGAAGTATTTCTGATGATTACAAGGTTGAGAATTCTGTAATTCTGTAACTCTCTAATATAGTTACTATCCTGTGTGAGAAGCAGAACTCAAGGCTTGTACTGTAGCATTTCCAGCTACCTAATAAATATCCCTTTCTCAGGGACGTATGGTTACAATCCAACGCGCCGTTCCTATGCAGATGCAGTTTTTACAAAGCCTATGTTTCCCTAAACGCCCCAATTAAATTCAATGTTCCCCTATGCTATGCCTGAGACCCGAGCGCTTCGGAGTCCCTTGCTTTCTATGTTTTTATTCTGAACGCCTTTCGCTATGCTGATGCCGATGCTAATGCCGATGCTAATGCCATTGCTGATTATGTGATGCCGTATGTCGAAGAAAGGTGGTGGTGGTATTATGATACAAGATTTCGTTATTTAGAGATTTGGGTATGATGACGTGGTTTTGATGCATGGAATTCGAATCGTAAGGAGCTCCCTAGAGTTGAGGGCCTTCTGTCGTTGGTGGTGTATAAAGTCTGTAAGTGGTGTCGTTTGGTGAGGTAGTATGCGTGATGTCGTTGAGGAACCATCCCTAGGGGTGTCACAAAGAGCTTGTCCCGGGGTGCTCAATCCATGGGAAGTGTACCGGAGGGCTGGTGCCACCCTGAGTTTCTTGCCAGCAGAGACCTCATTCCCGAACTGTAGCCGAGTTCGGCTGTTATGCTACGATCATGTTTCCCACGCAGAGGACTTTCTCCATTGGCGGAGAGACGTGCTTGGGTTCCGACATGGATGGTTCAAGTTCTAACCCTTCGCTCTTGCTGCGCTTACGTTCTTTGGCGGCCTGCTTCTGAGCATGCTTCTTGTTGTCCTTGCGTTGACGGGCGGTAATGCGAGACTTTGGGTTTGATGCTGGTGGATTCTTTGTATATAGAGCATCCTGCAAGCTTTGGGAGGAGCTTTGTGGTGCCTGGTATGTGTGACTGGCGTCTTTAATGACTTTTCCAGTCTTCTTTCGGTTATTGTTGAGGATAATCTTCGGCCGTGGACATGGATTGGCCGGATTGACGGAGGGAGATCGACTAGAAACTTCAGATGCACTATCTTCCGGCCTGAACTCGTCATCTCCATCAGATGCAATAACCGAGTCGTTGTCCTTCGTCAGGTCATGAGCTACTCTGAGTGGTGTAGGTTGGTAAATCTGCGTTGAGACACAGTTTGCCTTTTCGGCATCCGGTTGGGTAAGCTCGATGGTTGGGATGAGATTCAACTCTAGCTTGGTCTCCTCCTGTTGGTTCCTTCTCTTTGGTAACGCCTTCACAGCTCTATCCTTAGGACGATTCTGTCGCTTATTGGGACCATCGCTGTCGTCGCTTTCACCATCGCTGTCTCGTTGGATGCTAATGGAACCATCGGAATTTGAGGGTGAAAAGCTACCGGGTGTTGAGGGATAGCTGCTATACTGGAATTCCATCAAGTAGCTAACTGCATTATTGACGTTTCCGTGGTTCTCGATGAGGGCGCTCTTGATGACTTCTTCGTTGGCCAAGTCTGGCATGGCAGCCATAACATTTTTGATCATCCAATCCTGAATTTTGACTGTGTTTCTTGTGGCTTGGGTAGAATTTCCTTCTCCAAAGACAAAATTTGGGATATGTGGAAGACCAGTAAAGGGACCGTTGATATTCCGGACGGAGGAGTAGTGTTCATAATTCTGGACAAGTTAGTCAGATGCAAACTGAAGGAAGGGTATTATACTTACATGTAAAGCAATATAAGCTCTTGGTCTCTCTACATCGTCGTGGCTAGCCTTAATCATAAAGTTGGAGGCAGAGTGCGAGTAGATGACCACGTCGGTGTTGTAGGCTCGTGCAAAACCAATAACTTCGCAATTGTCTCCGTATGTACCATTTTTCTGCATTCGGTCGAGATGAGATACGAAATTTGCGTTGATTTGTGCAGTTGATGGCATGGCAGAAATTGGGGTCGGAGCAACGTTCTTTCGCTTTGGGTTTCTGCGATAACCTCCCCCATTGTTGACTGGAACGAAGTTGATGTATTGTTCGGGGTGATCTCGCATTTCCTTGACAACTCTCACCCGGATCTCCCTGTGATGGGATTCGTCGCCGTAAATTTGGTCGGAAAGGGCATTGAAGAGACAATTACCTAGAGAGAAGTCAGTCCACGTTGCAATAATTATGCAGCGTTGGAAAAAGGGTTGTGGTTCGGGGGGGTGGTTCGTGAACTTACCATCTCCCCTGATCGCGGTGGCCATGAGGCCGTGAGCCTGAAGAGCTGGGAACTCGTCGCTGAAAGCCATGATAGGCAACGTCGAGTTGTAGTATATTTTTAGGTTGCTGTGCACGAAGAGAGCACAGCTGGGAAGAAGAAGAGCAGAAGTGCCAGTTCTAAAGCGGTGGTCGTGGTTGTGGTTGTGGTTTGGACTGAATAGCGAGTCAGTCCTATTGTTGCTAGGTATTATTGCTATCCTGACTGAGTGAAGGACAGACACCGACACCTCTGACGCGATCTTGCGGGTAGAGCTAAGCGAAGGACCGGGGTGCTGGGTGGACCCCCGAACCTCGTGCACATGCTGATAACAACTGTTATCGGAGGAGCTGCATTTGGGTCTAATCCCTTTGAGGAAAGGCCACCGAAGCCACCGAAGCCACTGAAACCACTTGGCTGTGGCTGTGGCTGTGCTTCTGCAAGCGGACTGGAGCTCGAGAGTGTAGTGTGTTGCGAGGAGGAGAGGAGAGTGAGTGGAGTGTCGCGAGTAGGAAGGGGAGTGAATGTAATCGTGGGAAGTAGGAGATAAAAATGTCAAGTACGTACTTTACAGGCAGGTACGAATTTGAGTATTTTTACCCGATTTTTATCGTACGGTGTGCGGTTTGTCAGTTTGTGGAATTGAGGAAGGTCGAGGACTTTGGATACGCCCTTTGGTTGTCGTGGTGGTGGTGTGTCGAAAGTCGAGCAATTCAAAAGTCAAAAGTGGGGATGAATATGTATAAGAAGAGACAAGTTCCCAAAAAGTGCGGACAAGATTTTGATTTTTCAAGCGAGCCAAAGGTCAGTTATAGTGAACATTAGCTGCGGTCCTCCCGTCACTAACTACCCCCCGTTCATGCTAGGAAACATCTAATCATTATTCATTATTCTATTCTCAAGCAATAATGCCAAATGTCGTAGTAGTTGGGTAAGTTCGGTCCCAGCATCTGGTGTAACATGCACTGATCTGTATTGTATAATAGTGCTGGGGTTTCCGGTCTCACAACCGCCCTTCTCCTGTCCAAAAAACCCGGGTATAATGTAACAATTGTTGCAAAGCACATGCCAGGTGATTATGATATCGAATACACATCCCCATGGGCCGGCGCCAACTTCCTTCCGTAGGAACCTCTGATCCTTCTCTCATGTCGAATGGATGCTGACCTGGCAGCTCTAGGATGTCTGATAAAGCCTCCTGCAAGTGGGAGAAGAACACTTGGCCGGAGCTTGCTCGTCTTGCTAAAGATGTTCCGGAGGCTGGCATACATTTTCAGGGTAAATACTTGTTCATCTTCACAAAATCTTGCTATACTCCTTTGTTTCAGGCCACTAAGTACACAGTACTAGAAGAACTGTTTCCTGTAGTTCTCTTGTACATTGCTATTCAAAATCTCTAGTCTGAGAGTTTCTACTTCGGGGTCTTCTTCCACTTCAATTCAGCTTTTATCCACCATGCCCCAAGTTTGGCTTCTTTTCATTGACCTGTTTCTCATTTATTCAGAGAATCAAAGGATATAGAAGATCTCATATTCTTTTTTTTTTTACTTTGGAGCTTTGCTGCATTTCCGCTTCGCTCTTTCCTCGAATCATACTCCCGGTTACTTCCATGCAGCCCACACCATCTCTCACTTCCCTACCATCCACCACGTCACTAACACTAACATCCCCAGACACACTCGTCCTCAACCGACTCAAGGATGCCACCACCGCAACGGGCCAATGGCTCTCCGAACTAACCTCCCCAGACCCGTGGTTCAAAAACACCCTCCCCGACTTCCGCATCATCCCTACCTCGGCCCTCCCACCCACCGCAGACTCCGCAACAGCCTTCACATCCGTCTGCATAAACACCGCGCTCTACCTCCCCTACCTCACCTCCCAATGCCTGCGCAACGGTTGCACCGTATCGCGATCCATCCTCGCGCACATCGCCGACGCCTCGCTCCTCCATTCCTCGGGCAAGAAAGCCGATGTAGTGGTAAACTGCACCGGTCTCTCAGCCTCCAAGCTCGGTGGCGTAATGGATAAATCCGTCATTCCTGCACGCGGCCAGATCGTCGTCGTTCGCAATGAAGCGCCGCATATGTTGACGATATCTGGGACTGATGATGGGGACGAGGAGGTCTGTTATATCATGCAGCGTGCGGCCGGGGGAGGCACTATTCTGGGTGGCACGTATCAGAAGGGGAATTGGGAGAGTCAACCTGATCCGAGTACGGCGTTGAGGATCATGAAGAGGGCTGTGGAGTTGTGTCCGGAGCTGACGGGAGGGAAGGGCGTGGAGGCTTTGAGTGTAGTGAGACATGGAGTCGGGTTGAGGCCGTATAGAGAAGAGGGGGTGAGGGTCGAGAAGGAAATGGTAGGCGGCGTTTGGGTGGTGCATAATTATGGACATGGTGGTTCGGGGTATCAGGCTTCGTATGGGACTGCGGAGGGGGCGGTTGAGTTGGTTGATGAGGTTGTGGGTGTCAAGGCCAAGTTGTGATGTTTCCAATGATCTGTATTTTGTGGATTATTATGAGGGTATGAACGCTTTACGTTTGATGACATTCAAGGTAATTAATAAATGGTCCGCGAACTGCAGTACACACAGAAACCACGCCAGAACATATCCTTTTTCATGGAGCACTGTCCCCGTGACAAATTGTAGAAACATTTGTCGCCTGAACGACGCCCCAACTAGACTTCGGCAATGGCACATATCAAAAGTAGCTCCTCACGGTCCAACGCGCGATCTTGAAGCTCCCTGATAATATGATGACAGCTAGGTTCCTCACTAGTAGGTCGAGCTGGCCCTGGAAAATCCAAAGAAAGTGAGACCCTGAGCTTTCAAAGACCCATTCCTCAACGCCGATTGGCACCAGGATTGCTTTCCTGATCCCTCATCACAAGGGCCCTGTATAAGACAGACCTGAAGCCATTCGATATAGAGTCTCTATGGGCCATACGTAGGCCTGCGTATGAATGACTGTTCCATAACATTTCCGGACCAGTTATAGACTACCAGGTAAGTTTGAACAGGTTCCGACCGATCAGAAGATAGGGGGAGACGAGGAAATCATTGCAACAGAACCCCCCCCCCCCAGAAAACATGGGCAATCTAGCCCATTACACTTTGATATTCGTCTTTTCACACCTCATGAGACAATATCGAAAATACGCTGAGGCACCTAATGGCAAAATTCTAGGAAGTGTCACGTTCAACCGCTTGTCGTTCAAGAGCAGTCCGCCCATATAAAGGTTTACCGGTGTAGTACATTGATATCGCTCGGTACCTTACAATAGTGTTATATCCATGTAAGTGAGATTGACTTCAGCATCACACCTCTAGTTATACTCATTTGAGCTTAGTAATGTTTCTAACAAAATCAATGATAAACAATGACTGCCTTCAGAAGGCATTGTCACGAGGCACAGGGCCACGTATTTGTGTTAGGCAACGAGATTCTCGGCGTTCCAACAGGCTTGACGAGCACGTAGTTTGCAAACAACGGCAGAAAGTCGACGAATAATGATAGAATTTGATGTCGGGAAAGCTAGGAAGAGAGGAACAACTGTATTAATGAATGTTGTCGAGGCTCGATATTGAGCTTATCCATACGCAGCCTAGCCTCTTGAGCCCCTGCAGCCATGAAATTCAAGGCGATCTTTAAAGTTACGTAGTAGCGTCTGTCTTGCAACAAAGGGACACAACTCAACTCAACTCAACTCAACTCAACTCAACTCAACTCAACTCTTCACAGTTCCTGATATCCTCCCTCGAGGACCTGCATCTCACCCTCCCCACTCATCCATATATCCCGAATCGTACTCACTTCTAAACGACGTTGCGCACCTCAATCACTCACCATGGACTTCTCAGACGCTTTGTAAGTTCAGTCCAGCCTGCCAGCGCAAGCGCGACGAGATGCTATCTGCCATTGCGCGCTCTGCCCAGCCATGATCTGTTGCTAACAACTTGTTCGCCCTAGCCGGATCGTCAACTTGGGTGTGGGAGCTTTGATGATCTTCAGCGGGATTTGGCACATCCACCCATTCGAACTGTAGGTTCTTTGCGACAGAAAGGAGACTTGCGGAACTTTTCGCTGACAGTATCGAAGTGGGAAATTAATGGTTGGCATATACGTAATTCTGTTCGGAGCATCAACTGCTTTGCTTGGTCAGTTTGGAAATGATGCTGGGAGTGTTGGAGACTCGATATTAATACAGCTGCAGAATTTCAAATTCCCCCACAACTATCGAGATATGCCTCCTTCCTCTTCTCCTTCCTCGGGCGAGGAATTTGTATGTGGACGCCCTGTTCCAAACTGTGGACTGGATAATTAATATCATGTAGTCTACCTCTTCGTCGGTTCAGTCCTCTTCGACGAGCATATCACGAACGATATTTTCGGGAGCGTCATTGCTCTTGTCGGTATTGCCTATATCGCTCTCGAGTTCGTCCCATCGATCGAACCCCCTCAAAACATGAGGTATGCGCGCAGACACCGATACCCTCTCCCGACTTAGACACTTGTCTATACACCAAGAATCACCATGGCTAACGAAGTTCTCAAAACTACAGGGAAGCAGACGGTGGATGGGGCGCAGAGCAAATCTAAACGACTTAGCTCCCAACGAACCCCATGAGACTCCTTACTCCACTGAATACCTCACCCTATGTCCCCAGAGTTCCCTCAGAATAACGCGAGTCTGGATTTCACGAACCTTGACTGAATATCTACGCGCTTTTCCTACGTATATGCTGGGTTGGAAGGGAAGGGAAGAAAGCATGGATACGGTGTCCTGGACGTATGCCACGATAGATTGGTCGGGTCAGGCTCTCCTTTCCAAGCACACCTTGTACAATACACGCATTTGTGTTTCAACCTGATTTCTAGAAATCCGAATGATGATGCCAAAAATATACAAATTATTTTGCCCTGAAACACCCGGATTTCGAATACCAGAAATTCAATACTCCTGTTGAAAAATCCTTCCGTGCAAACCAGTGCTGCCGATTATGCTTCTAGGATCAGGAATTTGTCGGATATCAAGTGATATTGCATGCGTTTATATGAGATCTTGCTCCTGCTCCTCGCTCCTTGCTCCCACGTGATTTAACCCAGCCAGAAATAGCAAAAAGCACCTAATAAACAATAGACAAACCTCCGCCATACAATCTCAAACCAACCCTCTCATCTTTCCGTGTAAAACACCCCGATTTCTTCAATCGCCGGCCGACCTGCTTATCAGAAATTCAAGCCAGCCCCTTCGTGGCAGTTTTAAGCTAGTAGTGGGCCTTGCTTCTACGATACGCAGCGTTTTTTTGATATATATTTTGAAACCTAAGGATAACGTGGGATTATTAGTAGTCAAAAGAACTGAGCGAGTGTCTCTTTGGGCACAAATCACTTCATCCCTCCCAACCATCAATTTCCTCATCTTTCCTTCCAGAACGAACGAGCACGAGCACAAGGAAATCAAAGCGAGCTGGGGTGTCCTATAGGATATAGATAGCTCATACTGGCTCTTCGCTATGATAGGTATTATGCCATTAAGACAAGCAGAGGCAGTATATCGTGTCTTGTGTCTTGTGTCTTGTGGCATTTCCGGCCAAACTAGATTAATGAGTACGTATATCTGGTTGAGAAAAATGCGGATTCTTACAGTATCTACCGTAACGCCCGCTGTATATTGGTCTCTAGAAGTCCCGCCTGTTTCGTTCGTGCCATTTATGTACTGTACTGTATGTCCTGCTAGGCGACAAGATCATCTTGCTTGCTATCGAAAGACTTACAGGCTGTTTTTCTGATACCTCCGTACGTAGTATTATTAAATGATAACTATATGTATAGTGCTGGCACACAAGTCTATTATCTAATAGGCAGCTGTTTCTCCTTTGTGGAATTAAAAGGTCACGTGGAGAATGATCTAGATCTGAAAAATATGTTACTTTTCAAAAAACTCCTAAATATCTTATCCGAGTGACCTGGAAGATGATGGAATATAAAGATACTTTCCTTCACATCTCAATCCTACGCTAGGAAAACCCGCCACGAGCTTGCATAGTTTTCTATAGCATAAGTTAATCCCACCTATTTCAGAAGGAACTAGCTCGATCGCAGGCCCAGTCTAAAGTTTTTGCACTTTGCCTTGAATTTAACCTACTCTACTAAATGACTCTACGTATAGAATTATCTCAGGTATGTAGAGGAATTGTACATGTTGATCAATAGAACCTATCAGAGATACCTGGAGACACCTGTGGGATCCTACAAGTTGGAGCCAGAGTGTACATTTGATCATAGGAGGAAAAAGATATAGGCACGTGTTGGCTTCAACTATAGATGGAAGAGGGGGGTATTTATAGAGTAGCTTGGAGAACCCATCCTTTGGAAACATGACTTCTTGCGGGTTCTTAACTAGGCGATATCATAACAATCTACCTATAGTTCCAAGGTGGCAATAACACATTAGAATTCCATGAGCATTGTGAGCTTGATTTAATATCTCGGCTTGCTGCTAAATATACACACTTGCAAGGTTCTAGCTTCTGAAGCAGGAGAAGTAGGAATTTAAATGAAAATCTTATTCGCCCAGCCAACCAGCTGCTGATTCAATTTTCATGCCAGCTTGTAAGAAAGAGCGTTCTAAAGACTGCAACAACGATCACAATCAAGGCTGGCAGCGATTTATAAGACTCGTTCTACAACGAACTTCCTGTCTTTTAGATAGGGATTCACCAGTACTCGCAAGCACCAGCAAATTAAGATACAAGAATCAGACATTGGATTAAAAAAGCAAACGCCTGGCTTCCCGAGATCCACAGAGACAGAGACCTATTATGTTGGGATTGTAGATTTGTGGGTATGAAGGAAATAGTAGGCTGACAGTAAAAGTCAACGTGACAGCAATTGCATGTATTCCCTTTAAAAACAACCCGCCAAACGCTCCATAACCGCAATCAAACTAACTTTACGGATGCCAAACACTCGCAGACGTGATAGAACAGATAGGATAAATATCCCTCGTCTCCCAGAAATAATCTCCCCCCCCCCCCTAACTCTCGTCGCATTTATTTCTCAAACGCCGAGAAACTTGCGCAGAGGAAACGATTCACGTACTCAATACAGTCCAGTTCCCCGCCCCTCTTTCAAGAGTGAGGAGAGGAAATGAAATAAAATAACCTTCATCGAGTCAAAACAGTGAACTTATATATATATATATTCCGTGCGTTTACACCTCTAATCTACAGCCATCGAAAAGAACAACGTTCCCATAGTAGACTGAGGCTGGGAGTGATAATTTGAGAACCGCTAAGGGAGAAGGCACATACATATATCCTGCTATCCCTTCCAGGCTCTCCATCTATCCTCGAGACTGCATAAAATCCCTAGCTAACAATACGTAACATAATTATGACTAGCTGTCATATACAGCCAAAACGAATTGACAGCAAATCCCCCAATCAACGAATTTGCTTTCATTCACTTGCGAGTCGTAGTCCTGCATCTTCTCATCCAGCTCTTTTGTCAAGCTCAAAGCAGCCTGCTGCGCACGTTTTTTCTCCCGACATTCCACAACCTCCGTTCCAGCTTAAGCGGTGCAGTCTTCCTCTATTAAGAATAGGCATAAACAATAACCGCAATCTAAAACAGCACGCAGCCCGACTGGATTCGTTATATACACACAAAGAGAAATGTCACCCAAGGACGACTGAGCCAGAGAAATGTTGAAACAAAGAGGAGATGCTAGGTCAGAACTCGTATTCGCAGACGCTAGCTGGGCAAGCTGGAGGATCTAAACAATTCTTGTCTGTCAGCTTTGGATTATCATCTCGGTGTCTGCATGGAATACCTTAACCCCTAGTGCTGGGAACGGACTTCCTTCCATCGCACTCTTACACGCATACTTACAAGTTTCCCAAGCAAGCAATCAAGCAAATAGTACTTAACAGCCTCCCTTCCCTGTCCTATAAGGTAGTTTTAACAGTATTATATACACGTATGCATGCATGTATCTACTACATATAAATGTGAAGAACTTTCTTCATCCCATCCCCTTATCAACGAACGATAAAGAAAATTAAGATCGAAAGAGGTGGCATGGGATAAAGAGAGAGGATGAGGAAATTGTATCACATATAAGTTAAAGCTTGCTTGCTTGACCTAGACTAACTTCTAGGGCATGGATGGATATTTAAATGTATATGTACTGCATTATTCATACTCGTTATATTTTATACATACATACATTCCCCTGAACGTAGGTATGCACGCACGGCCCACACACCTGGAAAAGGAAAAGGGAATTCGATCGATCGATTGTTGCCATCCGATTTGCGCCGCTGACCCAAATCAACGCCCATTATATGCCCGCGCTAATACGCATTTTCAAATTCAAATTCAAAACCAACGCTTTCCGTCGCCCTGGTTGAGTTGCGCTGCGCTCACTCAACGCCATGATAGACTCTTTCTCACTCCGTATATATTCGCTTTGTCGTAATATTATCCCTTGGCAGATGTCACTCCCCAATCCCCAACTCCGCCAACTCCCTCTCCTTCGCCTTCAGCGCTTCCCTCATCCTCTCCGCTTCTCTCTGCAACATCTCCCTCCTCTCAACCTTGGCCCTATCGTTTTCACTCTGCGCACTGCTCGCGGGACTCGTCGCAAAACTACTCATAGCTGGACTGTTGACTGGCGGATACTGAACGGATATGCGGGATTCCGGATCAGGATACTCTGCGCTGCCTGGGTTGAGGATGGATTTTATGGAGGAGAGACGATTGGGTTCTGAAGGATTGATAGATGGTTGGGATTGGTGTTGTGGATCGATTTCGGTGGTGGAGAAGGAACGTTTTCGGGAGGGAGAGAGGAAGGGATTGGGTGATAGTGAAGGGCGAACTTGCGTGGGAGATGGGTAGGATGTCATCGGCGGTAATCTGTTATCGTTATTTAACGATTCAAGGTTTTCATGTGTGTAGCCTTGATTCGACGTTGATGCATAGGCAGTGAGGTCCGAGGATGGCATCTGTTGGCCATTTTTACTACGGATGGGGGTTGGTTGGGGAAGCTGATTTCGATGTTCCCGCATGAAGCCTAGATTTATTGAACCGTCAGGGTTGGTGCTTCCGCGGAGATCTGGGCTATCTGGGGATCTTCTGTCAGACTCAGGGGAACCCGCAGAATTTGCATCGATAAGAGATGCTTGAGTCCCTTGAACGGCTGGTACAACACGTTTCCGACGCTTTATAACCGACTTCTTCATTGTCACAGGACGGTGAACGCCGTGCAACTTATAATACAGCCCTGAAAATTTTAGCAACGGAAGAGCAAAGCCACATGTATACATACCACAAGCATTACATATCGTATGTCCGCTTTCATCCCTTCGCCATAACGGAGTAATTGTCGTTCCACAGTTTTGGCAGGCCACAACAACTGTTGTATTTTGCGCTTGTAAATTAAGAGCAGCTACATCGACAGGTGAAGGTGCGTCGATGGGCTGCTCGTCTTGTGGTTGGGCTGCACTGCTCGAGTGCCTGTCCTGAGACATTGTAAAATGCGCGCTTTTGGATACCCTATTGTTGAAAGCAGGGCAACCACTACAACCTTGAGCTCCGCCAGTACCATTGCACTTGCCTCCTCCTGGGCATGATCCTACAGTGGTTTGATCTGCTGCTACGTAGGTGGATCCTGCCGAGGCTTGATTGCTTGGTCCTGCTCTCGCGGGTGACCCTCTTGGTTCTGGAGATCGTTGGGCCGAGGGAGTGGCTAATATTGGTGGTGGTCGCTTTAGATTAGTCGGCCGGGAAGCATTGCGAGCTTTTAAGTAAAGTCCGCATGCATTGCAGATGGTAGCTCCTTGCGGAGATCTACGCCACAACGGTGTCCTGCTAGTTCCGCAATTACTGTTAAATGTTAGCAGACTTTCGGTGGGAAGCTAGAAGTATTTACCTGCAGACCTGTCCATTGGGAACAGCGTCTGATTGTGACGAGACAGGTGGGTAAGATTGAGAAAGTTCTCGTTCATGTCGTTCTAAAGAGTTTGACCGAGGTGTGACTTGGCGCAGCCGGTCCATGGAAGGACTTGACGAACCCGGACTATTAGTTTCGTTATTTGGTGATGGGCTATTGGAAGTACTATGCTCATTCTCGTCCCGTTTTGTTGTTCCTTGCGCATGTCCGATTAAGTGCTGAGCAAGCTCGATGTCCTCCTTGGATGGTTCTCTTGAAGGTAACGCAGACCGGACAGGAAAAGTTTCTTCCCTCCGCCGTTGCGGTGACACCCTATTATTCATACTGCCGAGTGGGTGATCCGACATAAAGCCAGTCACTGGATGTTGTTCAGCCACAACGCACATTAGCCTTGCTGCTGTGTAGGGATCGAAAAAGTGAGGATTGGCCTGGTGTTATTGAACATGCATTGGAAAGATTGTCGGTGGAGAGCTGATCCCGAGGAAATGTCTTGAAGCAAAAGATGTCGAAGTGTAGTAAGCGATGCCAGGGAAGCGCAACACAGTTGGCAGGTATAAGCCCAATGCCAGTGGAAAGAGTTCACAGAAGGTCTAGAAAGCTTTCGTAGGTTGTCTCCACTACGCTGATGTAAGACACAATCTAGGTGTCGATTATGCGCAGAAAGGGCGTACTGTCCAGTGAGAAGCCACGAGTATGTAATATAGCCCCGCGTAAGCCAGTCGTGATACACGAGGTTGCTCCTAGGTAAAATCAAATCGATCTTGAATTGGAAGATATAGTAGGGTATGAGGTGATAGTGGCGGGAGAGCTGATCTTGTGAGATTTCGTGACCTTGTGGATGCCTAATATGGACAGACTGAAAGGCGATTTAATGCTTAAAAGCAACGGACATAAGTAACGGAGTTATTTAATGTTGGTATGCAGTGGCGGGTGAGATCAGATAAGACAAGACAAGACAAGACCAGATGATGCTAGTGTATCTTCAACCAGGTACAAAGCTCGTAGCTTGGCGCTGATGAAGTAGCGTTGTAAAAGCGAACCCTTGTTAAACACTGATACTGTACACACAACGGTATTTGGTAGACTTCCCTCGAGGTCTTAGATGTGAGGTGACGATGCGGTCTCACATAGTCAACCACCAAGGGTAGACGTTGATATGGAGACTGTCTCAGGTGATATCGAGTCCGTCCTACCAAGTACCAAGCAGGGTGCCTAGTTTCGTTCCTGGAGAGTGCAGTGCTGTAGTAATTCCCTGTGGTTTTCCGAAAAGCCAGAGAGGACAAAGAAGTAGGCGATATGACGCGATTCCGACGATCAGATCAGATCAGATGGGGCTGGTAACAGCTGATTTTCAGTCTCAGGACAATATGGCCCCTAGTCGAAACTCCAGGTTCTCTCCAGCTCTGTCTCTTGTCAGATCTTGACTGGATCGTAATCTGGTGATGGCGGGGTCAAAACGACGTTGCCTAGTGATAGTGAGACGCAGGGAGCAGAGCAAAGATGAGATGCTCGCCCCAACAAGCACGACAAGACGCTCAAAAGTAGATATGGTGGCGCGGGCGTCGCTGCCTTGAACGGCTGCTTATGCTTATGCAATATTGTTGAGTGAGATGAGGCGAGGATGGGTTCGGATGGGTGATATAAGGTGCGGCTCCGACTCGATGTCAACGTTTTCTTTCAAATGTCGGTATAGACAAGACATAAGCTGACTGATGGGCGCACAGGATAGTATGTAGGGTTTGGACGGGGAAGTGCAGCCGGAACGTGAGCTGTTAGCAAGCGGGGCCTGGTACCAGTATAATGCAGGTCCCCACTCTTTTCATCCCGACCCGAGATCTGAGTGGATCGCTAAACAATCGAGATCTTCGCATTACAATTGCAAGCCCTGTGATTGGTGGAGAGGGCTACCAAACGTACGACCTTGGACCTGATTGGTTGCTACGGCCAGGATTTAAGCCCTTTGCAACCAATGTGATATCATTAGTGACATACCACCTGCAAGGGGGAAGGACATTTATGGCCATTATTTAAGAATTGAAGAAAACCATGCCTTCAAACAGAAAAGCCAAGGATGAAAATACCCTCAATTCGTCAAGAAACCATCACTTTAGACCAATATCTTACATTCGTTATCATGGTCGAGGTCTAGGTCTCCTGACTGCATGGGATCCACAGATAAACCCATCACTAATTGGATCTAACATTACCATGTCATATCTTGATCTGCAATCAAATATGGATTACTGTACAGTATTGTACCAAGCCAAGCCGAGACCAGTCGGCTCGGCTCGGCAATTTCTGGCTCGGCCTGGCTGTTTCCCGTGACGTCATCTCGGGTTCAGATTGCGAGGCTGGAAAGGATATATCTATCATCTTCCAGATCGCCTCCTTCGAATACCAGATTTGAAAGAAATGGCTCTTTGGCGGCACGATTTATGCAATTTATTGATCGCACTTTTACTTCAATGACTATTTGATCTTTATTCCGAAGTTCCGAGTCCGAACTGCTGACGTTAGCTAAAAGTCTTTCCAGCTAAACTCTTCTGTCCTCTTACCAGTGCTTTCTAGTTTGCTGTCATATAATGCAATGCGTTTGTTGTCAGATCCATTCATGAAACCTGGACTTCGAACTTCCAGTTGCCTGTTGACCTGAACAGATTCCCTGTCTCCCTTTCATACCCACCGTCAAGAGCCATACTCCCCCAGAGAACCCCTCTATATCCCAGCCAGCAGTTCTTTACGTGTCTACGTACGGAGTATACTCCGCATAATCATACCCACGTACGTATTACGTATGAACTCACGCAGGATTCAGAGCTTCACCAGCTGCATATCATATCTCCCAACCCGTATACGGATCACGGATTGAAAACCAACACCTCCTTCCTACCACGCAAGATTTCATATCCGCGCCAGTAGGCAATCCAGTCATCTCGATTCCCAATAGCAAGGCAGGCAGGTAGGTAGGTAAGGTTCAGATACGTATACGTACGTAGTCCCCTCACCCCTTTGATCAAGCAAACTCACAAAACTCACAAACAACCCAATTCTCCTAGTCCAGATCCCAGACCCCTTGTTGCATTTCGCACCCCCTCGCTTGTTAGTCCCTCTTATTCCGTACCCAAGGTAACTAGGTACCTAAGAAACATCATACCTTGGTAGCGAACATCGCTCGCTTGCCTGAAAGTTCCTGGTGGCGAACATCTTGGGGGTATTCGGCAAACAACGTTACTCCACTTCCACTTCAAGATACCAACGATATCCGTTGCATTTCGCACTTTTCTCGGGACTAGCTGGCCGCTATCCATCACTTATTCATTGCCTCTAAGTATACCTTAGGACAGGATACCTACATAAACTCGAAGAAGAAGGGCCAGGCGGAGTAGAGGCAAATTACAGAGTGGGCAGACTACAATTGTTCACGAATATTTACTATAGCACAACTTCACATGAGTAGGAGGTAACTGAGGTATTTCATGACCAGATTCATTTCATTATCTCGTGCTATAATGCCATCATGCACTCATAATCGTAAAGCTCGAAAAATAACAAGGCAAAAGGAAGAAAACAATAAAGACTTTTCCGAGGCCGGCCAGCCTCTCGCTCATCGCTGGCAGACTCTTTCTCTCCTCCGCAGATCCCAGATCATGCATACATCAATAAAAATGGCAAAATGACGAAAGGAAAACTCAAAATCATTAACACAGTATAGTGCCTCCATCGTAATATCCCCCCTCATACTCTAACAATATCCGCAAAATGTGCGTACATAAACATCCATGATATCCCGCCACGCGATATCGTTGGCATATCTCATAAATGCGACCTATCTGACTGTAATCGTTCTGCTGGTCGCACGTGTGTGACCCGCCGTGCTACCAGAAGACTTGCTGTTGCTCTTCTTGTGACGACTCACAGTCGCCCATCCCAAGGCAGCGTCCTCTTTCGGGAAACTAATGACGGGTTTTGGTTCCGGCGCCAGGACTTTGACAACGGAAGCAAACGTCTTACCGAACCTGACTTCTGTTGCATTTTCATTCTCCTCTTCGTCAAGGAGGGGGTTCGGAGTCGGTTGGACCCTGCGTTTGGCTTTCTTGGGTGTTTGCGGCGTTGGTGTTTTCGCGGCATAGAAGTCCTCGACTGGTGGGAGTCTTTGGGGAAGAAGCGGTGTAGGTTCAACCACTATTTTGATACCTTCGAATTCTTCAGCTATTGACATTTCTTCGTCTGCGAGGTCCTCTCTTCTCGATGAACCCTTCTTCTGTCCAGTAGCCCAATCAAAATCCTCTCTTGTGTTCTTGATATAATCGTAAGCCGGTTTGCCGGCCCACCTCCAGAAGCCCTCTTCTCTCATAGCGGTTTCTTTATCCTCTCGGAAGATGATGTTTATATCTTCTTTGACGGCTGCGACAAGCTTCGTAACCAAGTCTTTGCGAGCCTTGGAGCTGACGAGAGGGTTGACAACTTCTACGTTGAGACGGAAAAAGATCAGAGGATCGACGCCATCAAATAAGTCGGAACCCATGCCTCTGTTGGGTGTGTACTTTCTAGAACCGCCACCAAAGCTCGAATGGTTGATTGGAGTGTGGAATGTCTTGATGATCTTGCGTTGACGCGGGGTCATGTCGTACGGTGCTTTAACACTAAGCGAGTCGCTTTTCTTGGTCAACACGTCGAGGTCTTCATCTTCGGTAGCCTCTTCTTCGACACTCGAGTTGTTGTCAGGTAATAGAAGAGAATCTGACTTGGTATAGTTGTACGTTCCTTCCCAGGCTCCTTTGCTTTCATGGATCGTCGAGTGAATTGCTTCGCTGATGAAGTCCACCTCTTCTTGCGGAAATGCTTCGACGCTTCGCCGGTCCTTCGAGGTACCATTTCCGGATTTCTTCGCTTTCTTCCTCTCTTTCCTTGTGACCTTCTGCTCTATTGAAAATGTTTCCGAGCTTGTATCGGTGATTGTACTCGTGTTCGTTGTTATGTAGGAATCCCAAAAAGATTCCTTGCGCGCTTTGAGCTTTTTGAATGATGAGCTAGAAGCCTCGTCGAGCGCCGTTATCTGGCGGGTGATTCGCAGGATTTCTTTGTGCCGGTTGTGGTGCATTTCGTCAGAAGAATTGCATCTAGAGGTTGTTAGTGGATGAAGAGAAAAATCTGAAGCATCGGAGAACTGACCCGAAGCATTCGTGAGACTTGCCTGGAAAGGAAGTATGTTAGCTAGGAGCGCATCAAAAGCGGAAAGGAACAGGCCCCCGGGACTCTACCATTGAAGTGAAGTTGCTGGTGGAATCGATAGCAGGGTTCTACATGTTTTCCAATGCAAGATGTCTTTGCTCGACTATCTATACAATCATCAATAACCAAGCACATGTATATCGATGAAGAAGCTTACTATGGAGCGGAGTCTGGCACTACGGCGTATTAGTATTGTTATTTCCTGCAAAGAGCAAGAGCTGAAAAGATGGAACAGTCCTCGGCGGTGTCGACACAGCAAACAAGGGAGCAGACAAAAGGGATTGCTTACTATTCCACAATGGTGTTCTACACAATGTAGGTCAGCAAGCTTGTTAAAGACGAGGTTGCATAGGATGTTACTCACCAAGACCTGGGGAATCGTCCCAGCGGAAGAGATTTTTGCCCTTGTAAAGGCGGGTTTCGGGTGCAACGGTAGCCCAGTTCATGATGATGGTTGCTAAGCAATTGAGGGTTATTGATACAACAATCGCACTGGTTCTTCTCGATAGGGTGGACGGTGGAGAGGATTTGTAGGTGCAAATTGATTGTTTCCCAGTGTTTGGTATGTGAGACAGGCGATGCTATCAGGAAGTGGAAAGCTCGAGAACTCTTGGAGGTCGGTTGCTTGCTTCAATTGACTGTAGAAAGGTTAGGAAACCTCGAGAATATGGAAAGTCTTATTGTAGGTACGCACGAGTGGCAGAGGATCGATTGTCGAAGATTCCAAGCAATAACAAGAGTGGCAAGGTGTGTCGGTGTCCTTTGTTTTTTGCTGTTGGAGAATTGGAGGATGTTTTGTTGCTGTTCTCGCGTCATGGAAGAATTTATACCGTGTTGTGGTATTTCCTATTGTGGCATTGTACCGGCTCTCGGCTCCCCTTGCCCCCTATTGTTGACCACTCGAGAAGGAAAGAGTCCAACCACACGACATTCAACAATTCAATACGCAAATGTGCTTCTTCAAATTACAAGCCATAGCTATTCATCCAGGGACATTCAAATTTACCTATTTCAAATGAAAATAGACGTGGCCAACAACTTCCGTTTGCTTATTAGAGGACGTTTCACCGCTCCGAACGACAGCCAGGTCGCGGCTACCCACATGACATACCAAACACTTTATCTTGTCAACCAAGGACGCACATATCTCGAATAAAGATTCACATGGCAGTCAAACTGCCTATTACTGATGGTACGGCGTGTTAAATCTCGATTGCGAAGCTAACGACCTGCGATTAAAAAGACAGAAAGCCACCGATGCCGTAAGCTACCATAATGCAAATGCAAATACCAATGCTACCCAAAGGAAAATCATTATAAAGTTCTGAGCAAGTGTTACAGACAATTTGATTCTCCATTTCATAGTTAGCATGCAGTGTCGGTGTTGAAGAAGTCTTGATACTGCTACTGCAGAACTTGCATTTTGGACGGCCTAAAGATCGCGCACCAGGCGTGCCCCAACCCAAGCATATGGGTAGTTGCGCTGGTACCAATTGATACTGTGCTGGTTAGCCCGAGGTAGGGTGTGATATCTGGGGGTTTCTTACAAGGTCTTGCGTCCAGCAATGCGTGGGTGCGTTGCCCAGGAGCCACCAAGGACGACGTTGTGTTTCCCGTCAAAGAAATCAGCTACCAACTGTTAGCAGTGATCCGGGTGATAAATGCATGATACATACAAGTGTAAGCCGGGTAGAGTTTATTGGGCTCGAAACCTTCATGCCTGGCAAGAGGGGAGCTGGTCCATTCCCAGAGTCCACCCATATCCGCCTGACCCGCGAGTTTGTTGCCGTTGGCCGTAACAGCAACTGGATGCCAGTGTTTGAAGCCTACGTTTGCACCCCTGAGGTTAGTGAAGAGCTCTTCCGAGCTCCCACCATTTTGCAAAGCTCGTGATGGCGGGCTTTCTTCTACTCCATCGTTGACAAGGTGACTGGAGTGATCTTAGCAAAAAAGAAGAGAAACAAGTGTTCACGAACTACATACCCATTGACCGCAGGAACAGTTTTCCCCAAGTGTTGTTCGGCTTCTTTAAGCTTCAGGCCATCCACGTGGCTGTAGATACTTCTCGCCTCCTCAAGTGTGGGGATTCGACCTCCCATCCAAATAGCGCAGCCAGCAAGCTCATCGTATGAAGCAAAGACGGGCCAGTCAAGAGTATACTTCAAAGGTACCAAACCATACACAGTGCGGACAGCCTTTCCCTCTAAGAATGCCTTGCTCAGAGGAATTGAGGCATTGTAATGAATATTGGCATGGCCATTGGAGTAACCATTTGAATTGCCGTTTGAGTCGCCGTTCAAGTGGGCACCATTAGAGATGTTCTCCGCCCATGAAGCTGGGATCTTTGAACTGTGTGTCTGTTCGAGGTAACGGCCGTACTGTATTGAAGTAAGCATAAAGAAGGGAATTTTTAGATTGTAAACATACATCTTGGTTTGTAATTGCGTGCGCTTGAGCACGGAAAGCTGGTACCGTGACTTGTCGAGGTGGTTTCTCATTATCCCTGGTGACATTAGTAACTAGTTCATATTTACTTTTGGTTGGGGACCATACCATCCAAAATGTTGATCACCACCCGAGTTGTCCTCTGGATCAGTGAGACCAATAGTGATGCTCTGCTCTGGAATTTCAAACCACTCATTTGGTACCCTGGCAGCTTCTGCGAACTTCGCTTCACTCTCAAAGTCAGGGGTATAAGTGGTGGGTGGCCGAGTTTTGTCACTCTGCAAGAGCATGTAAAGAAGTGTCTCTAGATGCATAATCTCATGCTCGAACCCGATCCAAAGTGCACGTCCAATATCTCGTGGGATTTCTTGCAGCGAATAGAGCTTCTCAACTTTGCTGCGGACCTTGCCCTGGTATTCAAGGATCTCATCCAGTGGTGGCCATTCTTCAGGGACCTCCGAGTGAGCATGACATTGTTCAGGGTTGTCAACATCAGGATCAATGCCTCTCTCGAAGACCTGAGGATAGTAGGTGGGCTCACATGGAGGTTCCAAGCTCACCTTGTTGAGCTGAATCTCTAGGAAAGTGGGAATGTGGCCGAGGTAGAAAATGCAAGCATTCCGTAGTTTGATGGGCTGCTCAAGTAGTTCCTCGTCAGAGATCATGCCTCTAGTGACTACGTCCCATACGGCCCAAAGACCTTTCCAATCTTCGAAAGTCGGTACGCTTGATGCGGCATAGACTTTGGCATCCGAGTTGAACGCCATTCTTTCTTTGCTGAGCAAGTGTAGGCCTAGAATTTGAAGAATTAATCAGTACAAGCTTTCGAACAAGTGATGCAAAACTGAAGACAAATTGGAAAAGCAATTCTTCGGGCAAGATAAGGCAAGGGGAGGTCTGGTCAATATCAACCTTATTCGGACTTGCTATATATTCGTCACTATGGTCCGTGCGTCACACCTATTCCAGAAGATGGAACGAGGACCCCCACATACTCGGGGAATACAATGACCACGCGATCAACTTCGTGATATAAGCGGTGAAAGAGCCTCAGTTTGTGCAACTTCTATGACGTGTTTGGTAGAGACAAAGAGAAATATGAACTCAGAAACTTGACACGACTTACTATAGTCTTCGGACGAGGCCTTCCATCGACGAACCTCCTGTAACCCTGCGTCGCTCCAAAGTTGAGTCGCAGCTTCGGGTGGATACTTTAAACTTTGTTCGACTTGGATTCGTTCTTCAGCCTTGAATGTGACGTCGTTGAAGACTACGTCCCGTTTCGGAGAATAAAATGCTTGGTGACGACCGCCTTCACCGTCGTAAACGTATTCTCCAATTACTTTCCAGTCATCAAGTCTGAAAACTTCTTCTCCAAGGACCTCGTTTGCTTGAATAAGTCCGTTCAGGATGAATCTATTTGGATTATTAGTGAATGGAGTCCTCGTAATTGAGCATCCGTGAGATGAGCCTTGGGGGGGAGAAAAACGTACTTGTGGGTGATCCCCTCGCGATCTTTGTGTCAAAATGTCAGCTAAAAACCATTCACTTCGACATTCACTTCTCACCGTTATATGCATGACTAGAAAGTTAGTGAAGCCCATTTAAGAGTGACGGATCGGAAAACATACTAGACTTTTTGGGCATCCTCGGTTCCATCTAATCCAACAAGTATTGAATCGGACGGCTGTAATGCATCGGAGAACCTCCGCAAGAACGCAGCAGCGTCGGAACGATGAAAGTTGCCTGGGAAACAAGTTACTACTGCCCCAGATCGACCCACGCTTTGCTACGAACCTATGCTAGATCCGAGAGACATAACACACTTCGGCCTGGAGCTCTGTTCTGGTGTTTTGAGCCAGTCAAGGCCGTCGTCATATGTGCCGTGGAGACCGTGGCATTTGACATGTTCGAATATGGGTACTTGTTCGAGTGTCCGCTTCAGCTCTTTCAAGGAAAGGTCTAACGCATAATAGTCGATCTTTTTACCTGCAGCTTCTAAGGCCCTCAACAAGATACTGACCTTTCGAAGATTACTGTTTTACGTTAGTTCCAGACACTGAGTAAGCCCACTGACAGTCACCAACCCACTACCCAGCTCAACAACCATAGAGCCTGACGGTATGGCATTTGCAATGCTGTCAGCCGAGCGTTTGAGAACATCGATTTCCGCGTTGGTGAGGTAGTATTCCTCCAAATAGGTGATCTATTCGGCGGTTAGTAGAAACATCCGCTTTCCTGGATGTATCCACTGACCTCTTCGAACAATTGCAAACCTCGTTCGTTGTAGAGCAGTAAGGTTGGTAATTGCTTTGGGCCACTCAAAGGCTTTAAAGAGCTTAGAATCTCGTCCTTTAGATTCATCTCCACGGCATCGTGGCGTATGTCAATAATGTCGAAGCTTGCGGTACTCTCGGAAGTACCCAGTGGATACTTTGGAGGTTTGACTGCATGGCTGCTTTTGCCGATCAGAGCAACATCATGCTCGTGTTTTGAGGCGCTTGGAATGGTCATTTTGGAAATGATGAGAGAGAGGGAGAGGGAGAGAGAGAGTGGATGGGGAGGGGGAGGGTCTGGTGGTGATGGTAGACGGCAGATATAAAGTGAGATGTGAATAGAAGGAAGGAAGGCAAGGCACGATGTTGGAAGATGAACCCTAAATATGTAGCGTCTATTCCAGAGGGCCCAAGGGAGGTAGGTTTCCAGAGTGGAGTTTAGGGCCATATTTACGAAGGAGCGTAAATGCTGCTTACCGTATTGAGGTCTAGGCCAATAATGGAATGGAATCAACAGGAACCGCGTGAGCGGTGCATGGAAAGTTGGCGTAGCATGGCATGAAATGTACCTGAATTACTCGAGTACGGACAATGAATAAACGGGTTGGCCCCGCAGTCAGCAATGGGCGTCCTCGGACAATGTGTTAGAGCCCCGCCCCCCACGCTTAGCCCGTGAAGCGTGACCTCATCATTAGTAACTCACTCTAAAATCCCGCCGAATAGGGATCATGATTACAGTATTACTGCTGTGATACTCGGGGTCCCGGGTAAGTTGAATAATACCATGATATTATATTGGATTATTGGTTAGCTTTCGAATTCTCGCCGTTGTTGAGATTAAGTTTCCTGCAGCTAGGTGATCGTGCAAGATCCGGATCTGCTCTGCCATGGAATCATTGGTTGCCATGGTTGGTCACGGGCTGCCTTTGGTGTGACAGTTCATACAATCCATCAGACGGCATGCTGTTTGGCTAACTTATTGTACAAGGCGTCTGTAAGGCACAAAGGTACAGAGTAGTAGTACCTGGACAGGAAACTTTAATCCCGTACGTCTACCTCTTGTTCCGCCGGAATCGCTATGGAGGGCAGGTACCAACTGCTGGGGAGGTCCTAGCTTCTAGATTCGGGTCGCATGCCAAATTGCCCAAAGTGGTTTTCTGCAGTGTTGGCCGTGAAATGCGCATGTTAGTGATGCATAGAGACCCTGCAGTTGCCTGCCTTTGACTGCGGGGATATGCGTGGCGTTGTACAGGCCTGTCCTTTCTCCATTCCGATGACACATTTATTAAGGTCAGAGGTGGGATTCCCCTCCTAACCCCGGAGAACGAAGTACAAATGGCGTGTTATGATATAGCTGATGCAGTATGGGAAAAGAAATACCGTCTCGTTAGAAGCAGTCGAACTATACTGGCAGCTAGAAGAAAAGAGTCAAATGATGCGGAAGACTGAGCAAATAAGAGCCAGGACCTTGTAGAGTCCTACGATAGTAAAACAAGGGACAATAACAAAACGTTCAACGTTGAACAAATTGTTCCCTGCAAGGGGTAGAGACCAAAGTATCACAGATGTGCTTCAGTTGAAGGAACTAACAGTCAGTAATCTCTAAGGTTGCTCAAGCTGATTCAGTTCGGCGTGAAGACATTACGTCCTTCGTGCTAGATCGAAATGAACGTTGTGAAGAGTGCGTCGGCGTCCGTGGAAAGGGGGTAGTGTACCATATAAATACCATTTGAGTAATTTGGAACGCCTGGATTTGACTAAAATAATCTTGCTAGAGAGAGATGAACAAAGATGAAAATTTAAGAAACTTCTAAACCGGAAAGCACAGACGTAACATAGCAAGGCTATCAATTAATCGTCTGGTGGTACTAAATGGGCTTAGCACGCCCCAAGTGGATTAGTGCTAACTCTCTCTAGAAAGTACTTAAGTTAAAGGCCTGGGATCTGTAAACTATCCCCATTAGACCATAAATTAAATCATTTTTTATAAATAGTTATAAAAAAACTAATATTTTAGTAGGGTTTTAATATTTAGTAAACTAGACCTAAGTGGATATAAATGGTCTGCCTATTTAGTACTACCAGACGACTGTCTGATACATTGAGAGCGGTCACGTGGTACAATTTGCTACAAAAGATATAGATACGCATTAGAATAAGTCTTCACTGAACCAATAGCACGCAAAACTGCAATCTCAAAGTTATGAAACATTGGATCAACTCCAGGGCAAAAGACTAGTAGTTGGTATTACACGTGATAACGTACTATTTACTTTCCGTCGCTTAGGGCGGGCGGTTTGTTTACTTTGGAACTTCAGTATTCTGGACGTGTTTTGCGACAACCAACTTCACAAACCTCCCCCACACATCTTGAAAACGCGCCGAGAGGCTCATCGAATATTTCACAATGTCTTACAATCACCGAATGAGTATGGGACCGAATACCCAACAGCAGAATCGAGGCAAGAAGAAGGAAGATGAGAGTGATGCTTTTATGCGCCTGGTAAGATCCTCCAGTATCTACCACAAGAATACGCACTGATGTCTGCAGCCCGAGAAGGAAATAGCAGGATGTATAAGTGATATCGGAGTCCCATTCACTGTCGCAGATCTGCAGAAACCAAATCCAATGCAAATACAGATGATCTTTGAGTTATTCGTCGAGGTACTTATGAACGCAACTCGAGAGACCGTCGACCCATCTATGCGCGCGGCAGCGGAAGATATCTGCGGAGAGTATATGGACTGCATCCCGGCGGAAACGCGAAATCTTATGGGTTTCTACATGAGCTTGCGCAAACTCTTAGTCGAATGCGGTATTGAGGATTTCTCATTCCAAGACTTGTTCAAGCCAACAACAGATCGCTTGATCAAGATATTTTCGTATATTATCAACTTTGTGCGATTCCGGGAGAGCCAAACAGGTGTTATCGACGAGCATCTGAACAAGGTGGAGAATACGAAGGTCAGGATAGAGACTCTGTATATGGAGAATCAGGATATGGAGGCACGTCTGGAAGAGATGCAGCGGAATAAGAAGGCTATGGAGGCAGTTGTTCAGGAGAAAGTGAAGCGGAACGAAGAGCTCAAGCAACGGCTGCTCCAATTACGGCAAAGTCAGGAGAAGGTCACGCGTCGTTTCGAGAACGTTAAGGTCAAGAAGGGCGAAATGACCGCGGTCTTGGAGGATAAGACTGCGACCACCATTGCACTGAGGCAGGAAAGTGCGAAACTGAAACCTTACGTACTCCAGTCGCCAGCTGCACTCCAAGAAAAATTGACCCAACTAAGCAATGATTTGAACGCCGAGAAAGCCCAGATTGACACCTTGGACCGACGCGCCCGTGGCTTGCAAACATCCACAGATACCTTCTCCGTTGTGGCTTCGGACGTAGCATCCTGTATAAAGCTCTTGGACGAGATTTCCGCGGAACTGGCGAAGGAGGAGGAGGAGAACGTAAGGATTGCCAGACAGCGGGATGCATTAGGGGAGCGGGGAAACAACGTTCGAGAGGTAGAGAGAACGGAAGGGTTATTGCAGCGTCAATTATCAAAATGGCTGGAACGGACCGAAAAGTTGAGGGAAGGAAGCAAGGAGAAGGCTATGAGTGCCAAGGAGAGAATGGAAGAGCTACGTGCTGTGCACAGGAGGCTTACTGAAGAGAGAGGTGAAAAAGGGAAGGAGATGGAGCGGAGGAGGGTAAGAATAGAACAGACAGAGAAGAAGGCAAGTTTACACCCATCTCAACTATTGAAGTATTGCTAACTTTTTAACCAGATGGCCGACTTGAAGGAGAACATCGAGAACGAGATTCATAGCTCACACGACGAGTTTCTGAAGATGGACTCGCACATTAAGCTATACATCACTGAGATGGAGCAATCGATTTGAACTTGCGCGCGTGTTTAATGTCTGAATTATGGGCCAGGAAGGGTTGGACGGTAGCACAAGGCGTTTGGGTATACCTACCTGTTGGATATAGCATGATAATGACTTTACAATACAAATGATATTTTCTTCCGAGTCAACACTACACGCGATTGACCCAGCCTATACCTCACCCTCCCAACTCCCTTTCCGAAACCTAAACCACCTCCCCAAAACCCTCCCAACCTCCACAGTCCTACCACTCCACCCAGCATCCTCACTTCCCATCCCCACACGCCTCACACTCCCATTCAGCATCGGCATCCTCTGTCCCCAAACCTTCCGCGCATCCCCCATCTCCAGACCATCTTCTAGATCCAAACCACCCTCACCATCACCCTTCCGCTCCACAACAACAATCTCCAACGCCCCCCTCCACCCCGCTTCCACCAACCCCGCTACACTATTCCCCAGCCCCTGCGCGCTCCACTCACTCGTATCTCGATGCATCTCTACCAGGCCGTACACAACTAACAATGGAAGCGGCGTCTTCTTCTTCGCCTCGCCTAATTGCCCAGAATCATAATCACGCTCTTCCTTTGGGAATACAGATAGGTACGCCCGTAGATGCGAGACGGTAGGTATGAAGACCACTTTCACGTGCCTCGCCGTCGCGATCTGGCGCAGTGTTGGGACGAGCAGTGGATGATGCTCCGCGGGGCTTTCAATTCCATTTCCATTTTCATGGTCTGGGGGGTCTTCTTGGGTGGTGACGGAGTCACGCAGGGAGGAGAGGAATGCAGCGCGTGGCTGGCAGATTATAAGCGTTATTGGCTGAGAGGACTGGGAGAGGATATAAGTGAGGAGCTCGGAAGGCAGAGCTGGTGAGAGGGCGAGGGGCGCTCGAGCCATTGTCTCTGGGTTGAGTTGGGTTGGATGGAGGGGTCGTGTGATGATGTAGAGAGGTTATAAGCCCTGGGATTAGTGCTGCATGGTTAATGAAAGTCAAAACAACATAACAGAGTATATCGTGGTATCCTGTACTATACTAGAAGATGCGACGCGACCTCAATTTCATATTGCTATAATTTTTAGAGATTGTTGAAGTTGTGAGCAAGCCTTGTCCCCTAGCAAATATTGTACGCAATCGCTTACACAGTACTGTACGGTAGGTATAATAGCCCCACTACAATACATACAAGCTTCAACTCCACGATGCGCCTCTGCACCTGCATGAACACCCATGGAGTCAGTATCTAGGATATCCAGCTTGCTGGAGAGTGGTAATAGCCCCGCTGCCCCTCATCACAGCTTTACAACCATAGACTAAACGCTAACCTACACCACAGCACGAGAACTCACCCTCGATGCCGCCCAATCAGCCCGGAGCTCTCGCAGCTCCCTCAAGACCATGTCAACGGCGCAGATCAAGAAGCTCCTCGACAGCCGGAATGACAGAGAGGTGCTGGAAGGGTTACGGAGGGTCATCTCTGTACGTCTATCTACTCTCTCCAACCCCGACCTATATCTCCGCTCCCTGGCATTCAACCCCCTCCCTCTACCCAAAGACCTATTTATACTGACAGGTTACTAACTACAAACCCCAACAGATGATGTACCGTTCCCAACCTTGCCTCCCCTTCTTCTCCTCGGTCGTTAAAAACGTCGCCTCCCCCAACATCGAGATCAAAAAACTCGTCTACATCTACCTCCTCTCGCACGCCGAAGCCGAACCCGACCTCGCGCTGCTCTCCATAAACACGATCCAGAAATCCCTCTCCGACAGCAACGCGCAAGTGCGCGCCCTAGCCCTGAAGACCATGTCCGGCATCCGTGTCCCCGTCATAAGCCAGATCGTATCTTTAGCGATCAAGAAGGGCCTGGGTGACATGAGTCCATATGTGCGGAAAGCCGCGGCGCTGGCGATTCCGAAATGTTATAGGCTGGATCCTGGGACCCTGCCGCAGTTGCTGGAGTATTTGGGCACGCTGCTGGGGGATAAGCAGTATTTCGTTGCGGGGGCTGCCGTCGTGGCGTTCTTGGAGATATGTCCGGAGCGCCTGGATTTGCTGCATAAGCATTATCGGGGGCTGGTGAAGAAGCTGGTGGATATGGACGAGTGGAGTCAGTTGGCTACGTTGAGGCTTATGACGGTCTATTCGAGGAAGTGCTTTCCGAAACGGACGAGGAGGGTGAGGAAGAGTAGGAGGGATGGGACAGAGGGCTTTTATAGGGATGATGATGATGAGCAGGAGGAAGAGGAAGAGGAGACGGGGGAAGTTGTTGAAGTGCTCGATCCTGACCTGGAGCTTCTTCTCAAGAGCATCAAGCCCCTTCTGCAAAGTAGGAATTCTGCAGTCGTGGTTGCTGTTGCTCGATGTTACGTCAATCTCGGGACCCAGGAATACGTTAACAGCTCTATTGGACCTCTAATAGCATTATTACGAGGACCACAGGATGTTCAGCATATCGCACTTTACAACATCGTATCAGTATGTCTCACGCGGCCAGAAGCATTCGTCAAATACGCATCTCATTTTCTAGTTCGAGCTACGGACCCTTCACAAGTTTGGGAACTAAAGTTGGAACTCCTTACATTGATATTCCCTCACTGCGACGCTTACCTTCGGAGCATCATTCTGAATGAGCTCGAGCATTTCTCAGGAGGCTCTGATAAAGAGCTTGTACGAGAAGCTGTGCGAGCTATTGGCCGATGTGCTCAGAGTGACTCGAGAACATCTGCAAGATGTTTGCGGCTGCTCTTGAAACAAATAACCAGTCTGGATGGTAACCTGGCTGCAGAATCATTAACCGTCATAAGGCATCTGATCCAGCAAGACCCCGCTTCCCATACAAATACCGTCATTCGATTAGCAAAGAATCTCGACACGGCAACAAATCCTCGAGCGCGAGCATCGATTATTTGGCTCGTAGGAGAATTCTCGGGTATTGATGGCGAGAACAACATCGCTCCAGATGTACTCCGTATCTTAGCCAAAGGGTTTGCGGATGAAGCAGAACCAGCCAAACTACAGATCATACTTCTGGCAGCGAAAGTCTACCTCCACCATCTCAACCGTTCAGACATTCAACCCGAAGTTCAGAAATCTACGCCTGAATCGCCAGGATATGATGACTTGCCTTCCATGGGAAACGAAGGCTTCAGAGACCTCGACAACCCATTAGACACCACTTACCAAGCACCAGAACCCGAGCCCGAACACCCAATCATCACCCTCTGGAACTACATCCTCATCTTAGCCCGCTACGACACATCATACGACCTCCGTGACCGCACCCGCCTCTACAAAGCGCTCCTCGCTGTCCCCTCATCCACACAACTAGCAAGCCTCATGCTACTCGCGCCCAAACCCGTACCTCACACACCCAGTCCATCAGAAAGCCGCACAGGTTTTACACTTGGCTCAGCGAGTCTGGTGGTCGGGGAAGAGGGCGGCGTGAATGGGCTGCGAGGCTTTGAGAAATTACCGAACTGGGTAAAGCCAGGGTACGAGCCTAACCCGTCTTTGAGAGACGCAGATGTCGGAACCGTGGATTATGACAAGACGCGAATCGTACCTGCTGGCGAAAGATTAGATAGCGCGGTTAGAGATACGAGGACAGCGTCGCCATCGAAGACTAACGGTTTCGGAGCTGCTGGTCTTGGAAAGGAGAAGAAGCTTGAAGATTGGCTGGCAGAGAGTGAGGCCGAAGAAGAAAGTGGAGAGGAATCAAGCGAGGAAGACGCAGAGGAAAGCGAAGAGGAAGAATCCAGCGAAGAGGCAGAAGAGGAAAGCGACGATGATGACAACGAGCGGGACAGTCTTGTAAAATGAACACAGGGCTGTCTTGGGAAGTAAAGCCTGGACTGAGATCTTTTTGTCGCTCGCACGGTTGCATTGAAAATGTTTAGGTGGAAATATTTAGGTCACAAAACAATCAATAAAAGTCATTAGAGAAGCCATCAGCATTACTATCAGCCGGAAGCTGGCTCATCACTATCTGAATTTTGCTCTCCTAGTACAAATTGCGGAATTAGTCTGAAGAGTGATCATGAACTCGGCTTAGCCAAACAACGAATCCGGAAAAGAAGCTAGTACATCCAGGTGCTTGTGCAGACCACATCTAGAAGCGTTTTCTTTATCCCCAAACCCAATCGCGCAGCAGCAGGAATGCAGAAAAACTTGTCTAAACACCAAACCAATCTCGAATGCGCCTGACTGAAATACGGAATAGCCCCGCAGGAAAACGATGAATGCTCCATGAATCTGTCTGTAGAAAGTTCAAGACCGCCGGCGTATAATTTTACAGGTACAGAGTAAATAAATGTGATCATGGACCGACAACTTGAAGGACTGATAGAACGAAAAGGCTCAACTGCAACACTATGTGCAGTCGCCATGCAAGGAAGGCACCGAGACTTAAAAATATCTATCGGAGATGTAATGCGACTAAATAGAAGCCCACTACCAGCGACGGCTATTGGGAAAATTAGCAGATTATACCAGAGCGCTAAGTGCAGAGTTCCGATCATACCTGTAGGCGGCTTCAATCACTGGCGCGGGTCTCTTCAATTTTATCTCGTATGTCCTCCCATTGGCCATCTTTCGGGTGTCAGTGCCCGGAATCAACTTTCCAAGGATTTCGAGTGAATCTGGACTCAAAGACTCTTCACTGTTGTCGTCTCTGCTCAAAGTCTTTTCATTAGACATATTCTTGGATTGGAGACCTCCAGTATCTTGTGAGGGTTGATTCATGCCGTTCTGATATGGTTGCTGGCCCTGGCCCTGGGAATTCTCCTGGTTATTGAATCCATTCGCACTAGGATCATTGCTATACGATCCATGGGCGCTAGCATAACCCGAATCTTGACGTGGAACACCATTAATTTGAGGAGCAGAGCTGTAGGGTTGTGTTTGCTGCTGCTGCTGCTGATGCTGGGCAGGGGCACCATTACCAAATTGAGGGTTGTTCTGAAGTGGACCATACTGCTGTTGTTGCAGAGCATTAGGATACTGAGGATTGCCCTGAGGTGTGGGACCGTATTGTTGTTGCTGAGTGGGGGGCCATTTCCAAACTGGGGATTGCTTTGAGGAGCACCGAATTGCTGCTGTTGAGGCGGAGGCCCATTACCAAATTGAGGATTGCCATGTTGTCCAACCCCGTACTGCTGTTGAGGCGGGGCTTCATTGCCGAACTGGGGATTTCCTTGTGGCGCAGCATTATATTGTTGTTGAATGGGTAGTCCATTGTTGGTTTGATGATTGGCGTGAGGTGGACCGTACTGTTGCTGTTGCTGGGGGGGTGGACCGCTGCCGAACTGAGAGATAGGAGCTTGCTGTTGTGGACCACCATATAGCTGTTGATTTGGTAGTCCAGTAGCAAAATGGGGATTGCCTTGAGGTCCATACAGTTGTTGTGTAGGGAGTCCGTTACCAAATTGAGGATTACTTTGCTGGGCATAAGGACCAGCCGCTCCATTATTATACTGTGGACCTTGGTTATATTGCGGACCGCTAGATGGCGCATTCTGTAGTGGCGCATGGCCGTACTGAGGGGGACCTTGTGGAGCAGCACCATACTGGTCATTGACAGTGGGGCCGTTACCAAGAGCAGGATTCACAGGAGGCCTATATTGTTGATTGCCATTCTGTTGAGGAGCAGGTGGTCCATATTGTTGGCCTCCATTTTGCAGTGGTACGGGTTGTGCATACTGCTGGTTGGGGTACTGGGGAGTATTGAATCCATTGTTGACAGGCGCTCCATTTTGATAATTATTAGGAGGTGGTGCAAACTGCGCTTGAGGTTGCGGGCCATTGGTATATGGTTGATAAGGTTGAGGTCCATGTGGTGTACGATTTTGGTTGTTAGGAAATGGCTGATTTGACGTGGGGCCAGGAAAATTAGACGGGGGTTGAGGATTGCCGTAGTTTGCGCTCATGGGTGGCTGGCTTCCCTGAAAGTTCTGCGTGGGTGCTTGAGGCGTAGATTGGTTGGCGGAAGAGTTTGGAGAAGGACCACTCTTGTATGGAGTGTGTTGAGTCTCCTCACCTTGAGAAAGCGGAATAGAATCTTGTCTCAAAGGCTTTGGGGGCTTGGGTGAGCCGGTAACGCCAAGTGATGCAAGTATTGCTTCTGTAGTAGACATTGGTGGCGCGGCAACTTCACCGGGGTCTGGGGCCCAAGCATCGTCTTCAGTTGTAAGACATGGAGTACCAGCTCTTCCCACATTGACTGGAGAAGTAACAAGAACGGTGGTCGGCGCTGCTAACTTCTCACTTTCTAAAAGCTCTTTCTTGATACGCTTACTTGGCGGGCCTTGAGTTGGGGTTTCGGAGGCTGTCTTGGGAGAAATGTCAACATCCTCCAGCATCTGGGTGTCTTGTTCTTGAGGATCTTGCTCAGTGGAGCGGGAACGCTTCCGAGAAGGTTCGAAAGGCTCCTCAACAACGACTGTTGAGTCATGTCGTGCGATGATCCAGGCAGAAAGGTGACTCAATGGAACTAACTCGTCATCATCTGTATCGGCAAAAGCAGGGTCTTCCTTGAGATAAGACCACTGAGGGGACAGAGTGATAGGCTTAATGAACTCCTTGATATTCTCCTTCCTAGCATATCTGGATACAGAATTCTTGGAGTTGTGGTCAAGAAGTGGAACAGGCGTCGTTTTGAAATTGGTAGATAATGGCTGCGCAAGTGCGACGGTTTCTAGTCCTGGTGGATCCAAAAAAATGGCTTCGTACTCCCAAACGAATACTGCATCCTCACCGGCTTCTTCATCTTCCTCAGGCACTTCGCCATCTTCTTTCTGCTCATCCTGCTCCTTCTTTGGTGTGATTTCCTTTTCTAAATCATCAGCAAGGGGTTCAGGCTTGATTTCCTTGATAACATCATTATCTAGTGCTCCAAGTTTTGCATACGGTGTACTAGAAGTACTGGAGACTTTTGAAAGACTAGGTACCCTGGCTGGCGAGCTTTGGAAAGGCGTCGGGGTCATATGCTGGGGCGCTCCCATATTGAGTGGTGCTGTCTGTTGATAGGTTTGAGATCCAGCTCTCTCTGTCGAGCCCTGATGTGATTGAACTTGAAAGTCAGGCGTTGCTGAATTAAAACTGGAACCCGAGTAATTTCGTTGTGGCCGTTGGTAAGAGGCACGTGATGCTGAGACCGTTGGTGTATTATTCCAACTCTGGGGAGAAGCTTGAATATTCGGAGTTTGGAAAGGTGTCATCGAGGCTAGATTTCCAGGGAAGTTACCATTCTGGGAGTAGGTATTTTGCGGTTGTTGATATGGCTTTGGGGGTTGTGGAGGACCATACTGCTGGGGACCATTCGGATAATTAGGACCAGCAGATTGTGGGGGGCCGTTAGCTTGAGGATGCTGATTGTACTGTGGAGCTTGGTAGCCTGGGCCATATTGAGAAACGGCTGGGGGGGCACGGTATGGTTGTTGTGGTGGTTGCTGGTTGTAGGGGTACTGAGGACCTGGAGCATTGAATTGCTGATTTTGCTGATACGGATTAGGTTGAGGTGGAGCTGGTCCCGTGTATTGCTGATACGGTGCGGCGGGTTGAGGGAACGAGCTACGACTGTTACCAAACTGAGGAAAAAGAGGTAAAACAGAGTATTCAGTCATAAGCGCTTCTTTCTTGATGGGTGAATGACACATTGCAGCATCCTTGTGCTTGTTGATTATGTGTGACGTTTGCAAAGTTTTGCTGTCCTTGGTGGCATTCCTCACGGAGGTGCCTGAGATGAAATCAAGTTGCTGGGGCTGGGGCCGATACAATAGCAGCGACGCCTAGCGAAGCTTATATCTAGACGTGAAAGAATGTTAACTCGAGTAGAAAGGATGTGCTTACGCTGGTGTTTGCTGGGATGAGCTCGGACAGGCTATCACAAAATGACCTTCTTGGCCACATTTGAAGCAAACCGGAGGACGATTCCCACTGTTATTACCCTTCAGGGGTTGTGGAATCTGACCTGGCAAGATCCATCCAGATGCAGACATGGTGAGTGTGCAGTATTACTTTTTGCTCTTAAAAAGCCATGCAGCCGGTGCTAAGATTGCCGTGGGAAAGCGAGAGCAGAAGGCGAAGAATCGAATTGGCGCAAAGTGCAAGTGCACTCCTCGAAGGTTGCGGCACAAAGCAAGGACTTCAAAGGTGCGGTGAAACGTATGTAGTTGGCCGTCAAATGTTACATGAGCAACTTGAACTTTGGCGGCCGCGTAGAGCTCACACCCACAGCAGAAAGCAAGCGAAGCCCCGTGATCAACGGATGGAATGCAAGGCAAGGCAAGGGAAGGAGATTGAATGCAGCGCAATTATTGGCATAGGAAAGAAGGAGGCCAGAGAAGACAGAACTTGAATGAAGATTTGAAAGAAGATTTGAGATGACAGTTGGTGGTTTGATAAAAAGTCCAGAGCGACCGGACGGGCAGGGGAGAGAAAGGGAAGAGCGAATTGAAAGTACGCGACAGGGATTATGCACCCGATACTGTATTAGGACTAGACCAAGAATTAGTACTTTCGGCGATCACTGGGGCTTTTAACTGCAAGCTTGAAGCGCAAGAGAGAACAGCACGCACGCCTCTGCAGCAGTGTTGGTAATCATCGGTATTTCGAAGTATTTCATACTGATGTTGAGGCAAGCTTGTTTCTTCCACACCACCCGTCACTCCTTAAGCCTCTTTGATATGACTTAGACGCAACACTCATCCCGCGACGACGACCATGTTGCTGCGCCAGCACTCATCAACGAAAGATACCGCATGTGCCAGCTGCCCCCCTTCGCCTCCTACTCCTGAGCTCCGTGGCGAGCACCACCATCGATAATCGGTCTACCTTACACTGGCAACATGCCTGGCCTGCCTTGTATGCTCAAGCTTTTCCAGACAGCGCCTGTCCTTCAGCTAACTGTCTAGCTTCTGTCGATTTGGACGAATGTATAGAAAGCCTCTACAAGAAGAATCTGCTTGCAGAATCGGTCATTGAAGCAATATGTGCAAAGACAAAAGAGTTGTTGATGCAAGAAAGTAATGTTGTACATGTGCAAGCACCAGTTACAGTAGTTGGAGATATACATGGTCAATTCTTCGACTTGATAGAGATCTTTAAGATTGGAGGATGGTGCCCAGATACCAATTACCTCTTCCTTGGTATATATATTCATCCCAGGAAGTGGAGATATTCTAACAGCTTCCCAGGCGATTATGTTGATCGCGGCATGTTCAGCGTTGAAACGATTTCCCTTCTTGTTTGTTTGAAGCTTCGATACCCGCACCGAGTCCATTTGATACGAGGAAATCATGAATCGAGGGGAGTTACACAATCATATGGGTTCTATACCGAATGTTCAAGGAAATATGGAAATGCGAATGTCTGGCACTACTTTACGGATATGTTCGACTTTCTGACGCTGAGTGTGGTCATCAATGACCAGATCTTCTGCGTCCATGGAGGTAAAGACAAATCATTCACGAAAAATCTCTTCCACTTGGAAAAATGCATTTTGTCACAAAATAGGGCCCAGCAGCTAATACATACACCCCCAGGTCTCTCCCCCTCCATCCACTCGATCGACCAAATCAAAATCATCGACCGCTTCCGCGAAATCCCTCACGAAGGCCCTATGGCCGACCTAGTCTGGTCAGACCCCGACCCCGAGCGCGACGAATTCTCTCTCTCCCCCCGTGGCGCGGGCTACACTTTCGGCGCGCAAGTCGTTAAGAAATTCCTCGAAGTAAACAACATGTCGCACATCCTGCGCGCACATCAACTGTGCCAAGAAGGCTACCAAGTCCTATATGATGACAGGTTGAGTACGGTGTGGAGCGCGCCGAATTACTGTTATAGGTGTGGGAATATGGCGAGTGTGTTGGAGGTTAGCGATACGGGGGAGAGGTTCTTTAACGTTTTCGCTGCTGCGCCCGAGAATGATGTGCATAAGGATGGGCAGCAGCAGGGTGGACAGGAGAAGACTTCTGATGGGAGCCTGCTTCCTGATTACTTCCTATGAACGAAGAACAGCCAAGCACGATTTCTTGAGGGAGAATTTCAGGCGCTGGATTGTAGAAAGACGGGCAGGATAACGCTGCATGCATATGGAAGTAATTACTTCTTCCTTGTAGACCTTTGAAATAGACGGTGTAAAATACACCCAACATATCAGAAATCAAAGAAGAAAGTAAAAGCATATGCACACTAGGAAAATTGCTGTTTCATTTCGTGAATTCATTTCTCATCTCGCAGAAAGAACTGCCTCCGCATGTATAAACGCATTCTTGCCATGGAAACAATATCACCACCAAGTCTTATTGCTCTGCTTTGCTCAAATCAATCATTTGGTCATCAATCATATCATAACTTTTCCATCCATCATTCCAAGTATCTAACGTTCAGCGACAAATCTACCAGTCCTTCGCAATATCGAAAGCCCACTCGAACTCTAGATGGCGCTTCTTATCGTCGTCTATGAAGGTTGATATGGCAGTGTAGTGGCCTCGTGCTAGCATGCCGGTGGGGGCGTCTTCTTCGGCGACTGTGAAGAAAGTACAGGTTAGTATATTAGGGAGGGGGTGGGGAGAGTTAGGGAAGGGAGGCTGAACGTACAACGCTTGGAGTAAACGGGAGTCTTGTCTGTGTTTGGCGCGTAGGAACCCTAAATGTTCTATTAGCCTCCGGCCTTTGCGCTATGATATGTTTCTTAAGTGAAGACTCACAATCATCTCCTGATCTTTGCTGACTCGAATACCCTTCCTCTTCACAATCTGCACATAATGCAGCCCGCTCAGAATCTCATGCTGTACCTTGAACTTGGCGGTCATGCTGAACTTAGCACCCTCCTTGATCTTGAACGGCTTTTCTTTCAGGGTGGCTTCGGAGCCTTTGGTGGACAGGTCGATGGTGACTGGAGGGCGGCCTTCCGAATCCATGCTTAAGGATAGGATGATACAGTGGCGAGGGTCGTTGGGGTCGCTGAGGTCCTTGCCGCCGCCGCCGAGGCCAAGGGATTGCTTGTAGCGTTGCATGGCTTCATCTTCGGCATCTATAAAGGTAAATAGTCAGTATTTTGTGGGTGAATAGCTGGTGTGGGGAGATAGGAAGATCTCGGTGAGGGGTAGCTCTGGTAGGAAAACATAGCTATAGCTACTCAGCTAGGTTTCTATTGTCCGGCAGAGACAAGGAAGTTTCGTGCCGGTGAGCAATCGGGAAGCTGCAGAAGGTCTCGACGAGGATCGGGATGCTTTGCTCTTCTGCTGTTCTGTTGTTCTCAACCTCCCAGCGACCCACACAATGAGGGGTATGGTCTGCCAACCTAGGTAGGAAATGAATCTCGAAAGCTAGAATTACCAGCAAATAATATACGCTGTAAATCCAAAGGGCAAAGATAACAACATGCTATCAAACTGAATAAATGCCAAATTCAAAAAACATACCCATGTTATGATACTCATCCATCGTCTTCTTCTCTCCCACCTTGAACCCCTCCGTCTGCTCTGGCAAGAGCTCTTGGTCGTTGGTTGTGGAAGCCATTTTGATATTTCTTCTGCTTGAATGTGATTGGGCTGGTGGAAGTTGAAGTTGGAGATTTGGGAAAAGTAGCAGGAATTGCGAACCTTCGAACAACCACGACCGATTCGAGAGTTGATTGTGGTGGGGTTGCTGCGCACCCCTGTCACCGCCGTTCTGTAGGTAAGGTCCCGCCGCGAGAGCACGTGAAAGGAGGGATGGATACAATGATACTGAATCGGAAGTGTGAGTGCAGTTGAGGAATCAAAATATGACGGTTTCATGGCATCTACTAGGAATGTTAAATACAAACACACAAACAAAGAAGAGCACATAGAAGTAGCTGGCTATGTCTGGTAATTGGTCACCTGATTCAGGGGTTACCACTCCTGATACAGAATCTGAAGGGAGGATGAAGGGAGGACCCCTGATGTCGCGAAATGCGTATTGATCAGACAGGTAGAGTGTGAATTTGATTCTACCTAAGCAGTCTCGGAACAACTTCATTCAAACATCCAAAGCAAGCCAAGCCATGTCGTGAGCTCCTTCCTCCTTCGTACAACGCATACTCTTCTCTCCAAGTCCGGATTGGGAAAGGACAAACCTTACTACCCTGACCATCGATTAAAGTAGACAGCGCAAAGCGCAACGCAACCTCTAAAATCTCTCCAGCCCAGGCCAGGGATATCCTTCACTTTACTTGCGCGACAATCCTTGAGACATATCCATTATTCGCATCGTCTACCCATACCCATATTCTTATCGCCGGTCTCCATCGATTCGCGATATCAACTTTCGAGCCTCGCGCGCGCTTGTCGCCGTCCAATCGTGTTGACAACGTTCTGCGCTCCGAGAAAATCGTCGTCGGCACAGCTTATTAAGTCACATCTCGACGTGTCACAACAGGCGCATTCGTGATCTGGTGAGTTAGGATAGATGCGCATTGCTTCCATGCGATGCGCCGCATATTCTACACTGTTAGGTCCTGTATCTAACTTGCGAAGGAATCATAGGTGTACATCCTACGCGTCCGTCATATTTCCATCTCGGACAGCATCGTCGAACTTGAACATACTCTTCACTACATAACACATTGTAATAATTCATACAATGGCGCATTCTCGACACCTTCCCGAACGCGTCAACCCTCTTATGACGGAAGAAATACCAGCATGTAAGACGACGCGCCTATCAGCGCAACCGGCTTCATACTAACAATTGTAGATGAGACTCTCGTGGAGCGTCGTCGTCTGGGCCAGACCGATCTCGCTGTGAAGGCTGGCCAGGTCGGAACGTCAAACTCTACGAAGCCAAAGAATCTAGGCACTTTCGACTATGCGCATCTGCGCGCTCCGTTGCCGAAAGGGATTGTGTCTGGGATCTTCAAGCCTTCGCCCGCGTCCTACTTCCTTATGCGACGTAGCAATGACGGATACATAAGCGCCACAGGAATGTTCAAGGCGACTTTCCCTTATGCCGAGGCTTCCGAGGAAGATGATGAGCGCAAATATGTGAAGAGTCTCGAAACAACAAGTACAGACGAGACAGCTGGTAATGTTTGGATTCCTCCGCAAAGTGCGCTCAAGCTCGCCGAAGAATATCGAATTCTACCATGGGTCAAGGCACTGTTGGACAACACACCTATTGAAGTCAATCCTACCAAAGACGGTGCAGCAAAGCCAGTTTCCTCGCCTCCTGCATTCTTCCTCATGCCTCAAGAATCGCTTGCCGCCCCTACGCCAAGCCGTGGCCGACCACGTCGATCCGCATCTCCCAGTAAAATCGCCTCGCCAAAGAAGCATGGTACCGCGTCTACAAGATCACGGAAGACGAAGAAGGAAGATTCAGCTGAGCCAAGTCCTAAATTTGCTAGCAAAAACCTCCAACAGGCTTTGAAGGCTGCCGGTGAGGAGGCTGAAAAGACTATTGAGGTTGAGACGATTACCGAAGAAGTTAAAGAAGAGCTGAAAGTTAAGGAAGAGCCAGTGGTTCGCGTCAATGTTGATACGGATGTAGAGGTCAAGGGCGATGTTGAGACGACTCATACGCATGTCGAAGTTGAGATGCCAGCCGGATTCGCCGACCTACCATTACCTGAAGATACTGAGGCCATGATTGCTAAAGCAAAGGAAATGGTAGATGCCGCAGTGAAGGCCCAAGAAGAAACTGGCCAAGCCGTTGCTTCTAGTAGCGCACCAAAGAAATCCAAGCGAAAGGCTGAGGAGCTTGAGGATGAGGAGAATGATGAAGGGGCTTCGGAACCTGCTCCAGCAGCAAAGAAGGCAAAGGTGGAGACAGAGCTCAAGAAGGAACGCGTCAAGACGAGAGCTTTGATTGGTATTAGTGCTACGTTGGTGGTTGGGTAAGTACAATCTTTGGAAAATCCTAGTCGATCTACGAGGCTAACTCATATAGTGCTGCCGTACAATATGCCTTCACCACACTAATGTGAAGTTCCTTTAAAGAGCTCTTTCTCGTTTATAATCCTCTTTGCTGTTTTGGGGGCGTTGTTAAGTGATGGGCTGCACATACATACTCTCGCTTTGGAAGCCACACTGGATACCCCGTCTGGATTGACCCCATTCAAGTCGCAAGATTAATTGCGTACTTGTAAAAATTCGCCCTTTTCAGGCCCCATTTTTGTAGGATTTTTAATTTCAGAATGCAAGACAACTAAAACAATGCTGGTGCTCAAGGGGTATCGGATCTCATCGCGCCTCCCGATTTTGGATGGGCACTTCATCGTGATTTAAGCGAATTTGGCATCTCGTTCTTTCTCCATACTTCAAACGAGCAGTCCAAACCCTGACATTTTACCATCATTCTCGCATCGATGCTATAAGCGAAAGAGGTGATCACTACATGCTCAGCCTTGAGAGAGCATTCGATGTGAAGTTTCCAGCTAGAAGTGCCACAATGGCGCCATCACGTCCACACAAACCTCTGAGCGAAACGACGAAGGCGATACTGGCCACCAAGATTTCTGCTCGTGCGAGTGACCATGCGCAAACTCCTTCAAGGACTACTCCTGGAGTCCCAAGCAGATGCCGGCGAGGAGAATCTCGGCAACAGCAATTAAGGTTGCAGGTGAATAAGAATGTTGGTCGAGCCAGCAGCAGCTCGGATTCTGAAGGCTCCCTGTCTAAGCCTCTGGTCAACCCTTTCCCGCAGAAATGGGATGCCAATGCTTCGGAGCCGTTCAAGCATGGTGAGCATTCAGGCCAACAGGGACGTGCTGGGCACAACGCTCCTCATGTTGATTATCAGACGGTGGTAAATGCAAGGCCTGCGGAGCAGTCCAAGAACTCTATGTGTGCTGGAAGCTCTAAGCAGCCTCCAAATAGCACACCGGTAGTCAATGGGAATGGATCTCGCCAAGTCGAGGAACGGCGTGACCTCTACGATCTTGACGAGTTCCAAGTTTACCAAGAGACACCACAGGCTCCAAGGAACCCTCTTCAAAAACACACCCACAACAAACAGCATATCTCCATTAGCGACCTTAACCAAGAGCAGGAAGAGCAAGGAGGCGAGACTGATGGTTGCCATGTCTCACCATCCAGCCAAGAGAGTCAAGCATTTACACTGCGCGTTAATCAACTTCGACGAGATTCGAAAACACCTATGAAGACATACTCCCAGAATCGAACAATTGCGGCTACTCAAGGTCGCATTTCAGTAGGTAAGCAAGTAGCTGACGAAGATAGTGATGTCCAACATAATCAGTAAGCCATCTTCCCGTCAATCAATGATCAAGTTGCTCCGGCGACCTTCACTCGTCTAAAACCTAGAGCTGACTAGTACTTTTCTATAGAGAAGTTGAAGAGGAACTCGATCTAATTGACATCGAGATCTTGCATATTGGAGAGGACGATCATGATTTGCTATTTGACAGCCCTCCAAGCCCTCCTACCCCCCCAATTGCATCGTCATCGCTCAGTCCTAAACGCCCCAGAGAAGACACCGAATGCAATCAAGCTGGGAACTGGGAGGAAGAGGACTTCGAGGAGCCAACACCTAAGAAACAGCGACAAGCAAGCCGTCAGATTCCCAATGTGATAGCTAAAAAGGCTGCTCTACAGGATATCAGCCGTCGAAGAGCATCTAAATCATCACGAGAAGCTACAACTGTTCAGAAGAATGCGGCCGGTAAAAATCCGAAGTCGAAGTCCTCAAAGGTGACGCAGAAGGAGACTCCCCGCAGATTGCCAGTCAACGAACTTGTTACTGCGCCAGAAAGATTTGATGGCCCAGACAAAGAAGATGATATTGGTGAGATCTTAGTACACAAAACTATCAGATCTCAACTCATAGTTTGCTTAGTTATACCCTCAGAGTTGCCGGAAGATCCAATCCTGATTTCCTCCGAAGAATCCGAAGCCCCCAAGAGTCGTCGTCGAAAGACTACTACCAAAGTATCTATCAAACTGCGTAGCAAAGGCATTGGTCCGATCAATCTTTCCGAATTTCGTATACCACAAGCTCAAGGAGCTTCTCGGAATACAGAACAGCCTACATATTCAGACGGTTTCGTCGGCAACGAAGCTGAACCCATCGGACGAACGATGCCTATGCGCCAGCAAAATCGTCGCCAGGGCCCTACGCAGAAGCTGACGCTCCACATCGGCGAATTAACTCTTGTAGCGGAGACATATTCTGAAGACGACTTTCGGGAAGAGCAGGCTCGTCAGAAGCCACGACGCAGAGCCAATAAATTGGTCCCCTTCCCCCAAAATGCGAATGGTGCGGATGGAGAAGATCCCATGATGATTGATAGTGTCGAACATCATCATGCCAAACACAATTGTGAGCGTTATCATGACGAAGACGCTTTTCAACAAGCCCAAGAGCAACAAAATACTCATCATAGCCACGAAAGTGGCCTTCATCGCGAACACTTTGGGCAAGAGACACCAGTCGAATCTTCCGGGTGTGACTTCATGGACGGGAAAGATACCAATGAACAAATAGCGATCGCCAAGGCAGAGCAAAAGGGTATTGAGCCTGCTCACGAAAAGCTTGTTCAGTCAGAAGATCAGGACATACCGCCTGGGCATCCTCATGAACCCCAAATTCGACAGTCGCAACTAACGTTGTCCAATTCCCAACAAGAGACCCCTATTGCAGTCAAATATGAAGCAATTGTTCAAACGCCAAGCAATCTCAAATCTTGCCTAAAAAGACAAGAATCAACAATGGGCCGTGTCAGCTTTCTCGAAGAAGCAAGAAGCCCAAAAGTCTCTCGATGTCTCATTCAAAAAGGAAGCTTTAGACTCAACGAGCCAGACAAAGCAAATCTCTCACAAAGCTCAAAGACAGTCTCGACGTCAAGACAATATTTGCAGAAGCTCGAGCAAGAAGATCTAGAGGCGTTGCAGCAACTAGATATGGTCACTACTCCCAGACCATCAAGTCGCACGGGTGATAGCGATGATGCGAGTGAGAGCTATTGTGACGCGGATATTGAAGAAGAAACATCTGATGAAGAGGCGGAACGTACCCCGGGTACTCGTTCTCAAGAGCATGACACCGAGCCGAAAAAAAGGACCATAGATATTGCGGCCATCGAAGAAGAACCGATGCTTGTCTATGTTGAGGTGCGAGAGAAAAACGCCGAGAATGTAGTACCCCTGAAAAACAATGGAAGAATGCGACTTGAGAAATTCACCCCAGAGTTTTTGTTGCCCCAGGAGACTACCAAACCCATTCTTGGGCAAAAGGCTCCACAAATAGTCATTGATGCTTGGAAGCCCGAGCGGATCGCTATACCAGCAGACAACTCACGTTCCCAGGTAACACGCCTACCGCAGATAGCCAGATATGCTCTTGATGCCGAGACACAGAACTCACTTGAAGGCCGGAACAGTATTGTCCCTCAGCATATCGAGGAAGTTAGCTTTGATAGTTCTTGGAAGCCAAGTCAATCAAGTCCAGGCGAGCTGCCGCCTGAAAACATAATAAATCTACCGGAGCTCTGCAGCAATTTGGGCCTGAAGACTGGTGGACAGGTAGATGCGGGGGTTGGTAGTACCACGTCCAGACCAAGCGAGGTTAAAAGAGACGAAAACACCACGCTATTGTCAGAGAATGCCGATGATTCCTACCAACCCACCCAGCCCATCTCCAGTGGGAGACTTATTGAAGTTGCCGAGGATATCGACAAAAGTCCAACTCCCTTGCCCTTTCGTCAAAGAGTATTAAACCAACGTCGCAGCCAGTCACAACGCATGGTGCAACAACGTCGGCAAAGTCAGTCGTTAAGGCTCACTCACTCCAGACAGAGCCCAGAATTAGACGGCAATGCAGCTGGTCATGGCCTCGAATTTCAAGGGTCTATTGAACTAGGCGGCAGTCAGACTCTACTCCGGCACGGAAGCATTGTCAATAACAATGAGAGCCAAGGTTCGACTATACTTGGAGCAACCCGACCCCTCGTGGGTCACCTCGGGGTTTCTTTGGCTCGTAATGCGTCCGAAAAGAGACCAATTAGACTACCCAACATTCAGTCCAGTGCAGAAATTCCCGAAACCCAATTTGATAGCGAACACGAGCATGAAATCGAGTCTGAAGTGCACCAATCTCAATTATCCTATGTTCCCGAAAGCATCAGTTACTTTGCACGAGCTTCGCAACAGCTTCAGGATCCAATTCGCTCCACAAGATTTTCTCGTACGAAGTCCACGCCAGCAAGACCGGCTTTCTTTGGTCCTCCAAACGACAACCCGGGCTTAATGGCTGGTGGAATCTCCATGGACGAGGCCTTTGCATACTCGCCTAACCAAATATCCCCTACCAAAATCTCTCCTCTCAATAGGACTCCTAGACTTCCTACACTCCTAGAAGCAGGGTCTAGTCAACGCAAAAGCTTGAAGACACTTGCGAGGCAGGCTAGTTTAGGAATGGGAACGACCCCCGGTATGGCGAGGAAGAGGATGAAATCTTTGCCGTTCATTCCGCCATTCAAACGGACACCTGTTGGTGGAAATGATGGACGAAAGGCGTCGACGGCGTAGGTGATTGTTGGGGTGGGATTTGAAGAGGATGTGGCATTCCTATACATGGGTATGGGGCGTGTATTGCTACGTTGCTATCTTACGGATACGAGAATTTTGGAAGGATATGACTAGCTTGAGCATATTAGCGAGAGTTTAGAAAGGGGTTTAACGGTTTCACATTTGTTTTTAAGATATTGCAGGAAAGAATTATATGGGACAACGGGTAGATTATTAGCATTTTGCTGGGTTGGGTGGCTGTATGTCAAGGTAGATACCCTTAGCTTTTAACAATCAAAACAAATCATATCACCCGACTGACCCAAGGCCTTTGTAGTCTGTATATTAATTTACAATGTCTAATTTCCTAAACATCCGTTCTCCAACGGGTATCTTGGTGTTATGCCAAACGCCACAAAGTGTCTAACTCGTACACATATACATTCATCATCTACTCCTCAAATCCACAAGATCATCATCATCACTATCCCCACTCCCCAAATCCCCCAAGTGCACAATATCCTCATCCTTCCTCCCCTCTGCCCCTTCCTCCTCCTCCTCCAACTCCAGCGCCTCACCACCCGCAACCAACAAAGCGCCCTCCTCCTCCTCCCTCTCACCAGCCTCCAAATCCCCATCCTTATCCTCCCCCTCGTCCCTGCGCCCAATAATCACATTCCCAGCAACCAGCAACGCAGCGCCCAGGAACCACAGCGGCGGCAGGGACTCGCTGAATATGAGGAAGCCCAGGATGGCGGTTAGCATGAAGTTCGCGGACGTGTTGAGGATCGAGACGCGGGTTGTGGAGGTGCCGCGCGCGAGGGCTTTGGTGAAGAGCGTCCACATTATGGCGTTGAAGAGGAGGTTTAGGAGGAAGAAGAGCTGTGGAGTGGGAAAAGAAGGGTGTGTTAGTTGGTACTCATGAATAGTCCTGGTTGTAGTTTAGGGGAGAGGTGGATGGAGGGGTAGGGGGTTATGGGAAAATTACCCCTCGCACAACAACTTCGACTACTTTCTCGCCATCACCCAGCCCCAGGAGGTTCGCGATAGATGTCGCAAATGAGGTGGTGAGTTCGGTCGTTGTTCTGTTGAGATGGGCAAGTGTCAGCTAAAGTAGAGCCGATCCGATTAAGCCGTGAGACCATTGACATGAAGCCGGTGCGTCCGTCACTACGTACGGGATCTCCCGTTCCTGGTAGAGCTGAGGAGAGTATATAAATAAAATCCGAATCCATATTTCCTTTCTTCCCGTACAACATAACTATGAGATATAATATCAAAGGAAGTGGAAGTAGAGTGAGTAAGTAGGCTTCACATACAACTTAGCAAAAACGCCATTGAAAGCCGCACAAGCACCACTCATAATCGCCAGCGCAATCCACTGCGACTTGCGGCTTAGATCTTTAAACTCCATCTCGTCTTTCTCTACCCCTCTTGTCTCTTTCTCTTGCTCTCCCACTAACTTGGTACGAAGAGTGGTGGAGGGGTTGGAGGGGTTGGAGGGTGGTTGTCGTTGCGATAGAGATGTGCCAAGCAATGGCTCGCGCGGGAACGTGTCCAAGGCTGTGCTTGTGCTTGTGCTTGTGCTTGTGCTTGCGGGAGTGGTAGGGATGTGAGTGTGCTTGTGCTTGGCGGAGGAGCGCGTACGAGGAGGCATGTCGATTCGTAAGGGGCTAGAAATAGATGGGTGTATGGCAGACCGGTGGAGGTCGAAGGAGCGGAATGCGCCGGAAGAGGTATACAGCGCGGAGCGGATTCTGGCGATGAATGCCGTGTTGGTGGTGTGACGCGTGGGCGTGTGAGGTGAACTTCATGTTGTGGTTTACTTCCGTAAACTTGTGGGCCGAGTGTGATGCCAAGATATCGATCGATCGGATGGGAAATGGAAATGGCCGGCCGAAGATTCCGTTTGGATAAAGTTTAGCAACTTCGTGAGGTCTATTTTGGTTTCAATGTTACATTTGCTAGAGGGACATGCTCCGTAAGTCTCGATGGCTAATTTGAATGTGCCTCATCCCTACACTACATTGAGGCTATATGCAAATTAGCTACTCTAGAACAAGATGTGAAACCTAGCTGATCTGCAACAGACAGGAGGTAGTAACCACGTTTGATACTGTAGAAACCTGCGGACAGCCTCTTCTTTGGTTTCAAACAACTATTTCTCAATATGTATCTAGTAATTAAGATATTATACAGTAAGAATAGAAATTCGTAACTTGTAACTTATTTGCTCCAACCAGACGCCCAAAATGCTGACCATAACTCCGTTCTCGATTCGAACTCCTTCATGTACAAATTCCGTTTCCTGCTCATGAACCAACCGTGTGACAACTTCGAACAGAAAATTGTAGACCACTTCTGGCTTCCCATCCATGCATGGTGAAGCACCCAGTCTACCCTCTTCGTCAGTTGTCCAGTGGACCATCGTACCCACATATAACAGTATATCTGACCAAACTGATCTGACTCCCCTCCAATTCCTGGGCCGCGAATTTCTTATCCGGTGTCTCGAACGTTCCCGTAGACAGTGCCGGAGAACCTTCGTAAATTGAAGAAGATGGCCTTCTAGACTGTTCCCAAGGTGACAGTGCCCTAGACGTCGGCGGCGCTGGAGACAGTGGCATAGATGAAGGAGTTCCGGGATATAGCCCAGGAGATCGTGCCCCATAATAAGACGGTGCTCCAAAAGTTTGTGTCCCTGGAGACGGTGGCCAAAATGGTGATCTGGGACCAGGTGCTTCAAAAGTCCGGGCTGCTGGAGACAGTGCCCTTGGGGGTGGTGCTCTAGAGCTAGGGGCCTTAGGAAGTGGCTTTCCTAATATAGACAAGACAGAAAAGCGTGCAGCTTTCTCGTCCGTCAACTCCGGCCAATCCTCCTCCAGAAGCTTCTCCTCGCGTGGTTTTCTGTACCTGCGACGCATGAAGAGGACGATGATGATGGTCAAGATGATGAGCACAAGGGCTGCGATGATTGGAATGACAATCCCGAGGACGTGAGATGGTGAATTTTCTGGTTTAGGTATCGTGGACACACTGGCGGGCTTTGAGGTTTCTGTCGGTACACTAAGGCTTGATGTGTCGATTATTATGGCAGAAGGGAAAGATGTTGCTTCTGCTATTGGGATTGTAGCTAAGGCGGTTTCTTGTGTGTTCGAGGGAATTCCAGCTGGTGTTGCTGCAGCATTTATAGGATCCAGATATGAAGCTTGTCGTCGTCCTAATGACAAAGTCTGAACTGCTGATAAAGTAGATGTGACATGCGTAATAGGCAAGCAAAGTGTGTCGGCATTTGGAGACCCATCTTGGCAAGCTGCTGAAGCTGTTGGAAGCCACAAAACGGAAAAAATTATGAAATACAGTTTATTGTTCATGGCTGTCCAAGGAAAGGTAAGTCATGATGATCGATTCAAAAGAGAGGGAATCGCCAATTTTGATAAAGAACCTGAGGAAGATGTGGAGATTTGTGTCTTGCTGAAGGAACACCGAGGGATGATACTGCAGCACATCTTGAATCCTGGCGATATTAGTCAGATCTGAGACGCGAGACCCATTGGCCCCCCTGCCACCTAAGTGGGTAAATAATCCTTCTGTGGGAATCAGCCGCTCGCTTCCCCATCGAAAACGTGAAAGAAGGATACGACGCACCTAAATACAACGTCACCTTACTTTACAGCGAGGCGTGACTATTATGCTCTAATTCTGGGAAGCGGCGCAAGGCCAGACTAGTTGAAACATATGAAAATGATATAGAATGGCTCAACTAGAGCCAATAACCAATCGGACAGGTATACCTTAGTATCGCTGATATAACCTACTCCCTTGGAGTGAGGCGGTACTCGTAAGATACGAAGGTTCGCTAAGCAGCTCCTACGCCGTTCACACGAGGTCCCCGGATAGGGTAAGAGTGACTGCCTGATATGCATGTCAGAGGGCAACCACCCATTTCACCTACTTGCATAGAGTATGGCGCAAATATTTGCCATTCTCTGTTCTATGTCTTAAAGGACATTTCGTCTCGTACCAGACCATGCCTGAATAAACGCCGCCTCCCTATATCCGATGAACGCCTGCATGTGCTCCCCTGTGACAAAGTATCCGCCCGCTCGGTATCGATCTGGTGGGGTCAACCGTGGAGGTTTCGTGAGATGAGACGCATTTAAAAAGAAAAGTACCCGGTAAATCGCAGCATCGCAAACGAAAGCGTGTAAATGTATGAGCTCATTGTGGGTCTCCAGGTCGTTTGCTGTTGCAGCTCACGATTCTGACCTTCTCCGCCTGGACTGTCTGACTGGAGTTCTCCATCTTAAAGGTGACATCCTTTATCAGAAACGTCCAAACTTCGTCGCAGAAACGGTAGGTGTCGAGATGTCCCTACAGCGGCATCAGCAGCTGCCCCTCACCATAAACCATCCTCAGGGTCAAATACCTTAAAAGATAATCGTGCCTTGACCTTCTCTGCCAACACCTCGGTGATACTCCGATCAAAGTTCGCCAGAATCTTCATCGCCAACTGGGGCTCAATGCGACGCTCGCTGATCAGGTCGTCGAGGGTGTCCGTGAGCGCCATGCCGATGCTAGAGGGGCACAATATTAGTTTCATGATAGATAGCAAGAAAGGCCACATAGTAAAGCAGAGGCACAGTACCTGCTACGGCGATAGAGCTCGTAAAAGGACTGTCCGTTGGCGGCCATGATTATTTTATTTCGCGGAACGGCGTTGTAGAGGGAGAGTTCGCTTTGTTGGCTTGAAATGATTGATACCTTGCGGGACGGGAGCCGCAATGACGCTAGAGCATTAGCGGATTTGTACGGCAGCCCAAATGCCCATTCTGACGAGGAACTTCGAGATGGATTGCAACCTGAATAGCTTCGACAACAACGGTTCACCTCTGGTCTAGTCTTCACGCCCAATTGTGCCAGCAACATGAGTCTCAAATATGGATTCGGTGGTGCTACCACCGCTTTGACAGTGGTTGGAGCTTGTAAGTTGCGGAGAAAACTGGAATGAAGGCCGGAAAGAACTGACAGCTCCTAGATATGCTGTTTACCGGTGATGGAGAAGCCTTCAACGTACGTTGGGAACCTGTAGACTCCCACTAGACCTGCGACTGATAATGGATAGGTCGGACAATTCCTCGAGGATGTATCGCCGTACGCTTGGGCTGATATGGGCATTGGCTTGTGCATAGGATTGTCTGTCGTGGGAGCAGCATGGTAAAGCTTCTAGCTACCCCTCATACATCTGCCATCTCTAACGGCTTTCAAAGGGGTATCTTTATTACGGGTTCCTCGATCATTGGTGGAGGAGTAAGGGCCCCTCGTATTCGAACGAAAAACTTGATCTCGATTATTTTCTGCGAAGTCGTGGCCATCTACGGCGTCATCATGTCGATCGTATTCTCCTCGAAACTCCAGGTTGTAACAGGAGAAGCCCTGTACTCTGGACAAAACTATTATACTGGATACGCTCTATTCTGGGCTGGGTTGACTGTGGGCTTGTGTAATTTGATCTGTGGTGTGTCTGTTGGAATCAACGGTAGTGGTGCTGCTTTGGCAGATGCTGCTGATCCGAGTTTGTTAGTACATTGTTTCATTGCCACAGAACTACCACTAATAAAAATGCTACAGGTTCGTCAAGATCCTGGTTATCGAAATCTTCAGCTCCGTTCTCGGGCTTTTTGGATTGATCATCGGTTTACTAGTCTCATCAAAGGCAGACGAATTCAGCGATGGAAGCAGATAGGAGATATATTACGAATTAAGGGGAACAAACTGGAGAATGGTGCACTTGTGTATACCAGCGAAGCGATGAGAGAGGGGGGCGTTCAGGTAGACATGCGGATAGCCCGTATTGATACGAGGATTGCATCACTATGCGGAGTAGGTGCTAGCTTGTATGTATCATATGTTTTCTCTACAAAATGCAAGACGAATATTTACATTGTTTTGTAAATACAATGGTACTTTTGAGTTTCCATGACGAGGGTTGAGTCTTCCTGAAGAGAAACGGAAGGAACCAGGGGCTGCTGTCACCTCCAGCATTCACTTTATCAGCAAAGGAAGTCGCCTTTCAGTGCAACTTGCCGCCATTATCTTTCAAAACCAAGATTGCCTTTCTCTCAGCAACCTCTTATCGCAACTTTCATCTGATATCAACCACCGTCGCGTACAGGAATAATAACAATGTCTCCTCACCACCAATGAGAGAATACATGTCGACAGATGACCTTCCTCTAATGTACCTCCAAGCTGTCCCCTATATCGCAGGAAAAGTCTACGGATCTTCGTCCTGCATACCTTCTCCATCCACAAGCAATCTGCTATTACAGCCACCCTCTCACCACCACCACCATCACCATCACCATGACGAGTCAAGGAACCGGGGACGAGAGCTCGGCTTATCTCGTCAATATGCAGAAAAAGGCGGCCACAAAGACGACTGTGTTACAGGAATTCCTGACGCAGCCAACTGACAAAGGTTGCTCGCTCCCTTACTACTTGGCAGTTCATAAGCTGACGAATTGAGATCAACTCTGCAAAAAGTATGCTTTGTATCAGAGAAGAGAGTTCCTCTTGGAAGAAGAGGTGGAGCGCTTGCAAACAGTCTTCAATCACTTTGCCGTTGAAGATCGAGGAAGCAAACGTATGCAAGCTCCTTATCCCAACTTCCGTGAGACGTTATTGGCACTTCGCGACTTCAGCTTTGTTAGATGTCGAAAATCACCCCGGCGTTATAGAATATACCTCGTTCAACGGCGTGCAGTAGGAGTCGTAATGACACGCCTCGTTACAATTTCAGAATCTGGTTGTACCAGCGTAGATTTGCTGACTTGTGAATTAGTTTGGACTGAATACAGTTTCACTAGCTTTCTAGCTTTCGTCCTTCCCATAACGACCACATGGCGATTAGATGCAACCCCTATGTTGTACAGGCTATTCCGCCAGCTTGGGTCATACCCTTATCACACACAGCCTACAAGCGATACCCTCACTTTCGACCAGATGGTCATGGCAATTCAGATATTGCATCGTCGTCTCGCCTCCTTCAAGGCCTGCCACGACAAAGGTGAGAGGGTGATAAAAAGGGCCACACCTATGAAAGACATGGAATTTTGCAGATTACTGTTCCAAAGTCTCACTGCGTCTGGAACAATCAAATCTGACCCAGACCCTCGGTTGTTTCCAGATGACGACGAGGACCTTCTTGATGTCCGCAGAACGTTGTGCATGTTCAGCGAACGAGGTATAATCAACCCTGATTCTCGTGGTGAAATGATTTACGGTGCTGGCGTACCCGAAATCTATCATTTCCCCTCTTCATTGTCGAATGATTTGAGCGGGAGACTATTGGTGAGTGAGCTTACCGTAGTATTTCGTTTGCTAGTTGCAAATAGGCCGGGGAATCCTGTGGACCATGATGTCGATGCAGAAGCAGACAGTATTGTGATGTATTTCGTGGAGAGTGAGTTTCAGAAACAGGAAAGTCTGTCGGATGGGAAAATCGGATGGAACACTTTCTCGCACGTATTGGCCGGAAAGAATTATTTACTGGTGGGTTACAAACTTTCTTTCTGTCTTTCGCGAGACAGAATCTAACCTTTGTACAGACGCATTACTTCCCGGCGTTTAAGCGGATTTTTAGCCCTTGTCTAAAAAAGGACTGTAAGGCAAATTCCCATTTAAAATCTTATAATTCGGTGTGAACTCTGGACCTGAGAGCTATGTCAGGAGCTAGAGAAACGTATTCCGCAATATGTGGAATCCCGGCTCCTGAGACAGCTCCCAAGATCTTTGCCTCCTTACTCTGATTCAGTTTACCATACTAATTCGTCAGCAGGGGTGATTACAATGAAGTGGCTTGATTCGCTGCCATTTAAAAGGGAAAGGTCCCCCTGACCGGGTTGAAGTCGTACGTGTTCAAGCAAGCAATTTGCGGAAGCCGGTGTTATGCTGCAGATCCCACGCGAAATATCTCGGAAGTCATGTTTCCTTGATGCTTCAGTAGACGATTCCGTAGATTCATTATTCAGTTTTCAGGCATGGCCGAATCGCTCATGATCTGCCGGTGACGAGAACGACATTCTTGCTTTGATACATGTTCCCGGTATATGTTCTTCTCTGTGACAGAGCCACCTCGGTGGCATGGCTGAAATCCATTATTTCCTGCAACAAGTCGGTCTTGCTTTTCCTTGAAACAATCCATTGTTTACACTATTCGTCGTCTTACAAATCTCCTTTCCTAAGCTCAAACTCACTCTTCCAACCCTGCAGCCGCAAGGAAAGCTTGGACATCAGGCCTCCACGAGTATATAGCTGGCTCCTCATTGCAGCCACACCTCAACTCCACATCGTTCCTGCTACTCTTCTTACAATGCAGTCACACATCACGAATCTCCCACAATATGCCTGTCTACGTCTTTGTTAGCTATATACGTTGGCTACTTTTTATTAGTTCGCCCACCGCAGAACGGTAGAAACTCATTTCCATCTGCATGAAGGCCAAGATTGAATGAATGAACGGGATGGAAGTTTGATAGCAAATCTGGATTTAACAGCCATTTCCCCCACTCCTTTGTCAATTGTTGAGGACCGAAGTTCGCGAAAGGTAGCAGTGAGTACGAGGAGAGATGCTCAGGATTTGAGTGAAGAAAGTAGCATATCGAGGGTTGCTTTCCGTATCCCGCCTCCAACTCCAAGCCCCCCTAGACAACCTTGTATTTTACTGCATGCTTTTTTCCTGGTCATAGTCATGAGCTTTTGAAAGGTTTGAAATACATACGTGATCTGATGCTCGGCTAGTTGGTCTGGGTATTATATTTGAGAGTATAGTTAGTAGTGGAGTAGGCGCCATTTCCGAGTTTTGTTACGTTAATTGAAATTATTTACCGAGAGTTTGTTAATATCACTTCTCATTCTGCACCTATAGATCTTGCAACTGAAGTGATCTTACTACTAAGGCCTGGAATCGGATTGCTTGGAACCTAGGAGGAAGAGAATGCATACTACGAGGAATATCTAGCGAACTAGAGCAAAGAGTTAACTGACTATGCTTGTCCTCCAGTAGAGGAGGTATTCTAGCAGACGCCATGGGACTTGGCAAGACCATATTCTATTTCGATGCTGGAGCGAGTGATTTGAATGAATGAATGGAAAACATAACAGCAATCTTGAACTTAATAGCATATGTATTCGCTACAATTCACTACAATCTACTACCTACACCTTACTTCGCTTTATATCCAAATTACATATTAAAGGCCAAAAGAAACCAAGTGGAAATGCCCTCACATCTTTATTGGACCGCTATACGGATTAGCAAGGTGTCGAACTTCGCCCTCGTGCTGGGCCTTGGACGGGCAGATGTGCCACCGCATCCGCCAAAGACAACCCTTGATGTTTCAAATCTCACGTCCTATTATTCGCGGTATATAAATACTAGATGCGAATGGTTAGAAGGCCTTGTGACTTCTTAAGGTGAAAGTGACTCGCCTATCATCATACGATTTGCATTTTCCTTACTATTGCTAATCATATTATCCTCTTAAAACTTATTAATACCAACAATATTGAAAAGAAACCATCAACTCCAAGCACTATGGCGCAACCCAGACAGATTTCCAGAGGATGCAACACATCTCTCAAGCTGGTGAACCATTCCCATCTCTTCTAAGAGTGTGTCGTCGACTGCTTCGCTATCTGGGGTAAGCCTCATAGAAGCCCACGTACATACTTCATTCACTGCACCAAATAATTTGCTGTCAAGATCAGGATCATCCAGCCATTCATTCATTCATTCATTCATTCATTTAAACAGCCAAAAAAATTTTTTTTTTTGAAATAACAAATCCCATAAAGTAAAAACCGGCGTTTTGAAGATCCGGTATCAAAGAGGCTCGGAAATCAAGCCCTCGAAGTTTCTCGCATGATGCTAGAATTAGGGATTCTCCAACACTCATATTAAGCTGTAGATATACCAGGCCAATCTGTAAATAACGTTTAGTAATAGTCGCCGAAAACCAATCAAAATCGGAAGAGGGGGAGGGGGCTTACAAAAAACAGTTCTCTCATCATTCTTCCTCGACACCAAAACCTCATCCCCAACACTTAGCACTCTCCCCTCCGATTCCCTGCTAGCAAAGCCATACCTCCCAAAGACCGGGCTGTACTTAGTACCCGGATCAACCCTACGATCCTTCTGCAGCAGCTTTATGATCTCGCCGTCCTTGCCCTTTCCAGCTTCGCCAGTATTGTAATCCACGTTCAGGGAGTTGCATCGCGCACAATTTCCTGTCAGAATAATCTTAGAATCATCCCCAAAAGACAACTCGCCCCAGAAATCCTCTTCAAAAGCTTTGCTCGAGCCTTTAACCACGATGTTGGCTCTGAACTTCGTGTGGTCCATCTCCATGTCCTCTGGTAAGCGCGTCGAGACGTCGGCAACTGATTTCTCGTTGATGACCAAATATGGAGCGCAGTCGTTGAACGCAATAATTCCATCATCATCGTCATCAACCAGAGACCTAAGCACTGGTATCCGACTTACGGTTTCCACAACTATGTTCTTCTTCTTCCGGCCTTGATTTGCTGGCTGACCGGGCAGGTTTCCGAGGACGGGGCGTGGATTTCCTCCCCAGTATGCCAAGACGACTTTGAAGCCGAATCTGTCCGAGAACCACTTGCTGCATTCTGTGCCCAAATCATAAGCCGTGGTATGGCTGCCGTGCATATTAATAGGCAACCTTTCCAGCGATTCCAGGTTTGAAGGCTCGAGTGGAACTTCAAGGGTCTCGCCGGTGGGATCAGCCGTTCCAGGACTTCGATAGCTGACAATGAGCGTCTCGCCTCTGATTTCCGTATGGAAGAGACTCATGTTTGGGAAGGCAGGCACGTGCATATTTTGAAGCTTGCGAGGGGTTTCCTCGAGGTCTTTTAGGAGCATGAATCTTCGATCCAAATAAAATCCTTCCCTGGTCAACACCGCCTGAGAAACAGGGCATCCTCTGATGGATTTAATAGGATATATCCAGAGCTATCAAAAATTAGATTATGAAAACAGGTTGTTTGGAATACACTCACTTTGCTAATTTGCATTGTATTCGACGGAGCCACCTTAAGCTTTGAAATAACAGTCAATATAGCTTCCTTTCGTACATCACCAGGTCACCCACCTTGCTTGTCTCTACATTCTTAGGTGCTATAGTTTGGTTCTCGATAGCCTTGAATGCTTGCTTCATAACCTTGGCCCGCTGGGCCTTGCTTGAAGAAGACTGGAGTATAGGACTGGCGAAGAATAGGTATGAAATGATAGATGAGGAGACGGCGATAAGACTCCATGTCGCAGGTGAGCTCTGAAAAAAGGCATATAAGGCATATAACGGCATTGAAGCTCCCAGGGTGGTTTCCGTGTTGCTGGATGTATTCATGGTTCAATGAGTATCTCACGTGCAGTGCAATGCAGTGTTAAAACCGGTTATTAAGGGTAGCTCGGGAAACGGGCAAGCTGGAAAGCCTCTCCCGTCGATAATTTGAATGCAAGTATCAGTACGTTATGTAGTGGGGGTATGCTCGTGAATTCAATGGCATGTATATATATATATATATGTGTGTGCTCGAAAATATTGTGTTCTGAGGAAGAACAGTGAGTGAGTCACGGAAAACCGGGCGGGGATAACATAACCCCCCATCTTCGGCTAGATGTAGAATGTCCTAAAGAGGAAATAGTTCCCTACCTTACCTACCTTAGGTTTTATCAGAAACGCAATATTTACATTTACACTATTAGTAATAATTTCTATACCATTATAGCTAATCAGACCTATATTAAATTCTATGAATAATAAGTCCTAAATTACGTTCAGGTTTCGTAAAGTGACGTTTAGCTAGTTATTATAAGTTAAGAATTATCAGTATAGTAACCAGTCTATAATCAACATTCAAGAGGCATAATATAGATAACTAATTTAATTCTCTACTCTAGATAGTAGTTTCCAGGTAAACATAGTAACTATCTAGAAATGATAGACCTAGGAATAGTCCTAAGCAGCATACTAGTACTTGAAGGCCCACGCATGTATCTATCAGACGACATATCCATAATAGCGCAATCGTAACCCGATGGTAAAGCCATGTACCACACAGGTCAACAGTACGTGGAGAAATGATCATGCGCTTCATCCAGCCGCCAGTTCTTTCGCCAGTTGAATCCTTGCAATAGCTAATCTCTTCTATGAGTTCTGCCACCTGGGAAATCTGCTGCACGATCTCAGCTAAAGTATCCTTTTCCACGATAATTGGGGTTCAAGGTTGTAAAAGTTTGAAAGAAGACGCGTTGGCGGAGATATGAAGATATATATACGGTAAACGAGGGTCTGGTTTTCTCACCTAGGAAATGTGAATCCCAACTTCGCCGCAAAGAGGGCGCTTAAGGCCAACGATTTGTCATTCATTCACAGACAGTATGGCTGCATGGCAATAAAGATTGATGACTGAATATTGAATTCCCTCCAGATCATGCTGATGAATGGCGTCTTTGCCTCGTCGGGGTTGAAGACTGATATTTTGCGTTAAGTATTTTCGAAAAGACCTCTAGCAGAATCCACTTTCCTGTGGAGATGAATATCACACCTTTTTCGATCAATGACGCACTAGTATAAGAGCCTGAACATGGCTTCCATACATTATCAAAAGGCTCAAAGTAGCTTTCAGCTTGTGACTCGGTGTTGGCATTTGGTCTAGGCAGACTTAGCTAGTAGCTTTGAAACCATATCTCCCTCCAGCTGCGTCAAAAATGATCTCAAATGCTCTAAAGAAATGCCTTCCGGTATTGACAAAGGGCTTCTTAGTTGAAGACCTAGTCACAATCACCTGTGGTGGTGTCACCCCTGTCTCTACTGAATCCATATCCCCGACTTTGAAACTGTACCCCGCGGGATTTCTACCAGGTTGCCCATACTGCACTTCGACTACCTGCCCAGCGTCAAGGACACTGACATTCGCGCCAGTGCTCCGACTTTGCTCAATGTGTGTTTCAACCGGCATCCAAGGTGGTACGGTCAAATACATTTGGTCAATCCCAGTATCCATCAGCGCAGTCGTGTTGTCACTCACAAATGGCACCGTTCCAACACGGATAGACGCTGGAACTGGTGCCCAGTCTCGTGGGTCCTCGGTCACACCTTCGTCCAAGTCAATGAATCGGAAGCCGGCAGTATTATTTGCTGTGAGGCCTAGGGTGATTCCTTCCTTGGAGATCTTGTACCCGGTACGAAAATGACTGGTTGCATTGATGGGAGTACCACGAATGCTGACAACGTTAAGAAATGGGTTTTTGTCCGGGTTGCCTTGCAGCTGCCCATCGAATTGGCGACCGAACCCGACGCCGAGGAGAGAGATCTTTGTAGGCATGTCGATAGTCTCCGTTGGCGAGGTGCAATTGGGGCCATCCCTGGTGGAGTTGTAGCCAGAACAGACGTACCGTTTAGATACAACTAGAATGGGAACAGAGGTTGCTACTTCCGCTTGAAGGAATACAATATCGCTTGGAATCCACCTCCCAACGTAGAGTTTTTTGCTGCTTGATAAGTATTCGAAGCCGACAGGATGTTTTTCGGCGAGCTCTGGGGTCCAGTTGGGGAATTCAGCAGCCGAAACGATCAAACCACAAGTTCCTGTGTCGATAACTGGATTGTAGGTTTGTGTATCCACCTGGAATGTCACACGTGGACCATCAGTGAAAGGGGCAACTTCAAGATCGGGATGTCAGCTCCTCTTCAAAATGTAGTTGTGGAAATCCAGGCAGCAAACTCCACATATAGATTGAAACATAGGTCTGAACTCACGATCAGGGTCAAACCCCCAAGGAAGCTCTTAGAAAGGTACATACCCGCTGATGGGTGGTTCCAGAATGGAATGAGGACATCCAACGTGTACTGAGAGTAATCGATCGTACTTTGTGCAAACATGTTGATAGCTAACAAGCTAGGAACAGTAAACTGTTGCAGAAATGAGAACATTCTCGATATCGAATATTGAAGAGAAGTTGAAGTAGTTGAAGGGTTTTCAGAAGTTGTTTGCTGGCTCGGCTAGGTAACTTACATGGTTTCTAACACGTGGCGGGTCGCTTTCTGATTGGAGCTGTGTCAAACTCAAAATGTTGTCCAGATGCCAAACGGGTAGTCCGGGCGAGAAGAAAAAGAGCTTATTGAACTCGCAGAAGAGAGAATTAAAAGTTGTTAATTAAAGGTTCTGTCAGGAACTCTCCGGTTACAAGCCTGGCTCAAACAAAATCCGAAGTATTGCGAGTTACTCCGAGTACAATCTTGTCTCAACATACCGCCCCTTCATAAAATTCCCCATGCGCTGACTAGGACATTCTGCTTTAATACTATACTAATTCCATATACAATCTCAAAATGATATCCCCCGTGTACCGATGACTTGACTGTACATCTTGAATGACAACATAATGGCATGTTTGTTGTTTGTAGTACTGTAAGATCTCGTGTATCCTTACAGCGACTCTCACCGACTCTCAGTCCTTCCTCTTCGTGAAAACCAATTCCATAGGTGCCAGCTCCATCGTGAATGTATCCTTCGATTCTTCCATCAACGCGCGTCCATCTTCACCCGGGGCAAATTTGGTATCAAATTCCGTTACTATACGTGCCACTACACTTCGAAGTTCCATGAGCGCCAAGTTCTTCCCAACACAACCGTACGGCCCTAGACACGAAGTTTAGTCTTATACTTACTACTGAATGATAACAGCAGGGAACTTACCAGAGGAGAAAGGTACAAACACGGACTTGTTAAGAATCAACTCTGAGTTTTCCTCCCATCGCTCGGGTAGAAATTCTTCGGCATTTTTGTAGCATGATTCAACTGCTAAGCGTCAATATTGATGAAGCCAAAATTGAGTTGCGGGCGAGGCTTACGTCTGCCCATACTCCAGAATGGAGTTGAGATCGTAATATTTCCCGGGATATATGTTGAGCCGATTGTAATACCTTCTGGTGGGGTGTAGCGCTTTAGTCCGCTGGGGACTGGAGGATGCAACCGTAGTGTCTCGTTGATTACGCCGTTAAGATAGGGGGAATCTTGGAGATCCTTGAATTCGGACTCAGATCCAGGCTGGTAGAATGCTTCGAGCTCTTTTCGAAGCGTGGAGTACACTTTTGGTGAGCGTACGAGATGATAGAAGATATGAGTGAGAGTCGTAGCAGTGGTATCACTTCCGGCTACAACGATGAGTGCACTGTCACCCCAGAGCCACCTCGGATCTTTATGAATTGGGTCATTACTCTGTTCCTCGGCTTCGATCAACCAGCTGAATAGGTCTCGTGTTTCAGGAATGTTCTGCATATCGAAGTCAGACAAACAAGGTAAGGTGCGCTGTAGAAACATACCTCTTTCCGGAAAGCAACTCTATTTTTATTGTATTGAATGAAATCTTTGACTCCGCCGCCGAGGCCTGGTATGTCTAGAAGAACTGGCATCACCCAAGCTACCGGCGTGAGAACCCCAATTGGTTTCATTCCTTCGTGCAAGATCTTAATTGCAGAATGCTTGAAATAGTTAATTAGGCAGTTTCGAAGAAGTTAGTTGTCTTCCTACCTTTTCGCCACTCTTCATCATATCAAAAGACTGGCCAAAAGCCATGTCACCCATGATATCAAAGGAATAGAAATTGAACCAGAGGCTTGCATTAAGAGATTGCCCCGTCTTCGAACCCAAAACCGATATGAGTTCATTAGTGAAGGTCTTTACACGACTTTCGTACTCCCGGAGAGCTAGCAGTGCCTCGTCAGTACTTGATATCGTCTTCTCGATAGATTCGAATACCATCTCACCCTTCATAGTGAAAGCGCGATCCCATATCTTCCTTCGCTTGTCATGCAGAACTCTTGAGCGAGTCAACTGCAGTGAAACAGTTGGGTAGCTTGTAGTGCATTTGTTAGCTTTCGCGTTATTGACAGAGTAAATTGGAAAAATCAAAGTGCTATTCCGAGAGTATTAACTGAAATCGAGAAAACAACGCATATTAAAGTTGAACGAATGCCACTTAAATGAATAGATATTCTTACCTGACACAGTCATACCATGGGGACTTCGAGCACTTTGAGCCAGTTCCTGAGAGTATTGTCACTGCATCTGGGGATATGGTAGTTAGTTCATTCGGCCCAATGCTGAACCCCACATGTTGTCAGTCATTGACATGCTTGCAATAAGATGATACTTACCGCACAAATTCTCCATATTTCTTGTGCAATCTGTCCGCTTCAATATGATTTCTCGATTCTTTAACGATTCGGAAAAAGTGAGAAAAATTATTGAACTTTGCACTGAAAGGCCCAGGGAAGTTGCGAAGTGGGTGGAAGAAAGCACGGTAGGTCAAGATACTAAGAGTCAAGGTGCTGAGAAAGGATACAGATGCGACTGCTGTGGTTTGGCTGGCTGCCATATAGGAATGGTTGCCATCAAGTCTGATGACTGAAACAAATAAGAAGGTTGTGACTGCAAAGAAAGAGAGTATAATTCGGGTTCCGTCCATGTGATGCTCTCCGTGGATGAAATAGCCCCAGTGAGACGCAACACCCAGCACCGCGCCGACGAGGGCTACAGCTTGCAAAGTAGCAGCGGCCATGATTCGAGTACAAGTTCGTAGTCGTAATCTAGTATTAAAAGCAGTTTTTCAAAAAGTGAATGATTAAGACGTAGAAGTCAACTTTGATGTTTTCTCTTATGGACTGGAATGTTCCCCTCACTTTTCATATTTTCTATGTAACCCTGTACGTACAAACGGCAATGTAACTCGTCGGGAACTTGTTTGGGAAGTGCCTTTACCCCGCAATGCGGTTCCGATACACCTGGAATCAGACGAGTATACGTAGAGAATGCGGAGAGAATGCGGAGTATTGAAATTGTTCCGAGAGCCGCGGTCCATATAAGCCTGTTAGAAGTCATATAATCTTTGGATTGCAGATTTGGCCTAGACTTCAAAATTTTGGAGCGGGGGGATTTCCCTCCAGGATCCCCTTCTCAGGCTTCCTACTAAGATTTATACTACATTATGAATGAATATACTGCGGTTTACTTACTTATGCTAGCGCGTATAAAAGTTATCTTATATTAGCAATATACGTTACTCAGTATACTATACTATTCTCTACACTGGTCCGACTCCTAGATTTTCGACACTAAATGAACATGACAACAGAACTGAGACTTGTTCAACAGCAAAAAAGATATAATGCTCCCAAATCTATGAGTGGCATTTCTAAAATGTTATACCCGAAAAGGAATAAATTCGAAAGAGAGGACGAAGGAGGCCGTGCTACATGTGGGCCGGTGTCTGAGCTGGCGATCATGAAAATCTATACTCCCGCGCCACTTAGAGAACTTGGATTTCACAATTACAGGGCTCCTAAAAGGTCTGAACTCACTATATTCTATGGTTTTAAAGATATATACTAGGGCAAAGAGCCAGGGATATCTATAGCATTCTAGCCATCTACGGCTAAGTAGTTGGTTTATAGAAGGGCTGTTAGACTTAAGCGGGAAAAAGGCGAGTACCCAGATGCCCATCTCACTCGAGGCAGATACCTATAACATGCAATCGATATTTGAACCGAGCCAAATCAGAACAGAGAGAAAATCAAAAGACATCGATTTAAGAATGTGCAATACAGTGCCATACCAGGCTTACTTTGACTATAGTAGGGTAAGCACCCATCCACTTTCAATTGGAGATCCTAATTGATTGATTCACGTCGGACCTACTTCGTACCAATACAATCTCCACGTATGTACAGCATTATTGGGCCTAACTCCTCTACTCCCTCGTGTCATGCATGTGCAATGCAGGAACAGGGCATGAGAGCTTATTGCGGGGAAGGTTTGACGGTAGGCTTTCCCCGATCATCTGCTGACTAACCAATCATCGTGAAATGTTATATTGTACAACTTCATCGCGGACTTGTGAAGTTGTGATTGTAAGTTGTAACATATACCTATGTAGGTACTAGAAGTTGGGTACCGGCGCTTTAATGTGGCACAAAGGCTAGAATACCTTAGTTTCCAACCAAGAAGGCGCCAAGACAAAGGGTTACTGAAAGTAGATGGTGATGGGTTTATGTTACATTTGAATGGTACAAAGTCGAGATTCCGACCATAATTTACATCCGGCTCGTAACTATTACTACATATTTTAACCTTCCGTCTCAGAAAGCCCTCCAGCCTTCACCCACAGCGGAATCACAACCCCAGGAGCATCTGGATTCTCAGCAGCTCTCTCTGCAACCATCGGATCTACAACCATCAAACATGCACGAACAGCCTCTGCTACGACACCTCCAAGTTGGACAGGTGGCTTTTCATTCTGCATCTCCGCTGTCCAAGTCCGAAGGACGTTCATACAAGCTTTCTTGTTCTTGGCCTGAGCGACTCTCGAGAACATAAAAGCGTACATGACTGAGGTCCGAGCCTTCCTTTGTCGAGGGGCCATGCTCCATACTTCCCAGAACTCACGCCAGTTTCGTTGTCGCGAATATATATCCATCAGTCTTACCTGTGATTCGTTTTTATAACAGGGTCTGTCGATTGCCATCATAAGCTTGTGAAGGCGATATTGGATGGGGGACATTGGGTAGCTGGGGAGGTCAAAGGTTTCTATGGGGTCGGAATATATTTGCTGTGAAGGTACGTCGAGATTTAGCCCTGGAGAGACAAGAGTTTGTAACTCTAATAGAATGGCTTCGTCGAGAATCGTGAAACCTTGACTATGCATAGTGTTGAGCATATCCATGACCCCTTCGATAGCTTTTTGGGGAGGTCCGTGGTATTGATGATCGGCTGCAGTTGCTTGGAGCACACCGCGGATAAGATGCATGTACGTTTTCTCGGAGATTTTAGCCCCACAGATTTTGAATTCATCAAAGAGTTCGAGAAGTCCAGATCTCGAATACCCTGGATGCCCTAGAGCTCGGGCAAAACAGTGGAGCCAAACCCTAGCTTGTACTTCTGATGGAGTTGGATATCCAGATAATGATTGATAGAAGCAGGTCAAGAAAGGCGTCGATGAATAGTCAGAGGATCCAGTACCAAGGTACTCGAAAGCCTGTTCTTTCTGAACACTTTGAATTTTTGAAAGAAGTTGCTCCAACATGAACGGCCTCCACTGGCCATTCTGGAGCTCTGGGATGTTGGAGCTATTCTGTATAGCAGCCAATGCTTTTTCAAACTGTCCTTCAGAAATGAAATGAATTATGAACTCGCGGAGCATTGTTGGATCCACTTCTTGGAGAGCCTCTTGCTCTGATGGTCGAAAAGCAGTAGTCGTGAAGTCTCGCCTGTATTTCGCAACTGATGTCGGTAACGGCCTCGCAAAAGTGTGAAATCCTCTTGCGCCGCTGAGAGACGCTCTATTGTCGGAGGTCGGTGCTGATCCTGTGGGCTCTAGAAGACTTTGTTGACTGGTTGTCGATTCAACGGCAGAATCCTCATCACCTTCCAATTGTGCCTGGGTGGACCTGTTGAGAATGCCTCCCCAAAGCCTCTCCAACTCAATTTCTTGCCGCTTCTCCTCTGTGAGCATTTGTACAACTACCCTGACACCATCTGTTTTTCGTCCAAATCCAACGAAGTCCTGTGGCTCAGGAACGTCATCTGCTTCACCCTCTGCGCCCTCAACTACGCCCACATCCACACAGACCCAGCCTGTCCGTATTCCATCATCTTCGGTCCCATCAGTAGTGCCCATAAGCTTTGCCCTCTTTGCCTTCCGTCTCAATTTCAATTTCATCTCATTCCTTCCCAAAAGCCCATCCGCACTGGGACGCAATTTGTACGTGCTTCTTAACCATCTGCATAATCGATCCGCAGAGACGTGCAGATGTCTCTCACTGCGGGCAGTGCCAATGATCATGAACAAATTCGCTCCTAGTGCTGGCGGAGGATCGAGTTTTCGGAGGTCGAGGAGGGTGAGATCATCCATACCAAAGTCGATTGATACTTTCTGAAGTAAGGGCTGTAATATAGGGGGAGGAGATTCTGGTAACTCGGGTATACGCTGTCGTTCTGATAATGGTTTCACCTCGCTCTGGGGCGACTGGACTTGGAGGTACCATGGCACCGCTGAGACCTCTGTAGTCTCTCCTGGCTCTTCCTGAGCTTCTAATTCCTCTAATTCCTCTATTTCCTCAATCTCCTCCGCGACCGGTTCTTGTTCGTTGTTTTCAAGTTCATCTTGTTGCCGGTTCTCCAGACTCGAGTAGAAAAGACTTTGTTTCGCTGCAAGACGCAATGGTAATCGTGTGGAGATATATGGAACTCGAAGGGAGGGTCCGGCCACTGAAGTAAAGCCTCTCAATAGAAGTAACCTACAGCTAGCACATCCAGAAGAACGTAAAACCCTACCGACGACCATTATGGAGGGATGGCAAGCTCTTTCTCGTTGCCAAATTCAGATTCAGGTTCATGAATATTTATCTATACGGTGGCCGAGACGACCAGACGGGACCTTTGGGCGCTCCAGCATCCACCCACTACTCACAGCTCCCGTTTCACGTTGTATTTTCATGCGCTGACGTACCTAGACTACAGTAGCACCTCTACTCAGTCAATCGACGGACGCCCCGCTGAATCTCTCAACCCTCAACTCCCCCCCCACCCTCCCACCCCCCTTGCCTATACCGCGGCACGTACTCTACATTGCTTATTGCTGTACGAAGGTCAATCTTTGAATACTATCACAAAACTCACCGCCTGGGGTGTCGCCACGGCGCCGTCAGTGTCAGTCAACGCAAGCATAGGCAACCAGCCGAGCGAGATTGCAACACCAGGCTCTGCACTCCAACAAACCCAAGATGCCCAGTCAGCCCTTCAAGGTCAAGGCGGTTTACGAATACACTTCCCCACACGAAGATGATCTCCATTTTCCCAATGGAACCATAATTACAGTCACGGATGAAGAAGACGACGATTGGTATTCTGGGGAATACGTGGATGCTTCAGGAGTGAAGCAGGAGGGGATCTTCCCCAGGAACTTCGTTGAGAAATACGAACCTACAGCTCCTCCTAGGCCAACCCGTCAAAGCCGACCCAAAAAAGAGGCAGAGCCTGCTCCCGAGCCAGCCCCCGAGCCAGCACAACCATCCGAACCAACACACGTAGAGGAGCAAGAACCCGAGCCAGTACAAGAAGCGCCTGTTGCAAGAGACCCCCCTCCACCGGTTCCAAAGCCTGAAGTAGCAAGCTCCCCTCGAGTTGCAGAGCCGGTGCCCCCACCATCAGCGCTTAAAGCTGTACCATCTTCGAAGCCGCCGGTTTCCGACAAGCCAAGCGGGGGCTCATTTCGAGATCGTATTGCGGCTTTCAATAAGGCAGCTCCTCCCCCAGCGCCATTCAAACCTGGCAGTTTGGGTTCCGGAAGTTCCAGTAACTTCATCAAGAAGCCTTTCGTTGCTCCACCCCCGAGCAAGAATTCCTACGTTCCTCCGCCTCGTGAGCTCGCGCCACAGAAAACATATAGGCGTGATGAGGACCCTGAGATTGCAGCAAAGGAGTCCGAAAATCTAGACCAAGCGGAACGAGCGGGATTGGCACCTGCAACTAATGAAGCTAACACTGAAGAGCAACCAAAGCCGACGAGCTTGAAGGAGAGAATCGCACTTTTGCAGAAACAGCAAATGGAACAGGCGTCTCGCCATGCCGATGCGGCTCAGAAGAAGGAAAAGCCCAAACGTCCTGTCAAGAAACGAACTGAGTCTCATCCTGCCGAAGATGTCGAGGAGGGAGACGGAGCTTCTTTGGAGAGAAAAGATACCGAGGAGACAGTTGGAAAGGCTTCCATAGATTCGGTCCGAGAAGAATCGAGTGTGCCAAGAAGACGTAAATCTTCAAAGGAGGCTGTTACAAGTCCCGGTCTCCATCCCCGAAAGTCGTTCGGCGACGGAAATGATGCCGACATGTCTGGAGCTGGCTATACTACTGAAGAGCCAGAGGAAATTTCCACCGGAAAAGATGACGGCGATGAGAAGGCGAGATCCCGTGCGCCTCAGATTCCTGTTCGAGCACCCACCGCACCTACTCAAGAACCCGATGTTGGAGAACAAGAGGGTGCTGCCGAGGAGCCACAGGGCGAGGAGGAGGAGGAGGAAGAAGAAGAAGAAGAAGAAGATCTCGACCCAGAAGCACGTCGTAAGGAAGAATTGAGAGCACGCATGGCCAAGATGAGTGGTGGTATGGGTATGCACGGCATTTTTGGAGGTGGTATGCCGATGCCCGCTCCTGTAGCGCCCCCTAAGAAGAAGAAGAAGTCTACCAGCAACAGCGAGAAGCATTCGGGAGAGTACGGAGCCGAGGATGTTGATTCGCCTACTACACGTGCACCTCCTGTCCCTATGATCCCAATGCCTGGCCTGTCCAAAGTTCGGAGCCCGGAGGAATTTGAGCAGCACGAGCATGAAGACGAGCATGCCCCTATATCTTCTCGACCATATGATGAGCTCCCAGATGTTGAGGACGTAGTACCTTCACAAGCTAGGGGTGCTCCACCACCAGGTACGAAATGATTGGAAGAAACCCACATCTAAGTATGCTAATATTTATTTAGTCCCCTCTGCCGAGACTTATGGCGCTCCCCCCATACCAGGCGGAAGACCAGCTCCTCCGCCTGTGCCAAAAGAGTGTAAGTCAATCAAATCCATTTTCTACAAGATCACGTCTAATGTGATCAGCGCGACCTTCCATTCCGCCCCAATCGATGCCAATGTCCCCCAGTCTCGGGTCTGAATCCGATGATGAGTTGTCTACTAGTGTTCAAAATCTCTCAATGATAAGTCCTAGGAGTGAAGCCCCTCGCGCTCCACCTAGACCTGCGGAAATTCCTGCATCACCGCGGTCGCCCCAAATGAAGAGAGCATCAACATCCTACTTTGCGGGTGATGAGGCTTTCGCGTCCTCTCCTAGTACCCAAGGATCAGGTAGGCGAGCAAGTAAAGTTCCACCAATCCCTGGTGCTGCTATAGCATCCTCGCCTCAAAGCCGAGCTCCTCCGCCACCACCTCATGGTGCACCTCCACCATTGAGCCGATCATCGACTGGAGATCACCGTGTTCTTCTCCCTCCTCAAGCTCCGCCAAGAGAGCCGAGCGATGAGGAGGTCACCGAATACGAGGGAGACTATGATACTGACATTGCCTCTGCGGCACCTCATAAAGATGCCTTGAAAGCGCATGCAAGGGACTCGAGCTTAGAGGACAACACGCCCCTTCGATCACCCGTTACTGCTCCATCAGCCGTACCACCTCCACTTCCACCAACTTCCGCTCCCCGTGCAGTGCCACCTCCGTTGCCTTCACAAGCGCCTCCTTTACCTTCACAGCCGCCTACACACTCGAGGCAATCTTCAGAGATGCCTAGAGCTGCTCCACCCCCTCCGCCGATAAAATTGGCCGCACCTTGGGAGCCGGAAGATGACGACGAATATGATCCTTACAGGTATACCGCGCCAAAGCAAGGTGTTTCTGTCCCTTCTGTTTCCACTCCTAGAATTGAACGAAACGACGAAGACATATACTCAGCGTCGCCGCCGAGACAGGCACATGCTCCACCACCTCAAGAGAGGGCAGCTCCTCCACCACCACCTCGTGACTTAGGCCCTGGTCCGTCGAACAGAGGACCACGACAGTCTGTGGATGTCCAGCGCTCATCAACCTCTGCCCGAAGATCTGTAGAGTTGAGTAGAATGTCTATGGACCCTGGCTTTGTTGCCAATGATGTAGACCTCGGACAGAGCACGTACTGGTGGGCTCAACCGAAAGGCACACCCCCTGTTTTCTCAGGTAGGAAGGACATCTTGTTCGAGACAGAAGAGTCTACTTCATCAAAGCGAGGTGGCAAGACCACAACGACTAAAGATCTCTACGTTCTGTACCAGGATTATTCACAAACGATCATTACGGCTCAATATGATGCTCAAAACCCAGGGGACTTCAAGCTCGAGCAGCGACACGAACCTCCTCCATCTCGATTGCGACAAGATCAACTAGAGGCGGCACACGAGCAGTTTGGACGCCGTATTTTCGAAGGAGTATCATCCAAAAAGGATACCGTTGTTGGAGATGGAACACCACAAGCCCTCATCAAAGAACTTCTTAAGCCCTTTGCCAATGCTTTACTCCCCGTCGGAACACGTTCATACGGTGCACTCGTCTATGGTAATCTCGCTAATGCCTCTACAACCCAAAATGACGAGATACGCCCCGGCGACATCATCACTCTCCGTAATACCAAATTTCAAGGCAAGCATGGACCAATGCACGGCAAGTATAGCATGGAAGTCGGTAAGCCGGACCACGTTGGCGTGGTAGCTGAGTGGGATGGCACGAAGAAGAAGGTTAGGGCTTGGGAGCAGGGTCGAGAGAGCAAGAAGGTGAAGCTGGAGAGCTTCAAGTTGGATGATCTGCGAAGTGGGGAAGTGAAGATCTGGAGAGTCATGCCGCGGAGTTGGGTGGGGTGGCAGGGGCAGAATTAGAGGGGCGGTGTCTTTTGGAGATTGATAATTGTGGTTCGGTCCAGGATGGGCAGCGAGGCTCGGTCATAGGATTCTGCGAGTGAAGTGTACACGAGAGTTACAATTTATGCATAGCATCGTTGCGCAGCCGAAATCAGTGTTTCTATTGCCCCTACCTTCTTCAGCCACGATCAACTGTTTCTTCGTAGTTTCAAACGACAGCATCGACAGAATTACGCTTCACTGAACACAATTTCCCCCTTCACTAGGAAAGGGGGTCCAGACCTACTACGCTTGATTGAAGAGACGATAGTAACTAAGTCTTTGGACAGTCGAAATCTATAGGAAGGAGCTCATATGTAACGTGATGTTCAAAAATGCCTAAAGGGATAGTCGTTGCCGAGAAATCCGAGAAGTTTCACATGCTAGCGAAAGTCTATTATGAGTGACTTTAGGTAAGATTCTTCAATTCTTCTTTTTCGTTTGATTCAGCTCGCCGTATTATTCTAGGGAAATAATATTCTCAACTGCAGGTGAAGAAGCTGCAGATAGACCTAGGGAGAAAGAATGTGGCTTGGCATAATACTTTGACTAACGCAAGCAGATGTGTCCTACTTTTCTTTCCACGCCGATGGAAGCGGGTATTTCGACGCTCATACGGGTATCCCGCGGAATGAAAATTGTTTCTCGCGTGGGAAGGAGAGAGAACATATATATATACCTCCGAGATGGTCGCGGGGTAGGGGGAGTTTCTTCATAGGGGTAGATTGGGAGACTCAGCTGGAAGCGAGGACGTGTATTGGGAAGAGGGGGAAATACTGTAAAGACGTCGCAAGAACATATTTAAGACCTCAATCCTGGATCTACAGATTTGCTGCCTAGGAAAGTAGTCGGAGGTTTCACGTTCTATGATGTAGTGGCCGGAAAACTTGAATTTGATTCCAATAGGAAATTGTTGGGAAGCTGTGGAAGGAATGGGTTGTATTGGAGAAGGTTCGTCTAGAGATTAATAGGAGAGAGAGGTTCAATAAATACGAAAGATGGCCAATAATTTCGGCGCTTGTTTAATTATGGGGTTGCACTCAGACATACACCTACCTGAAGTAAAGATGCGATAAGGCAAAGTCTACATGCACACAATATCTAAGTTAAGAATCTTGGTTCCACTTTTCCTCTAATGCCAAAATTGAGATAGCTGGATCATAATAAGACTCAAGTTTGGGGAAACACCTTCTACTGCTACATACTATGTTTCTATCTTCTTGCTGAGCTCTTGAATTTCCTCGATGCGTCTCCGGAGCAGGAGACTTTAGCTGTTTATCTAGGCTATGACCATATAAACCTCCTGTGCACTTCTAGTAACCATAAAAGCTAGGTCGTCTGAGAAGGGGAGCGAAGGGGTAAAGTGGGGGTGCTTCTAAGTAACACTTCAAAGTATTTGTACGAAACTATTGTAATTGAAGCGAAGCATTCTGGTTGATTAAACTACTACTGTGATCACATGTATTGCGATATGCGTAAGACCCGTTTGACAAAGTATTGGCCTTTGATTCCGGGAGCAGATACCCCCCTTTTTACCCGCCAAATTTTACGCGAGATTCCGTCGCGAGGCACCAGCCTAGCCCCCTCATGTTGACCCGACCCTGCAAAGATGACACTGCTTACCTGAATACCAAACTGTACTTCAGCCGTATTCTCCAATAACATCGCTAGCTCACAAGCGGGGTCAAGTATTTAAACATCCCTGACCCTTCTTTCTTTAACCCTCCCTCCTTCCTCACCAAACTTCCCATCTCGATCTTCCATCAAATATCCTTCACCCACCACCCTTCATATCGCTATCATACACCAGCAAAGACATCCCAGATACTCAACATGTCAGCTAACACAATTTACCTCATCACAGGAGGAAATCGAGGTTGGCCCCCACTTTTACCCCTATCCTACTGCGTGCCTTCCTTACCCCTATCCCCCTCGCTAACGCAAAGCGAACCAGGAATCGGATTCGGCCTAACCGCAACGCTCCTCCTCCGTCCCCGCACCACAGTAATTGCCACAATCCGGTCTGAAGCCACGGCCCAGGATGATCTGCACGCGCTGCCTGTGGGCGAAAACAGCAGACTGATCATAACGTATCTGGATCTCTCGTCGTACAGCCCCGAAACGGAAACGGAAATGGAAACGAAGCAAGCACACCTCCCCCTCCACACCCCGCAAAACCTCTATCGCGTCCTAACATCAACCCACCACATCACCCACCTACACACCATCATCGCCTCCGCGGGCCACGGAACATCTTTCCACGCCCTCGTCTCCACAAGCCCCTCCTCCCTGCTCCAGCATTTTCAAATCAACACCCTGGGCCCCATACGCCTCTTCCAAGCTCTGTATCCGTTGCTAGAGGGCGTCGAGAGCAAATTCGTCCTCGTTAGTAGCAGTCTGGGTAGTATAGCCGCGATGGACACGCAGGCAGGCACGGAACCGACGCTGGCGTATGGGGCGAGTAAGGCAGCGGCGAATTACTTTTGCAGGAAGGTGCATTTTGAATGCGGGGGCATTACGGCGCTGGCTGTGCATCCGGGGTGTAAGTCCTGTCCTCCAAGTCCCTTCTCGCCACAGCAAGTCCCGAGATTTTTTGTTTTGCGAGCAACAAGTATTTTGGGGGGTTGTTTTATTCTTGTTTTTGTTTTTGTTTTGGGGGTGCTGTATAAGACCAGAGTAGAAAGTGGAAATAAAGCACTCGCGAAAACGATCCAAACTAATCAACTAACTAAAGAATTCCCAGGGGTAAAAACAGGCAATGGTCAAGCATTCGCAGATGCAGTTGGGGTTAAAGAGCCGCCCATGAGTTTAAATGATAGTGTAAAAGGGGTTTTGAAGCAGGTGAGCTTCTTTTTCTTCATCAGGTCGGATGGAATGGAGGTCGAGGCTAGGTTCACCTTTCTCCAGAGTGTTAGATGGGAGGCAGGAGATGGCTGGGCTGGACAGGGCTAAGGCTGACAAAAGGGGATTTAGATTGATGTAGCGAGCAAGACGACGACGTCGGGGACGTTCGTGTCGTATGATGGGAGTGTTATACCTTGGTGAGGGAGGGAGCACTTGGCGGGCGTGTGTTGAACAAGAGAGAGGTGATGGGAAGGGATTTGACGGACGGGACGGATTTGGTAGGTGATGGGATGGGATGGGGGAAGGGAAGTATAGACTGTTGGCAATAGAATTGCTCGCTATTGCTTCTTCACGTGACTGGCTGACCACGATGTGTATCCAAGCCACTTACTTTATGAGACTTCACTCGGCGATTCTGCCTCTTGGGACAGGACGTGTGAAGTTTTTCTAATTAGTAAAATGTAGCATATGCTGTCATCATTTGTATTCAGCTACTTGCGAATCCAAGACAGCTGAGAAGGTCAGGACTCGAAAACTCCCCAATCCAAAATTTCCCCCTAAAGCAGAACAACAGACTACTACTCCAACTTCTCCGACGTAGACGATGTAGAGCCCTCATGCGACAACATATCTTCATGCAACAAGGCCTGAGGTCCAACATATCTTCCACCTTTAATAAACCACCAAACAGTAGCGAAAATCGACATGCCACCCGTAATCAAACAAGCGTAGTTCATATTAACCCGCGTAACCGGCAACGAATACGGGAAACAGTAGATGACCACGAACACGATGATGTAGAGGCAGGACACGATGTTAACGGCGTAGCCGACCTTGTGGCCCATCTTGTAGGGCCCGGGTCGCATGCTGTTGATGAAGGGGCCTGGGGCTTCGGAGGCGCGGGAGAAACGCTTGGTGAAGATGAAGGGTAGGATTGCGGCGAGGTAGGAGAGTGTTGAGAGGACAACAAAGGAGCCGACGAAGGCGGAGAATGCGGTGGTAGAACCAACCTAAAAGGATTTGAGGGTTAGTATTGCTTGTCCTTAGCAATAATAAATCCGTTAAAGGGATACTTAAGGGCCAAAACTTACATAAATAGCACCCAAAATAGTACAGAATACACCACAGACTACAGTAGCATTGAACGGGTTCTTGAAACGTGGAGATATGACTCCAAGTGTACCAGGAAAAGGAACAGCTTCATCGCGAGCAAGAGTCCACAAACAGCGCCCAGCAGTGATAAAAGTGCCAATACAGGTACAGAATATTGGTACAAAGATCATGAACAAGAGTCCCATAGTAGCTGGAACACTGCCTCCAGTAGCCTGAATGTAAATTTGCGCAAGAGGGAAGTACGAAGCGCCCAAAACATCATCCAAGTTCGTGATGGCGTAGAATATGGCAATCATGTAAAAGAAAGCAGTGAAAAATCCGATGACCATCTGAGCTGCGATAGCAAGCGGGATGTTTCGTCTGGGATTAGGGATTTCCTCCGCAAGGTGAGAGACACAGTCTGGAGTTCCAACAGCATAAGCACCATTCAACATACCAGCCAAGAAAACGAAGCCGTTGCTATCATATCCGGTCTGGTTAGACCAATCGGCCCAAACGAAGGAAGCAGAGGCATAGCCCGAACCGCTCGTATGAGGGAGGACAGCACAAACGACAATGGTGATGAATACTCCAGCCAAGATGAAGAACAAGCCAATGTTGTTCACCATTGGCAAGGCCCGGTTGGCAAACAGGACTATGCAACAGCAGATCCAGGTAACGAGCAGATGAGCAATGAAGATGTGCCATCTCTCCGGGACAAAGCCTGGGTGGTAGAGTGCGTACATAGCGGTTGCGATTTGGGCAGAGATACTAGCCATCGAAGCTATACACGGTTAGGTTCCTCTTCTACAAAGGCAGAAAGTTCGATTCGTCTCACCAGTTGCACAAACCCTAGTCATAAGTTAGCATTTAATATCATCTTAAGAAGCGGGTGTCCATACCAAGCAAACGTATTCCACCATCCAGCAAACCATCCACAAATGCGTCCATACTTTGGACCTGGAGTGATAGAAGCCCAGTGATAGACTCCGGCACTACTTGGCATCGACGATGAAAGCTCCTAATGATTTGGTTAGAAGTAGTAGGCTGATGCGATACTCTGTTGAACCCACGGCAAGGGAAGCAGCAACAAGCCAGTAGAATACGGAGACTGCGATAAACTCGTACAAGACTCCAGGTGGACCACCATTGCTAACTGACTGTCAGTATTATATTTCAAGCATTCTAATGAAAAGCTTACTAGATTGCGACGGCGATGCTACCACCCAGAGCAGCCCATGTGTTTCCCGTAACGATACCAACAGAGCAGACAGAGAGCAAAGAAAAGTTGCGCTCCAGCTCCTGTACATGGCCAGTCTCATTCACGACCCCCACGTCTCGCGGGGTAAGTCCAGATACCATTGTACCTTGCTCAGAATCCGAGTAATTGCCAGTTGGCTTGCCTGTTGGAGGTGGAGATGCCATGTTGAGAGGGTGTATCCAGGCAAAAAAAAAAAAAGGGTTTGAAGAAGAGTTTTGAGGAAGGAGCAGAGAGGAGGCCGAAGATTTATTGTGTGAATTCAAGAGTAGTGGTGTACTAGGAGGTTGTGAATCGGCAGTGGTCTCGCCCCTTGCCTCATGTCTCATGAAACTTGGGAGGAGCTTTGAACTTTCATACTTTTAGGGATATCTAGGACGAGAGCCGTGCGTATGTTGAATGCAAATAATTACTTGAGAGGAGCTATAAGGTAATCTTGCGGGGTCTGATAAGGGTGGCATACTATGCCGTGAGGGTGTATGGTGGGCAAGCATACTTGTATGCAGCCGTCGGCAATTGATTCCTCGTATTGGTACAAGTAGGTACAGTAGTGACAGCACGGTCAAGGCCCAAAGTTTAATAAATTACAGCAACAACAATAATAATAATCATGGCATGCTTGCTTCTTTCAGGTGGTACCCTACTACCTACCTACCTACAGTACAGCCGGAGAAGAATAGCGTGTCAACATGGTACAGAGATACTGCGTCGCCCCGCGTTGGGAGGACAATGCCCGGCCCGTACGAGTAAGCCATGCGGCAAACCCGCAGACCACATGCACCACACGGGTCTTCTAAACCAGATGCGGAAATTACAAGAGATGACGACTCGATAAGCTACTCCGTATGTGCAAGCAGAGATGTGTTTTGTCGGAATCTGGAGAACAGTCAGGGGTAGCTTAAATATAACAGGTCGACGGCCAAGATCTTCATGCGGGGTTGAAACTCCATCGGGACAGCTCCACCTGGGAATTGATAACGACCCGCGTGGTATGATAGATAGTCTTACATAAATCGTACTACAATGTACAATCTGACATAGTTCTGTATGCTTCCAAGTTCCCACCAAGTTTCTATTACATCTTCTGTCTCATTCCCATATTGCCGCAAGCGCAGCAACCATTGTCTTGTGCAACATACACCTCGTGGAACTTCGACCATCCCGTCGGGATCCTGCAGATTCATGACCTTTTTTCCATGCGAGGTTTGGCAAGATGTACCGAATTGGTTTGACGAAAGCCGATTCCGATGTCGATTCCCGTCACCTTCCACATGTCACCCCTGACCCGATGAAAAGTTCAGCTTCCATGCTGGTGAGCGCGTGTGGCACTCGCTGGGGAGTCCCGGTGGGCGTTACGCCCAACTGGAAAGTCTCTCAATCCAGAAACTGGTCTATATTTGTTTGTTTCAGGAATAGAGCCAAGCCTGCTGTTTTGTGCTTTTGATTTTCGCTCTCAAATGTTGAATCAAGGCGTTCGCTAGGCGTTCGTGTTTTTTGGGTTTAGCTGAAAAGCTTCGTGCGAATATTGATGGACACGCAGAGCAAAGTCTTGCATTTCGAAGATCTGATCGATCCATCAAAGGGTTTTCATCATCACACACCTGCTCGCCTGGTCGAGCCCTTGTTTTCCTTCTTGTACCATAATGTCCAGATATTTTCTTCCCATAGCCTGAGCATACACCTCCACGAATCCCATCTTTGCGTACCAGTAGCCGTTCCATGGAACGTCGCGATAGGTCGTCAACGTAATAGTTTTGTATCCCTCTTTTCGAACCTGCTCCATCATGTTGCTCACTAATGCTTTCCCCACGCCTCTGCCTTGGAAATCCCGTGCGACCGAGACCTCTACGAGATGAAAGTTGCCTTCGAAGTTCTCTCCTCCCAGAAATCCAATCGGTTGATCCCAATCATTGACAGCAATCCACAGGTGATTCGACTTTGCCATTCCAGTTAAGACGGCAGGATCAAGGGTTGGACCGTCTGCCAAGAACCCAAGGTTGACTGTTCGGAAGAGTTGTGCAGCGGACCGTTCGACGCTTTCCAGTAAAGAGATATCCGATGATCTCGCTCTACGAATGGCGAATCTGGGGACTTCCTCGATGGATTCGGCTTGTTGTACGTATGCGGCGGCCATAGCCAAGATGGCGAGGCCGTTGTTCGACATTGGAGCTACAGTAGTGGTGAGTAAGAAGAAGGGCTTCACTGTGTTGGTAGCTGAATTGTGGTTCGAGGTGAGTCGGATGGGTTAGGTTCTTGAGGGAGAGGAGTTGGAAGAGAAGAGAAAGAAAGTTGGAGGAGAGAAAGAAGGGAAAGCTGGATAATAAGTGCGGACGAAAGCGTTTGAGTGAGTGAGTAATACTGGGTAATACTGCATAAAAGTATGAAAATACCCTTGCAGCAAATTTCAAAACAAAGCAAAAGCTCGATGATCGATCCCTGCAGACTTGGTAATTCCTGCAACCTTAAATTTAGTGGCGCCTCACCTTTCCTTGTCCGTATGACGTTGACTCGTGAGTCGTGAACTTTGATTTGCATTGCCCCTCCAGAAGATCGACGATACTTGAGTAAGTGCTAGATACAGTACATACAAGACAAGTAGACGGCAAAGACAAACCTCTCGCCCTCAATACTCATCCTCCTCGCCCTCCTCGTCCTCCTCGTCTTCCTTCTCCTCCCTCTCCCTGCCACGATGGTCAAGAAAGTCAGCAAAGATGCCCCTGCTGCAGAACCAAGCAGCATCTCACCCCCCTCGTCATTCGAAGAAGGCGCCCTCCCAAAGCTCATAGTATTCGATCTGGACTATACATTATGGCCCTTCTGGGTCGATACACACGTAACACCTCCCCTCAAAGCTTCTGCCGACCACAGCTCGGCCAAAGACCGAACCGGTGAGACCTTTGCCTTCTACTACGAAGTGCCCTCCATCCTCTACTCTCTACGCGAACGGGGCATCAAAGTCGGGGCAGCGTCGAGGACAAGCGCTCCGGATTTGGGGCGGGAGATGTTACGCTTACTGCATATTGCGGATGTGGAGGGCAAGAAGAGGAAATCGATTGAGTATTTTGATTATCTAGAGATATATCCGGGGAGTAAGATTACGCATTTTACGAAACTGCAGAAGGCTTCGGGGTTAGCGTACGAGGATATGCTTTTTTTTGACGATGAGGCTAGGAATCGGAATGTGGAGACTTTGGGAGTTACTAGTAAGTTGGATCTCTATGTAGGTACAGTACGGATGACTGACTTTGATAGTGCACTTGGTTAGAGATGGAGTCAACAAAGCGGAGATCAATAATGGGATTAAGGCATGGCGCAAGAGACATGGACATGAATAATCGTGGTAGGACTGAGAGAACGATTCAAGAGATACCCAAGTAGAGCGAGGGAGGCACAAACAAACCATAGAAGCATCTTATAGAGGAAGAAATAACGAAATGATCAATGATAAGATTTACAAGAGATTTTGATGCATCTTTCCTCCGTACATGGACTGTACTTGTACCTACCTGATATTGCTCGGTGCAGGTAATCAGATCAAATACCCCTGAAGCTACAGTATAGTACCTCCGCAATCCATCTGGTGACGCACATGATAGCCCGCGCATCTCCTGATAACTTTCCACTCAACGCGTCCCACCCTCACCCTCACCACGTCCGCGAATCCACCGTGTTTTCCAGTCCCCCAAGTACCTATCACACCCTGGCTATGCATCAAGATGCCCCCATTCCTGCCGCGCAAACGTCTGCGTTCAACCTCTCCCGAAGCAGGGCCCTCTCAGCCAGCCACGACAGGCGAGGCGAAATCCGCATCCACGACCCCGCGAAAGCCCACACTCTTCGACGACCTAGATGCTGGGACCGGAAGCAAGCGTACAGCCGAGCATAACAAAGCCCTGTTAGAAAAACTCACTGCGACCGACGACGAAAGCACCCTTTCCTCGCTCTCCGACGACGATGAATTCGAAGATGTGCCCAGCGCAAAGCGGCAGAAGGTGGACGAAGAGTCAGAGGACGAGGATGAGGACATGGAATTCGAGGATGTCGAGACAAATGCTGCGCCTGCTCCTTATGGACCCATACCCTCGGGTGATTTAGAGTTGACGCTCAGGAAAGATGAGCGGGTTTCTATATCCAATCCCCTGGGAATGAAGAAGGGACCGAGCAAGATTGAGAGGCAGATTCGGGTTGCTACACACCAGATTCATGTGCAGATGCTTATGTTCCATAATGCGGTTCGGAATGCGTGGTTATGCGATCAGGAGTTGCAGCAGATATTGGTCAAGCAGTTGTCTCCGGGGGTTGTGCAAGAGATTGAGAGGTGGAAGAGGAACAGTGGGTTGGAGGTGAAAGAAGAGACTCCGAAAGCCAAGGGGAAGGGGAAGGCTAAGAATGCGAAAGGCAAGAAGCCGGATGTTAGGAGTCAACGGGATTGGGGTCAACCTGCAGAAAGATTGGCATCCGGTGAAGTTAATATGAGCCGTGGAGATCCTCTCTTCAGGCTTCTTCAGGTTTTGATGAATTATTGGAGGCAACGATTCAGGATCACGGCTCCTGGCTTACGAAAGCTAGGTTATATGTCTCTTGAGAGATTAGACCAAGAAACGAAGAGTTTCGAAAAAGAAGACCACGACCCGGAACGGCACGGCGAAAGAATTCGAGATTTAAAGGAATTCAAAGAATGTGCAAAGTCTATGGAGGGAAGTCGAGATGTTGGTGCACAGCTTTTTACCGGTTTATTGCGTGGACTGGGGCTGGAAGCAAGACTCGTGGCGAATCTACAACCTGTTGGATTTGGATGGAGTCAAGCTGAAGAAGCCTTGGAGAAGAATCCTCGAAAGTTGAAGAAGCCGAAGGACGTGAACATATCTGATAGCTCCAGCGACGATAGCGCCAGCGAAGAAGAGAAGCCTACACCTAAGTCTACCATCAAGAAGAAGGGGAAAGCTCCGGTGATACCTAAGAAGGCCTCAAAAACTACCCCTAAATCTGCGCAGCGGAATTTACGAGGCGATGGCCAAAAAGGTGCCCCTATAGATTTGTCAGAATCAGAAGGACCTATCGAAAGTGACAATGAATCTGTCATCGATGTTACGCCAGCCAAGAAACGCACGCAGGCCTCATTACCCTATGATAAAGATCTTGTTACTCCATCATACTGGACGGAGGTATTATCACCTATTACAAACACTTACACTGCAATCGACGTAGTTGTTGCCCACATTCTAGCAACGAAAGAAGAGCTCCTCGAGAAGTTCTTACCTCCTACCAAGTCCGAAAAGGCTAAACATATCACATCATATGTCATTGGACATTCTCTAGATGGAACGGCGAAGGATGTCACCACACGGTATCTGAAAGGTCATATGTGGCCTGGCCGTACGAAAGGAAATCGGCTGCCAGTCGAGAAAGTACCTATTCATGACCGACGAGGAAAGATCAAGCATTATGAACAATACGATTGGTTCAAAACAGTCATGAGTGGCTATGTTCGAGGCAGCCAGAAATGTCCTCGCACCGAAATCGACGATCATGAAGAAGCCACCGTCTTGAAGCCGGTAAAGCGCGAGAAGAAAGTAGTGGAAGATGGGAAGGAGTCTCTTCAGTACTACAAGACGTCTTCGGAATTCGTCCTCGAGAGACATTTGAAGCGAGAAGAAGCTCTTGTGCCAACCGCCATCCACGCCAAGATGTTCACGGTCAAAGCAAAAGGCGACAACTCTACCGAAGAGAAAGTTTTTCTCCGCAAAGATGTTGTGGCATGTAAGAGCATGGAAACATGGCATAAAGAAGGCCGAGCCCCTACCCCGGGCGAAGAGCCTTTGAAACGAGTACCATATCGAGCTGCCACGACGAACCGCAGACGGGAACTTGCAGAGGCAGAGCAAGCGAGTGGAGCAAAAGTCCTGCAGGGATTGTATAGTCGCGCTCAAACTGATTGGATTATTCCGCCTCCGATTCAGAATGGGATTATACCGAAGAACTCGTTTGGAAATATCGATTTATATGTTGATAGCATGCTTCCAGAAGGTGCAGTTCATATCCCCTACAGAGGAACGATGAAGATCTGCAAGCGGCTTGGGATTGACTATGCAGAAGCTGTCACGGGGTTTGAGTTTGGACATCGGATGGCGGTGCCTATTATCACGGGAGTTGTGGTCGCTGAAGAGCACTACGATACTATGATAGCAGAGTTTGAGAAAGATGAAGTGGAGAGAGTGAGGAAAGAGGATGAGAAGAGAAGGAAGCTTGTGGTTAATACATGGAGGAAGTATTTGATGGGATTGAGGATTGTTGAGAGAATGAGAGAGGAGTACGGTAATGATGATGGTGGAGACGAAGTTGATGTTTTAAATCCATGGACGAACAAGAAGAGGGAGAAAAAAGCTGACGAAGAGACGGAGGCTGAACGTCGAATTATGGAGCAGAGAGATGAAGACAATGCTGGTGGTTTCTTTCCTGAAGGCCATGAGGAAGAGGAGCTGGATTCGCATCGTTCGTCTGGCTTCTTCCCTGTGGCACATGGTGATGACGACGACGATGATGATGCTGGTGGTGGCTTCATAGTGGAAGGTCATGATGAGGAGTCAACTACGCCAGCAATCAGCCAGGCATATGCTACACCTCAATCGCTGCTGTCCAACGGAAACCCCGCAGCTAATCAGAAGTCTGAGGATGAAGAGCTGGAGGATGAAGAAATAGAAGATATAAAACCCCAAGTCAAAGCTCCAGCTCCCAAAAAGCGCGGCAGACCTAAGAAAACCCCAACACCTAAATCTACCTCGAAAGCTCTTCCCAAGGCTAAAACTCCCACCAAGCAAAAACCCTTCACTGCTTCACGAAGCATGGGAAAGCGCAAGCGACTCATCGAGGACAGCGAGGGTGAGGGTGATGGTGAGGGTGAAGAAAACGAAACCTCACTATCCCCACTCGAACCAGACTCGGAAAGTGAAACACCGCAAAAGCCGGCCCCCAAAAAAGGAGTGCGCAAAGCGATGTCTGCTAAGACGCCAGCAGCTCCGCGCAAGACACCGAAGAGAAAGGCTGCGCGCAAGAGTCAGACGGCGTTGAAGTCGCATTATTTTGAACACGAGGAAGATGAGGAAGATGATGAATAAATGGTATATTACTGGATGGATGAAGTAAGTGAAACTACTGTGTATTATTTATCATACTATACTGCTTGTAAGATTACATGTATGCATAGGCATAGCGGGAGTATGGAGGCAAGCCAACAAACAGCATCAGAGGAGCTGGAAAGAAGAAATGTTCCACGAGTCGTCCGTCCGTTCGTTGATTCTCTAGAGATAGATAGATACATCGATGGATGAATGAATAGAATAGGATAAACACTATCCGTGTTTTGGCCACACGGGACACGCGCGTAGTCAATGAATTAAACGAAAACTTACTTGAATTTCGGGTTGGTTTTAAATGCGTGTGTAGTCAGATTTAGATTTAGATTTAGTAGATGTACATGATCGGGTTTGAATTAGGTAGGTAGGATCGAATTGTTGAGTTTGATATATAGGTAAGTAAGATTACCTACCTAGGTATGCATTAGAAATTCAAAACCTCCATCTGTCTCGCTAACTAGAGAGAGGTTTCAATATCTACCTACCTACTCATTAGAGTAAGTAGCATGGAGTGAGTATCGGAAGATTAACTTGCAGGTATGGATGCATGGAGTGTTTGTTTAATGGAATGGATATGTAGATACTGTAGGTAGGTAAACATGTTTATATAAAACGTACTCCTAACACCCGCTAACAAGTTCAGCCTACCGAGACTAAGACCAAGACCAAGCAAGACCAAGATTTAAACCAAACGCCACCACCCAATGCACCATACCATGCCTTTCTCCGCCATGCCATTCCATTCCATTCTGAAACCCTTGGATGCATACCTAGATATATATATATGTATATAACACAACTCCCGGCACCCTTCTCCTCGACCCCCCTCTACTTCCCCACCCCCATCCCCAGTACCCCCCCATCACCAAAACCATTCCCACCCTCCCTCGCGTAAACGCCCGCAAAATCCAACTGTCCCAACATGCCATTAACAGCATCAATCTCCCTGCCCAAATCCCCCAGGTTGCCCTGCAGACTAGCCGCCTCGTCAAACTTGCGCCTCTTATGCGCATCCGCGACCATCTCGGCCACGAAGAACTTCTGCTCCTCCAGCACGATCAAGCGTTCCTTCAACTCCTTTTCCTCGGCCTCCATGGCCGACACGGCACTGCTGGAGCTGATCTGCGACGCGCTGTCCATGTCGTTGTATTTTATGGCTGCGAGCGCGCTGCGTCCGTTGGGGGGGAGGCCGTGGGGGGATGGGGAGGCGTGTTTGAGGATCCGCGGGAGCGATTTTAGGGGTAGCATGTGGAGGTTTAGGAAGGCCGCGCTTTGGCTGTAGATTGCTTTTTGGAGCTTTAGCTGGGTAGGGCTCTTGCTTGGTAAATCTCGTATCCGCTTCGCGGCCAGATCGTATTTTCCAAAACTGTCAATTAGTCGTTTGCGGACCTTTGATGCTTCGGTGAGTTGGATGTGTGATGGTGGCTTCTCGGGATCTTGGAGAGCCATGAGGAGACGTTGGAAGTTGGGCAGGAGGAGTCGGATGCCTTTTTCGAATTGTAGTAGGTTTTCGTAGGCGCGTTGGTCTGGTGGTTTGTGGGAGACTTCGGCAGCGAAGTCTTTTTTGCTGAATACTGTCGTGTTGCAATCTCTACACATGCGAATGTCGAGACTTAGGTCTCCGGCTTTCTCTGACATAACGTCAGTCACTGTCTTCTGTCAATGGATGACGAGTAAATGCGTTAAAAGGTAACCTACTGGCTGTTACGTTTAGGCCGATCTCTGATGAGCAGCCTGTTCGTGGGTCGGCGCAGACGACTCGTCCGCATAGTCGACAATGATGCCGCCGAAATGACCATGATCCGAATTCTTGCTGACAAAAAGGGCATTTCAACACCTTTGCATCTTCTTCCCATGTCACCACTGATTGTTCTAGGTTTTTTCGTTGGTTCTTCTGGCCTGCCAGAGACAGTATTCCTCCATTGCTTCCTGATAAGTCTTCTGGTGGGTTTGCTAGTAATTGGGTAAGCTTCGTGAGGCGTTTCTCTAGCCGTGATACTTCCAGATATGCCTTGTCTACCGTCTTCCTCCGCATAGCCAGAAAGTCATTGGTATGGTCCCTCAAAAGCCCGTTATGGTCATTATAGCCTTCCCTCGACTTGAAACAAGTCTCACAAACTCTGCACCAGAACCCTCTCACAGGTTCATGCTGGGCAGACCTCGAGAGCTTCATCTGGTACATCGTATGGTCCTCGCAAAATAGCCGCCCGCACTTCCTACAGTTGACATTCCCATTTACTGGCCCCAGCCTCTTCCCACATGCTGGTTCCGTACACAAGTCATTATATCCAGCTCTCTGCCAATGGGCCCTCGTAACGACTTCATCGGGATCTGGTCTGTATTGTTCTGGAGTCGATATTCGATTGCTAGGGACGTTGCTGGGAAATGGAGTAGGGGCATGAGGGTCGTTTGACTCAAATACATCCAATCCTTTGAGTTTTTGGTTTATAACAGCCAGTGGTTGAAATTTCTTCGCCTTTACAACCTGCTTATTGAACCAATTCTTGACTTCGTCCTGCTCGACTTCTGGTAATTCCTGGTGGTTATCATCCAAATGTCTGCAACCAATTAGTTCTCGGCCATTCATATCCAATCATGGTATATACCTATTAAGCTGCAGTAAAGTCATCTATAAACCTGTCAGTCAATCCCACAATTTCCAGTATGCAGCCTAGAAGAACCAACCATTTCCTCATTGCAAATCGGGCAAACAAGCTTGGAGCTCGCAGCTGTAACCGTAGACGGGCCCCCATTTTCCAAAGAAGCCCTCGATATCAAGTCCTGCCCAACATCCGGCAAAGGCGACGTAGCCAGCGGCGAAATGGTAGATTCCCTCGAGCTGAAAGAGACGGTGCTCCCCGCGGGCGAGATCACCTCTGAAGGTCTTCGCTGGTGTTGCGCTGGAGGGGCGGGAGGTGCCAACGACTTCCCACTTCCAAGAATCCTCCCGCCTCCCAGCTTTCGACCAGACATAGCGGCAGTATATCGACAATGTTTTGTGAGCCTGGGAGCTTTGCCAGCTCGCTCGAGGTGTTTGCGTACCGTAGACTAGGTATCTACCTCTACCCTACCTTACCGGGTAGTTGGACGGCCCGTAGGCTGAAGTTGCTCCATGGAACCACGCCGCTTTTACTGTAGCGTGGAATTCAATCCTTACGAGTACCTTATCGTGGCGTGGGGTACAAATTTAGAGTGCCTGACATATATGTACAAGGATCTCCAGGAAAATATATACAGCCTCACAACTTGATCAAAAATGGGCCAAGACGAGTTTCCCGAAGTCCAAGGAGGAGGCTCATTAATTCTGGCATGGCAGATTAGGAATAAAAGAGTATTGGTAGTAGGAGGTGGAGAGGCAAGTAATTTCTCATAACTCGATGCTTAATTGCCACTGACTTATCCAATAGGTCGCTGCAGGACGAATATTGAACGTCTTGAACGCAGATGCAAAGGTCACAGTCGTTTCTCCCCGCGAAGGTTTAAATAAAGAAGTTGCCTTCCGAATTGAAAAGGGGCAGGTCGACTACGTGGACCGGAAATTCGAACCTTCAGATCTCGATGATGTAGATATGGTCCTGACGGCAGTGGATGACATTGAAGCCTCGACGCAAATATGGAAGCTGTGCAAGGAGAGGAAGATAGCGGCGAATATTGCAGACGTGCCACCAGAGTGTGATTTCTACTTTGGGAGTGTGCATCGAGATGGGCCTTTGCAGATCATGGTCAGCACGAATGGAAAGGGACCTCGACTGGCGAATATTGTCAGGAGGTCGATAGCAGAGAAATTACCGGAAAATATTGGAGAGGCGATAATGAAGGTGGGGAAATTAAGGCAAATGTTGAGGAAAATCGCGCCGAAGCCTGAAGAGGGACCTAAGAGGATGTCTTGGTAAGTCCACACTGCTGAATTGCTGCTAGGACGTGCTGATATGGATCAGGATGATCAAGGTCAGCGACGCCTATAGCCTGGAGGATCTATGCGAGATGAGTGACGAAGATATGGAAACACTATTGAGATTCTATGCTCCGGACAAGGTTCCTAGGCTGGGATGTTTGAAAGCTATGGAAGGAGAGCTGGATGCGTTTGATGGTTCATTTGGCTTCTGCGTTGGGTGGGGTTAAGGGCGTATAAACGGTATATGTACACAAGGGGCTAGTTGGCGTCAATGGTTAACAAGGTATTGGGAAACATGATACCTACAAATAACGCGCGAGGGTCTGTACGAGTTGGAAATCAAGATACAGAGATGTTCCATTTTAATCACATGATTGAGTGAGCAGTTCTTGAAGGGCTCCCATTGAAAGCTGTGATATCTTGTGTGGAAACTAATAAACTTACATCTATGCTATATATTGATTTGAGTCGGTCTTGATGGGCCTTGGACCCATTTGCTGTGGCTTTTATGCCAGCGTTCCTCTTGGATCCTTCATAGAAGGGGAAGTCTTGAGCGGGTCTTGACTCGAGACTTTACAGCCTTGGGTTCCTCTCTCGAAGTCTACTGGCAATTTTATCATCATCTCTCCGGAGGTGGCGATTTTAGTTGCATGGACAGATCCTTCAAGATTGTCATTTGCGCCACCGGAATCATCACAAGAGATGATGACCTTTCAATCCTCTGGCAACAAGTTCTCTGCTTTCAGACCCATCTCCTCACCAACCCTTCTGACAACAGACTTCAATGCGGTACATGCTGGACTATCCGGCCACGAATCAAAGAAGCTCTCGCCGTAATCCGCAGCCATGCAAATCCGTGGGTCCAGAGGAACAGCACCCAGAAACGGAACGTTCATCTCCTTGGCCAAAGCCCTTCCACCACCAGTAGTTGCTTGGAAAATTTGGCTTTCATGTGTGCAATTCGGACACACGAATCCTGACATATTCTCCACAATGCCCAAAACTTTGATGCCAGCTTTCCGACAAAAGTCGATTTCTTTTCGGACATCAAGGAGCGCGACTTCTTGTGGTGTTGTAACAACAACCGCTCCATCAACCCCACTTTCCTTCAAGAAAGAATTGACACTCAAATGTTCGTCACTCGTCCCTGGTGGGGTATCCACGAGCAAGAAATCCATCTCACCCCATTCCACGTCCTTCAAAAACTGCTTTATCAACCCATTCTTCTTCGGTCCTCTCCAGATAACAGCATCATCCCTATTCGGCAGCATGAATTGCACACTCATGACTGCCAAATTCTCCAATACCCAGACCGGACTCCATCCTGCGCCACTGACATGTATCGTCTCAGTCTCTACCCCCATCATCTTCGGTATACTCGGCCCACAAATATCCGTATCCATAATTCCCACAGTATTATTATCATTCGTAGCAAACGCGTGTGCTAATAGAGACGTGAATGTGCTTTTCCCAACGCCACCCTTGCCCGATAAAATCAAGACTTTATGTTTGATGGCTGAAAGTCGTGCCGTTATGATTGGGATATCTGGATCTGGCCCTTTTGGTGCCGAGGCACAGATTGCTTGATTTGGACACCCGGCGCAAGAATCTGCTTGTCCGGCCGTTTCGGATTCAGGACCAGGACAATGTTCTGGTTCGGGGGCAACGAGTTTTGGGGCGGCTTTGAGGGGATTCGATAAAACATCTTGTACGTTGTCTGGTACTTCAAGTGAAGGCGCCATTTTACGATACTGCTGATGGGAGGTGAAGGTTCCGTTTGGTTGGATCAGAAGCCACTCCAAGGAAGAAGAAGAAGATTGAAAAGCAGTTCACCAGTTCAGTCTTGGTGTTTACAAAGCACGGATGGCATGGCATGGCAGAAAATAGAGGGGTCACATGCAAGTGTCCGGAATGGGACAGCGGTGAGTGAAAGTCTTGCTTGTTCCGATGATCGGGGAATATCACGAGCTTCCACCGTAAAATTACTTTCTCTCATGTCAGGTGTGAGAAGTGAGAAGGGAAGGAAGAAGTATCAAGGGCAGGTCGGCGTATTGTACCATACGGCCAGTCTATGAGGATATATTAGATGTTTATATTGGTAGCAAAGATTAGCATCCACCGTTTGACTGGATAATGCCGTCCTTTGTTGCTTTCCACGACAGGTGAGGCTTTACGCAGCCTGATCTGTCGCCTGTGACGAGCTTCAAACCACATGCCGACTTCCATTCCAAAGTACAATTTACTAGATACAGATGCAGATGCAGCTTCTCGACAGTCGTATATTCGTATTGACGCTTCTATTTGATTCTATTCGCCAATGTTTTGCGTTCCACCCTGTCTCCTCACTTCACCCCACGCCAAATTCTGCCCGTCACCACAAACAAACCACCTGCATTCAAAGACTCAACCCTGAACCCTCACCTCAACCCGGGCATATGGCGCAATCCCGACAGAACCCCCTCTTCTTCAAGCTATATAACTAACAGTGCCGAAACTCTCAGTCTGCTAGTCTGCTTACCTACAAGCAAGACTAACATACCCCTCAAAGCTTGGGTAAGGTGCCTTTGAAAAACGAAGCTCCCAACAGCATTGAAAGCGGGACACAACTCCGCCTACTTGGCTCAACATGAGTACACAAAACAGCCCAGCCCCAGAGATGGACGGCCTTCGAGAACGAAATGTAAGCGCCTTACGAGACGAAGCTGCCTCTGGATCTGGATGCAGCAGTGGTCAAGATACCCCACAGACAGAGAACGGTGTAGAGAAGCAGAAAAAGACCTTTGGCAGAACCCCTGATGGAACGGGTATGTTCCACCTATCCAGGCCCATCCAGGCCCATCCTGATGCCATAAACTGCCCAAGCTGATGGTTGGTAGTCTTCATCGTTCCTCATACCCATGATATGGTTTCTCAATTGCTCGACCCGCGACAACCCAAGAACCTTTCGGATGTCATAGTCTTAGCTGTACTTTGCATACACGTACTTGCCCTATACTTACTACCGAGCCCTCTGAAGAAGCCCGTATTTGCCCTCATATTCTTGTTCTGGAGAGGATGCTACAATGTTGGGATTGGATGGCTCCTTCACATACAGTCTCATCACCGACGTTTGATAGGATGGGCGAAAAAAGCCAAGGTGTTTGAGAATCCAACTTCCGGGAAGAACCCAAGGCCATGGCTATACAAACTCCTCAAGCGAGAGCTAGAGACTAAGATCCCAGAGGACTATAAATTTGAAGAAGCGCCACTGGAGTACAACACTTGGCTTGTCTTTCGAAGAGTGGTCGACCTGATTCTCATGTGCGATTTCACGTCCTATTGTCTATTTGCCGTTGCTTGTGGAGGACAACCAGTGGGAGAGAGTCTTATGATGACCATAGCTCGATGGGCTACTGGTAGTATTCTCGTTGGATTTAACTTATGGGTCAAGCTAGATGCACACCGGGTGGTCAAGGACTATGCATGGTATTGGGGAGACTTTTTCTACTTGATCGATCAAGAATTAACTTTCGATGGGGTGTTTGAAATGGCTCCTCATCCCATGTATTCTGTTGGGTATGCCGGCTACTATGGTATCTCAATGATGGCAGCGAGCTACAACGTATTGTTCATTTCGATTATTGCACATGCTGCTCAATTCGTCTTCCTCGTATACGTCGAAAATCCTCACATTGAGAAAACCTATAATCCACCAGCTCCACGAAAGCGAGAAGACAACCCAAGCCCAAGCGACATTGAGCATGCCAACGCTTCGGCCGCTCGTAGAGAAGGCATCGATTACCAAGAAATGTCTGAACACATAGCCCGCTCAGCAACATCGAAGAAGCCCCTTGCGACACATAACCTGATGGGATTTGGCAATATTGACCTCTTTCGGATCACTGACCTATCTGTTTTTCTGCTTCAGGGTTACATACTCCTCCTCACTGTATCGACCCCATCAACACCAATTTTCCAGACTCTTTTCGTCTTAAATGCGATTGGATGGCGTTTATGGTACACCCTCGGTCTAGGAATCATCCTTGACCGCCAAAGCAACTATAAGATGTGGACTCGCCATTTCGTCAAATACGGCGAAAGCACTGAAGAGGCCTGGAGACAATGGAAGGGCATGTATCACCTGAGCTTGACTATGTGCTATGCGAGTTTTATTGCCGCGACTTGGAAGATGTATTCTGTGCCACCGGACTGGGGCTACGGCCTCGTGCTTCTGAAACATGTGATCGGAGCTGGACTTGTCGCTCTTCAAGTGTGGACTGCAGTCAGTATCTACGAGTCTCTAGGCGAGTTCGGATGGTTCTTTGGAGATTTCTTCTTCGACCAAGCTCCAAAACTGAACTATGGCGGTATCTATCGGTACCTCAATAACCCAGAACGCATCATTGGATTGGCCGGTATCTGGGGTGCTGTGTTCATTTCAAGAAGCGTGGCAATCTTCTTCATTGCTCTTCTCAGTCATGTTCTTACCTTGGGATTCATACAGCTTGTGGAGAAGCCGCACATGCAGAGGCTGTACGGACGAGCACTGAGATCCGAAGCTGGACTCACCAAGAGCATCCGGAGATCTTTACCTCCTCCATTGAAAAAGTGGCAAGGCAGCGTTGACAAGGTCTTGGAAGATAGCAGTCACTTCGTCGAGGAGTTTCTAGATACAGCTCGCCCGAAATTCGCATCTGGAGTCTCAACCATCATCCGCGACACCTCAGCCCTCTTCAGCCAATACCCAGCCCGCATAACTCTCACCCGCCTAGCCCCTGACCTCGCCGGCTTCGACCCACGAGACTACTCCCTCACAATCGAAGGCACGCCCTCCTCAGCCCTCACAGCCAGCGACCGTGCAACTGGCAAAGAAGGCCAAACTGCCCGCTTCCCACGCGAGCGAACCGACGAATTCCAACCCCTGATGTTTGAATACGGCGCGCCCATAAAAGTCAAATGGACTGCCCCCGTCCAGCACAGCAAACGCGACTGGGTCGGCCTCTACATGGTCGCCGACAACGCCTCGCGAGAAGTAACACGCGTCTCGTCCGCGGGCCGCTGGGTCGCCTGCTCGCCCAACGAATACGAATCCACGCCGGCCGACAAAGGAATCCTGGTCTCCGAGCAACTGATCTCGGGCGCTTCACGCGTAGATGGCTCGTCCAAAGATTACATGCAGGGGGAGATGGTCTTCGAAGGCGACAAGCTATGGTGGACGCACGGGAGTTTCGAATTCCGCTTCCACCACGACGGCAAGCACAACGTCATGGCCATCTCCCTGCCCTTTGAGATCCGCATCGGACGCTTCGACGAGGAGGATGTCGAGGTTGATTCCAACGGCCTTATTCTCACAGCTGTGCAGAATGCCCTGCTGCCCATCGTGCGCAACTGCTTTGACAGGGACCCGGAAATCGCGCCGGATTCGGTGGAGGGGAGTTTTGGGAGCTTGGTGGAGCGCGATGGCAAGTATGCGAAGAGGGTCGTGTTTGCTGTGCATCAGATGTTTGGCATTGAGTTTGCGCCGGGCGTGGTGCTGGCTGATGGGAACGTGAAGAATCTGGCCTGGAGGATTTGTAATGCGAAGCAGGTTTTGGTATGACGATCTATCTATTTCCCCCAACATTTCATCGCCAGTTTTTCATTCTGCTACCCTGATTGGTCTTGTCCTTATGGACCACGATAATTTTGCATGGTCGGCATGAGTACGGTACACGTTTGCTAATTCTATTCTTTCAAGGCCCCATATAGTATGTCCCATTCGAAAGGCAGGACGACGCCTACGGGGGAGAAGTTCTAGGTGCATACATACATGAATGCACGGTTTACACACGAGGGACGAGGGGGTGAGAGAGTATCAGATTGTGAATAGGATGGAGGAATGAGAGAGAGAAGAGAGGGGTAGGGATTGTAGATTTTTGGTGATACCCGTGCGGAAATACAGAAGTTGTTCATATTGCATTGCATTGCTTAGGGAGAAGGAGGCTTTTCTATGGCATGGCATGGCATGGCATGGTATGGTATTTGAGCGGAAAGTGAAAAGTGAAAAGTGAAAAGGGAAAAGGAAAAGGAAAAGAAAGGAAAGGAAAGGGTGTATGTAGTGGTTTACTTCATTCTCAATAATAAAAAAATGTTTGTTTTTCATAGGTTTTATGTGATTGTGCTAGTCTCGTCCAAGATAAGGGTTTATTTTCAGCCTCAACTTGAGCTAAAGTCAGGGTCCCGATGTTGCATAGATAGACGCCGAGCCGATCATCATGTGTCAAAAGCTGCAATATCAGAAGCAAGATTTTTGATTGCAGAGCATCCGGTGGTCAATTGTACAGTTTACATGGGGAATCTCTCTCTATCTCCTATCTCAATACAACCTTCCACTGCATGCACGCATCCCCTTATTATGCATTCCCTCACAACAACAGCTCCAGCGGGTTCTCAACCACCTTCTTAAATTCGCGAATCCATTCACCACCAACAGCACCATCCACGACCTTGTGATCAAAGCTGCCGGTAACGACTATTTGGTCATCCCATTCTAGAGATGTGCCTTCTTCCGTCTCGACTGGGATGGCGACCTTCTTGGTGGTGCCAACGGCGAGGATACCGGCTTGAGGTGGGTTGATGACGGCGGTAAATCGGTCGATCGCTGCGTTCATGCCCATGTTGCTGATAGTGAAGGTTCCGCCTTGGTATTCTTCGGGCTTGAGCTTGCCGTCTCGGGCGCGCTTTCCGAGGTCTTTGACTTGGGCGGAGATGGATTCGAGTCCGAGACCCTCAACGTTCTTGACAATAGGTGTCATGAGACCAACGGGGGTGGAGACAGCGACCTGGGGGAGAATAATTAGAGGCTGAATCATTATAGATGTTAAGATTTGGACTTACTGAAACATCTACATTGTTAAATTGGCGGATGAATCCGTCTCTCCAGCTAGAGTTGACAGTAGGAACCTTTTTGCAAGCAATAGCGCAAGCCTTGATGAGGAAGTCGTTCACTGAAAGCTTGTATTTTCCATCTGATGAGGCATTGAGAGCTTGACGGAGCTTCAGGAGCTTGGAGACAGAAAGCGTTGCTGCAACGAAGTAGTGGGGGTTCTGGTTTACGGACTCGGTGAGGCGGTTGGCGATTGTTTTACGCATCGAGCTTGTAGGAGTATCGACATATGAGGCAGAAGGAGCAGCTCCTGGGGCCGAATCTCCACCTGATGAAGCCTTCTTGACATCGGCTTCAGTAATTTGTCCGCCAGTTCCAGTACCCTTGAGACCTGAGATCTTGACACCAGTCTCGGCAGCCAATCTAAAAGCAGTTGCGCTTGCGTTTGGAAGTCGGTCTAAAGCTGATTGTAATCTGCCACCACTTGACTCGGTTTCCTCGGGCACGGGCTTCGATTCAGTCTTAGAAGGTGGTGCTGTATTAGAACCAGTATCTGGTGCCTCGGAAGACTCGCTGGCTTCCTCCTTGGGTGGTGCTGGTGCCTCCTTTGCTCCTCCAGCATCCTCGAGTGTGAAAGATTCGAAAGCCGAAGCATCTTCGCCCTCCTCGATCATGACGGCGATAGGCTGTAAAAGAAGATTAGCAGGTTTGAACCTTATAGACCCAATTGATTCTCACGTTGCCAACTGCCACATCTTTGGATCCAGATTCCTTGAGAATCTTCGCAAGAACTCCCTCTTCTTGAAATTCGAAGTCCATTTGCGCTTTATCCGTCTCAATCTCAACCAGGACATCACCCGGAGATATCGCATCACCGGGTTTCTTCTGCCACACCCCAACATTGCCTGCTGTCATTGTCGGAGACAGGGCAGGCATAGTAACCACCGTATGAGGCGGGAACGACTTTGCGGCGTAACATCTTGCGAATTGGTAGGAGTAGGAGAGAGCGGGCCTCGATTGAAGGGCACGCCTTCTCAGCACCGCGGCGAACATTCCGACGGATTCCCGGGGAGGAAGGCAATTAAAATAAAAAAGGCGGAAGAAGGGTGAGGAGGAGACCCAGACAAAGGAAGTCTTGGAATCGCGGTCGCAACACCGAAGAAGTTGGTGGAGGGGTGGAAGGAGGGAGAGAGAAAAAGGAATTGACCGGTAGAATGCAAGTGTTGAATCAAATTTCAACGTTGGGAGCTTTCCGCTTTCCGCGGCGCTTGAAGCTCTTACCCTACACCTACTACAGCCTGAACGGGTCTAATCGGCCCGCCAGCTATCATTGGCCGATTAGGCGCAATTTATCATTTGAGTCCGTGCATCCATCCGATTTGGTGCGCTTAGAGAGAGAGAGTTACGTGGTAGCAGTCAGTGCTCGAGTAGCTGACAATAAGGAGATAATTAATATTTCCGTCAATTTACAATCAACGAACGAACGAGTCGGCGCAACCACCCCAACTGCGATTGCAGGAAGAAGCGTCGGTCACGAATGGAAACCGCTGAACTCGAAAAACCACCATGAGCTCTCTCGTCTTTGTGGTATCGGCCTTGGAGGCTATAGCAGCTTCGAAGGAAGCATCGAAGAAGCCGCAATTGGGCGAATCTGTCCGCAAGGCCTTGAAGGATATCAAAGAGCACGAACCCCAATTACCAGATCCCGAAATCATATTTGCACCCTTGCAGAACGCCACGAAATCCGGAAGCATCCCTCTCACTACGACTGCCTTGGACTGCATAGGCAAGCTTATAAGCTATTCGTACTTTTCCGTCCCATCGTCTCCAAACGCCGACAAAGAAGCCTCACGAGCGCCCTTGATTGAGCGTGCCATCGATACGATATGCGACTGTTTTCAAGGGGAGACTACCCCAGTCGAAATTCAGTTGCAGATTGTTAAGTCTTTACTAGCAGCTGTTCTCAACGATAAAATTGTGGTTCATGGCCCTGGCCTTCTCAAAGCTGTACGACAAGTCTACAATGTCTTCCTCCTTTCAAAGAGCAGCGCGAACCAGCAAGTGGCACAAGGGACGTTGACGCAGATGGTGGGAACCGTCTTTGAACGTGTCAAAACGAGGATACACATGAAAGAGGCCAGGTTTAACTTAGCCAAGCTGGACAAGAACGCTGCAAATGCGAGCTCATATACAGTCGATGCTGAGGCGGCGGAGTCATTAAACGATGCATCTACGAGCAATGAGCCCGAGGAGTCAATAGCGGAGACTGCTTCCGAAGCACCATCAGGGGAAGATGGACATAAACTTACCCTAAAGGATCTCGAACACAGGAAGAGTTTCGATGACTCCCAGATGGGCGAGGGGACAACGATGGTTACACATGTCAAGCCTGCACAGGCTTCTCCACGATCAACATCAGGACAATCCCCTCCCGAGAGTACCGAAGACGATGGGTTGGAATCCGAGGATGTCGAAGACGAAGTATATACAAGAGACGCATATCTGGTCTTCAGATCATTCTGCAATCTCAGTACGAAAGTCCTTCCCCCTGATCAACTATACGATATGAAGGGGCAGGCTATGCGATCCAAACTGATCTCACTTCACCTGATACACACTTTACTCAATAATAATATCCTCGTCTTCACGTCTCCTTTATGTACAATCACCAACAGCAAAAGCAACGAGCCTACGCAGTTTCTTCAAGCCATTAAATTCTACTTATGTCTTAGCATTACTCGGAATGGGGCCAGTTCAGTGGATAAGGTCTTTGAAGTTTGTTGCGAGATTTTCTGGCTCATGCTTAAGTTTATGCGTGCCCCTTTCAAGGTGGGTATCTGTACTTTTGTTCCCTCGAAGATTTGGGACTAACATGGTTACAGAAAGAGATTGAGGTTTTTTTGAATGAGATATACTTGGCTCTTCTGGAAAGACGGACCTCCACTGTTGGTCAGAAGTTATATTTCATGGCAATACTGCAAAGGCTCTGTTCCGATCCGCGCGCTTTAGTAGAAACCTATCTCAACTATGATTGCGACAGAAACCTCGATAACATTTTCCAAACCCTCATCGAGGACTTGTCCAAAGCTTCAAGCGCTGCTGTGATGATAAGTCCACTTCATCAACAGCAGTACGATGAGAAGATGGCCAAAAGCAATAGTAATGGCTTTGATTGGCAGGCTAAAGGGACGCTTCCTCCCCCGCTATCTACCGCGCATATGAGCACCCATCACGATCATAACGAGTCTGAGATCCCCAAAGAGTACATCATCAAGAGACAGTCCTTAGATTGTTTGGTAGAAACTCTACGATCACTGGTCAATTGGTCGCAGCAAGGCATTGCTGATGTTACCGATGGCGCTCAAGACCCCAATATTCGGCAGTCGGAAGATTTTCGCGAGTCTTATGATCCCTCCGGGAATGACAGCTCGTCAAGAATCGGCAACGGAGAGGTCCCAATGACTCCTTCAACTCCAGTGGCTGATGATGACCCGGAACAGCTCGAAAGGGAGAAGCAACGGAAAACAGCAATTGACAATGCGATCAAACAATTCAACTTCAAGCCAAAACGCGGGATTAAGCTTTTGATTTCTGAGAATATCATTCCAAGCGATAGCCCCGAGGATATTGCACATTATCTCCTCACGGAAGAAAGGCTGGATAAAGCTCAGATCGGAGAGTTCCTGGGCGAAGGCAATGAAAAGAACATCGCCATCATGCATGCTTTTGTAGACGGCATGGACTTCACCAAACGCCGTTTTGTGGACGCTCTACGACACTTTTTGCAGGCTTTCCGTTTACCTGGAGAATCCCAAAAGATCGATAGGTTCATGCTGAAATTTGCAAACCGATATGTTACCGGAAACCCAAATGCATTCGCCAACGCAGATACTGCTTACGTTCTGTCTTATTCCGTTATTATGTTGAATGTCGACCAACACAGTGGCAAAGTAGTGAAGCGAATGACGAAGCAAGATTTCATCAAGAATAACAGAGGTATCAACGACAATGCTGATCTTCCGGATGAGTATCTCAACAGCATTTTCGATGAGATAGCCCTTGATGAGATCGTGTTGAAGAGTGAGCGTGAATTGGCTGCTCTTAATGGCCTGCCTACAGCGCCCAGTAGCGGTATTGCAGCAGGCCTCGGAAATGCACTGGCAACCGTCGGGCGAGACATGCAGCGAGAGGCGTACACCAAGCACGCCGAAGAAATATCGATAAGATCTGAGCAGCTTTTCAAAAGTTTGTATAAGAAGGAAAGGAAAAATGCTTCGAAGTCTGATGTCAGCAAATTCATCCCAGCGACATCTTTCAAGCATGTAGGCCCAATGTTCGACGTGACGTGGATGTCTTTCTTCTCTGGTCTCTCGGGACAGATGCAAAATGCCCATAATATCGAAACCATAAAATTGTGTATGGAGGGCATGAAGCTTGCAATTCGTATCGCATGTCTGTTCGATTTGGAGACAGCACGAGAAGCATTTGTGTCTGCTTTGAAGAACGCTACAAATCTGAACAATCCCACGGAGATGGTGTCCAAGAACGTAGAGGCTCTGAAGATTCTTCTTGAGGTTGCACAAGCTGAAGGCAACCTGTTGAAGGAATCATGGCGAGACATTCTGATGTGTGTCAGTCAGCTTGACCGACTACAGCTGATATCTGAAGGAGTTGACGAGGGTTCGATACCCGATGTATCAAAGGCACGCATTCAACCTCCAAGCCGACCGGACACTGGTTCTTCCAGAAAGTCAACCCAGTCTATTAGACCTCCACCACGACCGCGCCCTCGGCAAAGCAGTACCGGCACAAGCTATTCAATGGAAATAGCAATGGAGAGCCGGTCGGATGAAGTCATCAAGGCTGTCGACCGGATATTTACCAACACTGCAAATCTTTCTGGGGATGCCATTGTGCATTTTGTACGAGCTCTGACGGAAGTGAGCTGGGAAGAAATCAAAATCTCGGGATCTAATGAGTCTCCGCGAACGTACAGTCTCCAAAAGCTTGTCGAGATAAGTTACTATAATATGACTCGTGTCAGGTTCGAATGGACCAATATCTGGGTCGTTCTAGGGGAACATTTCAACCGGGTTGGCTGCCATAATAATACCGCGGTTGTCTTCTTCGCACTCGACTCTTTACGGCAATTATCAATGCGCTTTATGGAGATTGAAGAACTTCCCGGATTCAAGTTCCAGAAAGACTTCCTCAAGCCATTTGAGCATGTCATGTCCAATAGCAACGTTGTTGCTGTGAAAGATATGACTTTACGATGTCTGATCCAGATGATCCAAGCTCGTGGTGAGAACATCCGTTCTGGATGGAGCACAATGTTTGGCGTATTCACCGTCGCTGCCCGAGAGCCATACGAGAGTATTGTCAATCTTGCCTTCGATAATGTCAACCAGGTCTATAAGACACGATTTGGAGTTGTCATCTCCCAGGGTGCATTCGCTGATCTTATTGTGTGTTTGACGGAATTCTCGAAGAATATGAGATTTCAAAAGAAGGGTTTGCAAGCAATGGAAACATTGAAGTCGATTATTCCGACAATGCTCAAGACACCCGAGTGTCCATTGTCAAACCGTTCCAACGCCAATTCAGATGGCTCTCTCAAAACTTTAGAACCGACGTCGAAGCAACCAAGCCGAACAACACAAGAGGAAGCGTTCTGGTTTCCTGTTCTCTTCGCATTTCACGATGTGTTGATGACGGGTGAAGATCTAGAAGTTAGATCTAATGCCCTCAATTACTTGTTTGACTCAATCATCAAGTATGGTGAAAACTTCCCGTCTGATTTCTGGGATATTCTGTGGAGGAATTTACTCTACCCGATATTTATGGTTCTCAAATCCAGTTCCGAGATGTCGAACGTCCTTAACCATGAAGAGCTCTCAGTGTGGCTATCAACCACGATGATCCAAGCTCTCCGAAACATGATCTCACTCTTCACGCATTATTTCGAATCATTGGAATATATGCTTGACAGATTTTTGGATCTCTTAGCCTTGTGTATATGCCAAGAAAATGATACCATTGCTAGGATTGGAAGCAATTGTTTGCAGCAGCTTATTCTACAAAACGTAAAGAAGTTCACACCTGAGCATTGGGCTAAGATTGTGGGTGCATTTGTGGAGCTCTTCGAAAGGACCACTGCCTACCAATTGTTCTCAGCGGCGACATCATCGGGCACCGTTACTGGGGCGGAAAACGCTGGTTCGCCGATGGAAGAGCCAGGGTCCGACGGGGAGTCGCTCAAGATCAACGGGACCAACGGCGCCGTCACTTCAGATGTGGAGAGTATAAATGATGACGAAACAAAGACGCCCACAGCAGGCGCCGGCGACTTAGAAGACTACAAGCCTCAATCGGAACTTCAGCAACAACCAGTAGTTGTCACTGCTGCGCGGAGGAAGTTCTTCAACAAGATCATCACTCGATGTGTACTCCAACTGCTCATGATCGAAACCGTCAACGAACTCTTCTCAAACGATGCTGTCTACGCCCAAATACCCAGTCCAGAACTTCTGCGCCTCATGTCACTCCTTAAAAAGAGCTTCGTCTTCGCCAAGAAATTCAACGAGAATAAAGAGCTCCGTATGCGTCTTTGGCGCGAGGGGTTCATGAAGCAACCCCCCAACCTTCTCAAACAGGAGAGTGGCAGCGCAGCAACATATGTCAGCATCTTACTTCGCATGTACCACGACGAGAGCGAGGAGCGGAAGCGTAACCGTAAAGACACGGAAGCAGCGCTCGTACCTCTCTGCGCCGATATAATTCGCGGCTTCACACTGCTTGAAGAAGATTCCCAGCAACGGAATATCATTGCATGGAGGCCCGTCGTTGTTGATGTAATGGAAGGATATACAAATTTCCCTCGCGAAGGATTCGAGAAGTACATCGATGTCTTCTACCCACTGTGCGTAGATATCCTGAACCGAGATATGGGTGCCGAGATCAGGATGGCATTGCAAGGTATACTGAAGCGGGTTGGGGAATTGAAGCTCGGGTTACCGGAACGGAGGCCAAGTATACCTGGGTCGCCGACGAGTTTACATTCCCCCACAGCGTCCAGGAGTCGGAGGTTGAGTAGAAGAGATTAAGGTTCATCCGTTTCTGGGTCGTGCTACATTATTTTTGAGCGATGCATTTAGTTGGGATGATAGCTGGGAGTTTTGGGGCTAGGGATGGATGTAGTAGATTGCGGGTGATGTTTGTATGATATGGGCTTTTATAGACTTGGGAGGGATATCTTTACTTCTATGCATCCTTCTACATGATGCACAATGATGTTTCTTGGAATCACTCGCTCCTGACCACTTGTGTTCTTGCTTCAAAACTTCTTGCCAACTGGCTGGGCGGGGCCTTTGGTATACTTATTTCACTTGGTTGAAGAAAGTTAAATGCTATACAAATCCTCGGATGTTGAAGCTATCCCCGCCTTGTTTTAGCCGGTGCCACCAGAGCCTTATCCTAGGTACCGGTTGCTAATTCTAGTTTTATGTAAAATAGAACTAGCTCCTCAGCTACAATAAAAATCACAAGCTAATCCGCTACGAAGCTCGATTATCAACAGAGAGTCAGCAGCTAGAAGAAACGTCATTTTTAATGGTATAATGGACCAGCTGACTAATAAATTGACTGACTGCTCGCTCTGGTAGGGCAAAAATAGTCGGGTGGGGAAGATTACAGAAGTCGTTCGTTTGGAAGTGATGAGACCAAATCGTGGAATGGAAATAGCTCGAGCCTGGAATCACGATCCGAAGGCTTCTTTGCTGTATTTAGACATTTAGATCGAAGTTTTATTTTACAGCAAAGGCTGTTGTTGGGAATGGAGTCCAGGGACCTCGTTTAATAAAAGGGGCGAGCTACGGGCCCATTTCGCGTAGTCCATATACTGACGCGGTATTTACCAGAACAGCAACGAAAGAGAATGGGAGAGTCGAACGTGCGTTCCAGAGGCAATGGTCCGCATTGTGAAAATCCATATAGTATCTCCATGTTCCTTTGCTCCTGAGTTAACCTTGAGAAAATAAAGAGCCGAGAAGCTTCGACTTGTAGTGAAAGAGCTTGAAGGCGTACGCATTACGGAAGACATGCATCACGTGAACAGGCGTTGCACTAGTAATATTTGGGGCTACTTGTACACTTGTAGCCTATCCTACCCCACATTTAAACTTATAATAAACGAAAGCTCCCTACTACATAACTTTTTTTTTGAATTGACCACAACCACGGAGGGAAAAGTCAAAATCAACGCAGACAGACATGAAGATTCTTCCAATTCTCGCAACCCTCGATCCCGACCCGCATTTGAATCAAAATGGCTACTCAAGATGTGCGCGTCGAATTCATGTGTGTCAGTGACAACCTCCGGTAAGGAAGCAGTTTATATCCAATCATCCTAGCAGATACTAGTCTGCAAGATTCACGCACAACATCCCCAGTACATGAACATATTCATGACCACGATCAAACCCATCATCAACCAGCACTATAACGCCGTTTTCAACGCCCTACAGTCCGAATGTGCCATCTGCAAAGCTCCCGAGACCCAGGCCATCGTCACGCCCATGTCATGGCTGCACCTGTCCTCCGAGCCCTTTATCAACGTCCTGTGTATGCCCGCATGCGCCAAGCCCGCCTGCGATACGAAGACGAGACAGAATGTCCAGGTTCTCATGGCGGAAATGAATGGCGTGACTGTTCCTGCGAGAGTCGGACAAAATAGTCCAGGTAATATGGATGAGATTAAGCCATGTCGGGTGTGCAACACGACGCAGAAGACTTTCAAGTGTGCTCGCTGCGGAGTCGCCTTTTACTGTGGAAAGGAGCACCAAAAGATGGATTGGGGTTTTCATAAGCTGGCTTGCAAGCCGACTGCGAGAAGTGGTCAGGCATCGATTAGTTCTTCCTAGATCGACGTGTTTTGTTTCTTGAGTTCCTGGTCGTATGCAATTGTCAATCTTGCAGGAGTCTGGGTGAATAGATTTCTTTTTCTTGGTGTTGGGGGCCCTTGTAGAATCTTGGACGGGCATTCTGACTACTATTTTGAAGCCAGGTAGACATCTGGATGATGAGCTCAGGTAATTAATCACTTCTTGTTTGATCAAATGTTTGATATGTCAGCGATGCGTAAGAGTTATTTTTCACAACCTGGGTTTCATTCGAGCAATAACGGGTCCTGAGATGAATGGAGCAATTACCCGTCCTGAATTCTAGTGGAATTTTGTGTTCTTAACTCCTATAGTGTTTCACGGCTTTTCCATGTAAGGTTCGCTGCTACTTAAAGAAGCCTCATGGTGGATAGGAAGAAGTGGCACTAACCTATAATATGCTAAAAGGCATAGGACATTAGAGTTAATGATAGTTAGAGCTACAGTTTCTAACTAGCATAATGAGCATACCTAGCTAGGCAATGAAAGAGCTTGAGGATTGATAATTGACGGGATTTTATAGAGGAGCCCTAGGTAAGCTAGAACTGAGATGATACTAAGGTAGACCTGGATAAATGCACATGACAGGCACGTTCAAGCTACACCTACACCTCGTCACAAGCTACACTTCGTTTTCATCCAGCAGTTGATTTGCGCTAGAACAGAAGTCCTGTAGCCATCAAAAACTCACGAACGCTGCATTTCGACGCTCAGATGTCGTGAAACTACCTTCCACTGCCCTGGGCAACTTCTCAACCCCGCACGACCTGTGCAGCACCCTTGTATCGTTATTGTCGCCCCGGGAGTGCGACTCCTATCTCGAATATCAAGAACGTCTATTCATCACTTTCTTCTTCTCGTTTTGGATAATGTGTCTTCCTTTATTCATCATATTTATGGCATTGTCTGCATGGTGGCAGTGGCGTAGACTTGATAACCTGCTGACGCATCTTGCCAAGGGTAGCCCCGAGGAGAGAGAAGCGAGGCTGAACAAATTGCTGAAGCTCCGTGGGATCAAGATGGATGTGGCTTTGTTGCTTTTACACAGTCCATCGATCGGAAAATCGAAAAGCTGCTGCCTAAATCCCGGGTCCAAGCACCAACACAGTCCGCTTGCTAAACTTTCCAACATGAAAGAAGCAGATACAGGTTCTATATTCTCGAGTCATTTAATTCCTACTCACTTATTTTTCTGTCCTAGAGGTAGGTCCGAACCCGTCCTCTTCTCAATCTTGATATCCGCTCTCTCCCTTTCTAAGAAATGCTCTTCTCTTCTCACATTCCCTAGACGCACAAGTCAAATGAGGTCGAGGCTCCGATTCGGGCGTGCTGCACTATCTGACACTTTAGGCTAAGAGTATTTAGGCTAAGAGTAAGGCTCAGCTCGGAAAGCCCTGAATGCCGGTATATAGGCGGGAAGCATTCTCGTTCCTTTATCCCTTATTTTCTCACTGCCACCCTTTATAAATTGATGGGAATTCCTTCTTTATTGGTACGCTCCATTTGCGCAATCGCGGATTATTACTCCTTGGGAGATTGAGAGCGTGGCAACACAGTATAACAAATGTCAACATTCAAATACCAACCTCTAGAGCAGTCGGATAAAATCCGCCTGCTCGTTCTCCAACCAGGCTCTGGCACTAGTCCAATCGAATGCAGCCTCCTCCACAAAACGCTAGGCACACAACCTTACGAAGCGTTGTCCTACGAATGGAAGGACGCTAGCGATTGCGATCCTATGATTGTTGTAGACGGTTGCGACGTTCGCGTTCGCAAGAACCTGCGCGATGCTTTACTACAAATAAGGCTTGTTGAAGAAAACCGATACTTATGGATCGATGCTTTGTGTATTAATCAGGCCGACGTCTGTGAGAGGAACAAACAGGTTCAGAAGATGGGAAAGATATATAAGGGCGCACGAAGTGTTATTTCCTGGTTGGGACTAGCCTCGAATAACAGCGATCTTGCGATGGAGAAGCTGGAAAGTGTGGGCGAGTTCATGGAGGGACATGATGCCAAGCTATTCAGCTTGGTGGACAGCTTCCAAAACATCCAATGTCAGGCAATCCTCGCATTGTGCCAACGCTCCTATTGGCAGCGAGCCTGGATACTGCAGGAAGTATTTCTGGCTCGAAAACTCGTAGTGCACTGCGGCGACAAATCTTCCTCTATTGTGGCTCTCGATAACTCCCTCTGCTGTCTTGGACGTGTTCGAGAGTATGACAAAGGCATCGTCTCAAGCGCTGCATTTGAGCATGTCCTGGCAAGAAGAGCGCCCCCCCAGATGAATGTGTTGTCTCGATGGGTAAACGTGAGCCTGAGTCAAAACTACGTTGCTACTGAGCCTCGCGATATTATTTATGCGATGCTCGGAATTGCTAGTGACTGCCAGGATGGTGAGCTGCTCCCTGATTATGAGAAGCCGTTGGTCGAGGTATATTTTGATGCACTTGCGATTATGCGATGCGGAAAAAATAATTTTTCTTACAAACTAGCGGAAAGACTCGAACTCCTTCATAATAAAAGAGTCTCAGATTATCTGGGTTTAAATGGCATTTCGGAGTACGATTGACCAAGGTATTATAGATATATAATCGAATCAAAACTAATGCCTTAAAACTCAAAGAAGCTATCGTTGCGAAAAAATGTGTTTCAATTCAGAGGAAAAAATAAATAGGAAGGAAAAGATAAGAAGAAGTTGGAGGAAGGATCGAGGGCCAAACTAGTATGAGACTCTTCGCTCATTACAGAAAAGCAGCGTCATTGCATTGTAATACCAGAAAGTATCATTAAGGACTGCGACTGGTAGTACATTATGAATCGAAACAAAATTATGAAAGGTGAACGCTTACCAGCACCCGGATATTATCTCTGGGATCCCGAGTTATTGAGATAAACATATGAAGTCCACAAAAATGGAAACTTTGATGCTGGAGTAAAGTCGAGAACCTGTGACTGGGCGCTTCGATCCAAGAACAACAAACCTGTGTGCTTCATCTCTTCCTACTTTATAATCTACGAATTCATTTCTTAGAACTCGGAACGTGGAAAGTGCTTGCACAGATGGTGTTTGTGGTTACCCAATTCGCTAAAAATCAAGACTAGATGATACCTGATATCTACAAGTAATTCTCTACTCTTTTGTATTCCAGATCCCCCAATAAACAACTCTCCCCCTGTGAATGTGTGCTATTAGCACTGATCTCCCTCCTCACTATCCTATCTTCTCAATATTTTACAGCTCTGGATTGAGTTCCCCAGGAACCTTTGCGTATGTGGACCGACAAATATGTGATAAGAGGGTAATAGAGGAGCTTGGCGATAAAAAAAAGCCTCTTCGTGGCAGTTGGTTGTTGCTGTGAGAGTCTGATCAGGTGCTGTAGTTGCCCGAGTACGACAACGGATCATGCACCAATAGGTGGACAATTCGACGTGCTCGTAAACATGCCCATAATCAAGTTCAGATGCTCCTGTGGGTAATTAGCAAGTAAATCCAGGAGAAATAGAGGAGAGAATCAAGAAGTTACCTGTACGTTTTGAGCATTGCAACCAGCGTAGGGAAACTCCGACCCATCCACACCAAAAACCATCCATCCCGATTCATCCAAGACTTTTTCAGGATTCCCCCACTCAATCCATTCAGATCAATCCCCGGTTCCTTCAGCCTTCAAGATCGACCTCCCCATTTGCATCGACGGGTGACTCTTCTTGTCGCCCTTCACGTCGGCGGCGAGCTCCCAGGATAAAATAGAAGACGGCAAGAAAGTAGAGGGCAGACGGCGAACTTGAACCACCGTCTTCCTTGTTATGGTCGTCGGTAGAAGAGTCTACCGGCTGCTTTCCTTGGTCCTCTTCAGAGCCTAACTTCTTGTGCACCACCCGAGCTTGAATGTCTGGGTATCGTGCTTTCGCGGGAGATAATCTTATACGTGGTGAAGGAAGGAAGGTGGGAGGAGCGAAGTGGTGACGGGGGAAGCAGCGGATGACAGGCGCCGTACAGCCTTTAACGAGGGGTCGTATAATTGAAGATTGTAGCATGATTAGGCGTCAGATGCTAATAAATTGTTTCAATGAAGGATACGTGACAGATAATCGATAAGGGACGATGGGATGATTGCTATAGAGATATAGAAACTCGAAAATCTTGCATAGTATTAGAATGTGAGAACCAAGCAGTGGAAGTAAAGAGGGCATAGATTGATCAAGGAGAGAAAGGGATAGAGGAGAGAGAAAGCTCTGCTTATAGGGCAGGGCACCGTATGCTTATATCTGTCCCTTATCCAATTAGCTCCTTTAGCACTAGAACTATTCCCCACCGCCCGCAGTAGCAAGCGGCAGTACTATATATAAATATAATTTAACACATAGGACATCTAGTAGGTATCTGGTCTTTGGGAAGTGACTCAATAAGGACGCATAGTAGGTAGATAGCCTGCCCAAACAAGACACGTGGGTCTCTTGAAGGTCGAGGCCACTAAGAATTGTGTTTCCAAGACGAAAACATATCAAAATAAAAGAGTTAGTCAAATAATAAAGATAAGCCTTAGTAGTTCATGAAGGGTGATTGAAATAATATATTGTGCGGCTGAAAATTTAGTGGGGGGTGGGCTTCAGCGGGGTTGAAACGCGAAGTATAAATACCTAGGGCAGACGAAGGTATAAGACCTGCGGGCATATGCGCCTTGATTTTCCCTGTGTCTAGAATCGTCAAGAATATATGTTAGACAAATCAAAATAATAAATCATCTAATCCGTCAGCTCGAATGCTCCTACTTCGTTAACCAAAATCGATATACACGTTGCATATTAGTGACTATCGGGCGTAGGCGCGCGACACAGAATTCTTTTTGCCGATGCCGTCACCCTTTACCTTACGGCAAATAGAATCCCCTGCCTTCCTATCACGTGAAAGTGTTCACCCCCTACTAGGAAAGTTCTCTCAACTATAGAGAGTTGAAGTTGAAGTTGATGATAGCCGTTGCAAGCCCCTCGCTGAGCCTATGTATTTACATCAAGCACAGAGCCGTGTGCGTCCTGTGTCTCTAGAAGAGACTCTAAAGTCAGTCGTAGCTGCGCTATATGCTCTGCTGAGAGGCCTGGAGAGCTCTCATTACCGCGCTGCTCAAAGGGTTCAAAGAACCATGTAAAGACGCCGCAGTCCAAGTCGAAAGCTCCGGCGCTTGATCTGAGCTCATTCCCTTGTATAGGAGCTGCCAGGGCATTATTTCTCATTTTAGTGCCTCGATTCTTTGTTCTCGTCGGTTTATTATGTAGCACGCCCCAACGACCTCGGCATGATCGTGTAGGTTCTTTTTCTTTGTCACGGTACTCCATTGTCTAGCGGACGATTCTGGAGATCGCATTTGTGTGTTTAATTCCTTTGCTGGCAATACCTCCTTTCCAGGTAGTCGCTTTGTGGGACTCGGCTTGCTATGTACGCGGGGTGTCTCTATATTCGGAGTCGCCTCATCCATAATCCAGGTCGCAAGTGCTGGCACGTCATAGCCGACTCCCGCCTCCCTCATAGCACGGGATACTGGGTTGGCCTCAAAGCCAGCCTCCATAAGGGCGTCAACAGCCTTGCACCGGGAGCACTGATTTGTTTTTGAAGCGGAAACCGGATCATATAGACGCGACTTCATGAGGTTTGTTTGCTTCGAATTCCCTAGAATCTAAGTCTGACGGCCTTGAAAAGAATGCGATAGCGCATGCATGTCCGTTCTCAGTGAAGATGAGCGTGCAATGGTACTACCACCGCTTGATATGCACGCTCTGTTACTGGCTGCGGGGCAAGCTCTGGAGTTTTTTGTTGAGACGTCTTTCAATACCTTCCGAATGCACGCCACCACATTGTCTTTTGGCGCACCTCGTTTTATTCCCCACATCGACTCAAGTTGGACTTGAAGGTCAGCGCCAAACTTGATGAAGAGCTGCAGAAGTCGAACCCAGACTCCAACCCTCTCGTCGAGAGCTGATTTTTCGTTGACTGGCTCCATTGTGTCACCAAGGAATGGGGCCAACAATGCCATATCATAACTCAGAAGACTAGATGGCGCAAGATACAACAACTTTCCCCATGGCGTACGTCCCAGTATAGTGGCAGACCCTATGCTATCAGCGTTGACGTCGAATCCTGCCTCGAGAAAGTGCTCAACCATTCTCATGTGTTGCGTTCTCAGCACACCATGCTGTATAGCCCAGTTGCACAACCCTAACACTAGATTCTGTATACCGATGCCTGAAATATTGGAGTCGGAAGAGGTGGGTGAAGACGCTAAACTTGCATGTACATATGTGTATAGTCCATAACGAGCCGCAAGAGATAACATTGAATGGCCATCAGAAGTATGGTTGATTTTCAAGCCGGCCTCGCTGAGCAAAGATTCGGCCCAATGACGCTCACTGCCGAACATAAGTGCACCCTCAGAGGCCCGTGTCGTGCGGAGCCGCTCGAGCACCCTGTTTAATTCATCCAGATATCCAATTTGCCTAGATCCCAGATGCGATTCGCAGCGCTGACAGTAGACTAGAAATATCTTGATTTCTTCGACATACTTCTGCCATTGGACGGATGTCCTGAGGCGGAAGAAACCCCACACTTTAAGGCGCGATAAAATAGATCCTAATAATTTCTCGTAGATCTCGGTCGATTCCATGAGGCATTCTTTTTCCAACCTGTCTCGAATGTCTTGTTGCTTCAAGAAGTCCGACACCGTTCGATGTAAAAATGCAACTCGGCCCTCCACTAGAAGCGAGTCTGATCGTGAAGTAGTTGTCCTGTCGTAGTGCATTTCGAGCAGTCCACAGCATCGACTCCTCAGGCGGCTTTGAAATACAGACAGTCGACTTCGTAGCTCTTCTATCGGAATATTAGTGAGCGGTCTTTGGATAGACTCCGTCACCTCGTCCCTATCAAAAAGGGACAGTCTCAGACCAGAGGGTATGGCTGACTCGACATTCTGAACAAGAAACACGGCTTGCAATAACCGGAATGCCTCGAGGCGATGCATAGGGTTCATTCTTTCAAACATGTCCTCATAAAAGTCGTGCAGTTCTGATGGGTAATCTTCTATAAAGCCCTCCAGTTCCTCGGGGTAGCTTCCGTCGGTAAGACACTTCTGAAGCGCCTGGACGACAAGAACGACCCAGAGAAAGACGCCTGAGGCTTTTGATATGATACTGTGATTCAAGCGCTCCGCAAGCTCCGGGTCGTGCTCCGCGTGGCTCTTGAGCTGAGAATGGCTGAGGAGTTTCTCATTCACGTAGTGTTTGATGTCACCGGCAGTAAGGTCTTCAACTAACAATTTGGGAGCATTGATAAATGCCTCGACAAATGTTGACTCTGGGCGAGAGGATATGATGGCCTTGATAGACGGATGCTTTGTGACAGTCCTGAACAATTCGATAACTTCTCGCTGGTCTCCTACAAATTCATCTAATCCATCGATGAACAGGCAGATTTTTAAATCGTTTTTGAAATCTTGCTGTGCAAGGGTGAGAAGAGCTCGCTTCAGCTCGGTGACGGTCAGGCTTCCGCAGTCATCTCCAGTGCTCCTGCGAGGTCTCCGAGTATGCCTAGTACAATATTAGGAAGCCAATATGGTAGAACTTATCTAAATTAGTACTTACTGCTCTTGCTGATGATCTACGAGTTGCCTTGGTTTCTCAAAAGAACTTGAGCATCCGGGAACGTCGCACAAGAAGAAAATTTCCGGATCCGAATTATCCGCAAAGATCCTAAAAAGAGGAATTAGAAATAGCTCTACACATCATATCAGGATGCAGAATGTACTTTGCCATCATAGCATCGTATTGTCGAGGGAATACCCGCGAAATCAAATCACGTCTTTGCCACAGTATTGTATGCAGTAAAGAGCGTAGTAGGCCCTCCTGGTTCTTTTGCAGTGGTGTTCCCGCCATCCAGAAGTAGCAAGACGCAGTGACTAAGGAGGCCGGCTGATTCCATTTCTCGAGGCTTTCACGAGCCCTGGGGTGGGAATTTAAAAACTTCATTAGAGTAGATTTACCGCACCCGGCCTTGCCGCCAACCCAATAGCACCCTCTGCCAATTTCTAACCATTCGCTAAAGTTGCTCCATGGCTTGTCATGATCTTCGGGCTTCTCAAATATCCATTCAAAGGTCTTACTGTGAGCGTCCTGAACCTGAGCTTCTCGGTCCTCCATTTTGCGGAAATACAAGGCCGCGAGAATGGCATTTTCAATGGTTTCGTAGCCATTAAGAGCAGCAGATTTGAGAGAAGGGTCAATTCGAGTAAGGACTGACGGAAGGCCTGGAAATAGAATTTTGCTTTGCAAGACCTCAGTGAAAGCGTTGATAGTTTGTATGATAATGTCATGCCTCCTTTGTTCAGAGTCGTTCAACTGGAGGATCTGATCTGACTGGGCCTGTAAGGCGAACTCTACGGCCTGGCGGCTTTCCTGAAACGACTGCGTTGACGTATCTCGGTACTTTATGGCGGATTCGTTAATTTCCCCAAGTAGCTGGTTGGAATGGTTTGACCTTTCCTGAATTGTGTTGACTGAGTTTTGGATGTTCAACATGACTTCAGAGTAAAGCATATTTCGCATACGGTCGAGCTTATGCGCCAAGTCCGTGATCTTCGATTTGTTCCATTCTAATTGGACTGCTTTAGCCAAAGTATTGGCTGCTCTTAGAATATTGGATGTCTCAAGCGCCTTTTGGTTCGCCGCTTCGAGACGGTTCTTCACCGTTCTCCATTTGCTCTTTTCTCGTTGCTGAATCGTTCTGAGCTCCTCTTTTTCGGTTGGTTTCGGGCGTTTTAATTTTTCCAGCCTCTCTTCATCTGGGTGTTTCGGCCTTGATTTGGGCACAATTTGAACATCTGGCTCTTTATACTGTTTCACCTTAAACTTGGAAACAAAGCTCACAATCTCATCGGCAATCTCTATGCATTCCTTTGCCAGCTGCTCGAGGGTCTTCAACCAAAGGTCAGCATGCGCCTGTAGAGCCAAGAGAAACTTTTCTTTACCTGGCTAGCAGCGGTAGACCCCGCAGTTGTCCCGCATTGAAATCAAATCCTAGTGACCTGGTGCTTCAACAACGTTGCTGATCGTTCGAGGTCGGAGTTGAAGTCACTTATACCCTGTCGGCGGAGCTGGCTTCCTATATTCAGTAAATGTGAAACATAGTCAACGAATTGCAATATATTGGCTGCAAATCCGACGGCCACCAGAGCCTCCATAATGGAGAGTCGTTGACCGGCTGCGATAATTTTGATGGAGGTGGAGGGAAAGGGTGGGCATAGCGGTCAAGTCCAAATATATCTACATTTCACATCATGGCGCAGGTCTTGAATACGGGTTGGGCAAGCTGTGCAGCGATTGCGGCCTAACTACTGTAGACTGCATTCTGGGGCAGATTGAAAGTATGGGGTTGCGAGGTAAGGCTGACACCAGCTAGTCAGCCCTACTCGTACACAGCCTCAAGGCCCCAGTAAATCACTACATATAGTCACGTGATATCTTACAAGAGGGATCCCAAATCTGCCCCGGGAAGGAAAGCAGAAACAGATTCCCGGGCAAAGTTCGTAAGGAAACTGCAGCCGAGGCACACAGGAGGCCAAAATGGGATTCACATTATAGTGCGCAGGCTGATTCAGGGCGTGCGATGAGAAGATGCCTAATTCATTAAGAAGCATGGTTCGGTCTCTGCTTTTACATAGATAACTTTACTATAGCATTCTCTATGACGTTTTCAATGTGCCCTTGGGTTTGAAACGTGAGAAATCACTACTGCTTTTTCTGTCCAGGACAAGGTGAGGTTGAAATGAGTAAGCGAGTAGTGCGACTGTAGTATTATCTGGTCTCACATTATTATACACACACCTCAAGCTCCACCTCAAGCTTCGGGGATTATTACTTTAATCTACCCATAACCCACCAATCGAGCTAGAATCGTCGGTAGAGCCCTGACTACCAGGGTAAAATAAGACCAAGATGGCTGGGTGGTCAGTACAGAAATTAGAGCTCGATGCTCCCTCCCTCGAAGATCTTATCTCACCAATATCCACGGGCCTCTCCTCCAACTTCCAGGACTCATCCGTAGCCGTTGTTTCGTGCCCTGACCTCCGCCAAGCACCCTACAACCTCGCAGCTCCTGGCCTATGTGGAAAGCCACGGATCGCAGACGTTGGCGGGCCCGCAAACCTCGCCCCAAGCCCGAAACTTGATCGCAAATACTCGTTCATCGATATGGTGCGCTTGATGGAGATGGGGCATAGTGGGGCTGTAATTGGGGCATCTGCGGGGCCCTTCCACATTGTCGGGGTCAATTCCGAGCTCATGCCAAATTGGAGTTACGAGGAGGATGCAGTTGTTAATCGGACGCATTATGCGAAGATCGATGAGGAGGGAGGATGTCTTTGTGAAAGACTGAATTCCGAGGATTTTGGTTTGATGGCCAATTTATTTGGAAGTGAAGGGAGTCCGGGGAGGGTGCTCAAGATTACGGCCAAGATACGGACTGGGGATGACAATTTCACGAGTACGATACAAAAGGCATTGAAAGCTAGGTTTGGTGATCGCGTTGTCAGTCTCGGCGGGGTCTTCGTGATCAAGAAGGGCAAGGCGAATCTTCATGTCATGCCTGACTTCAGTCGCACTCCTCTGAAGTCCAGAGATGAAGTAGAGAAATGGCTACGATACTTTGACATGTCAGCACCTCTTGTCTGTCTTTCAGTTTTCCATTCCCATGATCCAGGACTGGACCTTCGGATGGAACATACACATTGCTTCTCTGATCACAATGAAGGGGGGCATTATCATGATGATATCACTCCTGCCGATGTAGAATATGAAGCTTACTTCAACGTGGCGGATGTCTTATATCGAATTGACAGACCAGAGAATTGAAAAGTTCCCTGCTCTAAGCTGGAATGCGGATGTTCGAGTGACACTTACTATTTCGCGCATGAGCAGGATGAATTAGTGTATTCATCAATCTGTCTCTAGATTATTTGCGCCCGAATTACCACAGAAAAAGTGATGTAATCTCATGGATGTGTACTTGCATCATTCGTCGAACCTGCTCGGAAGTTTCCGCGGGGCAATATACCCCAGCAGATCGTCACTCTGGACTTAAAAACTCGAATCTACGCGAACGATCAAGTCAACGTTTTGGGCAAATAACTCACTAAGAATTCTGCTTCTGGTTGGTAGCTTTGGGAGGCTTAGAATATTGCTACGAACGAGCTGTATAGCTATGATTAATACTATACGCTAGGGTGTTTGGTTATGCTATCGCGGGTGCGGTGGAAAATAGAGATGTCAAGATGACGGCAGATACATGTTTTTGGTAGGTATAATTGGGACAACTCTAATAGATCTGCAAGGGGCTGATTATGTTCAGTCATGAGGATATCGGGAAGTTGCACAAGTATGGGTTAGCGAGGGAGTATACTGTCAGGGGAAATGACGGTGTAGTTAGTTATCAAGTGAAAAATTATTTGTATTATGTTTGGTCTGCAAAATATCTTACATGTCTCACAAATTGAAGTAAACATCCATTTCACCTAATATGTCTCAAGATCATACCCAAACTCAATCAAAAAGGTCCCCAAATTCAGAGCCATACTTTGCAATGAATGCCGCCGCATCGGCATTTCTACGACCGCCTATTTCCTTTGGCCTGCACCGAAATTTGCTAGCTCGCAATCCCAATGCCTCATCGCGAAGAATGAGAATGCTCACCAGTCGCCAAAACCACCACCACCACCATCTAGGGCATACTCCTTTTTCTCTGCTTTTGACATCTTTGTGATGTCATAATTTCTCCCACCAGCATGATTCCGCTTGAAACTTGGCCACTATTCTGTCGTTAGCTTTCCCTGTCCGTCCATTCAACCCTCACTTCCAACTCGCCTCTTTTTTCCAATCCACTTTCTTTGTCCTTGAGTTACATTCTCCCCTCAACGCTTTGATATCCTCCTCACTGACACCAAGTTCTTTCCTGAAATCCCAAACCACGCCCGCTTCGTCAGCAGCCTGGACAATTTTCTCAACGTTGTTGATATCGAAGTCGGCGGCATCTTTTTGGAGGAATTTGATCATAATTAAAGTGCAGATGTTGACGTTCGGGATGGAGGAGGTAGGGTTAATGAGGGGGTGTTCGTTGAGCATTTCAAGAGACGTGACCATGAGGGTGATGAAGAAGTTGAAGATATCTTTTACGTTATCGCTGTCGTCGTTCACTGAGTTGGTGTTAGTTTGAAATGATACTGAGGGCAGTGGGAAGAAAGAGAAGAGTTTTTACTCATTAGGCTCATGAGATCACCATAATAGAGCCAGACCACAAGTCCTTCAATGTATGACCATTTCTTGAGAGGCGAAACATTCTTCTTGAAGAGGATCTTGTTGAAATCGATAAGCTATACCAGGTTTCAAGTATTAGTAAAGTCCCAACACAGTTGTAGGTAGTAAGACACACCAGGTTCTCCAACATCTCCGTCATACCGTATCCGGCATGATCGTTGCAGATGTACATAGCATGACAATCCGGGTCTCTCTTCTCCTGCTCAATAACGATGTGCTTGAACATTTCCAACCCAGCTAATCTGATAAATTAGCATTGATTTATTTAGGCTTCAAATTGAGAATTGAGATAATGTCTCGGCGTGTGCCCTTTAAGACATATTTTTGTAGAAAGCAAACCCGAAACGTTGGCTAAGAGATGCTGACCTCGAGTGATTGGGAAACCCTTATCGGTTACCTCTTTTGAGCGCATCTTTTCGTCATCATTGCCATTGTTTTTGTCCTTTTCTGTGTCCTCGTCGCCACTTTCGTCTTCGTCTTCATCTTCATCTTCATCTTCATCTTCATCTTCATCTTCATCTTCATCTTCATCTTCATCTTCATCTTCA